TGATTGAGTCGGTGTGAAAGGAAATTATGACAGAAATAAGTCCTCTTAGTTGCTGAGTGTGCTTTTATTGCCAGCATTGATTAAGAAAATTCAGTCCATCCGTGTTTTAAAAAATTTTGTAAAATGCTCTGCTCTACTGAATGGTAAGGAAGAGACTTCCCCATTGAAATCGCATGCTACTTTTAGAAATATATTTCACCTAATATCCTACCAATGTTGAATGAGGGTGCATAGTTCATTAAAATAAATTATTCGTGAATGTCATTCAAAACGTTTTGCATCCTAGCTACGAATGAATTTCTCGCGTTAGCATGTTGCCCGAAAGGTATTTGGTTTTCAAGAAAATTAAACTCTCATATTTGCTATAAAATTGGCTTTATATTCGTGCGGCATTTTTTGGCTAATTTAAGCTAAGGCGGAAACTTTTTCAGGCGGAATCACATCCAAGAATACTTGCCGCTGTGTATTCAGGTTACATTTGAACTTCGCATTAAGGGTATTATTGTTGACCTTCTCTAGGTATCTAAACAATACTTTACAGTGGAACTCTAAAAGTGGAGATATGTAGGAGTATTTTCCTTTATTCCAGTGTTTGGAGTTTATGTCATAAGTCTGGACTAAATACCCTCCAAAAGTTTTGAACCCCATAAGCATTTAATTGAATGTGCACTCCTGTCTTCTACATGTGCGGCCTAGGGTAGCTTTGGCATAATTGGCAGGGAAGGAAATGTAAGTGTCCCTATTTTCCCCAATCCCAAATGATTAAACGGATTCTAACTAGCTCGACAAATTTATCATGACGTCACAAAGCACGCATCCACCATCTTACAACAGAACTGAAGAATCTGGTGAGAGAACTTGGATAAAGATTTCGAATTGCAAAATCTATTCAGCTCCCTCCAGTTGTTGTCCTACTTCATGGCTAGTAAATCTGTAAAAACAACAAACATTCTTTCTCGCAGCAATCTGCGTTATGTGTTGCTTTGATCTTCGAACCATTTTTGGGGAGCATTTGGAAAATTGACAAGAAAAATCAGTTTCTAGGCCTCTCATTTTTCTCATGGTGCACTCTTTCCATCGACAAGGCTAGTGTAATCTCGAGTTGAAAACGAGGTTCTAGCATAATTTTATTGCTACTTCTAGAAATGACATCATCCTAACATGAAATGACTGTTTTACCTACTGTTTCGATACCAACACATCTCCTATCATTATTTGTATGCATAAATGACCAGGATATCTTTCAAGGTAATGTACTACAAATCCCATATTATCCAAATTGACGTGGCTAAAAGATCGTGTGTTTTAGGCTAGAGGCCGATATACACCATTTTCTTAACAAAATTCCATCTATTCTAAATAGGGCCCTACTTTGGCAAAAAGTAGGAAACCATAGAAACAATCACCACAAGCTAAGAAACTGCTGGGTAAAGATGGGATAAAATATGTTCTTATCGAAGATTAGATTATTATTTCTTCTTTAAGTGATAAAAAAACAGGAGAAGATGCATTTGTATCATGCACGTCTATAGATATTGAAAGAGTTTTTGTTACACTTCATTTTGTCGGTAATTTTTTGTCTAATAAAGGGCTCTTTTTCATTTTGCTATTTACGTAGATTCTACGTTTGCTATTTATCTCTTCGCTTTAATTTTTGCATAAATTCTGGTTATTAGTCGGTCGACCTCAGTTTCCTATAAAAATTGGTGGGCATTCCTTTCTATTCCTCATCCTACATTTTCGAAACTTTTACGAAAGTTTTAGAAGGTGGAGCTCCGATTCTTGTCAAAAATAGCTGTTATGTCTTTTTAGACTTATATCTCATCCTACAAAATGGAATTGATGCTCAGCATAGAGTAAGGAATGCAGAAATAGCATATTGTTCAAAATTCTCGGTTTTAAAAAGTGGAACATTTTAACCGTGTAAAAAAGAAACCGAATAAACTCTCCTGGTAAGCATCGATTTGCATTTACGTGGAACCTGTTATAACTAGTGTGTAGCCTGGTACAGCCAGCACTGTGCACTGTTCTAAAAGTGGGTGGGCTGAAAAGAGCGTGACCGAAACTTTTTTAGGGACAAGCCCTTTAGATCGCCGAAAAACGCCCTTTTTAGAAAATACTTGCTTCTTTTCACTTTAAGCAGTCTGCTTAAGAGAAGATATCAATTAATAGAGTAAATAGACCTTACAAGATAAGACACCAAAAAGTGAACAAAAAGGATTCGAAAAAAGCCAACTATGTTTTAAACTCTGAAGAATGTCAAACGAAAAGCTTCAGTATACTCAAATGTTTGCTTTTTTAAAGCCATTTCTAATTTTGTACCACCAAAAGATTGTTTAAAAAAGGATTCTCAGTCAAGACGAACTGCTACTACTTAGGATCCGTTAGAGTAAACTTTCCAAAGTTGCGTTAGAGTAAACTTTCTAAAAATTTTCTTATCTATTATTGCAAAAAAGGTGGGGGGGGGGTTGGGGCTATATCCCCTGGTAGCCCGTTGCCTGGGTCAATGGCGGCGCCAGCCACCAAGCCCTGGGCCAAAAAAATTTAAGCCACGCCCTTTTACCAACAGGGAACGCCAATTTTATCCGAAGGGAACGTCTATGACTAACTTTTGTTTGAAAATTGGCAGTTTGAAAATCATAGGATTACATCACAAAAATTATTGTGTCAAAATATTACCCCTCCCCCAACATTTTCTCATCAAATTTAGACGAAACAGAAAATCGATTTTGCTGAGAACTGGGGGGAACGTGTCCCCCCAGACACCCCCCCCCGTGGCGCCGCTACTGGCCTGGGTACAGCCATGTAAGCCAGATTTTAAAAATTATTCACTTTAAAATCAAGATTGACCTGGTACTAATGGCTAAAACGGTTAATCCCTTTTGAGACCATTCACCTCAAGGATTAAAAATTGATAAGTCTTAAGGAATCCTTTTAATAGAGGTGTCTATCATAAGTATTCAAAGAGCATTCAAAGCCGTCAATACAATACACTAAATTTCTTAATAGATCGAGCGGAATTCCAAAACTTGTTAGAATTAGGTAACTGATTGCAAAAGGTGGAATTAATCGGAGGGTACCTATAAGTTCCTTTGGCTAAAAATTCATATATCGTGAAATATTTCGAGTATGTGCGATCCTTAAAAAATCATTGTAGGTCTGGAAAAATCATATTCTTGAATAAGCAAAGAGGAATGAATAAAAAGCTACTGTGCAAGTACAAATAGCGTGCTGAAAAAGGGAGGGGGGGGGGTGAAATGGATTGGGGTTGTAGCTGGCACCTTGTCTCCAAAAGGTTAGGACAACATCCCGTTAGAGTACCAGACTCCAGAAAAGTTGCCAATCTTCCTCCGGCCTAGAAAATCTTCCTACAAAATCTTCCCTTTTTTAAATGGAAAAAAATAGGTGTGGACAGGAGATCAACTAGTCTACATCCCTTCTCCTTGCAACTCTGTTTTTCCAAAACAGTTTAAAAAAATTGTAGCTTATTTTCAATTATAGATATATTTCACGACTGGTGTAAAGCTACATGCTTATATCCATTGATAACACAAGTTTGTCATAATCTAAATATATAATTATAAAGTTAAATTTAAGGCCTAAATTTTATTGCCAAGCAGTTCTGCAAACACATTCATATTTAAAAAGCAGAAGGTTTACAAATATTATTTGTCTTCTCTTTAATTTTTGTCTGATTGCATTTAGAAAACCTAAAGGCAATACGATTTCTTCAACTTTCTCCAATATCCAATTTTTGGTCACCTTCTTCGATTTCTTTCGTTTCAACGACCTTCCTCCGGCCAGTGGCCGTGGGGCCGTGATGTTTTCCTGAATCTGTAGAGCACGTCTTTTTTCGTCTAGAGATACTTTCGACCACGTAAAATTTTTTTAGACGAAGACTGTGGCTGAGATGAAAAGAAAAGCTGTCTTTGATCCATAGGATCCTCGAAAAATCAAAGATTACCGTTAAGCCATGTGTATGGACATATATGGGTCATTTACTCTCTTTCGGAACCATCTGTGCCACAGGCTAAATCATTACACGTGACTTGTGGTTATTTCCTGGTCGATTAACTTCAAAGAAATACATTTATTCATATTGTAAGGGGATAACATGCCACAGCCAGTGACCCTAATTTGACATGGGCCCCAAAATTGGCTCTAAAATGTTTGTACTTTGAAAAAAAAATCTCAGTTGGAAGAAACTATGACTGTAAGAACCTATGACGCTAAGTCCTATGACTGTAAGAACCCAATGATTTTTTTAGATGTTCCATTGTGTTGTGTTATGTTATGTTATGTTATGTTATGTTATGTTATGTTATGTTATGTTATGTTATGTTATGTTATGTTATGTTATGTTATGTTATGTTATGTTATGTTATGTTATGTTATGTTATGTTATGTTATGTTATGTTATGTTATGTTATGTTATGTTATGTTATGTTATGTTATGTTATGTTATGTTATTATGTTATGTTATGTTATGTTATGTTATGTTATGTTATTTATGTTATGTTATGTTATGTTATTATGTTATGTTATGTTATGTTATGTTATGTTATGTTATGTTATGTTATGTTATGTTATGTTATGTTATGTTATGTCATTTTATGTTATCGACGCTGTCCTAAAACCTTGTGCCTTGTTCTGATTAGATGATCCCCTAAGGAGACCCCAGACTTACACCATTTTATATAAATCTATCAGCCCTTCATTTGCTACGATAATTTTATTCAGGTTTATATACTGCATTTTCACGTTGCCATCGACTTTCAATTCAAATCAAGGACGCACCAAGAAATGTGGTTGGTTGGTAAGAATGCTTTTCTTCCGATTTCTTTCCTAAATGAATTGTTGTTCTATTTTTTAAAAATGTTGACATGGCATGCATGTGTTGAAAAATAATTTATATACGGGGCCTTGGGTCCTATGCTGCTGTGGTGACGAGAATTAATCTGCGCCTGCGCATTGCTATGCAGTAATTTGAGAGCGTCTATAAAGCACATTGTTTCATCTTGCAAATTATCGAGCACTTTTACCAGTCCTGACGTCTATTGTAGGTAAGAAATCTATTGAAGTTGAAAATGGCAGTAAATATTGCTGGACTTATTGCCGTCATTGTTTTCTATATAATTATATTCGTCATCGGAATAGTAGCGGCGAAAGTCCAGTCGAAAAAGACCCGTGGAACTGTGCGGGAAGATGAGGACGTTATGTTGGCAGGACGAAACCTCGGCTGGTTTGTCGGCTGTTTTACTATGACAGGTACTCATACTCAACACCATCCTTACACTGTTATTTATTTAATAAAGAATGAATTTTGAATTTCAGATGTTAATAAGGCAAACTTCAGTGTATTATGTTGCCTTTCTGTCTAAGTTGTTGACGCAGTTGGTTCGTTTTGTCAGACTCCAGCTTTAACCAGGAACAGAAAGTATCTCTTTCTTAATTATGGCTTCTTCTTTACGCCAAACCATATAATTTAGTGACTCTAATCTTCGTCAAATCCAGCCTTAGGAAGATCATTTCCACTGAAATGCGAAGTCGCGACATTGGGAATGGACTTAATCCCGGGTTACACCTTGCGAAGTTTCATCAACGAAGGGAAGCTCTCCTTGTTTCAACAATTTTTGCTTGTCAAGCGGCTTTAAATTTGTCTCATCTTCGGGGCTGCTTTGGTGGATATTCCCTAGTCTAGATTTCGTCGATTTTCGGTGTGGGAAAAATAAGGAACATTTATCAAAAGTACCTGCTGGCCAGAAAGTTATTGTGAAACTGTTGCCGCGCCAGGAAAACAATGAATAAAAAAATTCCAAAAACAACGTTTTTAACTCATTTACATGAAAATTATGGCGCGCGTGATGAACAAAATATAGTTTGAATTTGCCATTAAAGTTTGTGTCCGTGAACCGAAAGTGTTACATCATCATAAGCACATGCGAATATTTGCCTACTCAACGACATATGAAAATTACCCTTGATCGTGCTAAGTAAACTTATAAAGTCGGTTATGATAAAAAGTCAATCTTATAACTGAGTGGCACTATAGTATTATCGATTTCACCCTCTTGAGCGACAAAGAAAGCCAGTCGGTCGCTAGGTGGGGTCACGGGATCTTAATTTATATGCACTGAAGCAACCCAACTTCCCCGTAAACAGTTTTCGACGAAGTCCTTTTAAACGGACGGTTTGCTTGTCTAGATGTCTGCAAGTTTTATACATAGGTTGGAATTAAATTTCTTCATTCTATCTGAAACGTTAGAAATTCAGCTAACAGTTAACTTAATCTTTGTGTGTCTGGTTTAACGCGTCTTCCAGACGTGGCGTTTCCATCTGGCTCAGTTGGATGGTTATCATTTCTGGAAAATGATAATTGTATTTGTCTGCCAGAGAACCAGAGAACGAGAGATGCTTAAAATGGATTATGATAAGTAGAAACTATTATCAGTTCAAATGAAAACGAAAATACCACTAACATCTAGTCCACTACAATGATTCTTGTATTAGAAACAAGCTCACAAAAATTTTACTTTGTATTTTAGACGTTTTCTTATAAAAGAAGCCAGTTGACATGATTTTTTCGAAGCAAAACCTAATGAATTTGATGAATGGGCGGTCCTAAATAATATCCACTTGTGTGATTCACTTTCGGTTCGTGAGTTTCGCGTTCCGAGTTGCAATCGACAGGACATGCTTTCGCCAACTACACTCTTTTTTCATAAAAACCTGTAAATTCAAGTTCAGGCTGACTGTTCTTAATTTTTCGAAAATCTGAGGCTGGATGGTTCTTAATTTTTTCTTAAATTTATGTAGTATAAGCAGTGCTATTGCTAGCTTTTCACTCTAGGGAGGTATTCAAGCCTCATTTGCCAACAATGTGAGTAAGACAATCTTCATTTGCCGACACGTTTTAATAATTACCGAAAAGGCACCTCAACAAGGCCAAAATCCTCGTTTTTTAATTTAACGTTGTTCAAAATTACATTTTCAGCAGTTCAGCCTCTGCTTTTCTCAATTTGTACTTTACTTTTGACCAGTTTGAGGCTCGTGTTCTTATAAAATTGTTCTTATAAAAAAGTCTGTAAAAGCAAAGATTTTCTACTCTTCAAAACAAGAGTTTCATAGTAGCATTTGTCGCGTTACTTTTCTTACTTGGGGGAGACTTTATCTTAAAATCTGTGACACAACAAAGCTGTCCCAAGCTTGATGCGAAGAAAACCAATGGCCTACAAATTTAAACTTAGCAAAATATTTTCATTCATTTTTAAACATATTTAAATATGCATGTAAAATCCTATACATTTTCCATAAACTTTTCAACTCTCATCTTCATGAGATGACTGAATTATAGATTTAAATATACTTTAATATATAAATATACTTAAATATACAAAAATTCAAGATTTAAGAAAAATTTGCGAAAGTAGATAGACAAAAGCTGTCTTTTAACCTATATTCTCTTATCCTTCGGGTTTTGAACATTAAAAGATATTTTACAAGTAAAATTGGCTGTCAAATCGCAAAACTTTAAGAAACCCAGTTTACTAACCTGTGCAAATCACATAGAGATTGCAAATCAGGACACGGTTTCTTTAAAATATATACAAATATACGCACGTACTTACGGTTTCAAACAACTGTTTATTTGAAAAGGGATCTGATTCATCTAAGAGTCGAATTACCCTTGCCTACATTAATAGGTGCTCTCCTAATTTCAAAAAAGCGACAGGCGTTTTTCTTGGAGAACGTAGCTAAGGGCCTAATTCCAAATGCCAGGAATGTAAATTTACAAATATTTTTGGGAGGGTGAAGGCGTACGGAGTGAGTTCAGGGGGGGGGGCTGAATTTTTTTGCCCGAAAAATAATAACGCCCAAATTTTTAAGGAGTATACTTTAACACGTGTGAGCATCTAATATTTTTCAAGAAATGGTTAAAATGCAGCGTAATTAAAATAATGTTAACCAATAAGCATTGTTAAAACTTCACACATTTTCATTAAAATAACCGATCCTCTTTCATGACAGCGACCAAATATATCGATTATTTTATCGATATCTTTTTGTGAACATGACTTGCATCTTTTTGAATGATTCACACACTTTTTTGCCTACCTGCCTATTCTTGTGATTATTGAACAGTTTGTGTTCCATTTCAAGGATGTCAGAAACTCAGAATCTATTTTGTAGAAGTAGCAAACCTTTATGATGATTTCTGTTGAATTGTTAGCATTCACGCTTGCATTCCCTTATCACGGCCAATGGCGTAACACAGTTTATGGCACCTTGATTTAGCGTTTTTCAACTTTTTCTACAGCATTTTATTTGCTGATAGTTATTAATTTTTTTAAACCAATTAAGTAAAATTGGAGAATTTTCTACGGCACACCAGATTTTTTCATCTCAGAGATTCTTAAACATGTTCAAAATGTAGTTCTTCTTATACTTTTTGTTTTTGGAGAGGGCTCCTGCCAGAATTTTTCCCGAAAAGAATCAGCTGCCCGAATCTAGGGGAGCTGAAGCCCCCCAGCCCCCCGTCCCGTACGCCTTGGGTCAAGGGTTCGAATTTTCTGGCTGACAATAAGCCAATTGTGACTGTACTATCATTCCAATAAGCCTATATTTACAGAACACTGGCATTACACGGTTCGGTCATTCTGAATTGAGAAAATATTTGGAATTAGCATTATGTTATGTCATTCCCTGACGCAACTAAGCATAGGAAGTACGGCTTAGATTTTCCGATTACTCAAAAATCTCCAAATAATTCAAAGAATTTGAAAGATTAGGGAGTTGTGACATAACCAGAGGGGGCAGAAAATACCGAGGAGCAATTCACTCTTGCAAATAGCTTACGGTATTTTCTCCCTATGCCTTTGTCATTTTAGAAATTTGTCTGTGACTAGATATCCTTGCCTTTGTCATTTTGGAAATTTGTCTGTGACTAGATATCCTATGATCAATAAAAAGGGCATCGAAACAAAGAAAAATGCTATAAAATTTCCGACAAGTTTTTCAAGTTAAGTGCGACAAAATGTAATTTGATGTTTTCAAGCCAAAATGCTGGTTGTGGTAGCTAAAAATTTCCTAAGGATTACCCCCCCCCCAAACCTCTCCCATGCCTCGGTTCTCGGCTCGCTTTCATCACCTACCTTTTTCATGTCTGTAAAAGTCTGCCCCCATTTGCCCCGCCATTTGCCTTGTCATACTTCCGGCATCTCTGGTTTGAACTGCAATCGAATGGAACCGGCGTTCTAATTCAAAAATGGAAAATTTCCTTAATTTAGTAGAATTTAGTAGCAATGCTCGTTAACTATTATCGTTACCTGGTTGTCCCATCTCTATGAAATTCGGCGCTTTTTCAGGGAGAACAATTTTAACTTTGAGGCAATTTTAGGCGTCCGTGTTACCGACGCCATTCTTTTGTTCAACCTTTACGTGTAAGTTGAATGGGCAGGAAATCGCGGTTTAGCTTACCAGTAAATTACCAGTGGCAACTATTACAATGTTATTCATTTTTCATGAGATGATTTGCTCTTGAACATGGGCTTTTTTGTTTCTTTTTCATTAGTCAAATGGAAGTAATCATGCAGAAATAGGGTCATTTCCAGTAACTGGTCATTGTTATCGTATAAACTCAGGTTGTTATATTGGAAACCAAGTTTTATTTTTATTCCATTGTTATACTCCTGTTTCTTAATCACAAGGCTTTGGGACATTTCAATACTCATTATTGTTTCTGAAAGGTTTCTTGAATATTAATTCATTATGTTCAACCTTCTGGTTCCTATTTTAAACTATTTTGTAAATAAAAAAGAAACATTTGGTATAGCCAATGAACCCAAACAAGAGCCTGTAAACAGTCAAGAAGATGATCCCTGCTTAACAATTGTAAAATGGTATCAGTAATACTCTGATATCTTAAAAGGCAATCGACTGATATAAACATGGCTAAAGGCATTTGTCAATCAATTTTAGCCAATCAGTAAGCGTGTAAGTGGAGTTAAACTCGCCGATTGGTCCATTGTTTCATTGAAAGATGGCTCAAGCCCCGTTAGTATCTGTCGATTGCCTTTAAGATAGAGTCAACAATAGAAAGCACCAGAAAAGTTTTCTTTAGGAAGATCACAGTCGAAGAAATGCTTAAAAAGTTACAAAACTTAGGTTCTAAGAGGGGTTTCCCACAGGAAGCAATCCCTGAGAAGATACTAAGGTCTATCGCAGATCTATTTTGTTTTCCTCTTACGAAGCTGCTTTATTTTAGAAAGCTGATTCCAAGATGTCTGGAAAATTCTGAATGCTTTTCTTCACAATTATAAGTATGTTTTAGACAAAGCTGCAACACACAGCATGTATTCTTTAACTTTATACAATATTGTAAGAATACTATTGACAGCAAGGGACTAGCAAGAAAAGTGTTCATGGCTCCTCACGAAGGCTTTCAATTGTGTAAGCCATGATATTTTGATAGAAAAACTGAGAGCTAATCAATGGTGTAGTGCTAGGAGACACTGGGGGTAATATTTGTAACAATGCTGGTGATACCACAATCTTTACATGCCACCCTGGTTCGGATACCATGTTTTGTGTATAGCCATTTTACAATACTGCTGCATTGATTACTATGTTTCAGGGGAATATTTTGGTGCAATGTTTTTGAGCTTTTTTGGAGTATTTTCATGATATTTCAACCTTTGGTCTCGGTAATTCAAAACGAAATTCAGGAAACTGTTGTCTGTCAAGGCACATTTTTATCTCTTATGAGCAGCCCAGGAAGTCTTGTTATGTTGTTTGAAAGGGCCTAATCATGTGATCACAAATTATACGTTCTCTCCCTTGGCCTCGTGCTCTACAACTAACTAAGTACTGTTAGGTCATAATATGTTAATTTATTTAAAACAATGCAAGTTTCTCGTTCTTGGTGTCTCGAAGCCTTTTTTATTTCACTGTTGAACACTGAAGTCCCTAATTTGTAACACTAGTGGAAAATCTTCCCTATTCACCTGATGTTTAATTGCAACATGTTTAGCTCTATCATTCAATCGTACAGCCACAGCCACTTTCAGTTAAAGCGTTGTTCACAAACTATATTAGCATCGAACAAGGCTCACTGGATGAAATTTGTAGTAAGATTGGGGCTTGGAGAGCAATTCATTTTCATTGCATAATATGGGTCTCAAGGCCCAGAACTGGTTGTAAGTCTGGTGAAGTTTTCACAAAATCTGCCAAGCAATTCATATGTTTGGCTATGTACCTTGCTTGTAGACCCTGAGAAATTTCAATTTGGCAGGTTCATTCTAAAACACTGGCCGTAATTACAAGCTTTGGTGAAAAGAGATGGGGCATTCTGTTTATTTCAATAAGCCTAGAGTTTAAGTATTGCCTTTGCCTATGGTGGTTTTGATGAAAGTCCATATGAGGATTCTTTTCTAAAGAACCTCACATTGTTTGAAGAGTAAATTATCGTCATAGTACGACTGCGCAACAATTTCACAGATAGGTTCCTTTTCAGCAAATATGCTTACTTCATTACTTCGATATCATGTATTTCGTAACATAAGATTTGGTATGGTTTTTGAAATAAGTTAAATAATGAGTGTGGTTTCATTCTTTTGGCTGCCATGGTGCTACCATTTTTGATATTTTTTCATTTTACTGTCTCTTCTGAAATACATACCCAAGTGTACACTACAAGAACAGCGGTATCGAAAGTTGCTATTGTTGTCCACTATATGCAAAATTAGCGTTACCGAGGTGTCCGCAAATTTACGGGTGCTAATGGACCGCTCCAGCCAAAAGCCCATTTTGGTTTACTTAAATATAGTTTCTTTCTGAATGCAACATTTGAAAACCACTATTTTGAAAATATCAGTTAATTGTAAAGTTTTGATGAGTTGTCCGTTTCCGAGAGAAAATGTCCAGAAAAAGGGAATTAATTCGGTAACTCTGTGTCGTCACAATGCTCTGTCCTATTTTCTCAAAGATTTGCTTTCTTGCTAGCTGAAAAATTTAGAAGAAACGTCAAGAAACAATAACTGCGGTTAAATCCACATAGAAGCTTTTTAATTTAAAAAAATAATACGAATACTTTTATTATAAGCCTGTCAGTTTAATTTTGTTGTGATTATGACCAATTGAGCCGCACGTTGACTGGGCTATGCCTTCCATTTCTTCTCTCAAATAATTTTTCTGGTTTGAACTAATGGGGATTTTCGGCACATCGAAACCGGTATTTGCAAAAAATCGGACTTTCAGTTCAAGTTTGTTAAAATCTAAGGAAATCTCTACTGAAATCGTGTTATGTACGAAATGAGAGACAAATGGAATAAATGATTGTTTTATTAAGCATGTTGGCTGCTTTTGAAGATGTCCGGAAAACTATCATTAAAAGAAGAAAACAGAATTTGAATTAATCAACTAGACGCTACTTTTCTGAAACAATCTATAGCAAATGTATATGTATCTTTTTAGCTACATGGGTCGGCGGAGGCTACATCAATGGAACAGCGGAGCTGGTTTACAACAGTGGAGTTGTCTGGGCACAGGCACCTTGGGGGTATGCTTTAAGCTTAACATTGGGTAAGTCGGCGGACATTTTGTATTTTGAATTGAATTATTGGAAGAAGAAAAGGAGTTTGAATCTGAAAGAGCTGCTCCTTTTAGTATTATAGAGCCCAGTAATGGATTACGAAAGTTAGGCAAACCCTCAAAATTGCCCCTTTTGTTTTTTTTATAAAAATGGGAATGCAAAAACGTTTCGTCTGTTTGGTAGAAAATGTTGCGCGGCATAAGAAAGGAATCTTAAATGCTGACCCAAATCCTAAATGCTGACCCAATTCCGAAATGCAGAGAATTATGATAAGCGGATTTCAGCGTTTCTTATTTTAACTATTGGAGAAACCAATCACAACATCTACTGAAAACTACTAAAAATTTGCGATTATGGCCTAAAAATACCTTCAACGTTTCAACTGTTTGGCGAATGATTGTTAAAAAACAAGCTAGTTACGTCAACTAGTTACCAGTCCCTTTTATAAAATCTTCATGGAATGCCTTGCATTATCATAGTCGTGTCCAACCAATGCGCGCAGTTTAGCTTCATATCTCCTGCCTTGAAGAATTAACCTTTCATCTTCGCATCCCTGTAGTGAAATAAGATTGACGCATTTCATCTCTGCATCCCAATTATCAAATTCTTATAAGGCTCTCCATCTCCGCACCCTCATTATCAGATAATGTTAATTTGCCTAGCATATAGTTTTTGCTTAGTCAACAGCACTGGTTTTTCTAACGTTTTCCTAGGGTGTGTGTCCTCGTACGCTAACCCACAATGACTAGTAGTGTTCTTTGTAGATCTGCTCCAACCTCGGTTCCATGACAAGCAGATCTCATCTCAGCTGAATCGTTCAACGTGCTGATGGTGGATCGTTGCGACTTCAGCCAGGTTATTCTTAAATGGATTTTTTTTTCGTTTGCAAAAACAGTAAGATGACGCTGAAACTTAGCCAAGCTAAGTCCACAAAATAGCCGCAATAGACTCGATGGATTAAAATGTTTTAAAGAACAATGACGAATAACCTCTATTTGCGCCAAAGAAATAAGAAACCCTTTCACGAGGGTATCATTTTTCATCGTTAATACCAACGCTTTCTAAGCTGGATTCAACACTTGTAGAGATCGCATTTCCTATTATCTCTCTCCCTCTCTCACTCTCTCGTCTCTCTTCGTTTTCTTCAACACTGCTTTCCAAACAGAACTTTTTCGAAAATTCTATCTTTTATCTCTGTAAGTTTGGTGAACTCATACAAATCCTTACATACATGTCTTTCGTATGTGACCTTGTTTGTATTCTCCCTAATTCTTCTGTGACACCCAGTGATTTTATTTGCTTTTTTATGTTTAATACCGGTATTGTATAATGCCATATTCTCCTAAATTTATCTCTCCTTTCTTTCTGTTAACTTATAGTTCTCCCTTTCGTTGTTACCCTTCTATGTTGTTTGTGTACCCACCTTTCTACTTATTGTCTCTTCTTCCTCTTTGAAACTTTCTTCGCTTACTACTGTTGGCATCTCTTCTTCAAACTGTTTGTTTTGCATTCACATTTTGAACTGCATTCACAGTTTAGGGCGTGGCAAAAGGGGTGCGCAGTCAAAACAGTATTAAATAAAACCAGAAACCACTGTCTATGCCATAACATGTACAGCAAGGCTTTAAAGCTAAAAAGAGTTCAATATATGCTCAAAGAAACACAAATGTAAATATTCAATGTAAAAATTCTCCCATTTAAAGACTAGTCGTTTATAAAGTTTCATCAACACAGAGATAACAAGCTTGTTTCATGAATTAAACAAATTATTCCACGTTTAATAATTCATGAACTTGTAGCCAACATTATTGCAAGAACCACTATCCAAAATTAGCGTTTTGGTGTGGTTTACAACTGCACAGATCTTGGTTGCGCACTCTTTGCCACACATTTTGGTCTTGCCTGATCTTAGCCACCAATAGCATTCTCTCTATGAATTGAATAATTATGTTTTGAAGTAGACAACCAAACGTCACTACACCTGCGGCTCCAAATCTTCGCAAGGTAGGTAGGTATTAGAAAACAATTATGTTCCCTAACTGATGCCTATATAGCACACTGTAAAATCCAAATGTAAATACATTTAAACAATCTTCATATTTTGCGTAAAATAGAGATAAAGATTTTATCAAAATCTAAAATACTGAGGAATTTCCTTGAATCTTCTTGATAGTATAAATACTGAGGAATTTTCGACTTTTATCTTATATAAAACTGCTTTAGGCCCATTATATTTAAACATATAAACATTTATACTACAATACTAAAAAAGCACTGAGTGCAGTTTATCGTAAAGCCCATTTTTAAACTGCTCTAATAATAATGGTACTCTGAGGTTGGGAATAAATGGGAGGAAGAAGGCTCAAACAAACGGGGGGGTCGAAATAAACGGAGGAGGGGGAGGGAGAGGGAAAGGGAAAGGGAGAGGGAGAGGGAGAGGGAGAGGGACAGGGAGAGGGGGTGGTAAGATAAAGAGTGGGGTTCTTCAAAAAAAACTTGAAAAATAAACCGCGAGAAGGAGTGTTTATTCGCGACCTCAGAGTATGTATCAAGTTGTAAACTATAGTACGCAAAACTCATTCAATTCTTTAGGCTGCATGGGACTTGGCCTTTTTTCAAAATTCTTTTAAGCAAAGTGCTCGCTAATTTCTTTATCTCCACAGGAATATTTTGTAGTGTATTTCTAGAGGTTTGTTTCGATTTTTAACATTAAAATACCTATTTTTTGTTTTCTATACACAATTTTATACACTCCGTTAGGCAATCTTAAGTTTATGTTAAATTAACAAACTGCCTTAGTCTAAGCGCCGTTAAAAATTCCGAATATTTTGAAAAATTTCATTTGGATCTTCCTCCTGCTTATTTTTCTGATACCTATTTTTCTGTTATAGTATCATCAAAATCCCTCTCTTTCCAACTTTAAGTTGTTCTATTATTCTTTAAGCCCCATAACGAGATCAATCACACATAGGTTAACTAGAAATAACCAGGCTATACTATAAAATCTCCAAAGAGCCACCATCAAAATACTACAGAACATAACTCCCAAATTCTCCGGATATCTTGTCGCTCTGACCTATTGAAAGCTTTGCTTTCAAAACGGAATTCATTAGTTTCTCATTTGCATATTTTTAAAGTAATATTATTTTTCTACGGATTTTTATGTAACTAAAATAAATAAAGGGAATTAATTTATATACTGTTATGCCCTTTAAAAACCAAAGAAAGAAAGCGTTTGTCCAAATAGAGGAAAAATCTTAATCTTTAAAGCCCTCACTGTCCAGTTGATGAATATTTGGTTCCATTCAGCCGGTCTTCTTTGTTGCTCTACGCTACAGTCAAAACATTTCCTGAATATATTTGGCTTGTTATAGTGACCAAATGAAATCCACATGTTTGTTTATATTTGCTTTATTCCAGGTTATTATTTTCCTCTTGAAACCCCTGGGCAACTCTAGCTTTCTTATTGGCTTTCCCATAAAATTTATATCTGGAAAAATTGAAAATTGTGACGTTGTGTTATCAATCACCCTTCAAGGTTTTATGTATTATACTTTGTCATTTGCATTCTAGGCGGGATGTTTTTCGCAAAGATCATGCGCAAAAGGCGATACGTCACAATGCTCGACCCGCTGCAAGAAAAGTACGGTAATTGGATGGGAGGTGTTTTGTATATCCCAGCATTCCTCGGAGAGACCATGTGGAGTGCAGCCATTCTCGGTGCTCTAGGCTCCACTCTCAGTATAATTATTGACCTTGAAATCGACCTGGCAGTGATCTTGTCCGCCATTATTGCCATTGGCTACACATTCTTTGGAGGGCTCTACTCAGTCGCATACACAGACGTCATTCAATTGATCTGCATCTTCATTGGACTAGTGAGTTTTCATGCTTAACCAATTTTCGTGCATGTGAGGTCGACAGCTGTTGCCCGTTGCCCCCCCCCCTCTGCTCCCTTTTTCGGCATCTTTCTGCTGAAAATTTTGACGTTTTCTCTGTTGAACAACAAATCATATTCATACTTTCAAGATGTCGGTTTCATGCTTAATTCGTTCGGGTATTTCTTGTTTGCTTGTTCCGATATTTCTTGTCAAATAAAGAATGTAAGCTGTGATTGGATGTTGGATAAAACGTATTAGATCATGAATAAAAATGATCTACTCGGAAATCTGGTCTGACACCTTTTTTGTTTCGGCCATTAAATGGTGAATTTTATGTTAAAAAGGGTCACCATTAGTAGTACTTCTCTATGACTGAGAACATTTTAGAATTCTTTAAATCATTTGCAACGCATTAGCAGCTCTTTCTCCTCAATAGCAGAAATAGATACTTAGACAAACTGGTTTTATGTTCTCTCTTTTACATGGTTTTTTGTCCTGTCTCCTGTGATGATTTAAGATAATCATTTTAATTGTATCGGTTCAGGTTTAACTTGATGATCTCTTCCACACTTGGTATTGGAAAAAATGTGTCTAGCCGCTGGTGTCTTGATAATATGTTGAGTTAACACTTTCTATTATTTTTTAATGTTGCATTTCTTTTACAGTGGCTTACAATTCCATTCGCCATGAGCAACCCCAACGTTAAGAGCATCACATCAACCAAGGATGAATGGCTCGGAACTTTCGATGTAGAAAGAACTGGCGAATGGATGGACTATGCTATGCACTTGGTAAGGTCCTTTCCCCTTTTATGGCGCTTTTAGAATTTAGCTTAGTCAGTGTTCTTGTCTCTAATCTAATATCCAGATCGTGACCAACCATAATCGTTAATAACAAAATGATAATAATTTTTTTATCTTAGATGCCAAAGTTCTTTACATTCATAGTTACTCGATTTCACAATGAATCTTTTTCATCAGATCTTCCCTTTATGTTTGATACCCCCCAAGGACATAGATACTGTATTAACTTTATGGAAGCCGCCCTCGTTTACAGGGCTTTCATCATTAATAAGCTGCCCTCGTTTACAAACCGCCCTCGTTTATAAGCTGTCCTCGTTAATAAGCCACCTTCGGCGCTTCTATATCATTGGATTACTAGCAACGCTGAATGAAGCATTAACATCATCGGAATGAGGCTCAGAGATAAATCCTTCTTCAAGCATATTTGCTCCATTTAAGAAGCGGCAAACCTACAAAGTTTCTTTAGTAGACGATATTATCTATCAAAAGAGCCTTTTCGACGTATTTATCAATTGAGAAAACCTATTGAAATTATTTGAAATTATATAAAACCAGACGACGAAGCATATAAATTTTGAATCCAGAAATTTAACGTGATCACTTGACGTGATGTGCTGGCAACGCATGAGTTCAGAAATTAACCGCTGACATTAGAAGCAGCATGATCAACTTTGACGCAAACACATCCAGATCTTTGACATCTGTGAATACGTGGAATTTGGGTTGTTTTATTGTTAATTTTTCTTTACACCGCATCGCTAAGGAAGAACTGAAGAGACTCTTTAAAGCTTAAAGATATGAGGAATAGAGCAATTTGATACTTTTAGTATTCAATTATATTTTTTATGAGAAGAAAATCTATTTCATCAATTGATCCTGTTCAGAAGAAAGTGACCGAAGAAAAAGCTGCATTATGTATATTTATATTGTAAAAGCTCAACTTCAATGGAGAATTTGGTTTTGTCTGTTGAATTAGCTTAATAATAAGTAAACAAGCTGTTTCAATTACGTTATTTTTTATTTTGATTCCTAATGTAAGAAAACTCGCCACCAAACTAGGTCATTTCCTCATGCAGCTCAGCTTGTCTGTTTTTACATAAAGCATTTAAACTAACCTTTATACTCGTGAATTAAGAATTGTCAAAAGTCGTTTCAACTAGCTACGCCATACAAAAGCCTTTCGCGAAAAATTTGCATCAAGTTAAACACGCAGTGAATGAATCTTATTTGTCCCCAAAACGGCGAGTTTCTGAAAAAGGAATAAGTTATTGCAATGGAATCTCTATACAACAGCACATTAATGTTGTAATTCTAGAATGTATGGGTGTATTGGATGAGCGAATCATGTATTATGATTGGAGTTAAGGTTAGTGGACATAAGCAATGAAAATTACCAATCAATCAACATTACCATGAAAATTAAAAAGCATGAAGATTTCCCCGGTTAAGTATTATACTATGTATCAACGGTTTCAACTGTACGATATTGCAAAGTGATATTGTAGGGTTGACACCCCTTTCTCCCGTATGTAATGTGTGTGACTATCCCTACCCCTTGCAGCTTCAGAAAACAGTGTGATTTAACTTATCTTGGATGTCTTATATTAACCTCTTCAGTTTCGGCTATGTCACTGAGCTGCGTTGCTGAAGAATGTAGCTTCCTCGACTTTCGTTCAGGACCCACCCACTCTGGGAACTTCCTTACACATATTCTTACAACGGACATAATTGCTAATCGTGCTCTTTCCACAGGTATGCGGAGGTCTGCCATGGCAGGTCTATTTTCAAAGAGTTTTGTCTGCAAAGAAAACCTCATATGCACAGGGACTATCGTTTTTTGCCTCATTTGGTGCAATGTTTATGGCAGTTCCCGCGGTAATCATCGGTGCTATTGCTAAGTCCACAGGTTAGTTTAATTGCTTGTAGAGCTTCGTCAATTCCAGATGCCTTAATCAGGTTGCGAAAGATAAGATTACAATTATTTGGTGATGTCACTCAGGGCCGTCGCTAACTATTGTGCTTAATTGGGGGGTTGGGGGTGGGGGGCTCAAGTAATCAAACAAATTTCAAAACAATAATTTGGGTCAAGCGCTGCTGCAAAACTTCCTACAATTGCTTCGTTTTATTGACCGTGTTTTAACTCACAATGCTTGCGTGAAATGGTTGGAAACCTAGGATTTTTCATGGGCTATCGTTTCTTATCGTCTCATTACACTTTCACAAATTTATGAACCCTCTGTTTAAATTCTATAATCAGCTATTCAGAAAAGCTGCGGTGAAGTTCTAAGCCGATGCAGGCATCAGTTAAATCTGGTTGCACATTAATTGAACTCAAATCATTATCTTTGCTTTTCCTCAAATTAATTGCAATCTGACAAGTCACTCGCTTTTTGTTGTAAAGTAAGGTTTTGCGCCATAATGATACTGTGCAGCGGCGTGTGCAGCGGCGTGTGCAGCAAATTAGGACGCAGCACGTTAGCTCTAGCCTGTGCTCCAGACCCCTAACTTGAAAGTAGAGGTCTGGAACACAGGCTTGCTAGCTCTAGAATCAGAATCATAGAGAGATTGGAACACGCGGTGATTAAATAGGGTGATTTTTGGTAGTGAATAAGAATTAAAGTTTTTGTTGAAACAATATGGTGTTGTCTCTCTCTGAATCCTGCATAGCCCGGTCCACGGAAAAAAGTGTATAACACTTTAAGGCCCCGTTTACACGGGAACGGATCCGCATAGATCCGTACCAAAATTGGCTACGATAGGCCTTGCGTTTACACGGGCACGCTAGGATCCGTATCTTTTCTGGGAGAGATCCGTACCTTTTTGGGAACGATTCGAAAGCGAATCCATTTGGATCCGTACCTTCATCGGCGCCGTGTAAACGGGAAGATACGGACCCGCAAAGGCACGGCAGTAAAACTAGACTGCTGCTGGGGTCAATGGAGGCTATTTCAATTGTACGCAGCACTCATCATATAACAAAGAAACTTCTCTCCCACCCCCACTCTTTTCCACAGTCGACAGCCTTTCTGAACCCTGTCTTCATCTTGTTTATTTTCTTTTCACCTTTTTTAATTTTTTCTTTATCCTAGCTATTTGGAAAGTCCTCTGTTGCTGTTTCTGGATAGGTCTCGATAAATTTAAGTAGAATGTCTTCGTATTTCGACAAAATAGTCCCCCAGTCTTCTCCATTTTGCATTTTGGCAGCATTGTAATCCATAACTACTTTCATCAACAAAGCTGTCTCCTCGTCTGTCAATGTAAAAATGAACGCTTATCGTTGCTTGCGAATGACGCCATCTTAGATACTCTCCCGCCAAAATTAATAATTACCTTGTCATTGCGCATGCAAAAAAGGGATTCGATTTTGGTCCGTTCCCGTGTAAACGCTTTATAATTTAGGATCCGATCTCGTGTAAACGCTTGTGGATCGTACCCATATCGTACCTAAAAGGTCCGGATCTTTTGGATCTGTTCCTTTTTCTCTCGTGTAAACGGGGCCTAAAAGCTCTAAGCAGCTCTTTGCCAGCAACCTTTGATACAGCAAGCTTGATACAAAATTGCGTCTTCAAACTCCACCGACTTTCCAACCCACAAAAAGTACTTTTGACCTGACAATGCTGAAAACAGAGACCAGCTTTTGCTGCAACGGTCAAAATTTGTTTTGGGACTATTAATGTAGTAGTAAAATTGCGATCTGGGTGTAGATTTTCGTTTATTGTGCCCATAATGCTTCTTGTGAAAGCTATTTATTAACCTTTAATCTTTTATTAAATAAACTTCGATGCTTATATCTTATATGATTTAGATTAAGCTTTCTTTTATCTCAGACATACTACAGATGTATTCAAAATTTTAAAGTTATTGTGAACCTTATTTTTACAATCCTCACGTAATGGCTGCAGGGAGAGAGGAGCAAACATAAGTCCAGGGTTTGGGCATACATACGTTAGTTTCCAATTCAATTTTTTTCAAAGTGTACCCGTTCAACCAAATTTACACCCTCGCTTGATGTTCCGCCCTTCTATTTGAGTTGTTTTACGTAATGCATACCCCGATGCGTACTAAAGTTGTTTTTACTTTTTCATGATCAGATTGGCAAAACATTGACATGCCAGCAAGCATGAAAACAATCGATGCCAATAACGTGACAGTGATTGCCGACACAAGAATAGTCTTGCCAGTCGTTTTGCAGTATTTGACTCCAACCTGGGTGTCCATTTTTGGAATGGGAGCGATCTCTGCAGCCGTGATGTCATCAGCGGATTCTTCAATCCTCAGTGCCAGTTCAATGTTCGCCCATAACATTTACAAACTCATTCTGCGACCTAAGGTTTGCCTAAGATTTTTCTCTACTTGTTCGAGTTACTTTGTACCTCACAAACCAAGCCATGCAAGTCAGAAACTTTTAATGTAACTAGGTGGTATTGATATAACAAATTGTGACTTATGAAAATATTATCCAGGTGATTCGTTCTTCTAATGAATGTATTGTACAAAATTCCCCACAAATGCGAAATTCCCTCAGTTTTTCAGCTAATGAAATGGGTTATATGATATCATTGTAATATCCAGGAATATTGAGACAGTTTTACGATCTAAAAGTGGTTACCATTATGTTAGAATTTTGTTTTATTCAAACGTCTTGTGTTTTTCTCACAAAAATTCAGCCTCTTGGCGTTATGTAGTTTCTAACGGACACAGATTCTCAGACCTTAGCAACAACTATTATCTGATAAACCAAAAATACTCGCTCTTTATTACAAAGTTCCTCATTTTCCTAAAAGATTTATACTCGAAATAAATAATGGTCCTCTTCAAGTTTTATTTTGCAATCTTTGATAACTACAGCAGGTTGATTCACGATCTTCAGGTTTTCCATCCTAGCTCCCTCATCTGATGTATACGTATAAAACAAATGGAGTTTAGAATAATATTTTAAAGCTCGTTTGGAAATATTTCAGGCATCTGAGAGAGAGCTCATCTGGGTTGTTCGAATCGGAATTCTGGGTGTCGGTGCAGTTGCAACGACCATGGCACTTACAATCAAAAGTATCTACTACTTGTTCGTGCTTTGTTCAGATCTTGTGTTCGTCTTGCTTTTCCCGCAATTGGTTTCCGCATTGTACATTCCATTTTCCAACGTTTACGGTTCCATATCAGCTTATATTGTTGGTCTTTTCTTTCGCCTTGGCGGGGGAGAGCAGCTCATCAGCCTCGCACCATTGATCGTGTACCCCATGTACCAAGAGGATTCACTCAAACAGCTCTTTCCATACCGCACTCTTGCTATGGTTCTTTCCTGGATAACTCTCATCGTCGTCTCATATACAACAAAACAATTGTTTGAAAGGCAAATTATATCAACGAAATATGATTTTCTGAAGGCATTTGGTAAGAATGAAGATCCTTTGGAGAAATACGAATTGAAAGGTGTAGAAGGCATTGAGAACAACCACGTTGCATGATTTTTAAGAACGCAAGATGCCTTCATGAATACTGATATGTCTGTATCTTTGCACGCTTCTTTGTGTCATTATAGCTTAAGGGTACCTGTATTTACTTAGGGCTACTGAACTTGTAAAATTTTAACATATACCAGGAAACGTAAAACGAAAATTTGTTCGTGTCTCTTAGAGACTTAGCGAACAACTCTAACTTCACACTTGCCTGCATAGGCTCCTTTGACATCAGAACATAGGCTTTAATTGCTATTTGTGCTTTAAGAACCATTAAAAGAAGAAGCGACGTGATTTCCCTGCCCAAGTGCTCTTGTCGAAATTTTGGAGGTTATGTAAGCTTTCCCACTAATTTAATTTCAAGCCATGTGTATCATGCTAATAGTTTTCAGGCATACTAAGTGTTTATCTTCTGATTGATAAAATATTCTTTATAGTTCTTCTTATTTCCTGAATTTTTCGTAATGATTGTTAATGTTTATAGCTTTATCATAGCAACATAAAAAAGCTAGATATCACAGAGGGATGTTGTTCTATTGATTGCAGGGGTTTTTCGCAAAAACAGAAGATTTTTAACCAGTTTGAATTCTCTTGGGCCTTCTCTTACATAGCACTACATCCCAAAGAGTGTTCGATATTGTTGTCCTGTTATTATTATCATTATTATTATTATTATGTCCAACTGAACAGTATAATAAATGTAACATGAAGTAATTTTAATAAATATGTTTTTCTGTTGAAAGATAATTTTTTAAGCGCTGTTTGGCTTTCTTTGGTGTCCACATGAATTGAACCCTTCTGAAAATTTCTGTTATCATGAATGTTAGCTTTTACATAAACAGACATAATCCCCACCTGGCCTGTCAAGTCCTCGATGGTGAAAGAGTTACTCTTGACGAAATTTTCAAGTCTGCCCTAACCAACCTTACCAACATTCTGGCTATACTTTCAAAACAATCAAGTCTTTAATTTCTCGACGTTTGCACTCTTATTCAATGATCTTATCACACGTGCATTGTGGGATTCAATCTAAGGTTATTTTCAAGGCCTAGTGCTTTGGGATTCCGAAAAGCACTGTCTCAAATTGCCAAGCGTGCAAATATATTTAAAGTTATTACCCATTTGAAAAAACATCCTCCTCAGTCCCCCTGAAATACAGAAAGCGACTTTATAAGTCAAAATCACAAGTTAAAGTTTATTTTAGCTTGTACTTTAATTACTATACCCCATTGCAACTTAGTTTTCTAGATAACATGTTTGATTAGTGATCTGTTTTTAATTTATGTTCTTATGATGAAGGAGTTGATTGGATTTAATTACAGAAAAATGATGAACATAGAAATTTGTGTTTTTTGGAAGAATGAATTCCTACGATTTGCTATTATTACCATTTAGTGTAACGGAGGAAGTCGGCAATAACTTCAAGAAGTTTAACTTTTGAATATGTTTTCAGGAAAATCATTTTCTTTTTTTTGATTGCAATGAATACATGCTCTGTAAGAGCATTGAACTCTTTACATGGCGGTCCCCCACGTCCAAGGCGTGGTGCCGGATCGAGCGAAATTGCTGCTTTATTTTCATGCAGCACGAAAGTAGGCCGGTTTTTAGAATATAATCGCAGAGCATGCCGGTTGTGCGCGAGCCTTTAAAATTTGCTCTAAGCAGAGAGGCCATGTTTCCACAACAGTTGACTGTTTTCTGAGCTCTGAATCTGAGCTCTGAATTATTAGGGGCTTTGCTCTAGCTGAAAGATTCCCGAAGAATTAGGGAACCTTTTTTAATCCTTGGCACCGTGCGGAGAGGCTCAGCACGCGCCTCCATCAATTGTTTGAGGGTGTGAATATCTAGAGAAATTATTATGGGATTCAAAGCTATTTTTAAACACTGAAATTGACTCACAAGCCAGTTAACATGTGGGTGTGGATAAAGGAGGGAATGTGAAGATTAACGAAAGTTGCGGGATATGAAACGGCTAATAGGCATTCAAAATGTAGTGCGAAAGTTTTTGTGATCATGTGTTAAAAACAAACCCACCATTGTTTCTTTCCAGCATCTCGTGACATTACCACAGGGCCCACGCCACAAAGTTTAACGTGGGGGGGGCAAGGCTATTTAATGTGGGGGATCAAGGCTTCTGTTAGAACACAGGGTTCCCATTCATTGCAGGACATCACATGACAATTGCATCATTGCGCTGCAATTGCATCAGCTTCTGTAAATTGTATTATTCTTAGGGTATGTAAGGGGTGGCTTTATAGTTAGGTTCAGTCTTGCCGTAAGCTTTGTCGAACTCAGTGTACCTTGTCGCTAGCTTGAAGAATTGTGTTTGCCGTTACATTGTCGTCGTTAGCCGTTTAAGATTTCTTTAGTCGTTTGCCGTGAACTGACGAATTAGAAGAAGTGTAAGAAATTAGCGAATTGGATAACAGTTTTTGCCGTATTTATCGTGTACGTTTCTGCGAACGACCTACGAACTCACATTTGTAAAACCCCCTTTTTAAGTGGTTTTACACTTCTTTCAACTTAAATTGCAGCTTTGAAATCACTTGCTTTGCAAAAAATGGGAGCCCGGCCCTGGTGGCATGAGCCCTGAACCACTAAGTTTTTCGTGATATGTTCTTTTTAATAAATTTTTCGTGAACCGTCAAAAGTCAATCCCCAGTTAAGGATGATTAATTCTGCGTGCTATACGCCTTAACTTGCTTGCTGCAAGACACCTCAAAGCAGTGTGACCAGATCTCAATTTTGGAATTATGCCAAATTTGTCATAAAATTATGCTAGATTTGCAAAAATTATGCTAAATTTCAAATCAAGGTAACCCTGCTTGAGAAAGAGGCTAGCGCATGCTCAGAATATCAAAAGTGGCCAGAGTTGCCATTTGACCTTTTTGACCACTCTTCTAAGACACAGTGTACTCAAATTGCCATCTTTTGAACACAAGAAGGCAATTTAGATCAATGGTTTTGAAATCCAAATTTCTCAACCCCTTTTCTCGTCATAAATTGATTTGGCCGAAAAAGCAGAAGTTGGCAGAATTCTGGCAGCATGTTGCAAAAAACCACAAAAAATGCAAAGGAAAATAAATTTTTGGCATAGATAATATTCAAATTTTTTTAGAATGATTTCAAAATTGCAAGAAAAGAAACATTAAACAAAGTGAAGGAAAACAGACAATGCAAGATAAAAGTAAGTGAAAGCTTTGTAAGCTACAAAGCAAATTTTGATTACACTATATCACTCTCCACAATTAGCAAATATTCAGCTTTTTTTGTGTACTGCATTTAGCTGGCTGAATTTTGCTGCCAACCATAAAATATTTGGCTGCCAACCGTTACAAACATCTGGCCAAACCCTGAAAGTGGAAAGTCACACATTCTGGTGTAAAGTGTTTGCATTTGGTATCGATAGACAACGGATCAATAGAAACAATGAATTTCTAAAAACTATCAAAATTATGCCAGAGTTATGCTAGATTCCTAATTATGCTTGATTTTATTCTAAATGACAATTTTTGGCCAATATTATGCTAAAAGCATTATATTATGCTAGATCTGGTCACACTGCCTCAAAGTGCCCGTGGCGACTGGCTGCAAATTGGTTTCATTACCATCCTTCTTGTCGTGGACAATTTTACTGCAAGTGTATAAGTTTTTGTATTAGGACCTGTGCAGTGAATGTAAATACAGATTATGGCTAAATCAGGGCAGGCCTATGAATTTATTCTGTTATAAATATCAAAACCTGGTGGTTTTCGAAGAATTCTTTTACGTCTATGTTATATCATATATGTCGTTTTGTTTATATCATATATGTCACATGACATTATATTGTAAGTTCCTTTTTTAAACTATTTGAAGTAATCAATATAATAGAAATGAAGATTCTTTTGGTATTATGACTTTGAGATGTTCGTTTCTAAAAAAGTAGCGGAACCTTCTCGGTTTTGAAAATATGAAAGGATTCTGTTCTGGCCTGTACTTTGGGACTGCCCCCCCCCCCAATTTTCATTTGCACAGCATAATAACTTTAGAAAGGTTCTGTTATGCACTTTGCACAAATGTCCAATCGTCATGTTTTGGGGTTTTTCTGCATTGGGCTTAGTTTGTTAGCCTCATCCATTCAGAAATTTCATTCAGTTTTTACTATCCACGTTGTATTTCTTTTCGTCATAAGTAGAATTAATCTCAGCATGCGATTTCAGATCTATGTAAACATTGTTAAAAGTCGTTGATAACTCAAATAAAGATCAACGTGCCCAGGCATGATCCTTGTGGAATTTCTTGGAATCTTTGCTGGGCACACTGGGCTGAGCAATGTTGTTTTTGGCTAGAGGTATAACTCAAACTTAAAATCATTGCTCTGACCGATTCCTTTTGCCGTGTATGTATTTGTAGCTTATCCAACAATATTTTATGATCAATGTAAAATGGAGCACGTGCCCAAAAAAGTAATGAATGGCTAGAAGCAATTACGACTTCTGGTGAGAGACTTAACTAAGCTTTAAAATTAAAGCTTTAAAAAGGCAAAGTGTGAACTTCTCGACTAATGCAACGAAATACGTTTCTTTGCAATGTCTACATAAAATACGATAGTGTACATAACCACTTTAAGGTATGTTTCCACTTTATCAAGTGGGGAGGATGTTTGGATGGTCTGAATGAAAGACACGTTGTCAATGTCATGGGGTCACGATAGCGTGCGGAACATTTTGTGTCGAGGTAGCCTCCCTTTCGTTCTTTCTTGAAGACAGGGTCGTCAAAATGGCCGACTCCACGAAGGACGATGATTCATCAATACAGGTGCGAAGCAGAGGACAGAAAAATGAAGAGACAAATTCACAACCAAATAACCAACAAGAAATACAACAACCAAATCAAAATCCGGCGCCACAGCAGCAAGAAGGCTCGTCGTGGAAAGGGGTCATTCTGCGAATGGTGATATTTTGGGTTGTTCTGAATTTTTTTAGGTCAAAAAGCAGCCCTCCTCAAAATGCTACTTCAGGAGACGGGAAAAGTGTACCACTAGATACCGGACCGTGCTCCAATATCTTCAAAAATGGAGAAAGAATTGTAAGTATACCTTGCTGCAAAATAACTTTATTGTTTTGATTTACCATAAATGTTTAGAAAATTTTGACAACGAAAAATAACACAAAGAGATCCAATTAGACTGCGGGTATAAATGAAAAATAAAAATCTGAGGTTTGAAAGACTTTCATGCTCTGCCCTGGTTTTGTGTGCTTTATGCAACAAGACATCAACCAGAAATCTTCCACAGAAATGTGACTTTTTTGCCAATATTTTACTCCCAAGGTAACATTTGAGCAAAATGTGGACTTTTATTAATCTACACTTACGTGACAAAAGTATTAGGACGATGAATAACAAGATGGCGTCTCCAAAACTAGCATTCTAACATTGATTGAACAAATCTTGCTGTTTTGGTGGGATTCTAGAAATGGCGTCAGCAAAAATGCAAATCCTAGCAAAGTCAATTTATTCCCTACCTTTCTTTGAAAGAAAGGTAACAAAATGTCAAGAAGAAATGGAAAATATCAATGTTTTAGTTTCAATGCTGAAAACAAAGAGAATGTTTGAGTGTTTGCTGAAACTGCAAGAAAGTTTAGTTGCAGCAAGTTTACAACACATGTTATTTACAAGAACAATAAGTTAACAATGCCGACTACAATTAAAGAATGGTAGGCCAGGGCAGGTTGACTATCTGACTATTGGTTGGGCCTAATGGCATCTGCAAGCTGGCGTTCTGTGCAAAGTCAATCAATGCTGAATATTTTGTCCAATTATTTGTTGAAAACCCCCAGGCAAGTACAGAAGCAACTAATGATTCTTTGCAACTACCATTTATTTTCAAACAAGACATTAAACCTAGTTATATTGCAATTGTGACATAAATTTCCATAAACAATAAGATAAAGGTCTTTCAATAACCCCATCAAAGTCAAAGCCTTGATGTAATTGAAGACAACTGGTTTTCATTAAATAAATACATTAATGGAATCTTCTAAGACCAAAAATAAGCTATTGTGAAATTTTGTTGAGATTTCATCCTGTATCCCAAGATATTTCTTTCGAAAATTGTTTCAGTGAGTTTAAATGCTAATGGTGGCTGCCTAGATTCTTGGAAGTCATCTGACAAAATATAAAATAAAGCAAATGTTACTTGTCTAAAAAGTTTACCTGTTCACAATTTATTAAATTTATATTTATTTTGACAATTGGGTAAAATTGAAACTCTCAACCAGCAATCTTGTTATGTTCCACCAATTTTCTATGCTGTTCTTTGAGCAAAGGATTAGCCACATTTGCTTTGAGGCAATCATTCTAATACTTTTGTCACATAAGTATAGTTATGTTCTTACCAAAACTTTCAGGTAGGTAAAACTTTTTGTCATATCTAAGACTTATGCTAGATTCATAAAGGCTTTAGTATGTTACTTGATAGATTGGGCAAGCTCCCTAGATTTGGTGAGGTTTTATGTAAGCATATGAAATATTTGTTTTGTCAGAAAATGAATTAAAGTTTTATGCCTTGTAGATTTAGTTGCCAGTGCCATTTTTGCACCCATATTAGTGTGTTCAGTTCTTTGCATTGTCACTTTTGTGAAGACAAGGCATAATTGCTTGTTTTGGAATATTTCTATCATAAGATCATTTTGTTTTTTGTTGTTATCATTTATTCACACCAACAAATTCGTTTTTAACAGGACCTATATGTTTACTTGTCTGAAAATTCCTACCAAAGAAATCTTAGTTCAACAAAAGATCTTATATGGAAAGAATCTGGTATAGAGTATGGGAATTGGGACAGTGGAGAAAACAAAGATGGAAGCATAGAATTTCACCATAAAGTAACAGCCTCTGAGGTCAGTCAATCAAATTACCTTGTGACCATAATTAATACATCATTTTTCAAACAAATTTTTCCAGAATGTAAAGCATGCAACATTGATAAGCAAATAAACCAATTTCTGGATTATATAATACAACTTGCATATATGCAAATGACAAAAGGAGAAGTTGAATGATAAATTAAACTAAAAGTGTTGATTTTTTTCTAATTTGAAGAGGTCATCTTCATTCTTATTATGTTTTGAGTTCCTTTTTTCGTTAGACACAAATATTGAGACAATGTCACTTATCAATTTTCCCTTTGCAGAATGTGATGCAAAATGGATCTCTTTACTTGCATGTTTTTGCTATAAGAGATGGGTTTTCTGCAGATCCAGAATCTCAATCCTACAATCCACAGGCGTTTGTTAATCAGTCTAGAAGTAAGTGGAATTAAATATCCATTACATGTTTAAAAAATGGATACTGATGTTCAGGTCAATGGATTAGTTAACACAAGCCATTATGCAAATAGCAGAAATCAAGCTGTTTAAGTTATTGTAATCAATCAAAAGGCCAACTGACTTTTTGATCAGTTAACTCAATTTGCCTTTTGTTTGAAATAAATTTGACGTTTCTATTATGCCATAAATGTAGACTTATGAGAAAGGTTTCTTATCATATCAGTTTGGTTTTTGAAACACTCCACAGATTATGATTTAGATTTCAGATAGTTTAACTAGGTTGCTGTTGCAAATATTTATTTAACGAGTTACCTAATTTGGGGATATTATTGTTTAAACAGAATTGAAGAAATTGTTTATAAATGTATGCTAGTTATGTTGGACAAAAGGGCACAGCTGAACCAATGTTTTCAACTAACTCAAAGTTTCTGAAAATAATAATTTTGAAAAATCACTTTTTTCATTAATTATAGCATCAGCTTGCAAACAGAGTACAATATTAAGCCAATCCTTTGATGATTTTAAACCATGTAATTATTTTATTGCAGTGATGACAATCTATCGGAAAAAAAGAATACAAAAGACAAAGAATCTTCTTACTGGACCAACAAATTCAGAAGTTGTCAATGTAAATACCTTTTTATATTTCGGGTTGTCCATTTGAGGTGACCAATAGCTCACATCCCCCTCCATGCTCCTCTTGCATCACTCTCCTAAACTAAACCTGAAGGAAAAATTGCTTCCCTCAATCTTGAAAAGAGGTGCTAAAAATTGTCAACACCAGAGGTTCAAGGAGCCTTAACCATAATTGCTTCATTTGTTTTTTTTAAAATTTTGGTTGCCTTCATTTTAGGTCATTTTAAGTAGATACAGTAGATATAAGTAGATATATTTGTTCTTGTGTGAGCTTGCTTGAGCAAATGTGGTGAGTTATCCACAGCTCACCTGGAGAAATACAAATGGCCAGGTCTGTGTATCCACAATTACGTTTTTGTTGCTGGCCTTGTCTATTTGTAAGAAAAAACATTTAACCATACTTATAAGTTCAAAACTTTTTTCATTATCATTTTTAGTAGTAATGGCTATATTTATTTTTTGGCATCACTTTTACCAATACACCGCACAGTGTTAAGAACATCTGAAATAAAACAATGTTTAGATATACCGATTTTTAATCGTTCAAAAACTTCTTCTATTGCTTCGTCAGGAATTTCTATTGCCTTTTATCAGTCTGATTTCTCTCAATTGTGCTTTTTGATCCATTTTTAGATCAATTCAAACAAGACGGAAATAATTTCTTATTGGCATCCAAATTTGACCTTAAACCTGGTATATGATCAGACAATGTGGCCGAGAGGCAGTCTCCCTGTGCCATTAAATCAATGTAAATATGTTTGCTTTTTTCATTTTTCTGTCACCTTACCTAATGGGTATTTACCTTAAGAGCGCCCAGAAACACTGTTTGATTTGTCAAACGTAAAGATCATTAAACTAATCTTGTCTGATGCAAGCATTGCCCGGAAAGGCACTGGATCGTGTGCGAGCACCTAAAACTTGCATTAAAAATGCCATGGAGAGCGATTCAATGAGTACCTGATAAAGTGAATGTTTCTACGAACAAAAAATTGTTTTTAAACAATGTTGATCAAACTTAAACCATCTTTAATGACCAGAATATTATGATTTTTTAAGGTTTATATAAGAGTTTATACCACTAATCTTTTAATGACATTCGATTCTTGATTATATATCTGGTTTCTTTTAAAGCCACGACTACAAGAATACATTTTAAAATGAAACTTTGTTTCCTACGCATCGAAAGTAAAAGGATATAAAAACACATTGGAGAGTTGTATCATTTGAAAACGCAATTATATTTGAAAATGCATCGTTCTCCGTTTGGTCACAAACTTGAAACGTAGTGTGTAGTTATGGCCAAAGACCTATTCACACAATACTGTGTAGAAGTAAATACCACGCAGTATCATACCCAGGACCCAGAGGTGCGGTGCTCTGGGAACTCAATCTCCATTATCAATACATAAAGGAGCCGATTTCTACTTTTGCTACTGTTTTCTGCAACATTTGATTAGGGGATTTGAAATGAAGATATTGAAGACTATTTAAAGGTTATTATTTGAGGAAGATTATTGCAGATATCATCTATGCATTGAGCTGAAGTTGTATAAAAAAGGCAAAGAAACAAATTCTCACAATAATTTCTCTTCCCTGACTACTAAAGAGACTTTCAATCGACTCATATTTATAATATAATCCATCTTTTAACATCTAGCATATCGCTATGATAGATTGGACAGTTCACATTAGTGATCCATAAGTAAAGCACAGAGGATTTGATTTAGGCCCCTTTTTAAGCCAATGTTGTGATTTGTTGTAAATGAGAGGAAAGTGAGCTTTTTATGTAACGGGAAATGTTGTTATTCAGAAGGAGGGTGTGCCCCGGGCTTCTTGCCTTTCGCGTAAACTTTAGATCGGCAGATGCTGCTTGAAAAGCTCAAATCGCACGAGTTCATTAGAATTCAAACAATTCTGTTGAAAATCTCTTTTGTTAAACGTAACCATAAAAACGTTACATTTTGCCTAACCGTGAGTTTTTTTTGGGTATCAAATTACAACCCTCATAAGTAGAATAAAGATCGAACTAGCATCCTTAATAGTTATAAAACAGTCTTTCAGTATTTCTTATAGATGCAAGGAGGCATGCCCCCTACCAATATTTCCTAAAGCCCCGTTGAAACGCTCTCAACATTTCACTAAACATCGCTCAACATTTCACTGAACATCGCTCAACATTTGTAGAGTGCAAATGTTGAGAGCGTTTTAACACCCTGTTCAATGATGCTGAATGGTGTTGAGCGGTGTTCAGCGATGTTGAGTGGAGTTTGAACTGATTTAAAAATGTTCACCGCTACGACTCAACATTTCTATTGTCAAAGGTGTTGTTGGGAGATGTTGAGAGTGTTTTAACACCCCATACAATAATGTTCTGTCGACGTAAGCTCGCTAGACTTGGATTTTGCGGGCCAAAGAAAGAAATAGGCTTCAACGCGTCAAGAAGATCAGAAGATCAGACGTTGAATTTTATAAATAGTAATGGGCAACCATGAGACGTTGAATTTTATAAATAGTAATGGGAAACCATGAAGAACGCTTGGAAACAGCTGGCAGTGAAAGCAAATCGGATGAGATAGCAATTCAAAGCAAGTTGCAAGACCAAAATCCTGACCTTAGGAAATCATCAGGCAGCTACTGTTAAAGGAAAAGAGTATCCAAAACACCCTATCTAAACAGCGAATTCCATTGTCTTGGAACTCTGAGAGTCCGAAGTTCATCCCTCAACGAATGTTGAGTCGAATTGTTGCGAGCGTTTTAACATCTATATTCAACATCACGAAACATCACTAAATATCACTGTACAAATGTTGAGCGATGTTCAGTGCAATGTTGGGAACGTTTTAACTGGGTTTAAGAGGAAATTTATTTTCTTTTGGTCTTGACTTGATTTATTGATTTTAAATGTTTGGCCTTTTCTTGTTCACTTTGGCGCTCCAATCTTCAAAATTCTCTGCTCACCCTGAAATGTGAAGCATAGCTATCTAAACGGGTGACTAGCAAAGTGCTCGAAAACTAAGGGCTTTCTAGGCTATAAGCATAGGATTGGGACTCGTCTGATTTTGGCACCGCATCACCACATGATGTAGACAGGTAACTCTACACCAAGGCACCAAGGCATTAACCCTAAAACCATATGCATGAAATACTTTAAGCATTTGGCTACGCCCATCAAATGATGTAGACAGCCTACCTCTACACCAAGGCACAAAAGCATTGATCCTAAAACCATGTGCATGACAATATTTAAGCATTTGGCTACACCCATCAAATGATGTAGACAGCCTACCTCTACACCAAGGCACAAAAGCATTGATCCTAAAACCATGTGCATGACAATATTTAAGCATTTGGCTACGCCCATCAAATGATGTAGACAGCCTACCTCTACACCAAGGCACAAAAGCATTGATCCTAAAACCATGTGCATGACAATATTTAAGCATTTAGCTACACCCATCAAATGATACCGATTCTTGAAATGCAACCAATGTTGACATTTGAGTGTTCAATTAAAATGTTTCATTAATTTCTCAAGGTATCAAATGTCTTTTTCTGTCCACAGATATCATGTTCGATAACCACACAAATGTTTATTACCCAGTTCTGTACCTCAATGACTATTGGAATTATGCAGCGGACAACATGCCTATCAACGACACGACCCCGTAAGAATTCTGTTAAGATTATTTATGCCTGTTGGTCCGGATTCAGCATTCGCAGTAGCAAGATGCAGGCTAAGAAAAAACACAATCGGCCTTTCTTTGATGTCTATTTCATGTTTATTCATGCCTATTCAAATAGCGTTATCTGCTAGATTTATCCTGATCCCTCGGCTTGACTATCATATCTTATTCCTTTCATAAACGTCTCAAGGTATGTTGCCCTCGAGGCAGCAGCCCACCTAAATGCAACACTGTTACGTGTCAGCTTTCCATCTTCGCAAACCTAAATCCTAGTAATTCCCATATCCTTCACTCCTTGCTGCTATTGTTGGGGAGATGAGATCTCACTCCTATTGTTTGAGACAAAAGGCTTAATGATTTGTTCGAGCCAATCAACGTCGAGGGGCAGGGACGCATGCGTATTCTAACGAATTATCCCTACAAAATCCCGGGCCATCCTCAACACCAAAAGCCAGGGAACACAACGAGATCTCGCAAACATGTCGAGAACAGTAATTTTAGTAATTTCTGAGAAGTTTTACGCATATAATTTAAGGACGTATTTTTGTTTATTTTTCATTTAGGGGTTTCCTCGGAACTTTTTGTAGATGTAGTCAAAAGGGGAAGATCAAAATTCGAAGCTTTCCGCCTTAAAAATTTGAATAATTGAATTGAAGGTACGTTGTCTGTTGTTTTAGTTGCCTTAGCCTGGCTCTAGTGTCGGAGGTCAGTTAAAATCAGGTTGTATTATTTACATCGAATGTCTACTCTCTGTAAACACTTAGGCCGCGTCATAAAGTTCTCGATGTTTTTGCTTACCTTTGGAAGTAAAGTGAGCCTTAATACAAACAAAAAACAAAACAACAGAGAATCCGGGCAGGTTTTTCAGTATGAAAGATATTTCTGCTATGATCAAACTCCCATGTCAATGTGAATGATAAGCTCCGACCGCTCACTTAGTTTTGAAATTCGATCGCAAAGTTCTGTTTGTTCCTTTCTCGGGGGGTTCTATGCCTCTTTGATTCAGAATATATAATACGCATGTGCAATGGCCCCAAAACGGGGGTACTCATTTCATACTCAAGAACTTGCTGCATCTCATCTCCCCAACAAGCTAGTTGAACATCCTTTTCATCATTTTCTTCGCATTTTCTATCTAACCAGCCATATCTGCTCAACACCCATCTCTTGTTCCTTTACCCGGCACGGTATAAAGCAACTTTCATTTGTATTCATAAGTGTAATGTTTAAGACACATAGCTTCCTATTCTGTTTATATGTTTTACCCAATAAGTTTTAATACTGCCAGATTGCATTATAGAATGAGAACAATATATTTCTAACTTCTGTGAACGGTTATGTATAATCTTTATTGTTTGTTCAGGGCTAATTTTGTCTAAGAGCAGCCCGTGTAGCAGATATCTAGTAGCCAATTTTGAGTGCAAAAGAAGAAGGTTTTTGGCATATGAATAAATGTGTAGACTTGTCGATTCACGCTTCCCAACATGGGTCGGTCGGATTTCAAATTTCTGAACTAACCTACCTTCTTCCTATTTCCCAATACCATGCTTTCGTCTCAGTCAGTGTCAACCAAAGAGATTATTCGCTCAATATTTGATTTACAGATTAATTCCTCGTTGCCATCCATGCGTTAGTCTGATAAACTGATGTTTGTAAACATTATATGTTTTCAAAAGATATTCTGATTTTTGAAATAATTTTTATCGGCAATAGAAATTGCTATAGGATTGCTATAGGATTACGTAAATGGAACACTTTTTTCTTTTTCATCTAACGCATGAATTTGCTTTTTTGGCCTAAATAAATGTGACATCGTCCTTTGGTCTATGACGCAGGCCTAACGTCGTCCTTAACCCGCATCGTTATTTCCACCTAGGATTTTGGATTTGCACCTGACGTTCAGCCCTCTTTCACTATTCAAATGGCAAATGTATGTTTCCCAAAAGATGCGTTCACAATGGAACGAATACTTAGGTGACACTATGCAACATACAGATGAAGAGGAAGACATGCTCAAGGTATTAAGCTCTGATAAGATAAATTTGCTTCGTTATCTTTATAACTGCATTTTTTGGCTTGATCCGTTTTTTGAAAACGTTTACATTACCTCAAGGTATTTCTTTGACTCCAAGTATTGTTTGACCAAAGCCAATGATTGTTAAAAAGATCACTGATTCTCAACCCTAAATGAACATCGACTTTTACCCGCATCTCACACTCCAATGCAACCATTAAGTACATTATTACAACCATCTGATGCTTTGCTGGTAACATTGAACACAGGGTTGACAGATTGGTCTAGCTCAGATCAAATGGGCCTACTTCTCAAATTTTGATCTTTTGGGCCTTTTCAGCCGAAGTTTTGAGGATATTCCTTTCCTTTATACAAACTTTGACACCCTAAAGACCAAACAAATTTTAGGTGCAAAGAACAATACTACACTCTTTATGCGTATTTTCGAGACCGACACATGTCTTTTGTCGTCTAGGAGTAAGCTCAAATAGAAATAGCAATAGTTGCGAGAAGTCAAAACTATTTTACAATCATTTTTTCTTTTCTTTTGCTCAAATGTCCTTTTTCTTTTCAGCGGACGTTGAGAGAAACGAACCCCTACCTTCTTGGACTAACAATGGTGGTTTCACTTGTTCATAGCGTTTTCGAGTTCTTGGCGTTTAAAAATGGTATGCATACAAAACATTGTCAACACATTTTTTGTACTAAGGTAAAAATGCACCAGAAATGCCAAATCTTAGAACTATTGTGGCAGTTTTCAACTACAGTTTGGACACCGAATGTCTTGGTATTTTTTGCGAAGTTTTGCGGGAACATTGCAGCTCTGCTTTCGTGATACTTCTTCTGACATTTCTGACATTTTTGACAAATGAAAAGCTTCTTTGGATCTTTGCTACTGATCCACTTCATATATTGCAGTATTAAAACATATACACGTTTTTTTGTAAGAACAACCCTTATAAGAAACTCCAGGCTGAGATTTTGCCCAAAAATAAGACAATATAAGTGGTCAGGCAGGCTGAAATTCGATAAAACTCAAGTAATAACATACCAGCAAAAATTAAAAAATGAGAGAATAGCAACAGAAAAGCAGAAAGCGATAAGCAAAATAGCATCGAAACAACAGTTAAAATGATATCCTTACCAAAATTGACGTTGCTTTATTAAATCTTTTTCCTTTGTTGAAGATAAAACTACAGGTACAAGGGCAACATCCTGGACAGAGACTTTAACTACTTTATCTAGCACATGTTTTGTCCGGAGACTACTATGCACGGGATATTCGATTACACAAATAAGAAACAAAATAAGAAGCACGCGAGACTGAAATTATGCGAAAAAATGCGAAACGCCAGGCTGAAACTAGAGCCAAGTGGTCTTGTAAAAACTTGTATTTCGAAGGGTAGCTTGCTTGCCTACACCAATCCAACTTACAGCCTCGTTTTGAAAAGTTCTTCAAATTCTTTTGTACAAAATTGTTGACATCCGATTCGGATTAAGAGCAAAAAGCTTAGTCTACCTGGAAGTTTTCATAATGTTATTGCTCACGATAATGAATTTATGACGACATGAAGATTAGAATTTTTTAAGGGAATTGACCGTGATTGGCAACTAAAAGGGTAAAGTTTCACCTGGGACGAATTTTGAGGTAACCCCTTACAGGCTTTCAAACTTCATTTTTCTTTAAAATCCAAAATACAAGCACAAACCATATGTTAATTTGTATCTGGCCTAAAACTGTGCTGATTAAACCAAATCTGAGCTTAAACAAGTCGTGCAATGAAGTTTTGAGAAATTTCAAAAATGAGGCCGTAAGTTGAATTATTGTATTAGAAAATCTCATTTTTAAACCTGGCCATTGATGGTGTGTTTGACATTTTCAGATATCCAGTTCTGGAGAAGCCGAAAGTCACTCGAGGGGTTATCTGTTAGATCAGTGTTTTTCAATGTCTTCCAGTCTCTCATCGTTGTCCTGTACGTGCTTGATAACGAGACTAATATGGTTGTCGTTGTCAGCTGTTGCGTTGGACTGGTGATAGAGTTATGGAAAATCACTAAGGTTGTTGACATAAAGGTAAGTTTGACTTGAGATTGTTTGTTCTCCTAAATGTTTTGATTCTGTGAACAGCGTATATTAACATAAAACCTTCTAAGGTATGACACTTAGCGGTTTTTTGCGAGACGTGCTTAAGTTTTTGTCTGACACTCCTTATAGTCTAAAGCTTCAGAATAATTATCGAAGATTCATTAAAATGTGTATTCGCTAAGAAATAATTATACCCAGCTGCCTGTAGAATCTATGTAATATACTATAACATTTAGAGAAATAGTACTAGAAACTATTATACTTTTTTCATCAACAAGCAAGGCACTTTGAAATATCAAACACCCCAAAATATCATTCTGAAGGCTGTTTTCTCATCTGACCATGTACTAAGCTTTAAAATGCCATGTTTGCCGAGCAGTTATGGTCCTTGTCATGTCATTGCAAAACAGTAGGCGAAGTTGCAAAGTGAAACAAGCATCTTTCATTTTTTGACACAAATCATTCATCTCCTGCGCTGTATCACAAAAACCGATGCATTTGGCATAAGTCAACGAAGGGGTTGTAAAATAGCTATTTTTCTTAAATTTCTTTTTATTCAACACAATAATTGTTAAGTCTCGTTTATCCAGTCCCCCCGAGGTTGAAAGCTTTGTACTAAGAATAGAGGATCTGTATCTTACTTTGTAATGTTGTCTGCTGTTTTGCCATAGCAAGGCCTAAGACTACTCGCCAAGCGTGATGTTTTTAGGCTTTTTAAATGGCCCAATCATAAAATGGCTTCTACAATGGCGTTTTTTTGGGAATTCGAAAAATAACATTTTTTGGAATTTTCAAAGAATGACCCCCTATTGCGTTTAATAGCGCCTCTGGTTAATCTTGGTTCTCTGATGATACCTTGATTCTCTTATGCTAACTTGATAGTTATCAAGAATGTGCGAAAAATCGGAAAAATCATGCACCACACTGTTAATTGATAAAAAGATACGAAGACAATATAATATTTTGTTTTGGTTAAATGTTACGACAGCTTCGTCTTCGAATTTCGACGCAAGTCAGTCAGCCATAAATTAAATCAGTTTTCCCTTCAATCGTTTCCTTGGCTGATGAATGTCGGTTTACACTCTTTTTTTATAAGAAACAAAGGTCGATGTTGAGTACTCCAGTTTCTTAATGTTCCGGAAATTTCAATACTCATTGTTTCTTGAGAGTTTCTTAATTATGATGTCATAAATTATGTTATGAAATGTTTGTGACTTTTTTTATCACGTCAAGAAATTCGCTTCCCTTCCGATGCTGTATTTAGGTATGGGAAGTATTTTTATCCCATGTGTCTTAAGTTCTAGGCCAACAGGGCAATCTTGTTCTTGGATTTTACAAAATTTCGTTGTTCTCAGTTTTATCACGATTTAATAGTTTCTTAATTTTTTTGCTTCGAGTACTAAAGTATCTTAATTTTTTCTGACTGTCCAGTACTCGTTTCTTATAGCCAGTTTCTTATAAAAAAATGAGTGTATTGTATTTTATGATAGAAAAACTCTTTTGGTTTTAGCTTGATGTTGAAAACAGATGGGGACCGTTTCCAAGTATAAGAATGCAAGACAAATCTTCGTATCAAGAATCGCCAACGAAGAAATTTGATATGGTTATTATTTTTATGTTTTTCTTGCAAATTCATTCTCATTGGAAAGATCTTTTCTGATTATGTATATTGTCTTAACAGATGGCTAGATGTTACGCATTGATATTGGTAGAGAAAATTGAATTGAGGATTAATGTCAGTGGGTTGTACTTAGAAACTTCAATTTATTTTTTATATCTTTACTAATTCGAGAAAAAGCTGTTTTCCCCTATCTAAAATAACTGGTTTTCAAAATCGTTTGTAGTACTTAATCATGTTTTCATGAAGAAAAAAGGATTAGAGTTTTTCAAATTTGCCGAAAAAAGCCTTCAACTCTTGGCTGCAAGAATTCATTGTTGACTCACCACCAGTATTGCAAAGTTTGTTTGGAAAGAGTAACTAAGACTTGAGTCATTGTGAGCTTTATCAAGTAGATTTGCTTTTTCTTAAGTTATGTTAGGGTAACTAACCTTGCTTGCAGTTATCAATCGAATTTTGTTTTTGAAAAAAATTAACAGTGCACGGCTTTTAGATATGAAAGTAATACTATTTTTGATATAAAAATACAATTCAAAACAAACTTAGTGCTGTTATTAGTTTTTGAAACTCAATTATTAGACTGTGCGTAAGTCCTTTAGCTATTTCAAACGGAACCACTCTCCCACCTTCTCAAATAGTGTTTCAAACCTTGCCAGATACTGCTACAAGCCTTGTCAAACATGGCTTAAAACTTCACAAGCCTCTGTTCTAATCCTTACCAACCTCTATTTAAAAAACTTACCAACTTCTGTTTTAAAGCTTCCCAAGTATTTTTATAACCTTGCAAAATTTGTTTCAAACCTTACTAGCCTCTGTTTCTGAACTTATGAAACACTTTTTCAAATCTCGGAAAACATGTTTCAAACTTTACCAACCTTTGTTTCAAACTTTATAAAACTCTGTTTTAAACCTTACCTAGCACAGTTCACACTTTGGCAAACACTTCGCAAATACAGTTTCAACCCTTACCGAAAATGTTTCAAACTGTTTCTGAACTTATGAAACACTTTTTCAAATCTCGACAAACATGTTTCAAACCTTGCCAACCTTTGTTTCAAACTTTATAAAACTCTGTTTTGAACCTTCCCTAGCGCAGTTCACACTTTGGCAAACACTTCGCAAATACAGTTTCAACCCTTACCGAAAATGTTTCAAACCTTACCTAGCACTGTTTAACATTTTATAGAGTTCTTTTGCAGACAAGTTACTCTTAATTTCTTCAATACATAAGTGATAGACTTACTTTACATTGTTAAGTTGATTAATAAATACGTATGTTTTGCTACAGATATAAATAAAGAACTCATCTGAAGGTTTACCCTGGACCTTGGTTGTAAAATTTTAAAGATATGTAGCGATTCTGTTAGCGTAACAAACACAGAATTTCATAATACATGATGGAATTTGGTTAATCAATAGAAATCCCACTGTTGAAATCTAGTTGGTATTTGCGCTAAGTAGCCAACATTAACTTGAAATGTTTTTCAATTCTTTAGCTTGCTTTCAAGTACTTGTCATGGCTCTTGTTTCCATTGCTTGGCTGCTATTCCATCTATTCGCTGATTTACAACGAACATAAGGGATGGTATTCCTTCGTTTTAAGCATCATGTACGGATTTCTGCTTACTTTCGGTGAGTCTTCTTCTACTTATTATCGTTTCTTTGTTGCTGACTATATAGAGAAGATGCAGTGCTCAGCCCATCTCTTGAACGTGCAAAACTACTTTAGGCCAGTCCAAGCTTTTTCGAGCCTGTTTTTACAGTGGCTCTTGGGCAAACCCAGAATAGTTTGCACGGTGTAGAAAGGGGGTCAAGATCGTTTTGCTACACTTGATTTATGGAGTTCAAGGTACCAGGAGGGCATTTGCAGAAAACCTGAATGATAAAATGGCAAACACATTTCTTGGTTTTGGCTACCTTTTTACCAACGATGCATTTTTAGACACGGTGTCAGTGGCACAGTGGACTAATGGGGGGATCGGTGTAAGAGCGACACTCAAGGACCCCACTTCTTAAGGGATCCCAAATGCCAAGATTTTTAGAACCAAGGAGACCCCAAGCAATTTATCCTAGCCTCAATCATTTCTGTTACGTCATTACAAGGGGTGCATTGTTAGACCAAAAGTGAATTTTTATTTCACGTATATCAGTAGAAAGAAACGTTTTTTCTGCCTTATGTGCATAAGTGGAATTAGGACTTTCCATGCAAGTTGAAAACGTTTTAAGCAGATCCACATATAGCGTTGATTAGAAACGTTTTTAGTTTTAGTAAAATAGAACCAGCAAAACTGTTTTTGTTTTCACAAATGTTTATTTCTACTCTTTATCCTGATTTCATGTATATATAAATTCCTAATAGTTTTGCGAACACATTTGCAATTATTCATTCGCAATGTTGAGTTGTCTTGTTTTGAATTATTTATTTACTTTTTCAGGCTTCATAATGATGACCCCACAGCTGTTTATAAATTACAAAATGAAATCCGTAGCCCATCTGCCCTGGCGAATGCTTACATATAAAGCTTTAAACACGTTTATAGACGATATATTTGCATTTGTTATCAAAATGCCAACTTTGTACAGAATTGGCTGCCTACGAGACGGTACGTTTTTAACTACATCCAACGTTTTAGAAAGCATTTAAGAAGTTGTAAGGCGTGGAAATGAATTGGTGACTGCTAAAGAGATAAACTGTTGGATTCTCTTTTCTATTATTTTTTTTATTTTGTATGTTCGAATTAACTTTAGAAATCTCTCTGTTTCCTGAATCAGAAAATTGATTTTTTGTTTTTATGGAATTCTCTACTTGGATTGGTTTTGTATAAAATGATTTTCTTCCGTATTCGAACTCTATAAATGTTTTAATTCTTGAATAACTACCCTGTATTCTCTTGAATAACTACCCTGCATTCTCTTGAATAACTACCCTGTATTCTCTTGAATAACTACCCTGCATTCTCTTGAATAACTACCCTGCATTCTCTTGAATAACTACCCTGTATTCTCTTGAATAACTACCCTGCATTCTCTTGAATAGCTACCCTGTATTCTCTTGAATAACTACCCTGCATTCTCTTGAATAGCTACCCTGTATTCTCTTGAATAACTACCCTGTATTCTCTTGAATAACTACCCTGTATTCTCTTGAATAACTACCCTGCATTCTCTTGAATAACTACCCTGTATTCTCTTGAATAACTACCCTGCATTCTCTTGAATAGCTACCCTGTATTCTCTTGAATAACTACCCTGCATTCTCTTGAATAACTACCCTGTATTCTCTTGAATAACTACCCTGTATTGGAAATATCCCTGCAAATGTCATTGATTTGGATGAAATGTCATTTTTAAGCTTATAAACTTTTTTCTTTTTTCAAGAAAATTCAACTACAAATTTTTCTATCTTTTTTAGACATCATCTTCTTTATATTTCTTTACCAAAAATGGATATACCCTGTCGACCACAAAAGGCTCAATGAATTCGGAACAAGTGGAGAAATTGAGGAAAAAATTAGACAAGGCATCAATCCTGCTGAAGAAACTTCAGAAGTTGTATCAAATGGTCACCCTGCTATAACTGAAGAAAAAGTTGAAGAGGATAAAAAGAACGTTTAGTTTTACTTTACGAACTTTAGTTGTTTTGAATTTTGCACGTGCATCTTCTGTTAAGATGCATGTTTAAAAGATAGATACTATTGTTTGCAGACCCTTAGAAAATGAAAAAAATTGTAAAGAGCTTTTGCGTTCAAGTGCAGCATTCTTCAGACAGTTATTTAGAATATGTGTTGAAAGCAACATGACTTTTTCAAAAGTTATATTTTATTGCTTCATTTCTGTGTCAGTATTTCACAAAAGTGGTTAAAATAAACAATAGAGTTCTAAAGCGATGAAGTCACAATAATATATTTTTCGAATTTTTAAATTTTAATCCCATTATCAAAAAGAGCATCATGAAATACCGCTAAATGTGCAAAATCATTAAAATGTGTTTCGAATTAGCTGGGAATAGCCGCACCAGCACAGGCTCTTTCCCCATCAAACCTTTAGCAAAACAAAAGTGAATATTTTATCTGGAGCCTTTCATTCTCCTCTATGTCGCCAAATGAACACAACCGTTACATAGTCAATGAAACCCCCCATTTAACCACATCGTGGGGTCTCTTAGAATTTCCCCAAACATGTTCTTTACGCCATTTTATTTAGTTTATCTGCTTGGATTGGCCTCGAAGAGTCAGTCCATCTTGTATGCGAGTCAGTCCAACTTTTCATGACACCCCCACGAAAAATTATTTAATTTGCGATCCTGTGCTCATATGGGGCCAGTCTATCCTTGACAAGAGTAGACTGCTCTGGGGGGACATAACAAAATATTTTAGACCACGCTCTTTTTAGCACCAGAAAAAACTAACAAGGAACCTGAAGGGAACGCCCATGATTCACTTTTGGCTATGTAAAGGCATTTTGAAAATCATAGGATTACATCACAAAAAGTACATTGCCAAAATATTACCCCTTCCCCAACATTTTCTCATCTGATTTAGACGAATTACAAATATGATCCTGCCGAGAACACGTTCCCCCCAGTCCCCCCCCGTGGCGCCGCTACTGGCCGTCGGAAGCGATGGGGGCTGGGGGAGCTGGACCCCCCCAATAAGTCAAACTGCACTATATTTCCTTTATAATAGTGTACTGAATGGGATGCAATACAATAGGTAGCCTCCCCAATACGAAGTCCGATGAGACTGAACAACAATGTTAGTTATGAAGGGCATCATTTTGCTTCCGCCTTCCCCCCTCTCCCCCAAGCCAAAAAGGTCAGGCCGCCACTGCTCCATGTCCATTCTTCACATAGGTTTTTTACATTTCATACATGCCTATCACAGTTTTAGATTTATAACATTATTACTTGACGAAGAATATTTCTCACAACAAGGCCAGATTTTCTACTAGGGCTGGGCCTGGCTGAAGGGGGTAAAAACATTATAAGGTCCAAATTTTAATGAGAGAAGCAAAACTTAAGCGCATAATACAAGATGTGCACACACACGAAAACCTGATGTTGAGGATCCACATTGTACTCATCCCTTCGTCATTGTCAGTTTGAAGAGTGGTATGCCAGTAGACATTTCTATATAAAAAGTTTTGTTTTTGAAAAACAGAGTCAAAGCAGAGAAAAATGCCATAAAATTCCGATATTTTCCAAAGTTGAGTGCAACAAAATATAATTTGATGTTTAAAGTCAAACTTTAATATGTGGTAAGCAAAAAGTTTCCGGGAGAGCTACTCCTCCCCCCCCTTTTTTTTCTCACATTTGTCCGGTTTCCCACGAGGGAATGATTTATATCCGCTTCTTGGAACGTGCTACCCCAGCGGGTTGTGTTGAGCCGCGGGACCGCCAGTTCAAATACTGCGCATGCGTAGGCTTGATCAACTCAGCACGGAAGGCGAAAAGTTGAGTCATTGTGAGCTTTATCAAGTCATTTTATGTTTGCATTACGACGTTCATGAATGAGGTGACTATCAACATTTCGGAAAGTTGCGGAAAGCTGTCGAAGAATTGAATAAGACAGTTTTTAAAGGACTAACATATTCATCTTTTTTACTGAACTTGACGAAGATGCGTTACTCTGGTGCATCATTGGTGGCGACCTACTTAATTTTTAAGCTTTTTTATGTGCCTAAAGGTAAGATGGCATATCAGATCTGAATTGTTCGTCTTTCAGCTTCATATTCTATCGTTTAAAAAATTTATTGGCCATAGATACGATTACCGAGAAGTGTCTGAAAATTATTGACATCCCACGGGCCTATGGCCTAGAATCTTTGCCTGTGTTTTTGCAAGTTCATTCATGTTTATTCAGTTGTTTGAAGCCAGATAAACTGGACGATGGTAAGGAGCTTCTCGAAGCACATATACTATTTTGTTATATTTGAGGTAACTGGTTATAACCTGAAGTGAAAAATTACGCTTTTATTACGTATAGCTAGTTGGTGAGGGGCAGCTCAACTTCCCCCTTTTCGAGTTATCTTGTTTCATTTCTTTAACATTTTTATCATAAGGACTTTTCCTCCTCTTCTTGGAAATGCTGAACACCAACTGAGCTCTGGGTCCCTTGCTTTATTATTTTCCTTTAGTCTGTAATTACTGGCAAAGCAAAATTGAAATGTTTAAATAAATTATGTGTAAGAATGAGAACTAACATAATATTGAGAGTCCCTAGAGACAAAAACTAGATATTCATGTTGGGCAATGACTTTTTCAGTAGTGGACATTCCATTGCATAATATTCCAAAGGCTAAGCCAATACCAGTAAAATTCAATACCTTGTTATAAAATACAAATTTCATTTGAGATCATTCCCTTGTTACAAATTTGTCTCATCTTCTACAGAGAATGTTTTTGATAAGTAATTTTTTTAATTTGAATGGGTAATATAGTAGCTTGATACCAGAAAGAGCATTCAAAAATCAATTATTTATCTCTGTTAGACTAGACCCTGCCTGTAAACAGATTTTCAAACTACTCTTTTTTTCTTCTTCACTGATGTGTCGACTTCAGACCGAAGGAATTTGTAATGTCTTCTTCATTAATTCCACATAAAAGTTTTGTTTGGGCAGTAAGCTTTTTCAAGATCTTCTGCTTTTTAGTTGTTTTAGGTGTGCATCTACTAGGTCTTTGTTCAGTGTTGTTACAAGTGTGACTCTAGGATAACCTCTGAAGCCTTTTTCAGTTGATGGTTCAAAGTAAAATTTCATCACTTGATTTGCTGTTGTATTTTCATTTGATCTCAGAATATGAGCGAAAAGTTTCCATCTTTGTCTTCTTTTATAACTGGAAACAAGTTCTTCATTTTTTTCATAAAATCTTTTGTTGCCAATTCTGTTTGGCTAATGGGTTTCAAGAATTTTTATGAGTTGTTGACGATGAAATCAATCAGTTGATGCTTGTTTCTTCATTCCCCATGTACTACAGTTGTAAGTCAAAAGTGGTTTGACAAGTGATTTGTACAGTTTGAGTTTGGTGCTAAGCTTCACATGATCTCTTTGTAACCAAACTTTCTCTAATCGATTCATAGTAGCACTTGCAAATTGTTTCCTCTTTACCATATCTTCTCTATTTCTAAGCAATGACCCTAATTTTCTTACATTTCTCCATAGATCTTCCTTTTCACCTCTTCTAATTAATGTTTCTTCTGTCTTGGCAGTATTAAGTTTCTTTTTTTTTAATATTTTGAAAGTGTTATTGGGGATTTCATCTTTTCTCTGCTTATCAAGTGCTGGGTAGTCAGCGTCATCTGTAAAGCACAATTCGTGAGGGAAGCTGTTGGTCCTTTTCTTTGTGTAACTGTGTACAAACTAATCACAAGCTGCTTAGAAAGACACAAGATGGTAATTCCATTCAACCTTGCCACATACTCTTTTGAAAGACAATTAGAAAGTAAAATCCTTGTCTTGTTTTTATTGTAGCTGAGGCTGTTTGCAGTGCTCCCCAACCACCCAAAGATGGTTCTCGAAGTGACACAGAAAAGAGTCAGTTTGAGACTGGAAGTACCATAAAATTTTACTGCAAAACAAACTATACTCTGGAAGGAGCTCCCAAAGTCATCTGCTTAGCAAATGGAAACTGGGACTCAAAAGCACCTAGATGCATTGGTAGGTTCTAGTGTAGTCTGTTTTCCTTTTCTTTAAGTGAAAAGCACCTGGCTATATCTATTTTTGTGGCTTAGTACTGATGTTGTAAAATTTTAAAAGATGTGCATGAAATGGCTTTGATGTTCTTTTTAATTTATATATATTTCAACCGGATTTGGATCAAATTTTATCATAGTATCATTTCCACTGTCTTTTTCAAAAATAAAATTCCAAAGGTCAGCAGAAAAGCTTCCCAAATATAGTTAAAAAATTGCAAACAGCCAAACTTTTTCAATCTTATATAGAAATATTCATTTGAGCACAAACAAACTCAATATTATCTATATGCTTATGATATTTATTTCTCATTTTGCGAAAAAATGTGCTTATTTCCAATTTTTTTGCCATTATACTCTTTTAGGTAAGTAGAATATATTTGTAGTGTGGAAAGGCTTCTATTTATAATTTTTAGGGGCTCTGAATAAATACATGAAAAGTATTTACTGTTGCACTGGTCTGTCATAAAGTGCTCAATTTGCATTTAGAACAGGAGAAACCATCTTTGAATTCACATTTGATGCAATAATCTGGCAATCCAGTTATTTATATACACTTAGCAAAAAAAAGTTCTACAAAGTCTGAAGCAGGAATGGCAGCACTGCTTCAATATTCTTTAGTTAACCAAAACTAAATAGCTACAGTTAGTTATATAGTTATATAAATGCTGCTAGACAGCTTTTTAGTTTGACATATTTGTAAAGAATCTTTGTACTGCAAATAACAAATAATGCTATAATTGTCTTGATTTTTGCCTATTTCTGAACATTATCAAAATTTGCAACAACATGAAAATTGAGCTTTGGTGATTTGATTACTTTTAAAGTATTTGTGATAGAGCCGTTTTCTTTGATTTAATGTCATACTCAAAAAATTTCAATACTGCATTGGGCCTAATGGCAAAGACCATTTTGTGATATGTTGCAATATGGCTTGGAAGAAACGTCATAAAAAGCAATGACAAATAATGATTATATTGGTACACCAAAATGAGATCTTGCCAATGTTTTTCAAGCTTCATTATCATGACACATTTAGCATTTCTTTTTTTGGACATGTCAGAAATCTTTTACTCAGTCGTCATGTTGGTATTTTAGAAGAACAATTTTGTCCATCCTCATAAGCAAAACTCAACTAATTTCTGAGTAAAGAATTTATGTATTTTAAATTTGTTTGTGAGTAAGCACAATTTTACATTTTTGCAGATCCATGTGGTACATGTAAAAATGGAGGAAAATGTGTACATAATGCGAAAACTGGTGGATATTCATGTATCTGTATGGAAGGTTTTCGTGGGATGGATTGTGACACACGTATGTAATTTTTCATGTATCTATGTTGTTTCCACATTTTGAAGGAGGCGTTATACAGGCCTGGCCATAAGAATTTTAGAAAGGGAAAATCTCTCTTAGTTATTTCCAGGTGAGCTATTTGTAGATGAATATGAATAGAAACAAACAAAAATAGATATTGAGAAGAGCAATTTCTTTTAAGGGCATTTAGGAGAGCTATCTGTAGCTCCCCTCCATTCCAGCATTTGAGGAGAGCCTTGCAAGGAGCAAGAGCCATCGTTCTCCTCAAACAGCTGGCCCTGCATTATATAATTTAATTTCATTCTTTTTTACAAAGGTCTTACAATTACCATGGTCTGTAATTTATTAAATTAATTGATGCCTTAGTTTGTGCTTCAAATTTGGTTAATTTTCTTTTACCTTTTGATAATCGGTCTATCTGAATCAATTTATCAGCAAAAATGTTAAATTAACATTGAGACATTGGCTGTATCTGATTTATTCCGTCAAACAAACTTTGTTATCTTATACTTTTTCAACCATCTAAATGTTTGAAAAGTCACAATTTGAAATTAATATTTTAGATACTTTATGTATCGCTGTAGGCTTACATATATGTATATTAAGAAGTCTAGTTGGTAATGGTAGTCCAAAAAAGAGATGGGCCAAAGTGATAAGAAGTGATATGAGAGAAAGCAGGCTCAGTAAAAATCTGGTCATTGATTGGTCAGCTTAGAAGTCAATTACTAAACACTGTCTGACGCTGGCATGTAGAGCAAAAAAATTAAACAGATACGATGACATGATAATGATGTCCATGGTTAGATATTTCCTGCAGTACATTGCTTGGCGGTCCATGTACATGAAAAGTGCAATATATATTGAGTGTATTAGGAAGATCAAACTTCGTTTACATCTCTACAAGCCTGTTTCATGAGTAACTTGAAGAACTAATTAATACATTGATAATTTTTCTCCTTTCCAGGTAATGTCACATTGATTACTAAAAAAAATATTTTTTGTCTCACATGATGTACCCGTGTAAAAACTCGTTAATTATTATTGTATTTCTTCAATCTTTGTGGTCTGGCTGATCTTATTGCTATTTTACTCTTGCTAGACGATTCATAACTAGCAACCAAGGCCGAAGACTCTTCTTAGAATTCTTTTCACCTTCACCACAGCATCTTCAGGAAGATGTTCATACCATTTCACTTGATATTCAAGCCCATTATTCTTGAACAATTCCCATTGGGCTTTCTTCGCTACATTGTTGTGCGTTCTTTTGTATTCTTTTTGTGCAAGTTTTTCCCATCCGCTAGTGTATGCTGAACAGCTTCACCTCTTTCTCAACACATCCTGCAGAGAGGACAATCTACACTTATGTTGATATGATGCTTTACGTAATTATTCCTAATTGCCTGTTCTTAGGCAGCACACAATAAAGCCTTTGCCTGAACTTTAAGTCACTTTTTGATAGTCACTGTCACATTTTCTTCTTATAGACTTTTTCTGGCATTTCCCTTGCAACTGACCGTACATATTCTTTCTCATCCGTTAATTTTTAAGATCATCAGCCACTTGCTTCTTGAATTCATTGTTTGTCATGGTACTAGCAGTGCAAATTGTATTTTTGCAAATTCAACACAAACTCCTCTAAGCTACTGACCCAAATTGTTCACTTCTCTGAGTATTGCCAAACTGTATCTAAATATTGCCACTGCCAACCTGTTAATCGCTTTTACTTTGTTTTTAGCATTCAGTTTTGATTTAAGGATTAATATTAACTTTCGTTGTTGCTCCTTCACTATCCTGCCCTTTATCTCCTCTGCTTTATTTTTTTTAAGCTCAACTGTGTAACCTTCCTCTCCCACTTCCTCAATTTTATCACCATTTGGTAGTTCTATTCCTTCACTTCTAGTGATTTTCCCTCTTTAATTTAAGAACACCACACTTCTTAATGCCGAATTCCATTTCGATATCAGTGGTGAATTTTAGTACTTCCCGTAAAAACGAATCAATCTGTTCTTCATATTTTGCATAGTACTTTAAGTTGATCCATGAAGAGCAAATGATTCAAGCTGAATTGCTTTTTTCCCCGATCATACCCTGCTTGTTCTTCCCTCGGTAATATCGTCATCGGGATTATACTCATTACAAATAATAGTGGTGATAAACAGTCCCCTTGGAAGATTCCTCTTTTAACATGAGCATCCCCAAGGTCCTCTCCATTTGACGTAAGTGATCGTTGTCGCTTAGTCATACTCTTTTCCAAGAATTTTCTCACATTATCAGCAACTCCAAACATTTTCATGCCCTGTTTGATCCAACTATTGGGGCCAAAATCATAAGCTTTATTGTAGTCCACTCATGCTATAGCAAGATTCGTGTGCTTCTTTTTACAATCCTTCAATGTTGTCGAAACCACTCTTTCTTCTGGCTCTTGCTTCATCACAAACACGTTGTTCCGTCGATTCTAACATGTCTCTATTTCTCCATTCTCTAGACATTCTTCGCCAGTAACCTCTGGTAGGTTTCCCTGTTTCATCAAATGGCTTATTCTATAAAGCATTCCATGACAACCTTGTTTACTTCCTTGTTCCATCTCATTCTGATAAACCTTTCTAAAATTTTATTATTAATCACAGCCTTGCTAAATGCATCCATAACACTAAGTTTAAGTGTAATGAATAATGAACGTTTAACCATAGAATTATCTGTTATATTGTAGCAATATGCAAAAAACCAAATAAAGTCTGGAATGGAGACTACATTGTACATGGTGCTCCAACATTTGATGTTGGAACTGAGCTGATTTTCAACTGCAAAACTGGTTATATTCTAAGTGGCAGCACATATGATATTAGATGCATTTTAGATAAATCAGGAACTGCTAGATGGTCAAAGGCATTTCCAGTCTGCAAGCGTAAGTCTTTCATCTTCAATAGATTTGTCCCTTTTAATAATGTCAATTGCATTATCATCGATTGTGTGTGTTTTGATAAAGAGCCTTTATGCATGAAGTGTTACTTTGCAACATATCACAGATTTAATCTCATTGTACAATCAAAACTAATGATAATATATATTTATATTATACATAATTATATATTTTTATAATAAAATAGAAGATAGGCTAGAAATGAGACATGTTCTCTGTTACTTCGAGTTTCGTGCTTGCGCACTCATCAGACAGACTTGCGCACTAAACTCGGAGTAACAGAGAACATGTCTCATTTCTAGTCTATATTCTATTTTATTATATCTATTGCTCTGTGCTTTTGCCCATCGAGCACTGTCACGTCAGAATAGACAACGCAATCTGGAATATTTACATATTTATATATAGCTCAGTAGAATGAGCATTACTTTTTAATGCAACAAACTTGAGTTTGCTTCTTGTCAAGACAGATTCAATACAACTGAGCAGTGACCATCTGGAAAAAATTTCCTTCTGTCAGCCATTTATATTCAAATGCACATTATGGATGGCCAGTAGGACTAGGATGGTCAAAAAATTAAAAAACTTCAGTACTAGGCTCAAGAAAAATTGAGAAACTGTAAAATTTTCTTTTAAAAAAAGGTTCTGTTGACTAACTTTTTTGCCTGTTGTTTTTATTAGTTTTTATTTTGTTGAATTTTTTTGGAAAGAGATAGCATACTTTGGTTTAAGCTGCACGGGTTATTTTGTTGAATTTAAGACAGTTTAAATCCTCAAAATAACAAACCAACTAAGAAATTTTTTAGTACTGAAGAGCCAAAATTTGAATGAAAAATTAAGAATCGAAATTGCTAATCTATGTTCCTTTTTAAAACGTGAGTTTCTTGATTTTCAAATAGCAACAAAGTAAAGGCTTTAAACAACAAGGGCTTTAAATTCAAGCTAAAGTATAATCTATGGGAAAAAGTAATCAAGTGTTTCCTATTCAGTAAATAGGAAAACAGAAACGAGTCAGATGTCAGACATGTAAAGTTTTCAATTTCTCTTGTAGCTCGAAAATGCAAGAACCTGCTGGAAAGTGAACAACTCCAAAATGGTGTTTACAGTCCTAACAAGAAAGAGTACTCATTTGGTGACATTGTTTCATTTTCATGTAATGCTGGTTTTGAGCTTCGTGGATCAAAACTGTTGTCATGCAAGATTAGTGGACTATGGTCCTCTGTGTCATGGCCTAGGTGTTTTCGTAAGTATCCTTTCATATATTTTTAATGTTTTACTGGAGCTGAAGTTCGTATCTCAATAAGATATTTTTACTGTTTTACTGTACTTCGAGTAGAAGTATCGAATCTAGAGGTATTGGCTTTTTATGTTATTTCCACTTCTGGATTTCAATCTTGTTCGGGAGATGAATCATGCCTGTCTTCCAGACATGCACTAGACCCCGTTTCAGGGTCATTGCGCATGCACATTATCACTTGAAGCCCTGGCGGGATGTGGTCCCAGGCACAAAAGCTTGCAAATACTGATATTACATTTGCCATGACCCTGCAACCCTGAAACAAAGGTCTGAAGGTTTCGTCTCCCGAGCAAAATCTGCAAATTTGATGTTCCAATTTATTTCAATCTAATCCGTTAAAGAAATGCGTATTATAACTTACAATCGTATATTTTTGAGTTTACTGTATTTTGAATGTAAGCACTACGTCACGTTTAGATAATATACTAATACATCACCTTTTTGCAGCCAAAAAATGTTTAGCCCCCCCGGAAATCCAGCATGGACGGGTGATTCAATCTGGAACTGACTTTCGTGCCGGGACAGTGATACGCTTTGAATGCAAGACAGGTGAAGGCTATTATCGATACGGTCCGAGTCAACAGACATGCTACCCAAACTCCAATGGTGAAATGGTTTGGACTCCTGATAGACCTGTTTGTATAACGAGCTCTCGATTCGAAGAGTACTGTATCCGCCAGGGGAAGGTTATGACAATGGAACCAGAAGCCAGTTGCGTTCATAAGTGTGAGTTAATCAGTATCAAAGCCTTTGTAGTTAGGGGATACTTGCTAAAGCACTGCCTTATTCGATTACCGTACACTGTTTTCTTTTCGTTGCTTACCAGGCATGATTTTTTCGTCGCATTTGATAAATTTTTGTGAATATTTGTTACTTCAACCAGCTCTCGACAGTGATTGTGGCTTAAGGCTTCGTTGGAAAACATTATCCGTCTCCAAATCTATGCTTTAAATCCTTTTTACCAACTCATTTTCAGTGGAAGAAATTTACATCGGAAAGCTGTTTTTGGTAGAATCATTTTGAAGCTTTTTTGTATTTTTGATTTTTTCCCCCCTGTAGTGCAGTGAGAAGGAAGAAGATATCAATTAGATTGTTTGTCGGCTCTTTGTTTGTGTAGTGTCCAAATGACTGTCCTGTTTTTCTGGTCGATCCATTTTGGAATTTCTTACAATTAATAGACAGCCTATTTAGTGTTTTTATCTGGAGAAGGCTCTTGTCCTGCAAAATCATTAAATACGATTTTTGTTTATTTCAGTAAGTGTGAAAGGAGACCCTGCCACGACAAGACGAAATGCTTCTATCGATACACTGACAATAGTGACGGGAACTGCTGGTGGTCTTCTGGGCTTTCTATTGGTCATCATCGCTTTCGTCATTTGTCAGCGCAGAAGAATGATGCGCAGGATGCGAATGGCCACCTCAAGAAGGGCACGGTCTTTAGAGGACGAAAGGATGCTAATTTACTGCTCCAACGACTTCCACTTTTTTCTTCCTTCGTATGACGAGGCAATGCGAAGTAGGCCAGCAGAACCTCCTCCATTCGATGCAGTTGTAGCAGAAACTGAAGCCAGCTCCAGAAACACAGATCAAGGTATTTGATCAACTCGTTGCCTTTTAAGCCCGTTGTTGCAAGCTACTTAACGCGATTTGCAGCAATGCTAACAATCCAACAAAACACATTACTTTGAACAATTCATTTTTCTTGCTAGGGAGTCTTATCAGAAGTGACAGAAATTCTAGAACCGGTTTCTTGAAAATCTAAAGTTCTTGCAACTTTCTTTTAACGAAGCCCCCTTTTTCGTACTGGTTTTCCCTCAATCTTTTAAACCCCTGAGCAGGGGCGGACAGTTGATCAAATATTGGGGGGGGGCGGGGGGAGCCTATTGTTTTGATAAGATGACGTCATATTTCCCATTGTTTTGGAACAAAAGACCATTCGCAATATGCCCTCCTCGCCCCCCAGGTTTCCGCCACTGCCCCTGAGCTTATTTCTACTTTGAAATTTGATATACTGCCTCAGTTCTGCTTAGTAGTATTAAGTAGTGGGAATTCTCATTCTTTTACTTCTACTTTTTATTGAGATTATTTTTTTTATTTTATAGAAACAACACAGTCTACAAACCGTGACCAGAATTCCCCATCGCCCTCTTCCAGCAACGAAAACCCGTACGAAACTATCGACAATGTAACCGTTTCTCTTGACACAAGTCGATCAACATCATCAGCAACAACAACAAGTCCAGTTTATAGCAATGTGCAACGAGAGGCGCCGAGGTCGATAGATAATGAGAACACTGAGTTGAATAGTGCAAGCAACGGAGAAAATGATGTGTCTCAAAATGAAAGCGAGGCCGTAGTGACACGCATGGGTAGTGTCTCCTCTCAAGAATCAACAACAGATGAAAATCAGCCATTAATGTAACTTATCACGAACTGGCCTAAACACATGATTTTGACAAACCTTGCTGTCGACTCTGCAATTAAAAGAAATCCTGATTGTCATTATGATTTCGGCATGTAAAGGTACTGAAAGTTCTGAATTGTTTTTTTAATGTCCAAAGGCAGTATAAGCTGTTCATGGCGGCAGAAGCAGCGATTTGAGGATGATGATAATATCATCATGTAGAAAGGTAAATTATTAAGAAACAAAGGCCTTGTGTTTAGAAACGAGAATTTCTAAAGAAACATCATATGATGCCCCGTAAATCAAATTGTTTCTCAGACGTTATCTGCCTCCAAGCTTTTTGGAAAACTCTTAGCAAATTCTTTATAATCATATATCTAGGCTAAAAATTTCAAGGGTCTGTCATATGCCCGGACCCCTCATTGAACTAGTTTTGGTTTTGAGGACATTTAGTTAGCCTTGAAAAATGAAACGGGAAGTGACTGACAAAGCACATGTTTGTTAAGATGTTCTTTTTTAAGATGTTCTTTAGCACGTCACTTGTCTGTTTGACACTGCTCCACTGGAAGCTGGATTCCAGAGAGAGTTGCAGAGAACTCTTGATATCCTAAGATGGGACGAGCGCTCGTCAATAATCCCGCGGTGGGCATAATTCAATGTGATAAACCATCGCTCTTATGCGAGTTTTTTAACACTGGAAAGTATTGGTTTTTGCTGGATATCCTACCTCTTACGTTACAAGATTTGAATCGACTTTTCTACTTGACTGATTTTGCCATGCTTGTCTTGGGAAACCATCATTTCAAGCTGTAGCTTGTAGCTAAGAGCAAAAGGATATTTTGTCATTTGTAAATATACTGTATTTAGATGTTCGATTCACTAATCGCATATAGAAATTTAATTATTTTGGAGCAAGAATTGCAAGCCTCGTCAAAATGTTTAGGGCCTTGGTTGTGTCCAGTGAGATGCTTCAAGTAGATGACGAATTTCTACTTTGGGACTTTATTTAAATTTGGAAACAAGCCCGTTCAACGCGATCCTTTTAATGTCGAGGGGCGTCTGTTCTTGTTTAAGTGTAGATAGATTAAAGTGGACAATTTTCAATTTTTTATTTAATTTGGTTAGTATCGATTAATTAAAGAATTTTTGTGGAGACTTGTAGATTTTGTTGTTGGTTTCAACCTTATATTCATTTTACGAATATTTTTGGGTTTGTAATTGTGTCATACTGCTTAATGTTTCTTTAGAGTTTCTTTTACACTAAGATAAAAACTGTTGATCCATGAAGAAAATTAGTACACCCCATTTATATGTTTATTTATTTATTTTGCAAATAAATTATTTCCTTGAAAGTGGACATAAACTACAAAACATTACGCAACTATGCTATGTCAATGAATATCTTTTTAAGAATTGCAGGTAATGAGCCTGAATTGCCCTTTTCACCGACCTCCGTGCTCGTTTAAGGGTTTTTTTGCTGTTTTTGGCTTCTGTCAAGTGGGTATCTTGAAACAGCTCACTGCTTAAGAGCTACAATCATCGTTTTAAATGACCAAGCTACGTATCCAACAGATCCAACACGGTACATGCGGTTTTTGTTTAGCCCCAATTAATATTAAGACAAGTTAAGATATCCAACGCCTGCTGGCCTTAAAAAGTTCACCTTTTATATTGTTTAAGGATCTATTCGTCAGTTTTCTCGGAAGCTGTTGTTTGGCGTATTCGAAAACATTTCATTTTGTGACCTGTGAAGATGATTCAAGTTAGCTATTCTCCGAAGGGAATGCAATTTTCGTTAAAGGGAGAACGTCTGAAAGGTTATTCTGTTTAGCTGCCGCATAACTATTTTACGACTCGGATAAAGTTACTCTTGAAATTGAATATTTCTGAAGGACAAAAGGTTAGCTTCGCTATGCAATCTTTGTGTTTAATCTTTATGTAGCACTTTCTGACAAATGATGAATCAATTGAAATAAAATGGGGGGATCCACTGGGGGAATTCCATCTGTAAGAAGTTTCTCATTCTGATATCGAGGTTGTTTCATCACGAGGTTAGAAATACGTATTCTTGAATTATCAACAGGCCTAAAAACTATCAGCTGTTCGAAAGGAAGTTTTAAAAATGTCTGAGGTTGAAACGCTGAGAAAAAGGGTAAAGGAACTTGAAGAACAACTGGCAAGTTGCAATGCTACCTCAGTATTTAGGAATAAGATTGAGAAGATGAGTGCTGAGGTTGTTGATTCAAATCCATACAGTCGGCTCATGGCACTGAAACGAATGGGGATTGTCTCTGATTACGAACGAATTCGTGATTATACCGTGGCTGTAGTGGGTGTTGGAGGTGTTGGTAGTGTTACTGCTGAGATGCTTACTCGATGTGGCATTGGAAAGCTCATACTTTTTGATTATGACAAAGTTGAACTTGCAAACATGAACCGACTTTTTTTTAGGCCAGAACACTCGGGGATGAGCAAAGTAGAGGCAGCAGAGAGAACACTCAAGGAGATAAACCCTGATGTTGAATTTGAAGTTTTTAATTACAACATTACAACAGTAGATAATTTTGACCATTTTATTGCCAAAGTTAAAACAGGTGGACTACAGGGACAGGCTGTCGATTTGGTACTCAGTTGTGTTGATAACTACGAAGCAAGAATGGCCGTGAACACTGCATGTAATGAGCTGGGTCAAAGCTGGATAGAAAGTGGAGTGAGTGAAAATGCAGTATCTGGTCACATTCAGTTCATTGTCCCAGGCGAAACAGCATGTTTTGCATGTGCTCCACCCCTGGTTGTTGCATCAAACATTGATGAAAAGACCTTAAAGCGAGATGGAGTTTGTGCTGCCTCACTTCCAACTACAATGGGTGTTGTTGCTGGGTTTTTGGTCCAAAATACATTAAAGTATTTGCTTAATTTTGGAACTGTTACATTCTACTTGGGTTACAATGCAATGCAAGATTTTTTTCCTCAGATGACCATGAGACCAAATCCACAATGTGAGGACAGAAATTGTCTAAAGAAGCAAAATGAATACAACATAAAACTTGCAGAGATGAAAAAGAATGGTGATAATTTGAAAGCTAGTACTGACGAGCCAGAGGTTGTCCATGAAGATAATTCCTGGGGTATTTGCTTAGTTGATGAGTCAGCAGATGTGGAAGAAGCACCAATGCCAAAGCTTACAGAGGGGATATCATATGCATACACTGTACCTGATGTTGTTGAAAATAAAGATGAATCCACTGGGATCTCTGACACTAATGAATCTTTAGATGACCTAATGAATCAGTTGAAAGTAATTTAGATCAGAACCTCCTCGCATACATCATTAATTATATTTTAAAATGTTTTTCCTTCAAGGTTTTCCCTTAAAAAACCATTCCATAACTGACTTTACAAGTAGCTAATTCTTTAAAAAGTTCTTCCTGACCAAATTCTTTCAAGAGGCTGTCTTAAATGTTGTTGAATCACTCTCAGGAAGCTAACATTCAGAATATTTGTCTCAACCCTTTTCCAAGTAGATTTCTGCCAGTTCTGTAATACTTTCTAACATATTCATATTTTAGATAAAAGATTTAGGCATCTAGATACACTTTAAGTCAAAGAAAACATACAATGATAAGTGGTTTCTGTGTTAATTAGATATTTATAGGGTTTATTTATGCATATTTATCAATCTAAATTGATGCGCTGAAATAATCATTAAATGGACCCAAAAATCAAATATATAAAATTATTTTAATTTTCTTGTGTGATCAAACTGTGCCTTTTCAAAGTTATCCAAAAATAAGATTAATATCTTGTATAGACAAAAACCTTAATCTTTAAAGACAAAAATCTGCCATGTGCTTTGTGTTTAAAGGAATCTTTCTCATATAAAGCTGCTTTTGTTTTCATCTTTCAATACTTCAACAGTTAATACTAAGCAATGTTTTTAATATTTTTCCTCCAACTATATTTTATTCATTTCCTTTTGCAAAACCCTGCAGCTTCAAGGATAATTTTTAAATCCTTAGTAATAGTGTTATGTCTTAAAAACCTTCTATTTCTATTCAATAACAAAGAAAGGCAGGATGGAGATTAAAAAGCAAAAATGTCTGTCAGTCTTTCATGTGTTCTATATACATTTATTTACAAAAATTCTTCAAAAAGTATTATAAACTGATGAATTTTACATTAACAAAATTGATATGAAACAATAATCCCTGGCTTTTGGTACAAAAATTTTTCAAGGAAAATTTTACAAACTCACAATGCTCTGTCTTGTTGGATAATACAAATGGATTATGTTAAAATGTCTCATCAGAACACCCACATCCAGTTTGTATAGTTTTCTATTATCATATAGCAAACCAAATATTTGCTGTGACACAAGCTAGTAGAAATTAAAGTATGTTTGGAATATTTACTTATTTAGGTCCTTAACTTATATAATGATTTTCATTAAATCAAGAATAAATATTAAATTCTTGAACATAACAGTGATTAATATGTAACAAATTCAAATAGCTTTTATCTGTACAAGTACCTGGAAATGAAAAAGGGAAAATCTTTCTTAAAATATTTCACACTATTAATTTTGATCCATAGGGAAGTCTGTTTGTGGTCCATCTTCAGATTCTTCAAAATCATCATACTGATCGATGTCACGCAAATCTTGCACCATGAGAACTGCAAGGAAAAATTGATTGGTGGCACAAATGATGATAATAACCAATTTATAAGATACCTCCTTTATGAAAATAAATGCCAAAGGGGTTTACTGATTTTTCAAACTGATGTTTTTAAAAACTTGTTATAGCGTAAAAACTCTTTTAAGCCCCCAGGGGGCTCATCTATTTTTTTAGAACTAGAGGGGAATTAAAAAAAGGGTGCTTTATTAGAGGGGGGTTTTAATAATTCAATGTAAAAAATGTTATAAAAATGCTGTCGTGCATTTTTTGTTATGAAATGTCATACAAATGTTCTCAAAAACTTAGCTAGCAGCTTCAACAGTTTCTTAAAATCAATCAACTATAATGATGTTATCTTCCTCAGAGTCACCAGGATCAATTGATATCCCTTGGGACATCTTCTAAGCAAGTTTCAACCCTCTTCTACGACACCGAAGTAAATATTTAAATGGGCTGTGTCTCATGCAAACAAACTCTTCATCACCACACCCGTCAAGAGACCAACTCAATGCACACGATTTCTTTGCTTGATTTAAGAGGAATCTGGGGATTTAAGAGGGGAGCTTAATAAAGAAGGGGGCTTTTTAAAACTTTTGCTTGATAGAGCGTTTATGGTAATTCCTTTGCGCAAAAACTAACAAATCGGTTTCTTTATATTTCCAGCCAAAAACATTTCAGTCTTTACTCAAAATAACCTTTTCATCAAGTCATGATTGCCCATGCCAACACCCTTGCCAAATTATTGGCACAACAAGATAAAGTAATAGAACTAAGATTGTTCGCATTCCCATTCCCTGTGGAATGCGCTCTATTTTCCATAACAAGACCACCTTTGACAAGAGCAAGCCTTGATAAAGCATATAAGCCATTGCTCTTACATTTCTGTCATGTTTTAGTAGAGTTTCTAGCCACTTTTCCTTGGCCATTTTTTGTGTTATGATGGATGTTGATAAAACCCTTTGTTTGATGGAACAATAATTCAAAAATAGAGCTTGCCAAGGAAGAGTTGCTAGAAACTGTACAAAAATATGATAAATATGTAAGAGCAATGGCTCATTCACCTCGTCAAGGATTGCTTTTGTCAAAGGCGGCCTTATTCCGGACAAAAGATCCTGTTCCACAGAGAATCGGGATGAGAAAAGGGAGGTAAATCAAGGGGTTTTAGTTAGACCATTTTCAGTTCTATTATTTTATCTTGGCATAAAAGCTAATGAATACTCTTGCCAAAAAGCCTCTGCCAGCAAGAGCAATTACAGCAAAGTGAATTCCTCTAAATCTCAGTATTCCTGGGTGAAAGTTGCTAATGAAAACAAAGCATTATTGCCTCATTATTCACATTTCATTTCATTACATAACACAGTTTCTTACAAATCAGCTGTAATCATGCATTTAGAAAAGGCTAGGCAATCATGAGCTATTGATACCACTAATACCCCCTCAGGACCTGGAGGGCTTCTCCTTTAACAAATATTTTTGGATGGGCAACAGCTCTAAGTACTCATCCACCCAGGCAGTTTGTAGTCCTCGTTAAAATTTTTTTCATGAAAAGGCCATTAGATAAAACAAATTGCTCTAAATATAATGAATTCTCTAATAAATTTTACCTTCATTTTCACTAATTGAAGGAATTCTTCGGTACAGGCGAATTGTTCCATAGATCAAATCGAGATATTGCCATTCCACCTCAACTCTATGATCCATGAAGTTCTTATCACTCAAACTAACAAGTGATAAAAGTGACATCCCTTGTCTGAGCAGAAGAAACATTTTGCTACAAAAACAAGGAAATTGCATGACTGACTTGAAGTGAGAGTAGTAAAGAAAAAATTAAATATTTTGTAACGTAATTATTTTGATGTGAATGTTTTTCACGTGTATCAAAGTTAAATGAGATTATCTTTTTTCAAACCTGAAAATCAAGGAACACTTCTCCCTTTGGCCTGAAAGCAGGGGCATTCCCATTGTCATGAGTTCCTCCTGCTACAAGGCAGGATGATAAAAACTTTGGGGTATTAAGTGGATGTTGACAAATAGGGTGATTATTCAAAAGTAAAATTCTGATGGGCTTGCTAAACTCCCAACATAGCAGCTTTAACACTTACTGTTAGAAGACAATAGGGATTACTTTGTCAAATTTAGTCATGTTTCAGGTGCTAGTACACCTGGGCCCATAGTAACCCCAAGCAATGGTGAGTTTTGATTATGCTATTTCTAGTTTTGAGGTAATATTTCAAACAAAATTGGATGGTGAAAAGTCTCAAACAAATAGAATATGAAGCATGGACAATTTTTAGGTCTATATATCTGCACTCTTTAAAAAATAACAAACAAAAAAGGGTTAAGGTTGTGGAATAAAGGCAAACCTTTCCATGAGCATGTGGTTCTTATCTTGCAACAGGTAATCTTTCCTGATGTCCTTATATTCTTTAAAAAGCATTAAGACCAAGGATTTTGTGAGCTGAAATAAGCAACTACAAATTTCAACAAATATTTATGCTGCAAATCATTTAGTGCTAAAAGGACTTAGTGTTATGTGTATAAATTATTTTTGAAACAAATTTACTTAAAAATAGATTGAAAATATGTTTTGTGAAAGAGCTTGCTGTAACCTTTAATGATTAATATTTTTACCAATTGTTTTAATTTAACAATACTTAACAAATTATTTAGGTTTTCAAAAATACAGTTTAAACATCCATTCACAATTCAGCTCTCTTTGACTACTTATAAATGAAAACAAAATTTGTCCCATGCACCAACCCAAAAATCTTTGCTATGAAAGCAAACTATTATAATACCCTTCTTGGATGATATTTAGCTGAAATATTTAAAAAAATAATAGATCTACTGGAGTTTTTTAAAAAAAGGGGATTGGAATGAGTAAAAATAAATTCTAAAAAATCAAGTGCATCTGTTTAACACTCTTAAAATGATGGCAGAAAATATATTCCAGTTTCAAAATGCAAGACACTAACCTCACTGCGGCATTCACAGTCTGAATCTAGTATAACCCTCAGTGACTTTGGACAGCAAGATATGATAGTGGAGACAGTGTGGACAACCTGAAAGCATGGTTGCTATGCATCAGCACTCCACGTGTAAATATGCCTATTTATACTTTACTAAAATCGGGTTCTCGATATAAGATAAAATAATAAAATAGTAAATATATTTTAAAGTAACATTGCACATTTGTTTTTGATATGTGCCATCCAACAACAAAGTACAAAAAGGTTGTCATTTACTTTGTAGTTTTTCAAAAAAGCTAAAAAAGCTACAAAGAACCATTTCATAAATACCTTTATCTTAAAAGGGAGCGTATTGTTACAAAAATATTTGAACAAACCAAAGGAGTACTCTTTCAATTATCTTAATTTGATGGTTGCATGACAAGAAGTTATCATTACAGAATGTTGCAAATAAAACATAAAATTTAAAAGTGAAAGAAGATTTCATACATAGTCAAACATACTTCAAGTTTAACATCTTTCCATTGCAATTCTGTGCAATCCTCTAGCTTTTTCACAAAAACTTTATACAGCGCATTCAGTGGACAATTAGCTGTCAAAGAAAAATAATATCAAAAATCATGGAAACTGATTAGAAGAAAGGTGGGAATTCTAAATCAGCAAAGCTGAATTAGGGTTGCTTACAGATACTTGATAAAAATCACCAAGCTAAATTTTGAACCAGATAGAGTACTAATGTCTTAATTAAGTGGAAAAGTGTATAAACACATTCTGAGCCAGTTAGGTACAATCAAAAGCATGCAGAAAAATTTAAACCACAAAGTCAAGTAGAAGCCAGGGCATTGAAAATAATGGTCTACAGATGAAGTCACACTGTTTAATCTTTGGCTATGGTAATATCTGGATATAATCGTGGATATGGTAATATCTCTGAATATATGTTACATGCTTCACACTTTGGTTATACAGAAGTACCACAGCAGTGATGTGGCTAGACAATTTTGTTTGGGGAGCGTTCAGGAAAAAAGTGACCCACTTTACTTTTTCTTAAACGAAAAGCCAATTTTAAGGAGATCTGCAAAAATGAACTGCAGCTTCTTTTGAGCTCCTCGTAACAATAATTTCAGCTTATACAATGTCCTCTTATCTATAAAATTTTATAAGAATTGAAGGGAAAATATGGAGGAAGGCCGCCAAGAGGTTTTAGAGGCTCTGGGGCAAAATGGAAAGACAATGTGAGCAGAAAATTCTTGCGATCACAGCCTTCAGATAAGCTTAAAATGCATCTCAGAAAAATTCTTGCAGTTATTTCTTATTGTCGTTAGCTTGCTCCTTATAGCAAGTTATTTGCGATACACTCTTTTTTTGTACGAACTAGTGGATTCGAGTTTAGGTTGACTGTTTTTTCAAAAATATGAGAGTGGATTGTTCTTAATTCGTTCCTAACTTAATAGGTTGTAAGCATTGCGATTGCTAGCGTTTTCGCTCAAGAGAGGTGTTGGACTATGAGAGTGGATTGTTCTTAATTCGTTCCTAACTTAATAGGTTGTAAGCATTGCGATTGCTAGCGTTTTCGCTCAAGAGAGGAGTGAGACTGTCTTCATTTGCCCACAGGATTGAATATTCACCAAAAAGAACCCACATATGGCTAAAAGTCCTCGTTTTTACGATAAAATGTTGTTTAAAATTGCATTTTACAGTAGCTCAGCCTCAGCTTGTTCTTAATTTGTTTTTAACTTTTGACCAATTTGAGGCTTGTTGTTCTTATAAAATTGTTCTTAAAAAAAGAATGTATTACAAAAAAGAAAGTTGACAATGACCAAGCATGACCAATAAAATAAATGAATTGTAGGTTTAAATTTGGTCAAACTTCCTATTTAATGCTAAGGTTCCCACTGCATGACCAACTTTCTTGAAGTCTGTTTCCAAAAAAAAACTTCCTGCTTTTGATACCCAAAATGTTTGGCCATTTCCTCGAAGAAGTCCCTGTTTTTAAAGTTTAAAAATAGGGCCAATTTGACTTACAAAAACTCGGAAAATCTGGTGCAAGAGATCTGAGGTGTCCAAAAAGGCTGTGTTTTCAACCTGACCATACTGAAGGTTACATTAATTCACAAAAATTTCAGACAGTTTAATTTCGGACCAAAAAATTTTCATTTTGGCCAATTTCAGACAAAATTTCAGACAAAATACAAAAGACACAAAAATTTTTGGATAATATTTTCAAGTTTCATAATGCAACACAATAACATGATCTCAAACAAAAGATAAATGATTAAGTATCTGGATACAGTTTTCATTTGTATCAAGGTTGAGAAACAGGTCTTCTGGTTCAATTGTTTAAGTACTAGCATCATCAATTCAAAGCCGTTTTTGATCAGATCTGGTTTGTTTTGCTCTTGCTTAATCAATGATCTTGAATGTAAAGACTTGGAAGAAATGATTCTGATTTCCTTGTCTATAGCAGTAACAGTTTTTAGTTTCATCTGAACAGACAATTATTATCTTGATTTCTGAAGATGCAATTAAAGTTTTAAGAAGCTATTGGTTGCAGTGGCTGGCATGTGTATGGTAAAAGTGTTCTAATTTACTTAAACAAGGAAATGGCTGGGGAATCAATGTTCTGACAAAGAAGCTTGGAATTTTTTGCAGAGGGAACCATTTCCAAACACAGAAAAAAGTGAAAGAGAAAATTTGGAGGAATCAGGGGTGCTAAACATGCTTGATGGTGAGCATACTGATGACTGATGAAAATAATTATGAATCATGCAAGTCCCATGGCAAGGATAATCCTGCTGAATTTTTAGTTGATGACCCAACACTACACCTAGCATGCATTTTTAAGTGATAGCTAACAAAACTACAAATGTTTACACTTTCACATAACTGAAGTTTCGCATCCTCTTTTTAAACTATCAACATTGCCTGGCCATTAAATCATATCATAATTTTAGGGAAATAAACTTCTCAAAAGTTCTATATTGTTTATTGGCAGCAAAACTTTTAGATGGTAAAAGATTTGGATGGCAAAATTTCAGACTGTGTATTTGTGCGAAAATTTTAATCCCAAACTTTTTGCGGATTATTGTATCACTTTCAAATTGATTTAAAAACGAATATCATGAAGCATTTACCTGAACCAGAGCATAAAATACTTTCAAACCCATCAGTGACTGATAAAACTTTCAATATTGCAAGGAGAGCTGAGATTTTCTTTGTGTTCATATTTGATAGAAATGTGCTGAGAAGTTTGCCCTGTTCCAGCATTTTAACCAACCTAAAAGCAAATGAGATCAAGCAATACGACATGTTCAAATACTCAAATACCACAAAAAGCAGGACTGTAAATAAATTATTACCACAATCAAAGTGTTCATAAAAATAAATGAAGTCAAGATATAAAAATTTCAGAACTACAGCTGCAGATTTGTGTAACACACCATGCAAATGATAAGGATCAGACTGTTTGAAAACACTAAAAAACGCTACTTTATTTTGAATAATAATTAAATTATTATTGAGTAATTTTTTGAAAGGGATTTGAATTATTTAAATTATTAATTTACTTAAAATTATTTGGAAGAAGATGCCATGCCAGAGTATCTTATATAAGTAATAATATAGTCATAAGCATTGTTGAATGAAAATCAAACCTGCATTTTCTATGTAGAACAATACAACTGCAAAAATCAAGCCTTGCAAGGAAAGAGAGAAGCTAAATGTGTGATGTTGACTTACCCAATTTTTGATATGTTCCTACAAGAGGACGATAAGGAAACCAGAACTTCAAAAATACTTTCTTTGATAACGTCAGGACACTAGAATTTAATCCAAAGATACATGGCTACTAATTTCAATGCAAATTAACGACTTATAGAAATAAATATATTTTAAAAAGGTTTTGTTGTATAAAGAGAGAGATCTGGTAAATTTGACAGGAATACGAAGAGCACAGGAAGAGCAGTGAAAGGAAAAACAAAACTAAACATTAAATTTAGTAATTTCATTTTGTGTGTTACTTGGAACTTTAAAAACTCAGGAACCAAAATAAGATTTTAAGCAACCTTTAATTAAACTGACAAATAAATTTTCTCTTACCTGTTTATAGGTTACAATCACAGACAAATGATTCATTATATCTTCAAAATTTTCAAGTTCCACAGTGTCAGAGAGTGGTTTTGGAGGTTTTAATTGGTCATGATAATTACAGATCTTGACCTTGGAACTTTGATTCTTCTGAAAGAAAATGACAAAAATATACAAAAATCATCATCATTATTATTGTAATTTAAAGTCACTCTTGTTTAATTTCTGGGCCCAGACTTGCAATGACCCTCCTTCAATTCATTTTGAGCACAGCAAGAGCTAGATTGACTCTCTTGATATACTTTTTATCTGCCAACTGGTCTCCTATGCATACATGACCAAACAAGTTGGAGAAAAAGGAACACAAGCCTCTATAAAACATGCAAAAATGAATTGATTTCCTTATAATAAAGAAATAATATTCATTCTCTCTAAGTTTCACTGATAAAATGGGCTATAAATGTTTCCTTTGATTTGAAAAATAAGAAGTGTCATTTTTGCATCATAAAATGTATAAATTTGTTGTATCAAGAAAATCCACATTTCAGTTAAAAAAACCTTAATTATTCCAAAATACCAGAGGACCAGAAGATACCAAAATTATTCAAAAAACCTTTAATATCTTGATACCAGACTCTTGATCAATTTGGAAACTTTTTTCAGAATTCACTCTGACTCTCTAAAATTTTAATAAAACTTAATAATTGTAAAACTTAATAATAAAAATAATTGTAAGAGATATTTCTTCCTGAATTTTTCCATAGATACATTATTCTACAGACAGGGGTGGCACCAGAAATCTTCTGACAGAGGGGCTGGAGCTTCCGCCAGGGGGGCTAAAATGACTTAAATAAGCAGTTTTTGTATGCTATTTTGTCAAATTTGCTGCGACAATAACCTCAAATTTCCTCTGATGGGGGGCTAGATGCTTCTGACGGAGGGGCTGTAGCCGCCCCTAGCCCTCTCCTGGCACCACCAGTCTACAGATAATTTATGTTTTTTGTATTTGTTTCTACCTAGCATCCGAAGGTAGTTTTTAGGACACTGAGAAATTTATGCTTATCAAGCAGTGTCCTGGTCCTTCCTCATGATGTGACCACACCTCATGATTCCTATGTCTGGAATTACAGAGAACTGGTGACTCTCCTCAATCTGGGTGAAAGTTTGGTCATATCAGGGACTCAAACCACAGACCCTTGGGTCTGCAGTCAGCGCCTCTAACAACCGAGCCATCCTCACACAGAGGAAGACCTTCTTTTAACTATAATAAGCAAAAAAGTGATTTCAGGCACTCTTAGCTAAAACAAACCCAAAGGATCAAAGTGAGCCTACTCAATGGAATTCTTCACCTAAAACAAACACATTAGAAAAAGGCCATCCACTTACATGATCTTTAGTCCCCTTCTGATTATTGTTCAAAGATTCCAAGAAATATCCTTGTATCGAAACATCATGTTTTACTGTGATCCTTAGTACAGATAATACCACAATTCCAAATTTTAATTCTGTTTTGTTTCTCAAAGGATTCCCTTTTTCAACATTTGACACAATACAATTATTCCCAACATCTTCAGATTCTTCACAAAGAAGATCAACATCTCTAGGTTTAGAAATGTCTTTTACGTATTGTGATAGCTTAGCTAAGTGTGGTTCTATCATCTCAACAATGCTCACAGTACTCCTCAGGCCCATCCCTTGTAATTCCAGGATACATTGGTGGATAAAGCTATTTCCCATTGAACCAGTCAGGTCTGCTTCACTTTCAAAGTTCAATTCAGGTAAATTTTTATCAGAATAACTAATATTGTCTAATGGGGCTGCGATTAGATGTAGAAGCTCTTTTTCTATTTGAATTTGACCATGATTCATAATATCAAATCTCTTCTTTGCTGCATTAAGAAGTTTGTACTTATGATCTGTATGTTCAATCAGTTTTTTGGTTTCAGCTTTTCTCATATTTGGAGATGCTGAATCTCTTTTAGCAAAAGTTGTATTGTCAAATAAAGAAATCGTTCTACTTGTTGAAGGGCTTGGATGTGCAGAAGTTCCTAGGTGAGCAATTTTTTCTGCATCCTTGATGCTGTTATACTTATGCCTTGATTCCTTTATGTCCTGTATTTCTTTGTTTTTGAATTGTAATTGGGTTTGCAATTTTTCAATTTCTCTCTCAAGCCTCTTCTGGCTTTCACTTTTTTCTCCTGCAGTATTTCTTTCAATCTTTTGAATTTGTGTTCTTAAATTATCTCTCTCTTCTTGTGCTCGGCCAAGATTCTGCCTAAGAATTTTTATTTCACCATCTTTGGCAAACATTGATTCTTCCATTGTTTTAAATTTGTCTTTATAATCATTTATTTCAGCTTGAGGCTGGTGTGTCGCTGACTGTCTTTGCTTTTTATCAACAATAGTTCTATCAACGGTTTGACCTGTACTAAAAAGGTCAAGTGTTTTTTCTTGACAGTTCTTGACAGATATAAATGTATGAACCTCATCCATGGAATTTTTTGTTGGTTTGATCTTTTCTTGCATCTGTTGCGACGCTTCAACTTCCAGTGTGTTCAGATAGTCAACAGTCAAATCTTTTGAAAAATCGTCATTATCAAGGTCTATCATAATATCATTGTCAAATTCATCGATGTCCTCATACAATTCACCGACCATAATGTCATTGTTAGCAATTTTTGTCCTCTTAGCTGGTGATTCAAATTTACTAAAATCTTTATAAGGATTTTGACGTAAGTTACGAATGCTCGTTGCGACAAAGTTGCCATTTCTTTTTGGTGATTTAGGGACGGCCGATTCTTCTTTTTCTTCATTTTTAGCTTTACCTTCTAATCGAGAGCCAACGCGCTTGAAAGTGAACTTGCCTCTTCTACGGAAAGCAGACATGTCTTATGAAATTTATTTTCTTCAACGTTTTCTTCATGGACCACACTAGCAGCATTATTAGGCCAGCCAGCCAATAACCTCGTGGTGGTGAAATTTGTGTACGAGGCTTTTTTCGCGCCAATTTTCAATAAAATTTCTGTTCCGCCTATATTCTGTTTTCAAAGCCTGCAAAAGTAGCTGAATTTCTTAAAACATTTTCATATTCCCGGTTTTATCTTTCAAATAAATCTCTTAATTGATTACAATAAAAGATGAGCTTTTTGAAATATCGCTCCGGCTGCTTGATTAAAAAAAACTCTGATCCTTATCAAAGAATTCTTTTTTAAAGATTTTCTATCTTTAAAAGAGCTTCTCTTAAAATGATTTTTTATTGGATACATTGGAAGATGCAATGAAAAACAAATTGCTAAACCATCTAAACCGTTCAGTAGCGTGTGCTCTGAGCTTGTAATTAAGGATCGATTTGCAGGTGCTCTGACGAAGTGACAAGAGAGGTAGAGACTCGTAACAACAGATTTTGCAAAATAGCTCTTACCGGTGGTCCTGTTGTGGTAGAAAGTAAAATAAAATCCTCACGGAGGCATTAATTTTTTATTTTGCTAACAAATGCTCTTTATGATTTGACACATTCAATATGCAATATTTAGATTATGTGGAAATGTGTTGAAAAGGTTTGCGACTTTGCCCTTCAGATTAACTTTCAATTCATTTTAGAACCTTTCTTTCAGTCATTTTCCTGCAATCGTTTCGTTTGAAATGTTAAGACATACATTTTTCATTTTTATCATCAATTTTTATTATTTTTAGACAAACATTTGTTACGTCTGATTAATTTCATTCTTAAAATGGAACTAATTACTTTATGAGGCCCCATAGACTTTGAGGCCATGGGGCAATTCGTCCCCTTCCCCTCCCCCCTCGGTGATCCTGACAATGACTAAAGGTGAACAGAGCTGAATCAGCAGGTGAGACGTTTCATAAAACAAACATGATAGATGACTTGAAACTGTACGTAACAACCATTTCTATGGTAACAACGTATATCTCTGGTCTTATTAAACCTATATTTCTATTTGATTAGTATACCGTAACTCCTCTAATAAACGTAATTAACAGATCCACATTTGAGGGAATTTGGGGGATGAGGCGCCCGTTTGAAGGCGGCGTTCATTAAGTTTTGGACTATTGTAGAGGGTCCTAATTCGAGTGAGGCGCTATTCGAAGGGGGCGCTGATTCGAAGGAGGTGCTGATTCGAAGAGGGTGCTGATTCGAAAATGTACGCTATGCTATTTCCACAAGAATGCAAATCACATCTATATAATCTAGATAATTTCACAGGCAATATCTATTCTTTTTCATTCAACTTAGCCTTTGTTGTATGTTTAACAGCCATACTTCCATCTGAGATATTTATGGAATATGTCCAGTCATCAAAACCTGTTGTCTGGAGCTTCTCGCCAAGAACATCTTGCAAAAGCTTCGCAGGGTGGCTGGATCCTTTATCATCGCCATAAAATAGCCTAGCTTCATTGTAAATCTCCTCCACAAGTGAATGTAACTTCAACGGCACTCCTGACTCACGGGCTATGTTTCTACCCAATGCTAGATCTTTGCAGTGCAATTCCAAAGAGAAATCCGGATCAAAAGTGCCGTTAAACATGAGAGGAGCCTCTGTTTCAATAACGTAGCTGTTTCCTGCACTAAATCGCACTGCCTCAAAGAACATTTTCAGATCAATTTTGTTGCGTTTGGCCATCATGAAAGCTTCTCCCATGCAAACAAGATGCGAAGCGGCCAGCATGTTTGTTATAATCTTTGTCACAGTGGCTGTTCCCAAACCCCCAAGATACAAAACTGTTTCGCCACTCATTTTTAGCAGAGGCAAAAACCCTTGATAGAGTTCTTTCTCCCCACTCACTAGAACCGTCATCAGGCCTTGTTTTAGAAGTGCCATTCCCCCTGTTACAGGAGCTTCTAGAAAGTTAACCCCAATTTCCTTGCATTTCGCTGCAAGATTCAGTGTTTGGTGGTAATCTAGAACAAAAAGACACAAACATCACCTTCTACTTCTAATGCGTTACAATGACTACTGCAATTGCACATTTTTGAGTATCTATAAATAGTGTTTTTTAGTTAACAGGTTGGCAGTCGACAAACTTTAATCAGAGGGAAAAAGCCCGATGTAAGCATCATGCAAGGCTAATTATGTTCAGCAATTGCTTGGAAATGGGGGGGGGGGGGGGGAGGGACATACGATGTGAAAAAGAAGAGAAGCTTTTTTCTAGGAGATAGGACTGTCTGTGATTTTTAGGAACATGAACAAAGAGCAGAAACAGGCGATTAGAGGTCTGTTCTGGGACCGACCCGAAAGGGGGGGGTAGCATTTAGACCCATCGAGAGGGCAACACTCAAGTAAAAGGAACATGGCTGCTGATCATAATTATGATCTTAAATGAGCGTTCCATTGATGCGATTGATTGTATCATGGAGCTGGAAAAGACAATTTATGGCATACTTGTAAGACAATTTGTGGCAAAGATCATTTGAGCTAGAGTCGAAGATCATCTTGTGTACTGCATCTTCTCTTGTGTACTTGCAAGAATGCAGCTTCAATCAAAGTGGTGCGGCTTTCAGGAAAATCACGAATAACAATGCAAATATGTGAACTGAGAAATAACACTCAATGTACATTTCACACTTTCCCTGATGATAAAAAGCCTCAATCGACGCTCTACGTGTGATGTTTTCCCTATATTTTAAATGGTTTGGTAAAATCTATAGAGTTGTAATGCCCATTGCACTGTGTATTATTGTTATTCTCTTCAAAAGTGGTGCAGGCGCGAATCTAGCTAAAAATTTGACTGTCGCACAAGACCACGTATGGGTTAGAGGGCGTGGTCATCAATTTTTTTTATGAGCCACGCCCTAAATCGTTTCAGAAATTCGCACAAAACCAGAAAATCGCAACCAGACCAATAAAAACATGTTAAGTACATTATTTCTAGCAACCCTACCAAGTTTCATCCTATTCTGATCAGCCTGGCAAAGGTTTTTGAAGGTGATAGATATTCGAGATCGCTGTTATAAGGCATTAGTATGAAGCTCGATAGAGGGTCGTTTTAGAAATTCGCACAAAACCAGAAAATCGCAACCAGACCCAAAAAAACATGTTAAGTACATTATTTCTAGCAATCTTACCAAGTTTCATCATATTCCGATCAGCCTGGCAAACATTATTTAGGGAGATTTTTGCAAGTTTTGAAATTTGGGTTTCCCATGATGGGGTTTCCCCGGAGCCTGTTGCTAGTTAAACGGGATGTTCGAAATTTGTAGTTTTCCCTTCACCCTTCAAATTGCTTAACAGTCGAAGGAAAGGTATGTTTTATGTAGTTTTGAGCCGATTTCCCTAATATGGTTTTTCCTTAGCGCCTGAAATCACTTCAAATCAGGTTGTGATGTTTCACTTTGAATGCTTATTTTAGAAAAAAACACTTAGGCCGTGTAAAATTTGTTCGATGTTTTGGCTTACCTTTCGGAGTGAAGCGCGTCTTATTCTAAACAAATTACACGAATCAACAGAGAATCCAACCAGGTTTCTTACTATGAAATATATTTTTATCATTTTTCATAGTTTTTCGTGAGAAGCAATAAAAATCCGAATGTATACATGAATGTCTAACTGAATGTCCCTCAGTGACTCGACTGGAACGGGTCGGCAGACAAGCGTGGCTTTTTGATCCTTTGAAAAATTTTCCAATCCGATAAGATTGCCATTATGCATCAGATCTCCCACGAGCTTTAGGAAATCCATTTTTACCAGATTCAATCGCTTGGGTTCAAACTACCAGACGTGCTTTTTATGAGAAAAGTATGACTGTTGTTGTCTTTTTGAGGATTCGAGCTGCGATGGACAGTGCGGCCACTGTGCAGCTACCTCTGCGTTGCAAATGGCGCACTCTAACAATAGCTGAACTGATAGGGTCGCAAAAACAATGCAAAAACGATGTCCGCGCAGCCCGATAATGTTATGCGACTGGCGCAGCTTGTTTTCTAAAATTTATGCAATCAGATAAACAGAAGAGATGACAAAAGAATTATGCAGGAGAATTTTTTTTTTAATCAACCTGTACTAAATAACGGTTTTCGGTTGATAACAGGAAAATAGCCGTGAAAGATCGTGCAATTGAGCTTCTGTCAAGCAGTTTGGGGGCAATGATCTACAAAATACTGAAAATTAATACTTTTACTGGATTTCCCTATAAAATTGAAAACTGAAATTGAAATTCTGACTGTCGCCTGTAGCCTGCAGATGTTCTGACAAAGTATTCGCAGGATAAGAAAATATCGTTTTTGCAAACATGCAGTGCCGTCGGAACGAAATTCATATTGAAGGGGGGGGGTGGGCTTACAGTTTTAAAATTGTTTGGGGCCTGAAAATGTACTCATGATAAAATAGACAGGCCTAGGCTCATACACCGCTGGCTTCAAGGTTCACTCGCGATCGATCTTTCAACGATCAAGTAAATGTTTATGAAAAAGGTATACTATAGGAAAATCACAGATTTAACTAGGCTATTAGCATCAAATCGAAGGCTAGATACTTACAAATTTCTATTTGCTCTGGTAGGAAATGTTTTTCACATATAAAAACTCTGTCATTTTTCACTCTTTCTTTGAAGGCCTTGCCCAGTGTTTTTCGTCGTTATTTGCCGCTGGAAGTTTAAAAATTCCAATACCTTTCGTTCTACGGGTGCTTCCACAATTAAAAACTGCACAATTATCGCCGGGCATGATAAAATTGACATGATATATATCCACGATCGAAGCATACAAGAGTAGTGGCCGAAGCGTATGTGCTGAAGAGCTTTTGGCAAAAGCACTCGAGAAAATTGTCAGGTTCAACCAAAATGTATTCGTGACCCATGATATGGTAAACCTTGTTTATCCAGATAGAACAGAGGTAAACAATTTACCTGGCAGCACAGAACCATTCATTTTAAAAAAGTACAAAGAGGAGCTGGGAAAACCATATTCCAGAATTTATTTTTATTTGACTAAACGTCAGACAAGTTCATGCTAGATGAAGCATACAGATTTAGTTAGTTAAAAGTTATTAAAGGAAAACTGGAGGGTAGTTTGCGTGCGAATCGTCAGAGCGAATCGTCAGGCCTATATAAATCAGGTCAAACTTAGTGTATGCCGCAGGTCAGACTAAGTGTATGCTGCAACATTTACTTAGTGTGCTGCAGTTATTATGTGACCATGTAAATGAATTTGTGCGTGTGAAATTCATTTTGCAACCGCTTTTGTTTTTGTGTGCGTGCAAAACTTAGTACATGCTGCATGTCCCTTGTGGGCCATCATAATTTTGACAAAGATAATGAGTTTTATGTCAGAAATAAATGGACTGAGGGTTCCAGAGCGTCAAGTGTTTTGAACGGGTTGCAAAGATGGCGTATTGGCGCGGGAGTGCGGAGGAAGAAAGAAAGCGACGACAGTTACATACAGCCAGGTTCCTGTTGAACCTTCGCAGAGGCAAGAAAAAACGATCACCTGTGGTAGAATGATCAATCCACGTGCTTCCTTGTCGAAGGCCAGAAAAAGCACCCTTGTTGCCTAACATTGCTGCTTTGACAGTAACCGGCGTTGGGAGTGCTGTAAGGACAACATCGCTTGCAGCAGCAACGTCCTGTGGGCTTTCCATTTTCGCGATTTTGCCCGGAAAACCCTCCATCGATTCAGGCCTTATGTCAAAAACAGCATGCAGATTCAATTCCGAATTGATGATATTGTTGGCAATGGCCCTGCCAACATTTCCCAACCCAATAATTCCAATTTTGGATGCAGAAGACAGTGGCCTGTGGATGCTGCTCATTTTGCTTCTTTCCTGTGTTTCTTTCTTACTTTCAAAGAAAGACTTGTTTGGTGGGCTGTCTCGCAAGACTGTCTCAGCTACTGGCGCGTAACAACGTTAAGGCACATAATATCTATTCTGTGGTGAAGGTGACAAGGTGACATAATAGAATCGATACTATTGTGAAACCGTGAGACAGAACAAAAAAGTGTTCATATGATATCACGTTTGGTGTGCGTTCAAGGATATTCAATGTATTATTCCATGCAATATTGGCGATACAAATGTCCGAATTGCATAAAAGATCCCCAAAGAGCGAGGCCAAGAACAGTTAATAGCACAGACAGAACAACTCTAAACAATTTAAGGTCTGTTACCTTTGGAAATTTTGTGGTCCGGTCCGACAGGACAAGCGGAATCTTTGGCTTTGCCACTGGTCATAGTCACACACAACAATGTTTAGGCCCCTCTAGGGAGGCCCAGAAAATTTTTAAAACTGAATGTCCTAGATTGGCTAAAAATGCATTTCTGAAACATAAAATGATTAGAATATGATGTGAAAAAACACCTCATGGAGGAATGAAATTTACATTTACTTTTAAGATTTTTTAATAAACATAACGCTTAGTGAGACAATCCTCCCACTAATTCCTGATTTCAAGACCACAATTTGGATTTTCAAAACCACTATTAGTGTACAAGACCACACTAAATTAGGCACTGGGTCGTTGAGGTGATGAACCTGGTGTCTTCAGCGAGAAGCAAATTGGATGCAATACAAACCTTTATAACTAGAAATTTTTTTCTGTCTTCTAGCGAAGAAAGAGCACCAAAATTTGTTCTACAAAACATGCGAACAAAACTTGATCTACTGTTGTATCATATACTGCTGTATAACTTCAAATAACGGTGCTGTCTAAACACGCATTTTGTCAAAGGAAGCTAAGCTTAAGAAAAGTACTCAGTTTATTAATATACTTGGTGATTGTTGTTCTTATAGTCTTTAAAGTGCCTATGCAGCGAAATTTACCGTTCCAATATTTTAAAAGAAATCTATAGAATCCTTCGCCCTTGTTCTTATACAAAAAACAGAATTCCGATAAGTTAAATGGTTCTTTTTTTATTGAGTGTCAAAGTATGCATATTTTGCAGTTGTGTTGCGAAATTTTATTTCCCGCTGTGACGTCACAGTGATGAGTCGAGGCAAAACCATTTAGTCAGGTCTGTTAAATCACTTATTGGGTCGAATTGTGCAAATTGTGATACTAGCATGAAACTTTGCAATAATGGACAGTTTGATACGCTGAAAAAGATAGGATAGGGAACCGAACTGAAAATTGCCCCCTTCAGCTATTTTTAGCTGGGGTACTTTGCCCCAAGACTCTAGCGGCGATATCACGATATCTCTGCTGTAAGTGAGTACAATAACATAAAACTTTGTAACAAGTGACAATCTGATACGCTAAAAATGAAAGGAGCAAAAGCCCAACTTGAATTTGCCCCCTTTTCTATTTTTAGACTGGGGTACTTTGCCCTAGACCTTTATTGACGGTATTATCGTATCTCTGTCTCACTTTGGTGGAATAGCATGAAACTTTGCAATAAGGGGCAATTTGATACGCTTAAAAAGATAGGATATGGACCCCCTCCATGAAAATTGCTCTCCTTGTTCTATTTTTAGAGTGCAAGTTATGAATAGGAACCATATCACATCTTTCTCAGCATATCAAACTGCCTTTATATTGAGAATTTCCGTTCTCCGTTTATAGCCAATGGTAGAATTAGGGGTCTGAATCAGAGTACCCCAGTCTAAAAATAGAACTTAGGGGCAAGATATGATTTGGTTCGATATCCAATCTTTTTCTGCATGTCAAACTGCCTTTATATCGAGAATTCCAAGTTTCTATGACCTGGCGTTCTCCGTCTGTGGCCAGGGGTCTGGATCAGAGTACCCCAGTCTAGAAATAGAATCTAGGGGCATTAAATGAATTGGGTTTATTTTACATCTTTTTCGGCCCGTTTAACTGTCTTTATATTGTTTATTTTCAACTTTCTATGAACTGGAATTCTCTGTTTACGGCCAATTGTACAACTAAGGGTCTGGACCAGAGTACCCCAGTCTAAAAATAGAATTTAGGGGAAATTATGAATCGGGTCTACATCACATCTTTTTTTTCTAGTTAAACTGTCTTTTTATTGTGAATTTCAACTTTCTTTGGCCTGGCGTTCCCCGTTTATGACCAAAGGTACAATTAGGGGTCTTGACCGGAGTACCCCAGTCTAAAAATAGATCTTATGGGCAAGATATGATTTGGGTCTATATCATATCTTTTTCAGCGTATCAAACTTGGTGTTTTCTGAAATTTGGATGCTTGTACCACCATTTGCACAATTCTTCTTCATATCTCCGTCACTAGAACCTATTCTGTACAACCGCAGTTTCCTGATTGCTGTGGCCGGACTCATCACTGTGACGTAACAAACTGGCCTTGATGCAAGCACTACCTAATTTCAAACTCTGATTAAACACACTTTTGCTGGTCAAATTATGACAATTTTGGTGTCAAACTGACTACTAGTAAAATCATTCCTATCTGATCTTTAAAAAAAGGACTTTGAAGGTGACCAGTACTGAGGTCATCTTAAGGATTGGTTTATAATATAATAATATAATATTTTCCATTCTTCCAATACGTCACATTTAGGCCTTTGTTGCAATTATAATATTCATGCATGGAAATGCTGATAAAACAAGAATCTATCTTTTTGCCTTTCTTGGCAAGAATAGAAGTGAAAAGACTGCTGCTATTTCAATATCTTCGGTCTTCGGTTTCACTCGCTCACTATGTTGTTGAAACTTTCGCTTTTCCAGGCAACATAGAATATACCAGTACCACCTTCATTGACACTTAATATCGAAATGGGATCACACTTTCAAGGCTTATTTTCCTGATTTGGGCGACCTTTCCAAAGTGAGGGATCCAAAAAAGAACCCCTTCCTAAAGGGCAAGTAGGCATTTTAACTTTTTTTCTGAAAATTGGTGGCGATGTACACCGGTTCCTACGTCTATGGTTTCTAAATAGAGAACCATGGATGTTCTTTGTCTCTCTCACCACCAACATCCTTTTCTAGCTAATAAAAACTTTAACCATCACAATTCCAAAAAGAAGGATTTCCGTTCAAAATTGACATAAAAACAGGACATCCCTATTTTGGGGGATGAAATAAAAAAGAAGAATGAATAAGAAAGCCGCTTAAGAAAGCTAAGTAAGCCATGCTTTTAAACAACAACATTTCTTTTATACAAGCTGACATTATCTACCTTAAACATTCACAATGCACTAACTTATTCAAACTAATTTGACATAATTAATATATTATACAGTGAACAGACGAGATGCTTCTGGGTTTGTAGAACCTCTCGGACTATACGTGTTACAACAGCTTACGAAGAATTTTATATCACCAGTCATGAAAATAAAGAAATTATTCCTCATCTTCTAGTCGCAAAAGTAATGCTCTTCATTACCTACTTATTTTATTTTCCCAAAATCTGGAAGATTCCACCATGACAACTGAATACGCCTGAATACCTAGATACTTCCATTGGTACCATAAACATGGGGATTTGGAGAAATGAGTTTCTCTTGAGTACTCTAATCTAAAACAGCTCACAAAAAAGCACAATGCCTCCTATATATTTAGAAAAATAGTGAATACTGAAGAATAGAGAAGCATTTTGCTATTTCCTCATCATGGCACAAAAATATCGATCTCCTAGATTTAGCAAAATAATGATATTTTTGTCAGAGAAATCATGGATGCAAATCATGGATGCAAATCATGGATGCAAATCATGGATGCAAATCATGGATGCAAATCATGGATGCAGGTGATGGGTAGTACACAAAATTATCGGCTTCCACTGGGGACTCAAGACTACGATCAGATACATAGGAGCTCTGAGCACTATACAGGAAAATATCACTGAAAACTACACATTACTTCACTATGGTTTATCAACAATCTTCTGTGTCACGGTCGGTGACTGATTCTGTAACTGATGAGCTTGAGCAGAGATCCTCCACCGCAGGGCATTCAAAATGCACAACATGAAAGACCTAAAATGCAAACATAAAACTTCAACAGTTTCTTGGATAACCAAAGCATTGGTGTACTTGAAAAGTAGAAGAAATTTTCTATTTATTACTCAGACATTGGGAGGTGACTTCTACTCACCAAATTTCGATTATCAATTGAGCAATAAATTGTATGTAATTCATCGTGCCTACCATCGAGCATAAAATCAGCTAATCCAAGGGAATTGTTTCCAGAAACGTATATACTAATGCACCTCACGATTTACATGGCCTTAAAAGCAGTTGGGTGGGTGTGTGAGGATGTCTGTGGTGGATAGGAAAATGCATAGGCTACACCCTTTTTGTAGCAAAAAAGAAACACCGCAATACGCCGAGAATAAACAACAATAAATACACGTAAATCAGTGAAGGCTAATATTTCGCCCCGGCATACGGGGCTTCATCAGAGCAAAATTTATACGTACGCCCTTTTTACTGCTGGAAAACGCTCTGGTTCCAATGGGGAGTGTCCATGTTGACAGCTGAAAAATTCCCTCCAAGTACATGTCAACATTAAGGGCCGTAAAAGCTTAGTAAAATCTTATTTGCGATACGTTTTGTGAATACCTTTGCATAGATCCTATGTTACCTCCAATTGTTTACTGGCAGAACATATCAAAACATGATCCAGTCAAAAAAACTTCACTAGTTTTCACATAACCCCTGCATGACAATTTTAGAACTCAGTAGGGAGTTAGATGCTACTTTTGAAGAATACAGTAATTCCTCAAAATATTTCCCTCTCCAAAAATATTATCTTCTTTCTTAGACGAATAATAAAAATCGATTCTACCGAGAGCCGGAGGGAAAATTATAATTCTCAGATTTTTTCCTTAGTATCAAAAATTCAAATCGCACATTTGCAGAAAAATCATCGTTGGCTGGCACCAGTGGCCTGCCAGTGCAACTGCGATTGCCTTGCAACAGACACATTTTGCAACCCTTAAAGCCGGGTGTTGAGAGGAAATGGTGTTGAGGTCCAGAGGTAAAACTGAAGGAGTTCTCCACTAAAGCAAGCAGTTAAGGAAAATTGTTGTATAAATCTATATCTTAAGAGGTGAAAGTTGGTTATTTCTAACATTCAGATATTACTTTCGTGATTTTAAAAATTGTGGTGAAAACCCAGAAAGATAGCTCACGAGAAATGAAATACAAATTTATTTATAAAGTTTGAATGTTGAAACGAGGGGTAAAATAAAATCCGAATATGTGAAATAGTTTGACAACAGATTCAGTCAAATAATATATTGTTGTAGAAAACAACATACCTGGTTCGCTGTATTTTTTGTTCCAATAAGTTTTATAAATGATACGGGTCTTTGAGGAAATGTTATAGTTTGCCAAGATCTGTGGATGAGGAATTTTAAAATTATAATGAACATATTAAAGGATATAGAAAATTTAGCTATCAACTTTAAGTTACATGAATTCGAGCGGACACAGAGTTACAAATAATTTCCTTAAAAGTTACAAATAAGACTTTTAGCTTTTACATTGTGAAGTAATGGAAAGTCATTGACACAGAGTTACAAATAAGTTCCTTAAAAGTTACAAATAAGACTTTTAGCTTTTACATTGTGAAGTAATGGAAAGTCAGCAAATAATTTGGTAAGATGGTAGTAGCATTCACTAAAGGCAGTGATTCAAAATGCTAGGTTCATCATTTTTCTGCATCAAATTCAATTTTTGATGCTAAGATGTCGTGCCCTTGACATTTACCAAGACAATATAATATTGATCAAGATAAATTTATCATAACTTATTTTTGAATACTTTAATCAAGATCGAGAAATGGGTAATAAAAACACAAAGACGACATGGATTTTAGCAGCTCATTCCGATACAAAAAATTTTCGTATAGCGAATGCACTGATACACTCTTTTTTAAAAGAAGGACCAGATAATTTTTGCCAAGGCGCGATGTTCTTATTTTTGGCCATTAGATGCTCGGGTACTCTCTATGCTGTTCTTCTTTCAAAATCTATTTTTTTACAGCCGCAGTCTATCAATTGTTTCTTAAACGACTAAATTACAGTTTAAACAATTTTTAGGCGGTACATAACAGTAAATTATAGTTTGCATGACATTTTAGTAGGATGGTTTAATAGCTGATAAAGTCTGCCTTGTTACCACGAGAGGTAATTTCCAAAAACACAATGTTTTCCTTTCAATTTTTCAGGTTACTCGGGACCTTACAAGAACACAAGGTGTGTTCTTATAAAAAGAGATTGTAATGCCTAATCAGAGCACCCTTAATTAATGGTAATCGAGAGATACTAAAGTGGCTTAAGCCATCTGTCAATCAACCATTGGCCAATCAATAAGCGTCATTCAACTCACGTGCTTATTAATTGGCCAATAGTCGATTAACAGATGGCCTAAGTGACATTGGTGTCAGTCGATTGCCTTTAATCATTATGTTCTTACCTGCTGGGCTCATTCGCTCTATTACAAACTGTAAGCCATTCATTCTGATCAAGAGACACCTCGATGCGATAACAATACTGACGATCATCGCAGTCCCACAGAAGCATCCTGCAAAATGATGCATCTTCTTTACAAAAATTAATTGATTATGTTTAAGCTTAATTTCATTATGGTTGCAAATTCTTAATGTCCATCATTGAAAAAGTCCTATGTACATACCAGTGGCGGAAATTATGGGGGTTTGGGGGGCTCGGGCCCATCAGCGACGTCGTCGGAAAATTCGGGCTTTCGTCGGATAATTGTCAACCGCTTAACGTGTCTAAATTACTCCAAGAGAACGTTCTGAAAAAGGAATTTTAAGCTAATCTAAGGGGCGTAATTGCCAAATTTTCTGCTCGCTTCGCTCGCAGGTGATCCGAATTTTCCCTTTTTACCCCAGGGGCTTCTATAACCTCTCTGTGCTCTTTTTGCAAAAGTTGGACATAGAATAGCTGATAAATTATTAGCCAGTACTAAATAATCAAAAAACAATATACGACTAAAATCAAAACTGTGAATTGTATATTTAATGTCAATTCCGTAAAGATTAGCCGAACTTTCAAAGTTGGATTGGATTCTTCCAAACAAAAGTTATTTTCAAACATATTTCCCAATGACGAAAACAAGATAAAATGCATAAAATGAACATCACAACTACAACCATGTTGTTATCATGAACAACTTATCAAAAGTGTAATCGGTCGACCTCTTGTATCATCAATTGTCTTAGATGAGATATCGATCTTGATATCAATTTCCTTATAATTAGTGCAATTTCCTTAAAATTAGTGCAATTTCCTTAAAATTAGTGCAATTTCCTTAAAATTAGTGCAATTTCCTTAAAATTAGACATGAGACAAGATGTTATCTTGTCGGAAAATCGTCGGTCTGCCCCCCCCCCCAATGAAAGCCTGAATTTCCGCCACTGGTACATACTTTCACACATTTTATTAAAAACTACTTTATGTTGCTTTTCGTTTTCTCCAAAATCGAAATAATGTCTTTGTTGGTATTCTTTTACTTCTACTTATCTTCTAATGAGTCTCTATTTATTTAAAATTCATTTTTTATATTGAAAACACGAATGATGACACTTAAGAACTCTGTTAACGTAACTGCTTGCAATAAACAAGGTGCATCACCTCATGGAACCAATAACAAATGGCTGAGCCAACTGTATTGTAATGCATCCACTTCCAATCTGATGACACGTGTATCCAGACTCCCAGTCATAATTCTTAGTATCACCGTCGATGAGTGCGTTTCTGTTGCGACTGACGCCTTCCAAAACAATCGCTTTTGCCATCACTGAAGCCACATTTTCATTTGGAACTGAGTAAAAGGATCGAGAAAAGATAATTGCAGCTGTATCTGCAAAAATATCAATACAACTGTAAAAGTTTTATTGTCATTTTTGAGGTTTTGTCCTATATATTGATTTCAGTAAACAGCTGGCCAGGCTAGCTTTGTAGAAAGCCAGCTTAAAATGAAAGAATTTCTGACAGACCAAAAATCAAGAACAAGTCAAAGACAATTGAAAAACTAGGATCAAGTTGCCATGTCTGAATACATCATCAAGATTAAAGAACTGTTGATTGCAATTAAGCTTCAAATAACCTTTAATCTACTAGACATATGTTCTTTGCAAAGGATTTTAATTTGGCAAATAATTTTCCCACCCAGTTTTTCCCTAACACCTGATTCAAGATAAGTCTGAAAACATGTTTTCAAAATATAGCTAATATAGGAACATAGTGGAATTTGGGCTTTTTAATAGTGGGTTAAGAGCAGTCAACTTTCCAAGTTTCTTTTCTTTCGACCTCCAAGGTAGCATATATAATCTAAAGGATTAATTTAGACTGCGATATCCATTTGGGGGGGGGGGTGTTTCCCATAAAACTCCATTATTCTTTCCACTGTGTAGAGCAAGATCAAAATTTAAAAAGGAGACATTGAAATTAAGGAAAAGCAAGAGACGAAAAAGAGGGAATCATATTCTTTGCTTTGTCCTCTTCAAAGAAAAAATGAAAGACTATGAAACCAATGTCTTACCAATGAAAGAATTTTGAACTGGCAAACATGAGCTACTATACAGGCACTCAAATAAAACAAGATGGAAACATTTGTTTAGTGAATTGTAAGTGCCAGTGATCTTGAGATACCTAAATAAATGAAAAGATCATTATAATAGAACCTTGTCCTCTGAAAGATAAAAAGCTATGAGACTAAACATTTTACATGCACTGTTTGATACGAAAACTAATTGGGATATTGACTGAGATGCTAGCTTTTACAGAGGAATAGATATAAATTGTCTGAAACTTCCTATTCATTGGTAACAGATATTCATCTGAATTTATCAGATGCATAAGTCATAAATTAAACTTACAACAAAAGGTTCCAAGATTCATGCTATACAAATAACATCAACATATAATTACACCATTTACATAATTTGTTTTGATAAGTACCAAATCATTGATAGGCATCAAACTTTGGAAATAAACATATCAATCAATATGAAAGAAACATGAAACAGAATGAAATAAGACCAATGACATTTGCATTTGAAAAAATCCTGAATCTTTACCTTGCAACAATGGGCTCAAAGCAGAGTATTTGAGATGATCTGCAAAAGTGTTTTGTGTAATCAATAAGAGTGGTCCAGTCAGACTGGTCCATTGAATATTCAATTCCATATGAGTATGACCTATTGTCAAGATCCCAGAGTAGCATCTTTATTGTATTAATAATACTTGGCCTCCCCAGTTCAATAGTGATTCCAGTATCTTTAATCATATGTCGTGTGTAGCCCTTTTCTAGATCATATGCTGGTTTTACTAAATCAAAGAGTGTTTCTTTCATTTCTCCAGTTATGACTTTTGCATCATGGCAATATTGAGCAAGGTTCTCATCTTTCACTGAAACAAAAAATTTCAAATAAAATTTAAAATAGCTAAATCTTTAATGCGTTACTTTCGTGATATAATTATCAATTGAGACACAGAAGCAACAAATTAAAAAAAACCAGGCAGCTTTGATTGACAAGGGAGTATAACAGAATGCACGATTGAATGACCTTTGACTTAGTATTTGGTTAAGAACAATTTCAATCAAATTCAAATTTTGTATACATGAAGGGTTCTGTCTTTGTTTCAGGTTTGGGCAATGATTCGCTACAGAAAATTGTACTCCCTTAGATTTCAAAGCTACTATTATTGCCTTAAGGCCTTCAGTTTAATAGCCTAGCAATGCTCTTATTGGGCTAAAAAATATTGCTTTATGCAAGAATCCTCACTACAAAACAAGAGAGCAAGAAATTTTGACCAGAAATTAAACATGAAGAAATCTGTACAGGCAACAACACACGGAACTATTTCTCATAGAGCCCCTGTAGTGGCTTTACATAGGCCTGTTTTCATTAATTTTGTCCTTCTTATTGATTCCATCACATTCTCACATTGCAGCACAGGCATCCTCTATGTCAATCTTATATCACGTATTCACTAAATAATATGTATTGTTTACTTTATCTTTGCCATGCTATTCAATTTACTCATCACCTTTACTTGCCCTTCTGATCATTTGTTTTTCTTGCATGATTCACGCTAATTTTAGATATTCATTTCTGTATGTAAATATGTTAACTTGTAAGTAGCTTCAGTTCAGTTAGAACCAAGACACGCAATAGGCACATTGCCTATTCTCTGACTCTGACGGTATCTAAGAACCCACAATAATGCAAATTCTCATTACACTAAACCCCCATCTCACAGAGCCCCCAGGATTTGCAGGAAAGCAACAGCAAGATCGATCTTTTCCTCTGAACCCTATAATAATTGGCTGGGATGATTCCCTTGGTGTACGAAGTACCCTCACATACCAGTTCTGGTGTTCGGTCAAAGGCAGTGTGTTTGAGTGATAAAGCTTTGGCCTTGGATTTGGAATTGTGACTGGGTTGGACCATTGTAGGGCAATGATGTGCAAGGTGTCATGGCAGAGATTTGATTCCTGCCCTGATCATGTCACTCACTCAACTTTTCTTATTTTGATTTTGATTTTCATTATTGGACAATATGTGATGATAAATTTTCACAAGTTTTCTAGATGAAAAGTCATCGAACAACTTTCATTGCACTAGATAAAATTAATAAAATTTCAAGGGCAAGCCACTGTAATTTCCGAACATAGGTTGCTGCATATCACCCAGCAAACAATATTCCTTTTTGAAACTGATATTTGTTTTTGCACATGCAAAAATCAACCATGGGCAATCAAACACTTACTAAGGTAACCTCTGTGTGGAAGTTCATTCAATTTTTTCTCATGTCTGATTTTCACAGCTTCTAAGATATCATCAGCTGTAAAAAGTTTTGAGTCTCTAATTTCATTGAGTAGATAGCTAACTCCATTAGAGGCAATCGTATGCATGAAAGCAATTCTCGTGTCTCATATTCATCTACATCATCATTCTCAGAGAGCCATTTACTCACACCAACAAAAAGAAAGTCTTCTGGTATACAAAATGACCCTCTTGAAATTATTTCTTTGAGGGATTTCCTTGACAACCTTGTAAAGCCTTCTGAATTGATTATTTCATCAGCGTGATGATCCATGTAATCAATGCATATGGATTCTAAATCAGTGATTCCTATCGTCGATGCAACGTCATAAATATCAGTTACTGTACATTCTCCGATGACTTCTTTGAAATATCCTGTTATTGCGCTTTCAAGAGACAACAGACTATATCTATTTGCGAGAATAAGCATGTCAAGGATATCACGCTCTTCAAGCTCCCTCAAGAACAGCCTTCCACTGTAAATATACTTTAGCAGATATTTGAAAACTTTCGCGGGTGTGTCATGTAACTCGATTTTAGCCATGTCTGTTGTCTCTTTCATTCCGCCATACAATAGTGCTCGAAAATATTCGCATCGCGCTGACAGAATAATACGATGTGCTTCGAATTGTTCTCCTTCTACAACGAAAGTTACATCGGTATTGTTTTCACCTTTAAGAAGATTTCCAAGTTGCGATGAGAGCAATTCTACATGATCAACTAATGGAAAGTATGGGTCTAGGCCCCTTCCAGTTCCAGCTTGATCTCCATCAACACTAAAGCGGCTTGATTGTGACCTGCTTCTCAAAATGTTGGAGTCAGACATATTAATGACATATTTTGGAGTCAGGCATATTTTTACTTTCCTGTTGATCTAGACTCTAGATTCTAGAGCAATTCAAGTGTAACGGAGATCCCGTGCCACTGTTGTTTCAGTTTCAGATGGAACTGAAAGTGGATTGGTGTCGGTCATTTTGTTGACGTTAACAACAGCAACAACGTTCAGCGAGTCTTTCAGTGGAAACATCTGACTTGTGCCATCAGATTTTTTCCGAATCAAGCGGGGGTCGTCGGAGCCGGAAGTGCACAAGGAGCACGTGCCACCATATTTTGGAAATTTCACTCTTCTTTGAAATGCTCCCGACCTGGGGGCCGTGTTATAAAACGTTAGGACAGGAGGCTTTGAATGCAGCTTCTAGAAGCCACACACACTAATAGCCAGATCCATAGCTACTCCCTCTGTTTTGTTACAAAATCATTCAAAATATTAATCGAAAACTCATTCTATATTATTTAGCTTAGATGCGAGCATTAAAAAATAGAAAGCGAGCACCTAAGTTATTTTTGGATTCGCTGTACTTGTTAAGTTTCTATTTTCAAGATAAAGAGTTATCGTATTCGAAACAAACGTTTAATTATATGATAATTTCCAAATTTAATCTAAAAAATGCCACTTTGTCGAATTTCCTGGTACTTTCTAGGCGAATAATGATATGGGTTTATAAAATCCGTGCTATTTTGCGATAATTTTGTAAATATAACATGAAAAAGTAGGGTTTATCTAGCTCTGGCTGTACCACAACAAACTGAAGGTATACTGGATAAAACACTCTTGTATGGAAAGTTGCAAGCTACAATTGAACGAGGTTTAGAAGGAACGTAAACTACTATTATAACATTTGAAGATGTAGCATAAAACTTATATATCACAAACTAGGAAAAGCTATTATTGATCAAATGTATTGAAAATGAGCAGTTCTTCATTATAAGTCGTTTTTTGTTGATCGTGTGTTTTAGGTTTGTGATGGTTTGTCATGGGTTTCTGTGAATATGAAAGCCTATTTCAGACACACTTTTTTATAAGAACTGGTAAGCTAAAGTCGGGCTGGCTGTTTTTAATTTTTTCGAAAAAATGTGGCTGGATGGCTCTTAATTTGTTTTTAAATTAATAGGGTGTAAGCAATGCAATTGCTATCTATTTGTGTTCTGACCTTTTTTGCCAACAAAGTGAATGAAAAATCCTTTATTTGCTGAAAGTTTACAGAAAAAGCATCCATGTAAAACTCCTCATTTTTGAGATGAAACATCGTTCAAATTTTATTTTACAGTAGCTCAGTCTCAGCTTACTTTTAATTTGTTTTCTACTTTTGACCAATGTTGAGGCACGTGTTTTTATAAATTGTTATCATAAAAAGTTTGTAACAAAGCACAATTTTTCTTGAATTAAATGCAGCCAGCTATTTGGGATGTTGTGTCACTCTTGTCAACAATCTCAACAATCCTGTTTTAAACTTATGCTGAGAGCCAACAAACTACTAACAAGTCAACAAATATCAGCAGATTTGGTCTGATGTACTACAAGCCTCAATACTAGGTACATTTTAAATTCTGTCAATGATAGTATTAACTAAAGTAAAAATTGTAATATTTGCAATAAAATAACAAGCCGCTGGTGCAAACAAGCTGTAAATAGTTAAATGGAAAAATTCCAGAATGATCTTATTGGTTTACGATGTACTGTATATGTGAATCGAGAAATTGTGCAAATAGTGTTCTTCGTACTTAATACGCAGCGGGTATAGGGAGAAAGTGGTCAGTTGAAAGCCCATTTTAGTAATGTATAACCATGTTACAAACATACTTTCTAAACTTTGTTTATTTAAATGTATAGGTCTATTGTCATTCACCATTGGTTAGATTATAACGCCATTGTTCCTATATCGAAGGTGTCCCAATACTTTTTGAACGTTAGTGTATTGTACTGTACTTTTGCATTTTTTGCTTCTCCCATTTCGGAAGCGTGAGATTCAAGCAAAATTCGTGATACTTGTTACCTCGGCCATTTACTTAGGTAAGCAATACAGTAAAAACCCGCATGTAAGAATTTACTTTCTCAGAGTTTGGCACAACTGGTTCTTATATTATGGGGTACTTATTGAAAGTTTAAGCTAAATACATATAGCTATTGTAGGTTCTTGATCAGGTACTAAATTTCTACAAAGTAGATATTGTTGTTGATTTTCAGAAAATAGCACTAAATCTGGTTTGTTCATTTTAAATATTTATTAATGTACCAATATTGCCGAATGGCCACCAACAATTGATCAATGATACAGTACTTCATATAAAATAGTGGCAACAATTTTCACAATAACAGATCAAATTTAACAGTTCAATGAACATTTTGTAGCCATCTGTTGTAAAATTTCAGATGTATAGCAATTTTAATCAACCATTTAAAATAACGACTTTTGGTTTTGTTGCAGTAGCTTAAGGACCATTTCGGCCTATGCATCTATCATTATATTTAAAAAATATTTGGATGTGTAAAAAAGCAAATTTCTTCCAGAAGGTTCTTAAATCCCTAGATTCTAACATGCGGGTTTTTAATTCATGTTGAGGGAGAGAAGAATTTTGTGACAACCATGCGACGACAGAATTTTGTGTAAGTTAAAGGTGACCCAACTATTCTGGAAAGGATTTATCTAAAAACGGATTTAAGCGGCATGAGCGGGGGGAGGGGGGTGCTTGATAATGATTGGACTTTGTACCACACTCTTCAGGTGACTGGAAACGGATGGAAACGCACATTTTTTTAAATCCAGTCTTTACCTTTAAAATAAAGAAGATAAGTCGATGAAGAAAGCTAGTTTTCTACATAATTTTGTTACTACTGACTACCAAAAAATGCATTTTAACCAAAACAAGCACAATTTATAGAAGAAAAAAAATATTAGGGGATGATGCACCCCCAAAACCCCCGGTTAATCCGTCCCTAGATTTCTGCTGTCCGTGAATTTGGATTCGAACTGCTGTTGCATAGCAACGCAGTTAGTGCAAGGCACCCGTTGAATCACAACAACAACAGAAGCTTTGTTTCTTTTGAGAAAGAAAGATGGCGAGTGACCAGATTGGCGAAGTTTTGCCGAAGCAAGGACTTTTGTATTCAGAGCAAACCCCTATGCCTGTCTTATGTAAGCCAAAAATATTACCACTTAAATCTGTTACTTTGGAGAAACTGGAAAAAATGCAGAAAGAAGCACAAGATGTTGTAAAGAGACAGGAACAAGAACAGAAAATGCAGGAAAGATTGCTTGAACAACAAAAAGAAATTATGCGAAATTCTATGCCTGAAGATGAGTAATTATCGGATACTCAGTTCATGCCTTTGAACTTAGAGGAATTCATGGCTGAAGAAGTCTATAGTAACTGAAATAATTTTCTTGGAGACGCTGACTTTGAAGTAACTTTGAAGAAACATGGTCCAGCGATTACACTCGCTTCCCTTGGTCAAATGACAGTAGAAACCTTCTTAGTTAACTCTGAATATGTTAAGTCGTAGCATTTGAATATTGTGAAATCGATTCACCCTACTTTGTACATTTTTAAATAATATTACTTGAGAAAACCCATTTAACATAATAAGAGTTTTTGCTACAGTTAAGGCTTGAGTAAAAATGTTGCCTTGTTGTTGGCAGTTAGCAACGAAAAAATTACTTGCAAATGCTCATGGGTAATTCTAAGAAAAATTTATAACATAAATTCAAGCACTAGTATTGTTGAATGTTTAAATTCTACTGTTGACAAAAAACCAAAAACAATGGAAGTATGAGACCACTGGTCTAAAAGAAAAGTATTTCTTCTGACTTCTGTTTTTGCGTTGTAGACTATAAATATATAAAAGGTACATATGAGGTGGTGTGTTCAAAAACATAGAAAACATCAAAAAAGCATCACGTAATACATAGCTTCTATGTTCGTGAGTGGTAGGAAATTGAGAACCCTTAAACACTGATAGACAAATTAACAGACAGCCAGGGCACCAAAATACCTGTATCAGCTAATCAGTGCATGCAATCTTTTGAAGACATTCATACGAAGTAGTATCACAACTGCCACAAAATCTATACCTATGTTTGTATCTCAGTATGCCAGTGCTCAAAAAGTGGGACCCTAGCCCATGTGTCATTGAATGGCTGAAATGGAAAGAGAGAAGGAAAAACAAAACAAATAAAATAGGAAAGTCAGTGTCGGTTAAAAGGGGGTGTACACAGATGCAAAATATAAGATCAAAAAAAAGTTTTTAAGGACTGTCTGACTATTTACTATAACTTTTCTGTTAGTTAAGTTTTTGTTCTGATTTGGTTTGAATTTGAAATTGAAATTATTTTTGTTTTACCAATTGATTCATATATTTTGCGAAAAATTATTCAACATGATCGAATTTTTTACAACACTACAAAAATAAGATCATAATACCACAAATCAAATTTACAACACCACAAATTGGTAACAAAACCATGTTAGAATAACACCTGCAAATGCCATCATCTCATTGGTGGTGTTCTTCCCTGACAATTTGTTACCCACATCTTTCTTGCAATTTTGTAGATCAAGTATCTTACTGTTTAGTGTTGAACCCCAAAGCACAATGTTCGATGTCAAAATGCTTGACAATCCAATACTGCTAATTAGCTTAATTTTTTCATTTCTTATAACATTTATAATTACTATTAAGTTGTTACATTTCATTTTAAAAACACTATGTTAACCTAACCTGTTAACCTTAGTGCATTTAATTAATTTCAATTAGACCTTCATAACAGGCTTAAGTTTTATGATAATAAACCTAATCACCACATGTTGAAATTTGTTAAGGTTATGGTGGAAATATGGGAGAGGGGCAGAGTGGACTAATGATTTCCAAATGTTTTTTTCTAAAGGAAATGGTGGTCTTGTCTCTCCAAACCACTGGAATTTTGCATGTTTTTGGAAGAATTTTTAACTTCCAAGTTGTTAACAGTGGCAGCATTTATGCTTCACATCTTTACAAAACACATCATTTGTATTGTTTTGCAGCCTCCAGACTGAAAACTTACCCTACACCCATCATATATTACATGTGGACTTTTAAGTGCAGTCTTCATGTGTAACTTTTTTAAAATTAAAAACCACACAAACTTTGTAAACATGCCATGCAAATGTGGTATTGAGTTTAAAATCAGACCACACAAACAATAAGCCTGTATATGTCTTGACTGCACTGGTATCACAATGCCAAATCCGACAGTAGCCCCAGGTGACACCCTAACATATAGGTTTGCCAGCCATATTTAAAAAGATAAAGTAAAACTGCCATTTGTGATACCACCTTATACTGGATATAATTATATCTCTAAGTCTATAAGTACTTTACAGGACCAGGACCTTCATCCATGATATTCTCTAGTGATGAGCATTACCCAACTTGAGCATTTACTAGAGAGCATCCCCTACTAGTGATAATCTTTAAAAGCTCCTGTCCCCCTATATCCAAAAATAGATAGAATTCATACCTTTCTATTCTATATACCAGATGTGATTTAATCCTTGCAAATTTAAATTAAAATGTTGATTGATAGAATGGTTTTAGTTTTTCTCAAAGACTAATTTATACAGAATGTTGATAAATTCTTAAAAATTATAGTTGGAACATCACAAAATTTTCCATCTCAAAATATTACAAGGCATAGAGTACTGAAGTGTGATGTCTTTAAAAATATATTTTTAGAATTTCTTAAATTTGGCCTCAAAATCTGAAAGAACTGCATAAAGTACCTCAATGTGCAAATTAGTTAGATATGTTCCAAATTGGGTTAGACATGGCCAATTAAAGATTTCAAGTTTGCTAACGGATAACTGCTATTCTGGCCTGGTTCATAAAGTTATGAACCAAGACCAAATTACATGGGGCAAGAGCCTGTGCTCAAGTGGTCATATCTCAGCCATTTTGTAATGCCTTTAAATGATTTTGCATATTTAGAGGAATTTAATGATGCTCTTTTAGGTTCTGGGATCAAAATTCATAAATTCTAAAAATGGATTTTATGACATCATCACTTTGGTACTTTATTAAACAAATTTGACGTTAACAATTTCCCAAGTAAAATCTGGAGGTAGTATTAAAACTCACACCATATGGTGCACCTGCAATGTAAACATGGCCTGAATATTCCTGAATTTCCATCTCTACCTTTATCCTAACCTTTAAGGCAGTCTGGTTTTATTTGCACAGAAAGAAGTTAAAACACAAAACAATCTTCCAGCCTCATATGGATATCACTAGCATTAATGCAAGCACATTTAATATAGGGGTTTTATGCAAAATCCATAATCATACATTGAGAATTACAATTGCCTTTGAAGTTACACAAACAACTTATAATAATTAATATTAATAATGTAACTGTTTCAATATTAGGAAAAGTAGACAATCATGCAGTGGTTAATACCTCTTGATCCATCTTTGTCATTTAGATATTAAATGGCATCCAATTGCAGCACAGTACCTTACTATCGTGCCAGCCTTCAACATTATGACATTTGAATCATTTTAAAATATAAGCCAAAATAATCCTCCATGTGAAGTTATAATAACAAGAAAATTAAAAAACTTTCAAAACACCTCCTCCTAAATAAGCTACACTATTTCCTAATAACCTTTAAGCACTGTTATTGAAATGATGCACCTGTAAGTTAAGAAAGTCAGGTACATTTAGTCTTATTGTAGGAACATTCACTTAGAACAAAATGGCCTCCATCGTTAAAAGTCTTTATCACATTGAGAAAATTAGCGCTCTTGGCAATTTACAAAATGGTTGTGTTTATAGTTTAGAAATAAACAAAGCATAAAGGATTCAAAGATTTCATCAGAAATGAAGGGCTACATGATGAACAATGAAGATTATGTAACATTAAATCAATTCTAAATTGCCCTGTTTAAAGATACATACAGTTCTCTTTACACTTTAAATGAATTTTTGCGAAAAAGTGAAAAAAATTCCCATACCTCTGCCAACAAAACAAAACATAAAACTGCTCACAGTAGTCAGCATAACTGACATGAAGTCTTTATAATGCCAAATTGTTATATGAATGCTGTACAGCCTACATGCATGGTTTTGCTGCATTTATTTGTGCTAGAGTAGAATACTGATTTTTACTATCACATCACCAAAGGATCAGCTATGAAATTAGGAGAAGCTCTTCTGGCCAAACATTAGAAATCTAAGACGCATCTAATTTAACAACAACCACCACTTGGTTTATTCACAGGACTACTAGAGTTTATATTGACTTTCTTTTGGGTATCAGCTGCCGTCTGTGGTGGTCCCATTCTACTTTTGATTTCTGCAGCCATTGTCATGAAAGCCTGTTCAACGTTTGTTGCATTTTTTGCACTGGTTTCTAGGAATGGTATTCCCAATGAATCTGCAAATTCCTATTTGAGAATATGAGATGTATAAGAAACAATGATAAAAAAAGCAATTATAAAGCAAGAAATAAAACATTTCACCCCACAAACTAATACATTTTTAAAATCAATCAACAATTTGCATACAAGGAATCAAAAACAAGTTCTGTTTCATGGATTCAACTACACACTACACAACAGAAGCTTAAAAAGGAGAAGAAAATACAACTGATGTTCAAAGTGCAAGTAACCGATTGTGCTTTCCCAATAGGATACCATCATGCAATTAAAACACTAGCACAATAGGCAAGATTGTTCAATACTATCAGATTATAAATAAAAAAGAAAATTAAAAGGATTGCAATGAATTAACTTATATACAAATTATAATCTATATATAATTAATAAAGAGAAAAAAGAAAACAAAATAGACTGCTAGCAGTGGTCAGAGGTTGTGTGGAGTACTTACATGTAGCAAAAAGCAGATTGTCTAAACAGAGTATACAAATCTAAATCTGGTTCTAAAGCAATTAATGTAAAAATACAATATACATGTAAAAAATAAATTTTCCATGAAATTGTTTGCAAAAAGGGAAGTATAACAACCTTGGCAGTGGTGTAATCAACAACTTTCTTTGTGGTCAGGTCGCATTTATTTCCAACTAGCAATTTGTTCACACTTTCACATGCGTATCTGTCAATTTCTTGTAACCACTGTTTGACATTTTGGAAGGACTCCTACAAAATAAGATTTCCCAGATTCTTTTAAATTCCCTTCTCCTTCTTTTAAATTCCCTTCTCCTTCTTTTAAATGAAAAACAACATCCTAAATTTTTTTTGTTAAAAGTGATCCCAGTTGTTAAATGTTAAAACAGTTTTTCAATGATGATTTATTTTGCATCATTTATGACAAACGTCCAAGATGCTGACTAATCAATAGATTGAGCAAGATTTCAGCAACAGGTTTTCATCCAAACTTATTGGCTAGTTAAGATTTTATAGCATTTTGGTTTCTTGTTTTGGTCCATAGTTAATAGAGACCACAAGTATCAACTATTTGATGGTTTTGGTGACAACTAAATACATATACATGTTTACTGGATTTTACAGCAGCAATCTAAGATTCAATTCTGACATAAGAGCAGCACTCTTGTGGGAAAAATTTCTCCTTGGCATTTTATCAGCCTTGGCATTTTCAGTAAAAATATATCAGGGCTTTCAGTGGGGGGTGCGCGAGCGCGCAGGCACGTGTCCAAAGTTTCCTTTGAGAATGATAAGACGAGCGCCCAGTGATAAATACTTCTTTTGTAGAGAGGAGAGCGATTTCCGGATGGTGACAAATTTTTTTCGTGATCCATTGCTGAAATTGGCCAATCCCCTTGAGAAACTCCTTTTCGAAACGGAAACTACTTTTTGAGGCTGACATACTGTTGCTCTTTGAAGTAGGGCCTGTTTACATGAAGTGTGCTAGCCCGCTGGTTTCCACAGGTGCAATCATTTTTTGTAAGTGTGTACGGGATAATGCAATCCATCCAACTAAGATGGGCTGGCATCTTATATAAACCTTCTAAACGAGATTTTTTAGCTTTTGATGCAATAATGATGAATATCAATGTTCACAACAATGGCGAGTATCAATTTAATTTCTTTTCTTATGGCCAAATTACCCATTATGCTTGGTATCAAATCATATGTCATGGTATAAGATCGGCAACCATCTCAGTTGTCCTTTTTATTGACATTATCTAGTCTTTGTAATATGAGGCGTGCGATCGCACGCACACGCCTCCACACACGCCCAAATTGTCCAAGGCGTGCAAATCATCGCACGCGCAAAACAAAGAATTTGCCATAAAACATCGCTTAGGTTAGGAAGATTTCTAAAGCTGCGGTAAGTCAAAATCGCCAAATTCAAAGGCAGTTCTGTCGTTTTCCAAGGTGTTGTAAAAGTACTCCCATACTGGATTTAATAACGGTGTTGCAAAGAAGTTACGCCAAGATCGCTTAACATTATAGTTATTTAACCAAGGGGGTGCCAGGGGAGTAATCTGCAATCAACACCTGGTACTTCAATAACTTTCAAAACTCTGCGATTTGAATTTTGCGACACCGTTGTTAAGAGTTGTCTTCGCCTATCACCTGATCATGGCGAAAGGAAACAAAGTGAAGCTGGCAACATTTATGGGTTGGGGAAAGAACGGAATAATCGGAAAGCTACAAACGCCATACAGTGAAATGGAGATGTGACAAGACTGCAGTCAATGATGATATATGGACTGACGAAGAAATATAAAATATCTTGAAAAGGGCAACAGTGCTCTATCTTTCGAAGAGCAGAAAGCAAAAGCTTGATAATGTTATCGGTATATCAAAGAAACCTAAGCTAGAGAAAGAGGAGGAAACCGAAGAAAACTCTGAGAAAGAAGAGGTGATGTTTACTGTTTTTTAATTATTTTAAACTGTTATTGAACGTTTTTTAAGATTAAGAGCTGTAAAGTCATGTGTTTGCGTTCAAAGGAAATGTTTTTTTTCTAGACCTTTGTGTCATTTCTCTGCCCATTCTTTCTCATTCAATTGATTGATGAATTCAATATAATCGTGAAAGGAACACCGACCAAATGGCAAGATATATATTTTTTAAGAATATCCGCAATGTTATCCGCTACGTTAACGATGATACTGAAGTCAGTGATGCTGCATGGTAATTTCTACGAGCAATTGAATTTTTTTCAACCTTTGTTCCACTAAAGGATTGTTTGCACATCTTTAAATGGTTACAGAAATATTCTATAATTACTTCCTAGAAAACTTATAACTAATTAAATTTAACATCTTTAAAGAAGAACAAAAACAGTTTCTTTGTCAATTTCATTGGTTTCTGTTCAGTTTGCGACACAGATTGTCTCTTTGAAAGCAGCACCCTATAGTTCTTGACAACAGGAAAGAGAAATGATGGATAAAAAAGCGGCCCACATCGCACGCCATCGCACGCGTAAAGTAGTCAAGACGTGCTAAACGCCGCAAGCGGCCCATTTTCATATTACAATACTGCATTATTTATGTTTTTTAAGCTTTTGCTACGTTTTTTGCAAGATAAGTTTTATTTAGGTCAGCCACTGTCGATTCGTAATAAGATTTTATTTGACGCCAACTTCCTTTACGCACAGTGACAATGAGTGAGCGTTGTTATGTCGATATCTTCCTCAAATTGAAGGTTGAAAGAGTAAAATACGAAACGCCTCTCTATCTAGCAGAGTACTCTTAGCAATAATTTGATTGTTTATGGCAATAATCTTCTTTGGAATAAAGATAAAAGCAGGAGAAACTCATCGAGGGAGCTGTGGTTTTACATTTGAACACGAAACGGAGAATAAAAATAAACATTCAAAAAAGTATTCCAAACCCAGAAAGAAATTGAAGCTCGATCAACGGACGATTCGTCAGAATCAGATAATGATGAGGAATTTGAGACATTTGGCCTCTCTGAGGCGGAACATGGACATGAAGTATTTTGTTCATTTTAAATAAAGCCTTTCAGTTTAAAAATATATACTTCATTATTTTGTTTTATGAAATAAGTTTGAATCGTGCGCCCCATACTGATCACGCGAGTTTTTTGTCACGTGCATCAAATTCTGAACGTGAAAGCCCTGTATATGGGTTAATTGTTTTGACAAAGACTTAGAAGCTGAAATTAGAAAAATTACTTCCTTGAGGTGGTCAAATCTCCTTGACTTGAGATCATTTCATTAAGTTGATAACTTTCCATCGGTTAAGGAAGACTTTCCCTTGTTGTACAATCACCCTAAAAGCCTTACATTACAGTAAAGACATATGCACATACTAAAGAAGATTCATAAATCAGCAATGATCCTTTGCAGAGACTTAATCTATTCAGCAATATAACAGAAAGTAATTTTACCTGATCAGTGACATCATAGACAATAATAATTCCATGTGCACCTCTGTAATAGCTAGAAGTGATTGTCCTAAATCTCTCTTGCCCCGCAGTGTCCCACTAAGAAATAAAAAATTATGTCACTCAAGAAGCTTTTGTCTTCCTTATATAAAATTTAGGGATACACATTTAATGAAGAAATACAAAGTTCAGATATGCAAACATAAATACACTCATTTTTCATCAACTTTCTCAAAGAAACGAGTACTGGACAATCAAAAAGAATTTAGAAACTTCAGTATATACTTGAATCTAAAAAAAAGGAAAATGTTCAAAATCGAAGAAAAAATGAACTCAGAAATTTCATTAAAATCTATAAATGTGGCTGACTGGCGTGACATTACTTTCTTTAACCTAAGGTAAATTTTCAAACCAAGCAAAATTACTTTGTCAGAAGTATTTTAAAACAATAAAAACATTGACAAACCATACACTTTTACAAATATATAAATAAATAGCTATTATATATATTGCATAAAACGTATTCTTACAATCTGAAGCTTTATTGTTTTTCCATCTAAATCAATTGTTCTGATTTTCTGAAAAATAAAATATTTTTTGGTTGGAAAACCAATTTCAAAGGATTTGAGTCCTTAAAAAAGGAAAAAATTGTTAGCTTTATGTTCTATATGTTTTTAAATCAACATACATTTATGACCAGAGATATTCAAGATGTTATCAACTACACTCTTTTTTATAAGAACCAGTAAATTTAAGTTCAGGCTGACTGTTCTTAATTTTTTTGAAAATCTGAGGCTGGATTGTTCTTAATTTTTTTTTTTAATCTAATTGGTGTAAGCAGTTCAAGTGCTAGCTTTTCGCTTAGGGAAGTGTTCAGTTTGCCAACAAAGTGAGTGAGACAACCTTCATTTGCTAACAGGTTTAAATATTCACCAAAAAAGCACCCACACTGAAAAAAAACCACTGTAAAATGTCCTTTAAGCAAAAGAAAATACAATGGCAAGAAAGCATGTTTGTTTATTCATCAAAATAAGCATGATTAACAAGACAATATTCAATTATGGTAAAACAATATTTAAAAGTTATTCAAGAGATGTCTTATACTGCTTAATATCTATTTATACTGAAAATGATGTTATCTCTAAAGCATTCATATCTGGAAGGCTAAAACAGTAATGTTCACAACGATAAATAGATTTGCTGGCCACCTGTAGAAGTCCAGAGGCACTGCATAAACATTGATAATAAATCGTTAACAACAAAATTAAATTTTCTTGCAATTCAATAAAACATAGTTCTAGTCGATGACATTATTAGCATTTTGCAGTGAACTTTCTTCTTACTTTGAAGACAAAAGTCCCCAGTTTTTAGCACAACGAGCACACAGAGAACGAACAAGGTCACATGATATTATGCGAAGTTAGTTTAGTTGTCTTGGCTGGGGAGAAACGCTGATGTCATACTTACGAAATCAACACCAATCGTACTTATATAGCTCTCCGTGTAGGTGTCATCCTAAAAATGGAGAATATAAATAATTTCAGAGCAATGAGTACCAAACAGCCAAAAATACGACACTAGAATTACAGCTAAGCATTCTACGAAAACGCCTTCCTTGTACAATTTATCGAGGTGTAACGAAGTCGTAGCTGAACAACTCACCGCAAATCGAAGTAGAAGACAGGATTTGCCAACACCAGAATCGCCAATCAACAGAAGTTTAAATAAGTAATCGCTAAAATGGTAAAAATTGGATTTAAAATGGCCAGCCAGTTTCGCGTTTTAGTAGTTTCAGTTGTCACTAAATGTCATGGGTCTTCGGAAGTGGCCTAATTAAATGGCCGTCACTAAACTAGAAGTACACTAAATAACAGCCACTGTAACAAAGCTGTCGTGACAGTTGCTAGAAATTCGCTAGAAATTTGCTAGAGATTAGAAGTAAAAAAACCAAGCGAATTAAGATATCATAAAAATTCTATAAGAGAATATGGGAAGTATAGTCATTCAAGTCTTATTTAATCAGAAGGCTGGATAGAGAGTCTGAGAATTACATCCAACAAATTCACTGAGTGCAAAACTTGATAACGTTCTTCTTGGGAAAATTGTGGTTTGTACCCGATGCAAATGGTGGTACAAACTTTAATCAAAGAGCTCGTTCTCATCTAAAGTGATAAGAAACTTATTATCAGTAAATTATCCTTGAAAATAACAGCATCAAGATTGAAAACATCGCAACACTTCAATTCAATTCTAGTAAAAAAAGGTAATTTAACAAAAATACGTAATGGAACCATCCAACATCCTCAGCACCATGACATAAACTACAACCCAACCCAAAGGCACTCTTCGTTCAGGTTACGAGCTAACAAGGTTTTTTTTTTGATTTCATACTTACTATTCTGGGTTCATATTTGCTATATCTGGAAACTCTCCCAAGCACACACTCTTCAAAGTTTTCCTTTTTAAAAACCAACGGCAATATCTTTGCTATATGTCCGGACAAACACGTCAAGTCTAAATTAACCCAACGTTTTCCTCAATATCATTCTACGTTGGCATCGAAAGGAACTTTCACATAGTTGCTTACAAAGCATGATGGGATACCTACCAGAACGTTATTCAGAATTCCCGGATGTTTACGTGGCAGAGGTGTAAAACGATGTGTGCATTTAAGTAAGGAACACTGGGTATTAATTGAAAATGTATGTTTTCTAAGAAACTTCAAATTCAAAAGAACTTTACACTGTGACAGGGTGTTAAATGAGAAACAAGTATCATTTTTCAAGGCTAACAACAGCTTGGGTGCTTCCTTGATGGTACTGAGAGTGAGAGGACATTTAATTTAATTTCATCTTATGACTAGTTTGTAACTTAAGTGTCCTCTCAGCACCATCAAGGAAGCACCCCTATTGTAACCCTTGAAAAATGATGCTTAATAGAAAATAATGAAGCAAAGTTGACTCAAAAAGGGGTCCTTTTTAAATGATTTATTGGAATTGTTAAAGGATCATGATATTAAAAGCCTAATTTCAAGAATTGGATAGGGGAAAAAATTCCGAATAGATAACTTCTATTCAGATATAATGCCCGTGTAGACTTCTGGTTCGAAAGTTTTGGCTATTTGCTCGGTGGATCCCTAAATTTCCATTGTTCACTCCTTTTATAAGAACATATTTTTTATATGATTTGCCAATATATGCAAGAAAACAACCAGCCTCAGATCAAATATTAGGAGAAGAGCTTCAGCCCCCTCCTCCCCGTACGCCTATGAGATTAGTTAAATTTTACATTTGTATTTTGTAGACTAACTATTTCGAGGCGTGAATCACTCCCAAGAAGGTGTACAAGATTTAGAGATTTTAGAAAATCTCATGCTGAGGCAGGAGATTTTGGGATTTTTTAGTCGATTGCGGGATGTTTTAGAATCTGACATTTCATTTTTGGAAGCAAGATCTTAAAGATTTTTGGCTTTTAAATGAAAGTTCTGCGATTTAGGAAGTTGATTATGATAACTATGATATTCAGATTGCAGTTTGATACCGAACAATGAATAATGCACAGTAAAAAGTTTGTTCTTTATGCAATATACTTTTTCGGGACGTGTGCACCAAACAAAAACGAATTTCTAGCATGGATAAAACTGCTGCTTTAAAGTGGTTATCATCATAATTTGATTAAGCCCCCCCCCCCCCCCCCCCCCGAGGGGATTCAAAACTTGATGTTTAAAAATAACTTTTTCGTGTTGGTGGTGGAAGTTCTTTTGCTGACATAAAAAATCTATTTTTAGAACTTCTTTATTTAGAACGACATAAATACCTCTAAAGATGCATGAAAGATTGCAAGTTTGCCAGCGGATTACTGTTATTCTGGCCTGGTTCAAAAAGTTATGAACCAAGACCAAATTACAGAGGTTTGATTAGGAAGAGCCTGTGATCATATGACAATGTCCCAGCTAATTTGTAACAAATTCAACTAATTTTGTACATTAAGAAGTATCACAATGTTCTTTTGAGAGTTATGGTCAGAATTCAATAACCTAAAAATATATTTTGTGACTTCACATCGAGTTTCAGAGTCAGATCGAGGCTAGCTGTTTTTAGGCGGGGGAGCAGAGGCAAAGGTGTTTGATGTGAACGCCTTTCTCACGATAATATTGATTTAAAAACTGCAAAGATCTTTGTCGAGGATTCGTTTCAAATAAGCTTCAAATATTCCAGGATTTGGCAAAATCTTTCAGCCACTGCCAAAAAGTTTTGAGATGTCAAGATATTTTCTAGATTTTGAGATTTATTTTCAAGATTCAAAGATTTTTGAGCGATTTAAAAATTTTTGTGAGATTTATGAAATTCCACGATTTTCAAGATTCTGAGATTTCAGCTATAAGAGATTTTAGAGACTTTGTTTGGTAATTTGTGAAAGGTGAACGAGATTTTTAGGAGTGATTGAATCTCGGTTTTCTCTGTCGTAATAGTCCGAACAAGTCAACAAAGTATGTTGCAGTAAGAAAATCAACAATCAATAGAACATTTTGTATTATATCATTTTATGAGTAAAAGATATGTGGTATACACTTACACGCTCATTTCAAACACGAACTTCATTAAACAATAAGCAGTTAGTTTTTAGATATCGGTCTCTTTAGAAAACATAGTTGAAAAAGATATGTGTAAACGTACCAAGTCAATTAGCCAACCGGCAAATACAAAAGATATTACCAATGATAAATGTGCTAACGATTGAACCTATGTAGAGCTATTACCAAACAAAATAAAGTGTAAGAGTAATAAAAACACGACCTTGATTAATAACACGTCAGTAAACTATGGTAAAGGCGTTTGCGCAGCAAACTTCATGCTTTCCGCGGCATTTACCACCATCCCATCCCTACCCCTTCCCCATTAATTCCATAATATCGAGTTTGAAAATTCAGAATCTTTGCGAAATGTAGCAAAGGCAAAGTAAGTTCAATAAACCACTGTTATAATGAAAAACAGCTTATTGAAGAACTAAGGTAAAATGAAGACCCCATTCAACCCCATACAACATGGAGTAACAACTCCGTAAGAGTGAAAAAAACCATCCACTATTAGTGCATGGATTTTGCGATGTTTACATGTGTTCTTTGTAGATGTTTTTTGCACAATTTAATAATTCATTACTTTACATCCCAAATAGAGCTATATTTAGCCTATGATCCTGTTTATCTTTGTTCAAATTGAACAATTGTGCAAAGACCAGTAAGAAATTAAGCTCTTTTTGCAGTTGGCATGAGGGCTATTTCCATTTCCAATGACACTTACATATGCTAAACATTAATTGAGTGTCATTCTCTGGTTCAAACGCTATTTCTTTGAAATTTGACCACCCTCTCTACCCAGGTATTCTTTGCCACCTTTCTCCTGCTTTGTAGTATTCCATGAAGGGTTGTTGATCCACTTTTTAGGCTCATACCGCCAAGTGTCTACGAATTTGGTCCAATCGAATTGCTGAGGTACTTTGCACTTTGAGGTATATGAATCAAGCTTGGCATCAAATTTGATATCCTTCCTTTTTAATTTTCCATAAAAGTCTCATGTCCTTTCGATAACTTCCATGTACCCCGATGAAATTGTCGCAAACGTTTTGAAAATGTTGCGTAATATTTTTCATGAATTTTAGTTGTGGATCATGATGTAGCCTAGGGTCGTTATTGTATAGGTCGGGTAAGTCAAGATCTTTCACCCATGTTGCTATCATAATGTTCCCCCAAGGATGGCCTTTGATTTCATACGGATCTTGGTTCAAAAACAATTCAATTATGTCACGTGATAACAAAACCATGCTCTCATCTGATCGAACAATATTTGGGATGCAATACAGTGGTACATGGGGCGCATAGGCATCGGAAGCTCGTGTAGAAATCGCTCGAGGCAAAAGAAGTGATCATCGTCCATCCTTAAAAAATAATCAAACTCGTAGTTCTGCATGGCCCAAACCATGTGATACAAAAACCGTTTGCCGAACTCGACTCCTCCACTGAGGTCTTGAAATACAAGATCTTTGTGATTTCTTTGTTCTTTCATCAACCTCTTCCCGTCTGGTGATGATCCGTCAGGTTGGTCTGTGATGAAGATGCATTTAACAATAACCTAGGATGCAAAAGTATTAAACCTTAATTATGTAAGTTCTTCTATTATTACTGAATTTTATAGGGAGAGACTTGTTTCGAAATAAAACAGTAAAGGCACAATATGGTGGGTTCATTGGACTCATTCTGCGCGGGTCATGAATTTGCATTTTACGCGGCAAACTTGGATGTTGGCGTAAAATATAAACCCAGCCTCAAACTGGGACACCACCCAAAAAATTTGTCTACGACCCTGTTTACATGGGAAAAATAGGACCGAACCAGTTGGGGATCGATCCCAAGATCTCGCAGACGTTTACACTACCCTGGGTACCAGACTCACTATATATTAGTGAGTCTGGTACCCAGGGTAACGTTTACACAGGATCGATCCCAAAATATATTGTGTTTACACGGGATCGATCCCAGATCGGACCGCACGGCTTTCTTGGGGCCGGCGAAATGTATTTGAAAGTGGAGGGACAAAATATCAAAGACTTGAAAGGGCTTAGGAAAGGCCGCCACCATGGTTGGCGTCAAGGAAAATTTTAGAATTATGATGTTTTAGGGATGGCCAGAAACTGTATCTAAAATGAATTTTGACTTAAGGTGTCGCATAGTCGCGTCTATTGTGAAGTTGACTTGAAATAGAAAAGTTTGGCAAAGTTTTAGTATAACCACTATCATATGGCTCGTAATGAAACCTTTTTTAATTTTTTTAAATATACCCGAAATAAGATGGGGGAATAAAATAAATGAAACACGGATTGATAAAAAACATTAACATTAAAATATCAACAGAAGAACTATCAACTAAAAATAAAAAGTTAAGCAATTTTGTACAGTTAAAATATAACTTTGTAACATCTGATCTTACCTTTTTCGGAAATTAAGTGCTTTAATAAAAATTTGAAACCTTCAAACTGGGCTTGTCAAAGTGAGTTTAAATAAAATTTATACTTGCGTCGATATTTTCTTTTTATTAGTAGGAATGGATTATCAAAACGATCAAACTCTGAAGTTTTCTTGATGATACTTTTTAAGAGCAAATCTGCCCTTACTTTACTTCTCATATCCGCAAAAAAGTTCTGATTTCTCTCTTTTTGTAATGTTTCTGAGAAAGTTTTCATTAACAAATAGACCTTGTGTGCCAAGTTTAGGCAATGGAAAAAACGAAACTCCGTCAATTTGTGCTGGCACCAAGTTATTCTGGGCTGGTTTCTCGATCTATTGGCTAAGCCAAGCTGTTACTAGTTATAAAACTTAGACAATGGCCTTAAAGTAACAAATTTTATGTATGTCTTCCATGGTAAAGACATAGCAACCAAGGTAAAGCTAAGGACACATTTAAGAGAATATTAGGCAAAGTTACTTACAGAATCATACTACATTTGTTTCCACTTTTGCCCAGTGCTGAGGAGAGGGGGGGTCAGGGGGGTCACTGACCCGGGGGCCCATGACTTTATGGGCCCACAGATAATAACTTAGTCAAAAGTTGATAAGTAGCAATTCAGCTTCTCCATTGTTAAAACCGTTCAATAATAGAAACAATTATCGCAAAAGCCTTGGAAATAAAGTAAGGTAGAAGCAGCAATAGTATTAACCCCATTTATGTAACTCTAACAGAGCTAATAGCTTTCGGTTATAAACAATTTTCAAGACTTTGTATCTGTAAAAAGGTTAATTATGGAGCTACAGTCAATTTTTTCAGAAAATTTCAGTTTCCATGGACATTGAAACCAGTGAGCTAAGCCAATGGTAAAGCGAAGATAATACTTTATGAATTTGAGCTTACTGGACGATATTTTGCCTGATGCAACACTAGAAGGCAAAGTCAGAAACAAACTTAATACAATGAAAAGATTGGGAAATAAGTGTTGCAAATTCAAATGCTTAAGCTTGTTCACAGATAAAACTGAACTGATAGTCTGAAGTCTTTTGCGTGGAGGGTACAACTTGAAGGGGCCAGTTATAGACATGCCTGGGAGAGACAATGTTCCTGAAGGATTTGGCTCTACTAACCGCCAAGAGCCCTAATAACCAGTAAATTCAGTTGTTTGATCAATTCTTCATACTACAGTCATACTGTTATTGCTAGTCACTTGCAGTCTTGAATGCATAAGATAGCAAGAAAAAATGCTAAAATAAAGTTAATGTAAAGCTAAAACTAATAGACAGGACATATAGCCTGACAATCTAACATTCAAGCTAATGTTTTTGCAACGGATTCTTGTAGTAGGGAGTCTAGGCTTTCATAATCTGCCAGGTGACTTTTGTGAAAATGCCTGGTTGTCACGTGACTGATGGCATCATTTAACGGTAAAAAATCAGACAAAATCATCGCTAACTCTTTACTGGAGTGTTATTTTTTGACGCAAATTACATATTTTGACTCATCTCGTTGCAAGCTTTTAATAAATGTGCAACAGTCAAATGCAGATGCAAAGAACTTATTGTCTGGTTCAGAGTGGGAGCAAGACTTTGCAACTACGAAGGAAGAAGTGACTGCATCGACAGATAGCACTACCTTATTCGAACTTTGGGTACTGCAGTTCGCACAAACGTAATTTAAATGATCTAAATACTAATTATTTGATTGAAAAAAATATGGAGGAAATGGTTTTGCTGACATCCAGCCTCATATTAATACAAAGTTTGGCCAACTTATCATTTAATGACAGTAAGATCTTTGATGACGTCATGTAAATTTTTTGATGACGTCATAATAAAAATACTGATGGCGGCAAATAATGCTTAAATATACATCGATTGAAAGCTTGCAACGAGAAGAGTCAAAGTATGTAATTTGCGTGAAAAAATAACACTCCAGTAAAGAGCTAGCGATGATTTTGTCTGATTTTTTACCGTTAAATGACGTCATCAGTCCCGTGAAATCCAGACATTTTCAAAAAAGTCACCTGACAGATTATCAAAGCCTGGACTCCCTACTACAAGAATCCGTTGAGAAAGTAAACATTAGCTTGAATGTCAGATTGTCAGGCTATATGTCCTGTCTATAAGCAAAATCCACACATTCGATGTTCTCAAGAAGAAATCGTTATAAATACTAGAGATTGACTACATGTTTCTAAAGAGTAGATATTTTAGGTATCTTTTCAAGGGGTACTCATCGAGTGTGAAAAAGCAGGAGCTGTAGTGGGCCAAATTCTTTTTACGGTTGCCTTCACGTTGCTTTTCATAATTTTTCCTTATAGTTTGATCTAATATAGTTACTTCGTCTTACATCAAAAACATAATATCTAACAATTTTAGCATTGTTTATTGGCGCCATATTGAATTAAAAAGTATGGCCAGAAACAATTGGTGTATTACGTGCTTTGTCTAATTTGTTTAAAATAAAAATAACTTCGCGGGAAACATGTCTAGCTCCAGATAAAAAAAATTGAAAAATGAACAATATCTGTTTAGAGATTGAAGATTTAGAGGGCAGATTTTATCAGCAAATCAATCCTGCAACTTAAATGGTTTACAAAACTGATGTTTAGTGGTTTTAGAAAGAAATCATAGTATAAAGATGTGGAACAATTAATGTAGATAAATGCACTTTTATGATGCCATTTGATGTTCTCGTCTATTTTCTTGAGATATTATAAACCAAAACTATTTGCGGTAGATTCTATGCTATTGGCATTTTTACTAATCATAAAGTATGAAAAGCCACCTCTTCTTTTAAGCGCCTCCTTTGAGAAAATGCCCTGAAAAAGTTTGAAAATTTTAAAAAAGCAACCCAGACGTAATATGGTATCTTAACAGCTCTATATATCAAAAGTCACTTGAGTCAATGCTGTTATCAAATAGCTAATTCTAACACAACATTAAAAGATGTATTCAGTTATTTTGTTACTTCATATTGGGAACCAAAGTTATTTCATATTTCAAAACCAAAACATCTAAAAAGTCATAATTTCTCCCCGAAAACTTTAATTATTTCATATTTCAATTTTCCCTTCTAGGCCCTCTTTTGCTATCGCGGCCGCGTCTTCGCGCTTAATTTTATTGCGGATTGCGGCATTTCGTTGATTTTTGCACGGTTTTGCGGCTTTTGGTCTCCCTATAATAGGCCCCTTTTAAATGACCAAAGAAGTAATAGCCACCATCGCAATTTCAGCAACCAAAATAGCCGCAATTTTAGCAACCATCGTCTTAAAAATTATCCTCGGATCACTTGCTTTCTATCTTTCGTTTTGACCCGGGGCCTATAAATCCTCTCCGCGGCCCTGCTTTTGCCTAAAATATTTCTTTAGCTCTGCAGAAAAGTGCCGTGCCCTCCCCCACGGCCCCCCGGTTTTGCCTGCCCTTTTTCTAGGCCCTTTTAAAAGGGAATGCTCGTGCGTATGCCATCAATAACAAAAAGAAAATACCGCCAAAATTAAAGGAAGGCTGGCTGAGAGGAAAATGGCTTCAAATTTGAAAGGTAGCAATAAAATGTTCATTTGGAGCGATTAATAAAAAGGCCCTTCTCCTGAATATCATACTGGAGTAAAAACATTATAGGTTGGAGCCTGTTCGCTAAATTTATCAATAAAATCGTGGAAAAATAGAAAACTTCTTTGATCTTGTTTCGTATTTTCTATTTTGTGAGCGAAGAGGGCGCGCAAAATCTTTTCAAATGTCGGAGTACCGTGCCCAAAGCACCTCAAACTGGAGAATTCATTAGCCTCGTTTCCTATCCGTTGCCAATTCGGGATCGATCCCATCTATTTTCGGCGTTTACACGAGACGGAATCGATCCGAAACTGGAACGCTCTCCGAAGCGATCCCAAATAAGTACGGATAGCGGATCGATCCCGAGCGTTCCCGTGTAAACGGAAGGCTTATCCTATCCGTACTAGTTTCGGATCGATCCCGGCCTGGATCGATGTAAAGGATGTCTACATCCCCTGGAAAAAAGGATGCAAAGTCTGCTTTGGTATTCAAAGAATAAATTTATTACTATGAATGGTTTTAGTAAACAAAAGGTTTTGCAAATCAGTTGCTGTACCTGGTCACTGCTCACACAATCTTTCCACCATGTTTCTCTAATTGCTGATCGTCTGTCTCTTCTTGTTGGGGCTGATGAAACGATTATCAAAAAGTTTGTTTTCTTTCTGATTGCTGGCCTCATTATTTGGAACTTAGAGTATACAGGATTTCTATTCCAACGATCCACATAATCAATCGATCCCTTACAGGAAACTTGACAATGTTTCACTTTTGTTGAGAATAAATTCAAGTGAAAGGTGCAGAAAATGAGAATCTCCATTATTATGATAAGTAAAAGAGCCATGCTGTTTCTCCATGTTGAAAATTCCATTTGTTAACCACCTGTTACGTTTCCTCAAGCTTTTGCTCAAGCTTTCATTCACAAGAAATTCACGAATCTGATACGAATCTGATACGGGTTTCGTGTTCGTGTCTGTCGCACTGTTCATTGGCAATTGTTTCTTGAATTTCGAGACATACTAGAAAAGCCAGACCAAATAACCAAAGTGGGTTGCAGAAAGACAATCAACAAACAATAGAACATTTTGTATTTTATCATTTTATCAGTAAAAATACGTGGTATTAACTTCAGTGGCGGGCTGGCCCTTTTCGCCTGGGGGGCAGCATCTAAAATGGCGCCCCCCATAACTAACACTATTGTCTTTTTCCTGAGAATATTGGCAGTAAAAGAAATTCAAAGTGGGGGGGGGGGGCTTAAGTTAATAGCTTTATTTGAGTAAACACCAACATTGGGAAAGGCCGGCGAGAGGTTGCCGGAAGCCCTTAATACAACTCTGAATAAAAAAGGCTTTCTTGCAAGCGGAGCGAGCAGAAAATTTTTGCGACCACGCCCTTTAGATTGGCTTAAAAAACATTTCAAAATATTTCTTGTAGTCATTTTCTTGAAATCGTTTAAAAATTTTGCTATTTTTAAGGCATCCTTTTAGCACCTTTGATTAATTCCAGTCTTAAAATGGATTTCATAACTTTGTAATAAGGAAAAGAATCCATCCTATCTTTGAATCGTCAAGATGAATTGGTCCTTTCATGAGAAATGAAGCAATGAGACAAAATCTACTGACCCCCACATGAGCAGGTCTCTGAAGGTCAGCAGAGCCAAAGAGACTCATCGAAAATCAAAATTTTTCCTGGAAGGGGGCATGAGTCCAGACACTCTAAACACAGACTGTCCCCCGACACCCTAAACACAGTCTGTGTGCACTATGAGTGCTGTGTTCTCCACACGAAAGAGTTTAACTACGTGAGTTTCCTAACAATCTTATAAAAAATTGATAAATTTTTCGCCCCTGCGAACAGTACAAATGTTTTGTCTAGATAATACAGTACTGAATGGGGCACAAAGACGTGCCCTTGAAGTGAGAATGTTCTAGGGGGTATGGGGGCGTGCGCCCCAATAAAGTTTTGAATTTCATGGCGTCTTTTTTGTCTTTGCTGGCCTCCTAGAGACCTAATAACCAGACAAGTCGGTCGTATCAAACTCTTTTTTGAGTTTTCAGCGCCCTATACAAGCTTTGGCGCCCCTATAAAAATGTCACTTGAGGAGGCCCTGCCCCCCCCCGGCCCCCCTGCCAGGCCGCCACTGATACACTTACTCATTTCAATCACAATCTCCATTAAATCATAAGCAATTAGTTTTGCCAAAATAGGACAGCTTTCATGGTAACTTAGAAATTTAGAAAAAAATAACACAGCGTAAATGGCTATGTGCTCCATTTAGGAGTCACGCATTCTTGAGAATACTTAATTGTATAATTCCTCAAGGACGTCGAAGTTTTTCGTTTGTGTAAATCTTTCATCAACGTATCATTCATATTTTCTTCAAAATTCGATTTACCCTTACTTGTTTTTTATTTGCCCTTACTTATTTTTTATTATATTCGACAAATATTCCGATCAATTACAACATACCAAGAAAAATAATCCTACATTAAAGCAATCATTCATATAAAAGTAACAAAAACTTACAAGTTAATCCAAAAACATAGTGTTCAAAATTGAAAGGAATTATCGAATTTTTAGGCTCTATCTATTTCAAAGAGAATTTTTTAGTCTTAATATATTTCAATGCGAGTTTTCAGTCTCTATCTCTTCCAAAATTTAGCAAGACAAAAAATAAACAGCTAAATTGTAATCTTTAGGCCAATTGAATTCTCCATGATTATATACACTGCATAGTAGCACGCCTGTCAACCTACCGTATGCTTTGTGGATTTCGAGAAAACTATAGAACACAACATGCCCTACTGCGCTTCACTGAAAAATATAAGATTAGCCTGGACGCTGGAGAGTGTGTCGGTGGTCTTTATGGACCTATCAAAGGCCTTTTAAACCATGAACTTCTGATAGCAAAGCTTAATGCATATGGATTCAGCAGAAAAGCCTTATTGTTCATTCATAGCTATCTAGACAAGAGGAAACAAAGAGTGAAAGTAAATGGGTCCTTCAGTGAATGGAAAGAAATCGACAAGGGTGTTCCACAAGGGTCAGTTCTAGGTCCTCAATTATTTAATATTTACATAAACGATCTGCTCATGTGTGTACCAGACATAGAAATATGCAACTATGCAGAAACGACATTAACCCCTCACATGTTCTGTGACAAAAGCCTAAAGATAAACCATATACATGAAGTCACTGCGTATCGAATGCAAAAACAATGTGTCAGATTTTGATACTCTCCTGATTGAAAACAACTGTGTCTCCATACACAAAAGAAACCTTCAACTACTAATGGTTGAGATCTACAAAACTGTACATAACTCAATCCAAGCTTTATGAATGAAATATTCATACAAAAGAGCAGCCACTACCATCTTAGAAACAGTAGATTAATGAAAATCCCAAAAACTCGAACCATCACTCATGGAATCAAAAGCTTGTCCTATTTAGGATGCAAGCTCTGGAACAATCTACCAGAAAACTTGAAAAACCTAATAACCTTAATACCTTTAAAGTAAAGATCGAACATTGGAAGGATAATTGCAGCTGCAAGCTATGTAGAACCTTTGTAGCACAGGTCGGGTTCTTGACATGAATTGTCTAACATTATTATTTTCAACTATTTATCTAATTAAATCCTAGGTTTATCAATTTATTTCTTTAAATAGTTTTTATATGACTGTATAATATTATCATTTTTATTCCAATAAATAGAAGGCTTTAATTAGCTTATCGTTTAGCTACTACTGTAAAGAACGCCTACTGTAAATAAATGAATTATTATATTAATGTTATTATAAGTCAATTAACCAACCGGCAAATACAAAAGAAATTACCAACAATAAATGTGTTAACGATTTAACCTATGTAGAGCTATTACCAAACAAAAGAAAGTGTAAGAATAATAAAAACACGACCTTGATTCAGGGGCGGCGCCATGGGGTGGACTGACGTGGACATGTCCACCCAATTTTTTAAGATCGATTTTCTAACTTTTCCAAAACTAGACTTTCCAAAAATAGAAAATACGAAACAAGATCAAAGAAGTTTTCTATTTTTTCACGAGTTTATTGATAAATTTAGCGAACAGGCTCCAACCTATAATGTTTTTACTCCAGCATGATATTCAGGAGAAGGGCCCTTTTTATTAATCGCTCCAAATAAATATTTCATTGCTACCTTTCAAATTTGAAGCCATTTTCCTCTCAGCCAGTCTTCCTTTAAATTTGGCGGTATTTTCTTTATGTTATTGATGGCATAAACAATACGCATTCCCTTTCAAAAAGGGCCTAGAAAGCCGTGCGGTCCGATCTGAGATCGATCCCGTTTAAAGGGGGCCTATTATAGGGGGACCAAAAGCCGCAGAACCGTGCAAAAATCAACCAAATACCGCAATCCGCAATGAAATTAAGCGCGAAGACGCGGCCGCGATAGCAAAAGAGGCCCTATAAAGGGTATATAATTGAAATATGAAATAATTAAAGTTTTCGGGGAGAAATTATGACTATTTAGATGTTTTGGTTTTGAAATATGAAATAACTTTGGTTCCCAATATGAAATAACAAAATAACTAAATACATCTTTTAATGTTGTGTTAGAATTATCTATTTGATAACAGCATTGACTCAAGTGACTTTTGATATATAGAGCTGTTAAGATACCATATTACGCCTTGGTTGCTCTTTTAAATTTTTCAAACTTTATCGGGGCATTTTCTCAAAGGAGGCGCTTAAAAGAAGAGGTGGCTTTTCATACTTTATGATTAGTAAAAATGCCAATAGCATAGAATCTACCGCAAATAGTTTTGGCTTATATTATCTCAACAAAATAGACGAAAATACCAGATAGCATCATACAAATGTTTTTATCTATATTAATTGTTCCACATCTTTATAAAGGTTCTTAAATTATCTTCTGAAAATTCCCTAGTCATGAATATTACGTCAACCCCTATTATTATGAATTAATTGGGACTGACCATCCCATGAATCATTCTGAAAACTGTACGTAGATATTTTGTCCGACTTGCGGAGACAATGTTCTTCGAAAACATTTGACAAGTGTAAAAGAACCCTATTTGTTTGTTGGCCGGCCCTGCTTCCCTCTCCCACTCTTGTTCTAACTGACAGCAATGATTGACAGTAGCTTGTCCATTCTTACGTTACTCCTATTCGACATGGAGCTCTTTTCAAAACATTTGGTGTAAAGTGAAAAGCCTTGCCGCGGACCGTTATTTCATCTGAAAGCCGCAACCGTATTATAAAAGCCGTAAACCGTTGCGAATTTATACCTAAAGACGCAAGACGCAACTTTTGTTGAAACCGCAGTCCATAGATAAACCATGTTTAAATCCGGAGGCCGCACGTAAAATAGGGTCCAAGCCGTGAAGTCGCAATAGGGCCCCCTTTAAACACAATATATTTTTGGATCGATTCTGTAAAAACGTCCGCGAGATCTTGGGGTCGATCCCAAACTGGATCGGTCCCATTTCCCCGTGTAAACAGGCTCGTAAACGAATTTATTGGGTAGTGTCCCAGTTAAACCGATTTTGATTCATAACCTCTCATTTTTCACGGGATCGATATCGATCTCTCATTTTTCTCCTCCGCGAGTCTGCGCGCAGGCTAACCTACAGTGGAATCCCGATATAACGAGCTCTGAAGGGAACCAGAAAATAGTTCTTTATATCGGGAGTTCGTTGAAACGCTTTTTTGGTTCCTTTCGCAGTTCACGCCGTAAAATACCTACGGTGGGCTTGATTAGGCTATCTCCAACCTCTGTGCACAGTTAACTCCAAAAAAACCAATCTGAATTCAAACAATACAACTGGCTGGTCATTGAAAATTAAAATCTTAATGTTTCTTTCATAATTTGGGACCAAGAGATTGCCAAAGCTGGTATCACTTCGCTCCTATTTGGTGCCTGAATGATGTCTTCGATTACTTTACATTCTTATTTGCCTTTTCCTGCTTTTCCATCTGGGTCTCGCAATCAATTTTTGTCGTCGCTCATTGTCTTATATGTAAGAAGGTATTCGTTAGTGTCAATGTACTCATTCGCAGAAATTTCTGACGCAATCAAACTTTCATCTCGTCACTGAGTCTATCAGCCAGTGCTTGAAATGTATCATCATCACGTTTTGCCGATTGAAAAAATGATTTGTCCCATAAGAAAGTGATAAATGAACACCGAAAATAAATAAACAAAAATAACAGATTAAAAATTTATGGAAAGTTCGTTATATCGAGGGTAGTTATGATGAAGGGACCTACAATTAGGTTCGTAATAATGAGAGTTCGATATATCCGGGGTTCGTTTTACCGACAGAGTTTGTAAGAAGTTTGTTAGGCAGAATCCAAGGGACCAGGCATTTTGTTCGTTATACAGGGAAGTTCTTTATATCCGGGGTTCGTTATACCGAGAGAGTTTGTAAGGAGTTTGTTCGGCAAAATCCAAGGGACAAGGCATTTAGTTCGTTATACAGGGAAGTTCGTTATATCCGGGGTTCGTTATACCGAGAGAGTTTGTAAGGAGTTTGTTCGGCAGAATCCAAGGGACCAGACATTTAGTTCGTTATACAGGGAAGTTCGTTATATCCGGGGTTCGTTATACCGAGAGAGTTTGTAAGGAGTTTGTTCGGCAAAATCCAAAGGACAAGGCATTTAGTTCGTTATACAGGGAAGTTCGTTATATCCGGGGTTCGTTATACCGAGAGAGTTTGTAAGGAGTTTGTTCGGCAGAATCCAAGGGACCAGGCATTTAGTTCGTTATACAGGGAAGTTCGTTATATCCGGGGTTCATTATTTCGGGATTCCACTGTATTTTGGGTGTTTACACAAAACCGGATCGATCCGAAACTGGATCGACCCGAAACTGGAACGCTCTCCAAAGCGAACCCAAATTAGTACGGATAGCGGATCGATCCCGAGCGTTCCCGTCTAAATACCAGGCTGAAATTGGGGTCAAATGTTATAACATGCAGTTTATGTTTTGACGACATAACTTTCCATTCTCTTCGAATATCAAAAACAAATGCGGTATTCGGGGTCATGAAAATGCCATGCAGTCCCTCAAAGCCGTCTCAGTAGGCATCAGACAGTAGATTGTTTGAGCTGTCTCGTTAAAAAGTTGTATATGGTTTTAAAAGTAACTCGCTGTTGTAATGTTGTAAATCTGCGCGAGCGGTGCTCGCAGGCACATAAATTCATGTTCCGAATTTCTGCTGGCACTTTTCTTAATCGGTGTTTATTTATCTATTTTGTTTTAAAATCATGCTTTGTCTTAATACCTTTCTTGCTATTAGTTAAAAAGGCCAAATAGAATTTCAAAAAATAAAGTTGTAAGGTGATATTTGAATTCTCGAAAACTTCTTCAAAAAATCATACGCGTATATGACAGTAAGAGAAAGAAAATAAAATGCAGAGTATGCATGTCTGGAGCAAAATTACAAGGTGCAACTCTAAAGAATTCACCCAGAAGAAAATTTCGTCAACTTACATCGACACAAACATGCTTTTATTTCTTAAATTTTTTGAGTGAAAGCATTTTCAAATTTAAAATAATAAAATCTTACAAGCAAGATAAACTCAAAGCTAAAGAACGGAACATCGAATTTCTTTATATTAGTCACTATCGAAATTTTTGACGGAACTTATTGGGAATATAATTTTTCACGACAAAGATTTTTAGCCTTGAAATGAGAAAAACAAAGTTTTATGTAAAGGTCTATATTTGAAGATTGTCATAATAAATGATATTCACTTGTATGGACATATTTCATGACTTTTAGTTCCCTGTGGCCTGTGGGCCAGCGGTTGTTGTTGTCAGCGGTCGTCTGTATCAGTGGCCGCCATGTTTGTCATTTAGCTTAGATTTATTGTTGATTAAAGCCTAACTTTAGGTCAATATAGTAGTTTATCTCACTACAAAGATCTTTACTGAAGATGTCTTTTTTGATGACATCGATTATACCAATAACCCAAAGACTGCTTGAATAACCCAAATCGCCTGTAGATAAAAACTGGATCATTTCATTCGCTTTCTTATATATTCATCATTTTTTATGGCTCTCAGCAATAATTATCTCTTTCAAGTTTTACATGCAGTCAGGGGCGTAGCTTGTTGGGGTGTAAGAGGTGTGACACCCCAAATTCATCATGAGTTGGTCGTTGGTCAGTCGGTCCACAAAATCTTTAGTTCGTTGGTAAAACTGCCTATCGGTAGGTGAAATAGCACCCAAAAATTTCATCTGAAGTTCAGGCTGGCATTTTTACTTTCAGTAAAATCATTAAAACAATTAGAACTATGAGGCTGGATTGTTATTAACTTGTTCTTGAATCATAAGGGTGTAAGTAAGCAGTGCAGTTGCTAAATATTCTGCTTAAATATTCTTCAATCAAAAACTGTCGCCCAGCTCCATGATTTATCAGAAATCTGAAAGGCATCAAATAACCAGGACCGCAAAGAGGGGGGCAAGGGGGCAATGGGGAAAATTTCCCTAGGGCTTCAAGGCTTTATGGGGCCTTTTAAAGTAATGAATTAAATTTTTAAGAATGGAATTATGCAAGCATAAACAATTATGCCAAAGAAGAGTAAAACATTTCAAATAATTGGAAGAAGATGGCTCCTAGAAATATTCTGGAATGTATTTTCAGTTAAACTTAAGGGTGTGGTCGCAAAATTTTTCTGCTCGCTACGCTCGCAAAGAAGCCTTTTTGGATATCTTACTCCTGGGCTTGTGATAACTATCAAATGCGTAGCCTTTTCCACTGTCAACAAGATATTTCCATAATTTCAGCAAAGCAGGGCAAGATGCTTGACAATTACGTTGTCGTCAATCTTTTTAAAAGAAGGTTTACACGATAAAGATACTGTAAAGGGGTGTTCTTGAAATATGACGGCAACCATTTTTATAGTCATCAGCACTTTAATTTTTCTAAGATTATCGGCACATCGTGGTTTAGTTTCTATCGTCACCCAAAAGTACCAGATGACAAGGGAAATTCTTACCGATAATTATCAAATTGACCCCCCTGTATATTAAAAATTCACGTGACCAACAAACATCCCCTCCCCCCAGGTATTGATGGCACAAAACAAGCTTGTTGTAAATATCAAATCTTGAAATGGGATGGCGCAAGTATGTGGCTCTGCGGAGGAAAGCATGAAATGATGTCATCACTGTATAGCGGAAGGTGGCAGAGTTGGCCTAAGAAAAACGCATAGTCGAAGCAAATGTCAGATTATGATAGTGACGATCTATCTGCCTGTGAGACAACACGTTTGATAGACCCAGGAATGGCAGTATCTAATATCTCGGACTCTGAACCGGAATATTGTTTAACTGTGGAAGAAGATTTCCATTATCGACGTCAAGGTGTTCCACAGTTACTAGAACAGGTAGGTGAATCATTTTAGCGACTAACCATTGTTGTGGCAGTCGGCCGAGAATTTTAAGTATGATAAGAAAGAAAAGGGACAGTTTTCTTTGTTCTCAGATTGCAAATAGTTGTAAATTCGCTACATAGCTTAATTAGCACTTTTTATTCTGTAACGTAAGGTAGGAACTCCAATTGTATTTGATCGCTATTTGCTCTATATGTTATAAAAAGTGTTTATGAGCTTTAGTCCAGCCATAGATTAATGTGTTTGCATACCATGCTAGATGGCTGCATACAAACAGATAAAGTATAACTTACATCCATGAAAACGTACCTTAAATGTTCAAGCCAAGAAACATTTAATGCCAAGAAAAATATAAATACTGGGGATTATGTACACTTACGTTCAAAACGTATGGGAACAAACTTCGAAATTTCCAAGAAATTTTATGTAACAAATTTGGAAAGTCTTTTTAAAAATATTTTTCGTTATAAAAGTACGGCAGCTATTTCCATGAAATTTTTGCAAGATATAGTTTATGTTTCGAAGTCTTCTATGTATGCCAAACAATTAAAAAAACATCAGCCATAAATTTCTATAGGCCTTGAGACCTAAACATGGGAATTCTTAAAAATCACAAACTGAGTTATGAGAAGCCCTCGCAAACCATTTTTTAACCATGGTTGAATTTGAATGGTCACACAAAGGAAATTCTTGTAAAAATTACATTGTTGTATTTTTGAGCGAGTTTCAAATATTAAATAATACAGTGGTTTAAATATGTTTTGGTCATGGCCTAACAGCCATTGAAAGACCATGGCTCTAACAAGGTTTTGTTTGGTATCATGCAGAATGCTGCTATGGTCTGGCAATGGGAAAACAGGCCTAGAAAAAATTTGATATTGAGCGATGATTAAGCCATAGTTCAATCATGAACAGTCAGCTGGTTAAGCTATGGTCTAACCATTGATAAATGTGGTATCTGAATTTCATAAAAAGAAATTGAAAGTTTCAAAGTGCTTTAAAAGACCAAAATTTTTATAATTGCTAAAAAGAAAATTTTGAAAAAGTGAAATTTTGAATTTTGGACATGGTTTAGCCATGATTGGGCAATGAGTCCTATGTAAGTTGACAGTTCTACCATGGTTAACCATGGGCATTTCATTGCCCAACCATGGCTGACCATGGTTGAAGAACATGGTTGAACCATGGCATGTCCTGAAATGAAAAGCACTCGGTCGAGCGAGAGCACCTCCACACTCGCCTCAGAAAATTTACAGGCTTGATTGTTAGAGGGTCTAGCTGATCATTACATAACTTCTCTGGTTGATTTGTGAATTTGCAAACTAACTTGATATTAATATTTAGCCAATGTCTTCCTTTTATCTCTTTAAAACAATAATATATTTATTCATACTCTTTGTTGAAATCGTAAAGTTTTCATAGGCTTTGCAAATTCCAAGTAATGTTCAGATCACATATGCCATTTTCCACCTGCCTCACTTCTGTGTTGATTGCGCACATTTAAGGAAATATGATTGAAAGACAAAAATAATATTGGAGCTTGATCAAGCACCTAACTGAATGGAGGAGCTTGATTAACCAAGTACCTAACTTTTGCTCATTTCAGTGCCTGAACCATGGTGTCACCATTCTCAACCATTGTTAAGCAATGGTTTTTCATAGAATTTGTTTGATTACTTTCAAATCTTTTTTTAGGATGATTTGATACCTCCAAGGCAAGAAGATGGAACAAGAAATCGTCATAGAAGATTCAGAGATAATGAACAAGATGGTGATGAAGGTAGCAGTGTAAGAAAAGTAGAAAATCGAGAGGCACACAATGAAAACAACAGAGATGAAAGGGGAGATGGACGGCCATTAGATGAAGATGTAGAGGAATTACATTATGGTGCAAAGAGTGTTCTTATGCTCATCACTCCAGTCTCTGTTTGCCTTCTTGTGGTTGTTGCAACAATATCATCTGTTACTTACTATACAACAAATTATGAGCGGACATACTTGTGAGTTTTTCATTGCTCTGTTGATTCTCATGTCTTCCAGTTATAAAACCTGGTCTTTTCATTTTTCCTAGATTTAAATTTCTCTCTGTTTCCCATTTTCTTTGCCTAATAACATTTTCATATCATTTTATTTTAAATTGTGGCACCTGAAATAGGGGAGAGACTTTTTTATGCAGGATTTGTAAAATAAATTTCAATTTTCAGAATCTACACACCATTTAGAGAAGAAAACACCAGCAGTTCAGGAGAGCGTGCTGGATTTGCCCTTCTGAATGCATTGATTGTCATTGGTGTTGTCTTGGTGATGACAATATTTCTTGTCATTCTTTACAAATTCAGGTGTTACAAGGTGATCTTTTTTGTTTCTTTGTATTTGATTTCCAAGCAATTGGTGTTAATTTTTCTAATGTAATCAAATCAACTCCAAAACTTGAAGTGCCCAAACATGACAATGTGCATTGTAGGTCTAGGATTTTATTTTTGTTAGAGCTAATGATAACTGAGGGCTTGCCATTTTATTTATTTTTATTGATCTTTGATTTGTTTGAATCATGATTCATGCCTCAAATTCTGATATTTGCAATCAAATAATTGCAAGAAGTAACAAAATTTTGAAATTTGAAATTTCAACAACAAAAGCCTAACATTTGAAATAAATGGGAGAAGAAAGAAATTTAGGATTCATACATGATATGTTTTGAAATGTATTACATTTGGTCTTACCCCAAATGGTGCTCAATTGAGTGTGAGTGCCTAAAGGGCACCTTACATTTGCTACGGAAAGTGATTTATTGAGTCCCTGAAAATGCCACAAAGCAAAATAATCTTTTGAAATAATGTTGATCAAACTTTAAGCATCTCCTCAAATGATGAAATTTTAAGTATAAGATTACAAAGTTGTACAGTTAAGAGTTATAATTATTCCTGTGACTGGATTCAACCTAAGATATTTTTTACTATATGTCAGGTCTTTTCATTTGACATGAGCCATAAGTTTAAGCGTTTTTAAAAAATGTAACTTGTGCTGAAAATGTTAAACTAGCGCTGGGCCACTCGTCTGGACTATTTCTTAAGAAAATACCTGATATATGTTATCAATTGATTTGTTGCTTTTTTACAGATAATCAACGGATGGCTGATCATGTCATCTTTGATGCTGCTCTTTATTTTCAATTATGTTTATTTCCAGTAAGTACTAATACTGCACTCTGGTCTAATAATGCTATAAATGTAGTTCAATTTTGCTTCTCTATTAGTTTCAAATCTAATGTCTACTTAATATATTGAATAAAATTGAGTCACCTATCAAAGCAATCTGTAAGCAATTTGATATACACTTAATGAGCAAAAGTATTGCACAGGTTTGACAAGTCAGTAATGACAACCGCGTTGTCAACAACAAAGCGATCAAAATTCAAACCACTTTTGTGAAACCATTAGGCATCTTTTTATGGCTAAAAACCCATCAAAACAAACTTCAAACCATTGACAACACTTTTGATTTAAAAATTGAAAAAATTTACTTTTAAAAAATTAAAAATTTTAACTTTTTATTGGACAGTCAGATTTGAAACCTTTGTGAGACTTGCTAAAACTTTATCAAAAAGTTTAGTAACATGTTCTGTTAATCGTTTCATGATAAGTTCAGAAAAACATTTGCATGATCGCATTTAGGTGTTGAAGTACCAAGTTGATCATTAATGGCCTTGTATTTGGTGGAAAGTGGCATATTTTAAGCCATTTTATTATGTTCACTCTTTTACAGCTATTGAGGCACTTTAGTGAACCTGTTTCTTACGGGAATTTTGGTACTTACTTTCATTTAATGAGTGGACGCAATGTTGTTTTATGCAATTTTTGGCATTATTTGTTCCCATTAAAAATCGCAATCGGTTGGAAAAGATGGACTTTACGATTTGTGGCACATTTTATTGATTGAATTTTGCTGCAACATATCATGAAGCAGCCGCTGCAATTAGGCCCATTGCGACTCCAAAAATTTCTGACCAAAACATTTAGCAGGTTCTCCAACAAAAGTGAGGAAAATGAGCAGTTCTAGACACCCAAGCATTGAATAAGTACCCCTGAGTTCATTGTAATAAGATATAGCAAATTAGTGCAGAGATGAACTTTTTTATTGCAAATGTTTCACAGGTACTTAAATCATCATGGCTCAATTTTTGTGTTTTTGCGACATGCTGATATTGTTTAGAAATAGGCAAAAATTAAGAATATTCTTGCATTTACTATTTTCACCATCAAACCTTTGATAAATGTTCCAACATATTCCAGTTAAAAATTCATCTTGTAACTTTTACGAAACTTGCTATGGCCACTTGAATTTTGGTTTGCTAAAGTTTTTTGCTGTGGTGCAGCCATTTCTGTTTCAGCCTGTGCAATACTTTTACTCACTAAGTGTATATTAACAATGGATAATAGCACATTTTTAAGTTATTGTTGTGTAAATAGTCTTCTTTTTGTTTTCCAAGAGAGCTACTCAAACTGTATAACATTGCAATGGATTACATGACAATGGCTCTTTTCATTTGGAACTTTGGAGTTGTTGGCATGATATGCATTCACTGGAAAGGGCCTTTAAGGCTACAGCAGATGTACCTGATTTTGATTAGTGCATTATTGGTATGGTTGCAAAAATTCAGTTTCTTGCTTTTCTATGGTGATGTTCTGCCTGATTATGCTTTTCGCAAGATTTGCTTGGTTCATATTAAGATTTGAATGAATAAACTTATATGGCTGCAATGCTGATTACCAGGCAAACAAGAACAAGAGGCACAATCAGTGGATAGATACTTATAGCACAAATGAATTATGCCCTAATGATAAAATTGCTGAACTTTTACTGGGGCGTGTTACATACACATATCTATCAATATTCTATGTCCAGAGATGAAAACAATCCTGGAGTCTAGAAAGACTGAGTCATTGGCCAGGAAAATATAGAATTAGATTGATTCTTAGCCACTGCAATGGTTTGCCCCCTAAAGACCTTACATTTCTGTAGTTTAAAGAATCTTGCTTTTTATTTAGGCACTGGTTTTCATAAAGTATTTGCCAGAGTGGACACTTTGGTTTATTCTTGGTGCAATTTCTCTCTACGGTGAGTTCTCTGCCTTAAGGGATTTTTATGCCCTATTTTTCTCTTTTGTTATGCTACTTTCTATTTTCTGTTGTAGTTATTTTCTGTAGATACAAGAAGTATCTAATGAAAATCAGACAGATAAAACAGAATGAAAATCAACAATATGATTTTCTTTTTAGATTTATTTGCTGTTATCTGTCCACACGGCCCACTCAACATGCTTGTGAACCTTGCTCAAGAGCGAAATGAGCCACTGTTTCCTGCATTGATTTACTCATGTAAGTATTTGTCTTTTTATTTAGTCCTGGATTTGTCCTGTATACCTATGATTCCATCAGAATTCAGAAATTACAGCCGTTCCTTACTTAATGTATACATATCAGTCTTCTTAATGCATTTTAAGTTCAAAGTTTTCCATCATGGCAAAAATTGGTTATTTGTTAATTTTAAGTCTTATTGTTGTTGAATGTAAACTTGTGTAGCTTTATTATTATGAGGTTTTTTCGCTGAGCTTTGAGCGTTGCATTGGAAGGTTTCTTTGGAAAGAATTTTCAAAGATAGTCATCTCTGACCACATAAGAAATCTAAATTTACTAGACAATCTTGAAATTGTGAATTATCAGGGTTTTATTTGGAAGGATTTTATTTGGAAGGATTAGGAAGAATTTTATTTTGAATTAGAGGGGCTGTTTTCAATATTTTTTACTAGACTGATGCTTGAGCCTTGAGGGGGAATCTACATTCTCTTTTGGGGTTTGAAAATCAAAGCAAAGATTATGTTGCACCCCAAATAATGCAGATCCACTAGATATAGGTAAACATGCAGAATAAACTCAGGATGGGACTCAAATACTGTAATGTATTAAGGATTTGAAACTAACGGGCAGGTTTTTCAAAGGAATCAATATTTTAGAAATTTTTGAAATAGAATTTCTGTATCTGGTTCCTTAGCTCATAGGCAAAGAATTTTTAATTTTCTTGGGGTAGCACAAAATTCGAAATAAAAATCCTTTTAAGAAGGTGGTTTTAATCATTCAAATGTAGTATTGATAATCCATTTCTATCTTGGTATATAACCATATCAGAAAGTGCTATTGATACAGAATGGTGACTTCCAGAAGCAATTTTATTTACAGTTTCTTCAATGGGAAATATATATCCTGCTATTTTGATGTTCCCCTAAATTCTTTTTGGCTATAAAAAGCTGTAACCCACGTATTTGGCGCCTTTGTGTCTGCTTGAAGCATTTGAAGACCCCCAAGCTTGATTTTGAGTAGCATGCCCTTATTAAATATTGTTTTAACTGTAAATTTACTTGTCGTACAAGATATTCTCAAACTTGAAATGACTTCTCTTGAGGTTACAAAGTTTATTTCTCAATCAATATTGAAAATTGAAGGGATTTGCTGTGTGTGAATCCTTTTGGCGAATCGTCAATACCTACTAACTCCGTCACACCCTGCTGCCCTGGAACCTTTCACAAACTCAAAATAGTGATCAAAATGTTGAAAATATGCTTAAATAATGTTTAGAAAAGACAGCATCGTATTGATTGATTTAAAAAAATAGCCAGTAATCATGAACATTTCAATACGTGTATATTAATGTTTATTCTCTGCTTAACAGATCTGTGGATTTGCTAGTATTTCCTTGTTTAATTCTTTGTTTTATTGCTACGCCTTGCACTATGTGACGTAGTAAGCTTTTTGCAATTTATTTATCACGATTTTCCATTCGTTCCTCATTTCACCAACTCTCAGGTTACACATTTGTTTTATCCTCGATGTTGGCTAAACGTTTTTAGCGTTTTTATTTAAGTCCCTGAGCTTCCATAACTTTCAAGAAGCCTTCAATTTTTTTATCTAAAGGCAGTTTTTTCCTTCATTAAATCTCTTATATTCCTAGATGCAAAATTCGATATTTACTTCCATAGATTGTGTTGAAGACAGAGAGAATATTTAAAACTATTTAGGGGAAAATCAATTTTTTTAAAAAGTAACAGATTTCTTCCAGTGTCTGCAATAAATTTGTAAATAATTATCCAATTTGCGTATAATGTTGAGGGTAAAATATGATACGAGTTAACTATCTCGCTGTTCAGTGAAACAACACTCAGGCTAGGCTTTCATTATCACCATAGAAACTCACTTTTAGTTTATAGTTCTCTCCTAACGTGAAGAGATCAAGACGACTCATTTAAAGGGTTGTATGAGCCCCCGATGACAAAGGGGGACTGGTGGTCAAGCTCCTTACCTTTTCGCAAAACATGAGCTTTTCTGCAAAGGTTTTGTTATGAGGTTGTGAGTATTTAACCTCCCCTTGCTCCCCTACTTTCCAACTTTTGATGACACCAGGTTTAATCTCATTTCATTTAGGAACTGCAAGTATTGTTAGTGTTTGTAAAGAAGGTTTCTGAAGTGTCATGAATTTATGAATCTTGCATTCTTTTTCAGCTACTATGATGTGGATTGTAGGAATGGCTGACAGAGATGTTGAAAGAGACGCGAATGTAAATGGAGGCAATGAATTGCATGGGAACGCCGCAAGGGCGCTTAATGGTGACGGAGAAGCTGCTCATCGACCACGACCTGAATACCAACCACAAGATGAAGAAGAAAGTATGGCAATATTTGTTCTCTTTGCATTGCGCTTACCCAGAGCTCATGATGTTGCTTTGCTACCCCAACTATTTCCCACTACTATGAATATTTCCAACGCGTGGGTGAAAGGCCGTGCACACGGGGAGGAGGCAGTCGGATAGTTGCTTATTTTTGTTTATTTAGATGTGTCGCAACCCATGGAGACTAACCCATGGGATCCCGAATTTGATCTCTTGTTGTCCTAGCATGAGGCGGACACCTCACAGGGGCGGACACTTGATCAAATATTTGGGGGGGGGGGCAAGCCTATTGTTTTAATAAGATGACGTCCCATTTCCCTTTTTTTTAGAACAAAATACCATTTTCCTTTTCAGTATTGGGGAGCGGTCGCCCCCCCCCCCAAGTGTCCGCCACTGATACCTCACCAAGATACCCTAGCAGACATCCCTCAGTTCAATTTTGAAATAGTCTTTTTCTTTCTCAAATGTGATGCTCTCCTCTCTTGATCATTGGCGTAATTTGCTGCCAATAATTGTCAAGTAACTAAACTTTTTCATTATTAGAGTTTTTAATTCAATAGAAAATGGTATCGCAAGTTGTTTTTTTTCGAATTGACATCTAATGTGTGTGCTCTCTAATTTTAATTTTTTAGGAGGAGTAAAACTTGGACTTGGCGATTTCATTTTCTACAGTGTGCTCGTGGGAAAAGCATCATCATACGGAGACTGGAATACGACAATTGCTTGCTTCGTTGCAATTTTGATCGTAAGTACCACTTTGATAAAAGATATTAAAGCTTTCTAGTCTCTTTTCAAGAATTCTGTCTTCTCAAACGAGGGTAATATGTAGCAATGGTACCTATGTGTGTGGGAGTCCACATTGATAGCATTGTTGATCTACAAAGATAAACTTTTTATTTAGCCAAATAATATTCCATCTATGATGATTTCTACTGTTTTCTCAAGATGTTAATCGGCTATTTTTGGGAAGAAATTATTTTTTCTCCAACACACTTTGAAACCCAATCCCTCTTATTTAAATTGGCAAGCCAGATGGAATAATAGGACTGTAGTGAAGTAGATAGATCGATCAGGAGAATTTTTGTTTTCCTTCACTCAATATGTTCAAAAATGTTATTAGCTTCAGGAATTTGAAGGCATCAAAAAAAAGAAATAGAAAGTTTAATTTTGTTGTGTCATTGAATCTTTATTGTACCTTATAATTTCAATTTCTCTTCAGAAAGCATGTTCCGTCTAACCTGATAAACCTGATAAAAAAGGTCCCTTTTTGCATACATTCCAACTACCATTAAATACAATTAAATACCATAAAAACCAACAATCGATCACGTTACATTCATATATCCTAACACTGCACTTTTCTTACACAGGGCCTATGTTTGACACTCTTGTTGTTGGCGATCTACAGAAAAGCGCTACCTGCCCTTCCGATATCAATCACATTTGGTCTCATCTTTTATTTTGCTACCAGAACCATAGTCAAACCATTCACGGATACCCTGGCTAGTGAACAAATTTTCTTATAGTTAGCGTACTATACTTTGTTTCTTCTGTGATTGTATAAATTGACTTTTCCTAATTTAAAGTATGTTTACGTTGTCTTTACGAATATAAAATTGATATGCTATTGTCTCTTTTATTCTGATGGATGGTTCAATCTGACGAGCTTTGATCCTTTGATATCGAAAAACAATGTTGAAATACGTTTTCATCTTCCATGCATAGCAAATTCTGTGACATTTGAGTGTTAAGACCTGTCACTTGCAATTTAATTGTCGTCAGTTATAAAAATATTTCTTGTATAGTTAGATTGGTGTTAGTTTTTTTAATTTTCCAACAAATTACAACAATAAAGCGAAATTTCTAAAATTTCTCGACACATGGGACCCTGCGTCAACTTTAGCGAGTTCTAGATAATAGGCCTGTAAATCAATATGGAATGAATTTTCATGTTTTGATCTCCCCCGCAGTCAGCACTCTTGGCGTCAAAAATTTTTTGGACGTTTTCCACACACCCTAGTAATTTGCTACTCACTTCCCACCTGCGTAGTCCGATCTCGTTTCAGCGTTTTTTATACTGTAGCCATACTTAAAGAAGTAATGATTTTTCTTTATAATGACCATATGTTAATATCTCAAAAAAATTATGTAGATACCACTTTAAATTGTCTTTTTCCTGATGTCCTCCGCCTGCAGAACTGAAGTTTTAAGATAATTGGAAATAGGAAATATATTGTAATTTTGGGACAGGGCTATGTTTAGTAGCCAAAAATCTTTTTTTAGATACACTCTTTTCTTTTTATAAGAACCTGTAAATTTAATCTCAGGCTGACTGTTCTTAATTTTTTCCGAAATCTGAGGCTGGATTGTTCTTGTTCTCAAATGATAGGGTGTAAACAGTGCGATTGCTAGCCTTTTCGCTCTAGGTAGGTGTTAGTAGCTCAGCCTTAGCTTGTTCTTAATTTGTTCTTAACTTTTGACCAATTTTGAGGCTCATGTTCCTATAAATTGTTCTTATAAAAAGAAAAGAGTATAGTCGACCACAACAGTAAGAAGTTGCAATTCAAAGGTTTTCAAGTGTTTTATGACTTTGTCTCGTTTTGAGGGGAATTAGTTTTCATTTCCAAAATATGGCTGGATAAATTTATCAACTCATTGTTGAAATCTGTCGTCATATATACGTCGTTTAGATAGTTGCAAATATTGTCCTTTCACTGCTATTTCCTTAATTCTTTAAAAGTTTTAAAACAAATAGCAACCTTGTAGGCTTGGAAAAGCAATTTATATAGAAAAGTGTTAACTTTAAAAGTGCTGTTGAAAGCCACCAAAAAGCGGCATCTAGGTTCGTATATTTTGAGGTATTCCTGCATAAGTCTAGCTCTAGCTGGTCTAGCTGCGAAAAGAACTGAGATGTTATCAAGGTTTTTTGTTGTCAGAGTATTGTTTTTTTAAAAATAAACTTTCCAGTACATTAGAAAGACGCACGTTTTATGAAATTTAAGGCGGTGGCTCGGTAGATTAAGACTGAGACAGATTCCTTGACTAAAATAAGTATGAGCTCTAGGAATTAAATATTGCATTACTTTCAAGCAGAGTTACATCTTTTCGGCTGTACCGTATTTTCGGCGCAAAAACATGACGTCATGACAAATAAATCTTCACCATTTTCTAGTTTTGACCACATAACCTAAAAGATCAACATGAAGTTTCTCTAATGTGAATTTAGTCTAGTCTAAAAGTCTAAATCAGTTTAGTCTAAAAGTGCTAATTGACTTTGGCTCGTGGTTTTGGCCCTGGTGATTTAGAATTAAGGCAATAAAAATGAAGTGATTTAATGTATAAGGAGCCTTTACTTATGTGGCCATATCAAAGGTAGTTTTAGATACATTTAATCGTTTTCGCACAGTCCTGACGTAATTCATGTTGCTCTTTAATGTCATGTGGTCCCAATTCGAAGATTATAAAGATCTGATTTTATGACGTCATCAGCTTGCCAGTCTGTTGCCTATTACCACGCATTTTTAATCAGCACACACCAGGAAAGTGTTTGGATAAAATGTGCAAGAATGAATTTTTGACAGTTAAGTCTATCCGGTCAAAAGTAGATTAAACATCAACAAAGGTGCGTTCACCTTGAAAAGAATTGTCCCTAAATCATAAGGTGGAAAGGAATTGCTTAAAAAAATAGGAACACACAGCTATATATGTAAATACAAATGCAGCCTAGCCATAAAGCTGTTACTCAGATTTGAAACCTAGACAGCAGTAGTAAACTTGTATTCCACTCATGTAGACAAGTTCGGCCCTGTCATGAAACCTACTTTTCTTAATCTAATCACAGTCTCTACATGGAAAGTGTTTGTACTGTTTTTATTCATAAGCAGCTTCCCTGAATTCTTGTTAGCCAAAACCTTATGGGCTCAAACTAATTACTTTACGCAAATCTTGGCTTTTTCAATGTTCTGGGTGTTTAAACTCAGTCTAAATATATATACCAGTGACAAAGTTGACATCAATAAAGTAAATTAAATTTATGCTAAACAAATGTCTTTGCACCAATTGATATTTCTTGATCACCTTCCCAATAATGATTCTACTTAGAAGCAATATTTTCCTAACTTCATATAGTAAGTACGGGGCAAAACACAGTGTCTATAGACGTTAACTGCTGGTACTGGCCACGTTCTTCTACAATTGTCATGTAACCAAACCATCTCCATAGAAACGTCAAAAGCACAATGAGTAATACTTCTCAAATAAAACAGCCAAACAGTCAGTGACAGAATCTTCGTCGAAAACATGCAGTTTAATGCTCTGAACAGTTGTTGAAAGACAAGATATAGGCCAAGCTGTCTAAACATCTTCTGCCTTTGCCATAAGACGGTCCTCCTTCATAACCTCATCTTCCTGTTGCAATGCTTGATGGATGGCATAAACTGGCATTATCATGATGATAACACTGAAAAAGGCAAAGGTAAATTTCGCTCTGCTTTTTGGTATAATGTCACCATACCCCACTGTTGCTGCACTTGAGAAGGACCAGTAAAGGCCATCATACCATTTCCAGCCTGTGGTATTAATGGTAATAAACGTATTGTAAATTTCGAAGTTGGAAAAGCCAATGTTTAAACAAAAGATGCATTAAACAAAAGAGTAAATTATATCCGTTGATAACATGTTTGAAAACGCTCACTAAACCTAAATCGTTAGTTTAACAATTTTAGTTATTCATAAAACCAGTAAACGACTTTTAGGCTCCTTCTGTTACTTTATTCTTAACGCCGTTTCCACTCATTTTTAATTTGCATGCTTGTTTGTATCCTTGAAATCTTCTCTTTTAGAAACAAAATAATGATTACTCACTGAAAAAATTCCCATAACAAAAGTCGCCTCCTATTTGTGGAAACATGCCCTTTAACGACAAACTTGCGAAAAAGATATACATTATGCAAAATTACACGATGCCAGCACAATTTATGATTTACAAACCCTCAGAAAAGCCAACTGCAATCCCACCACCTCCAACATACAGCAACAAAATGATTATGCACAGGAAGAAGCAAAGCATGTCGGGCTTGCACGAACTTTTGTTTCTGCATTTTGAAGCGATCAGATTCTTCAATCTTGCAATACATCTAGTAAGGAAAGCAGCAACACATGCAAACATGTAAATATTCGCTGGGACTCCAATCACAACGAGTAAGATTGCCAAGATCTTCCCACCGTTAGAAATAGGCGTGATGTCTCCGTAGCCTGAAAGGAAGAGAAAAAGCTAAACATCCACCATCCCTGTTATCCTGTGATGCCACTTCTGGCTCAGAAAAAAGTTAAAATTTCCTGTTTTCTTTTTCTTAATGTTTTTTTTCGATTATAACCTGTTTAAAAGTCAATTTAGCGTCCTCCAGGTTGCAGGTATAAAGGAACAAAACCGAAGAGATACAGTTTTGAAAAACCCAAGAATAAGAAAATATGGCTAGTTTGAAAATTTGCTACCTCGATGCAAAAATTGGGTACTTTTCTAAGGGTGTAAAAAGTGGGTACAAAATCCATTTGAACGAAACAATTTTTGTCACAACTACAAGTGGGGGCTTCTTATTATCAGAGCAGCAGTTTATTCAAAACAGAAGAGGCAGCGCCAAGGGGAAGACTGGGGAGGACTTGTCCTCCCCGACATTCGCCAAGGTCGATTCTCTAATTTGTATAAATCAATTGAGAAATTATTGGGAGGGGTAATGTGACCGACAATAAAAAATCATTTCACCTATATAAGGAGATCTTTTCTCCACCTTTTTTTAAAAGCTTTTCATTTTATTCTACAAACTTTCCTCGATTCAAAACTTTACTGTGTTGAGAAGCGTTGTTGTAAAGTAATTGACTTGTGGTCCCTTAAACTGTCTTAGCTGAAATAAGTTATCCTATTTTCAAAAAGGGCATGGTCGCAAAAAATGCTATTGTTTGTTCCTTTAGATTTCCAGTCCTCCTCATATTGTGGGGGCTGGCGCCGATTCTAGAGCAAAATTTTCGATTCTCGATTTTAAAGGCCTATTGCAACTAGAAATTGACGTTAGAGGTCTATAATGACCTCTTCTTACGTTAATAATGCGGGAAAACTTAATGTTAAAGGTAAGGATCACAACCAAAAATGGGCAATTTACTGATGGACCCAGTAAACTAGCCCTATTGGCTTGATGTCATGAAAACCAATACAAGTCTGGATAAAAGCGCTTTTTCTAGAAAAGATCAAAGAGGCTGACTAGGGTACCACCTCTAGTAATGAAGTAAGAGGAAAACTTTTTTCTGATTGAGCAGGGCATCTAAATGATATTACGATTGTTTAGTTGAAATCCGAGGCCGAGCTGAAAAGAGCTCTGAAATAAGAAAAAACTAAGAAATACTGAGTATTAAATTTTCTTGAAATTATCAATCAATTTTCAAGTGAAGTTACAAGTACATATTTCATTTTGGGACCAATCAGTTTTACTTCGCGGCAAATAGAATCATGATGATGCAATCTTAGTTCCCCGCCCCAAGCCCCATAGAGTCTGTTGACGGGCGGGTGTGGAGGAGCGTCACGTTTGTCTTAGCAAAAAAAGAACTGGCAAGGACTCTCACAAGTTGACTAACTTTAAAAAAACGAATACCTCTTCATTTTGTTTTTGTTCAATGTTGATTATTTTGGACAGCGAAAGAAAACCCGAGATCACAACGTAATGTTATACTGTTTCCAACTCAACGATTTAATTTATGCGTGTGGCCGGCTTAGCTTACAATCGTGGCAACAAGCGCAGCGAATTTCAGCAAAACGCGCCTATGGTTAATCAAGACAGCTTTTTTGCTTTCGTTTGCCAGATTGTTTTGCTTACTTGACTGTGTGTTTATCCAATGGAACATAGCTTTCTTGAGATTACACTGTGATGGAAGTTAGTAAAACGCCATGTTCCCAGCTGCTCCCAGGCTCGGAAGCATGATGCCAGCAAGTGCAGTTAAATCAAAATAGCAGCTTGGTGTCTCAGTCCTATATCTTATTTTAGATTCAAGAAGACTTCAGCAATTGGAAGGCTTCATTATAGAATGGCCAAGTGACGTCATAAAAATCTCTTTTAGAGTTATCAAATTCTGAGCACATAACCTGAAAGAAGTTGGCAAAATACCTCGAAATATGCAAAATCAATTGAATCTGTTCAACACTGCCAGTAAAAGACACGAGTTTTGCTCATGGATTACTGTTGTTTTGGCCTGGTTCATAGATTTTAGCGCTCTTTATTTTCTTGTCTGTTACCAAATTAACCCTTAATTTCGCACCCTCTATTGTTTTTGGTTCCTTTATTGTCCAACTACACGTTTCTACTCATTAATTATCTCCGTAGGGTTTTTGCGTCATCTTTAGATTTCTTTAATCACTCTCTCGCGTATCAAACTTTTGAAATTCTCAACTATTATGGAAATAGGTTGCTACATAGAATATCCATTAGTTTTCGTCCTATCATATTTTGGGCGTGTTACTTTCTTAACCAGAATATAGTTTCTTTACATTCGAATGTAAGGGACGCAACCCAAGTGGCTTGCGAAAGCACTTGCGTTTGGTTATTCGCATTTAGGGCTGGAAGTGCTAGTTAAAGACACTTTAGTGCCACGGTCCACTTGCTGATTTTTCGCAATTGCAGTTTCGATAATTAAATTTATTTCGAAAATTCTGTTGTTCAGAGTAGGTTTTGTATTGTCGTCGATCATCATAGTTTTTGAAAAAATACAGATTTGCGTCATCGTCGAAAAAGCCCGTAGTCATGTGGAATATATCAGTTGGCCTGCAACCAATTGATTTTGCATATTTAATGGATTTTCATGGTGTTTTTCAGGTTATGGGGCCAGAGTTCTAAAATCCCGAAAAAAGACATTTTGGTGAAATCACTTTGCCACTCTGTATTAACCACATTGCAATGCTATCTCAAGGCTGCCATTTTCAATCTGCGTTACAAAATAAACTAAATATGTATGTGAAACCATAAAACTCAGTATAAACAATTTATCGTGAGAACTGATATGATTAAAGGTAAGGTTTATATAAAGTTTTCTTATTTTAGATCAGCTCGTATCAGATCAGCAAAAACAGAAGTTTTTTGAGAACTACCACACCCAACCCAGACATAAAACGGTTTATGAGCAGTACTTGGACCCAAAATTCTATAAATGGGAACACCCTTCATCATAACAAACTTGACAGTTCTGCTTTCAACAAGGGACAGGAAAATCGCACAGACGTCTGGCTAAATATCTTGCAGGTTGGTTGAATTAGGCAGTCTAGGTTAAACATAGAAAGCACGTAGCAGTAGTTTGCTTCACAATAAACAAAAAGTACTGTTAATCCATTCATACCGATGGTTGACGTTGTGCACACTGCAAAATACATCCATGTTGAGAATGTATCGAGACTGAGCTGCTTCCGCCAGCCATGGTTGTCATTCTCAGCAAGCTGCCTTGATTTACTCTCAAAACCTTTGATCTCTTTAATAAGCTTTTCTGTATCATCCAAGGACCAGCTGAGCGAGGCGTGGTTCTCTAGATACTCTTTAGCATGCATTGTCAGATTTTTGGAATTGTTTGGCGCCGCCGATGTATTTCCAGGTTTCGGCTCGTCCTTATTCGCTGTCCGCTTCATGCCTTCACGTTCCATAAACATGATAACAACGGTCCCTGCAACTGCAACTATTACGTAGATCGATACTGACAACAGAGTGGATCTGCACGTTCCGAGCCCCATTGTCGTTGCTTGTGATTGCTGTGTTTTCTGCTTCTAGGATTCGCTGGCCGACACTGGAAGGTTGGTTATGAGTATCAGATAAAGGAACATAAGAACAGTTTGCTTAGCTCTCTGGATTGTGCAGTGAAACACACCTGCCTGTTGAAAAGGACAATTTTCGTTGCAGCCGCACATCGTATGTCTAGACAAGTCTAAAACACGGAACATGCTGAATGAAGTCGTCGCCAAGGCAGCCAAACAACAAGAACAAGGTCATTGCTGCTTGATTTAACTATGAAAGATTAGAAAATGTATTTATTAATCAAATTCATGGATCATGTTATGAAAAATTCTAGCTACACGATTATCAGTTAAATTCAGATGTTAGTTCTGCCTTGCTGTATGAAAAGATCTAAGAACAAACCGCTGCATTCATATGGACCGCTAAATCAATTCGAGCATAATGCTAGTTTTCTCAAGCCATAATTCAAAAGTCACCAAAAACTCGAACATCGAATTTGATACTCATACATTGAGCATATCTCAAGTTTTCAGTTCTCATTGGTGTATCGTTTTTCACTTTTCAGACTTGGCTCAAAGGGGATACCGAACCATTGTACAGTGGCGGATTTAAGGGGGGGGGGCAACTAGGGTCAGTTCACATCTTGAGTCTCAGGTCAGGACTGCTTGACATGTTGTGTCTCAATGGCAGAGAGCCACATACCTTCAAACTTGAACAGTCGAGAGCCCATGATTACTTTTGATAAACAACAGCACAATACATTTTCTGAAGCTTGATTAATTTTATTATAATGCGTTGTGTCACCACTTATTATATCCTCTTTCAGTATGCCATTTACATTCTAAGAGAGACATGTTTCTTCGTTTTTATGACATCAGCAAAACGATATTTTCTATCGGGGTATTTGAAAGTTTTTAAGAAGCAGAAAAGTTCTCAAATCTCCCTTTAAAGTTTCCTTCATATGTTTGGCTGCTTCGAGCGACTTTTCAAACTGAAGCTTGAAGGGCAACACTGAAGTAGGTGTCTATGGGAGTTATGTTTTGTGATTTCAAGGCAGAATGATCGTATATATACTATCGTAAAAGCCTGTAACCTCGCTGTGACGTCGACTTCGAAAACTAGAATGTTCACACTATTCGGGCTTCGAGAACCTCTCAATGGCACAACCACAACGATCTTGGATACAGGGTGTGGTTTTACTTTTCCACAAGAAAACAATAATTTCAACGTTCCAGCTTTTACTCATTGCAACTTTGTCGTATTTTCTTGTAGTTCATTTCCCGCTGCAGGTGCCTATAGGCGTCCAGGTGTTTTTTTCATTTTCATGCATCAAATTCTACGACAAAATTTCTATGCTATTGAAACTGCTTTAAAAGTTTGCATTGACATCTTTCCTTAATAAGTAAACAAAGGTATTCTTATCATTATCAAAGCAAACGGGATTTTTTTCAATCCAGTATCATAGCTCTGTAAGTCCAAAATTGATAGAATTCTGCAGTTGGCTAATTCTTCACGCACATTGGCTTATCATTGGGGCCTATACTTGATTACAATCGATTTTGATCTAAAATTTAAATTACCACTCAGGACATTTTTGTGCTATAATGTTGATATCTTAACGTTATTTCTGTCACTCAAACGTCGCGTGTCTACCGCGGAGGAGCGTTTTTGGAAAGTGGTTTTCTGTGCAAACGCAAATATGCGCGCGTCGAAGGGAGGATTCGACGAACTGAATTATAACAATGAGACAACTCAGACCATTTATGAATAACAAGAGAGAACAGAGTTAAGTATTCAAGAAGGTCAAATTACATATTCATGGGCAAAAGCAGTGTGGGCTAGTTCTGAAAGCTTCGTGTGAACAAAACCGACGGAAAAACGAACGACCTAAAATACCAAAGGTCAATCGCGAAGCTGTTATAGAACGTAGAAGAAGCATCAGGGAAGCAGGAATCGTCATTTTTTGGAATCGGGAATTGGGAATTGGCAAATATCAATAACACCGGGAACCGGGATAAAAACGTAGCGGGAATTCGGGAATCGGCGGACCTATTACCCTGGGTACCAAACTCACTTTATATATAGAGTGAGTCTGGTAACCAGGGTAGGGACCTATTGGGTACCCTCGCCTGTTGAGATTTTAGATTCGCTTAACGCGAATTTTAGATTCATTGGTCATATTTATAGTTGGTGCCAAGGGTCATTTTCGTAATTACATTTTGAGTGATTTACGTACGACTCCAATGGGGGTAATTCAATTTGGCGCAAGGCCCTCTATTCAGAGTCATTGCAAATTTATTGCAAACCATGACCAAAAATGCAAAAATATCGAGTTAAACTGTATTCTCTTTTACCTGCAACTATAATCTTCATGCCACTCCTTCGCCAAAGCAAGAAAAATTTATGTGCAGATCTTAGAAATGAAAAACTGAAGAAAATTATCATTTTGGTTTTTTCTTCAAGGAGATATCGAAATTCTAACAGCAATTTTGATAGTGAAACATTTTTGCTAAATCTGTTCTTAATTTTAGAAAGCAAACTCCAAGATACCTTTTTTTCGTTTTGGACCTCCCCAAAAATCTGGAGCAACTGATTTTATTTCAGAAATTATCGTTACTTTCTTTTAAAGAAAAGAATCCATGGTAGCTGGGTTAGAACTAAACTAAGTTTTCTGTGTTATGTCAACATTGCGAAAAAAGCAACTACTGAAAATATGCACTCTGAGCCAAATATCCCCCTTTTTTCCTCCCCCAACGTCCGTCACTAGAGCTTTAGCATGACTCGTCCCCTACTTAATTTCTCCCAAGAAACAATAAATCTGTGTTCTTCTGAGGAACGTCGAATTGGCTATCCTGAGCGGTATACAATTTTCTTAAACTTGGTCTGGGAGATGCCTTTTTAGTCTCTCTAGAAGGCATAATTTCAAAAGTTTTCTTTCGCGTCGGACCCAACCATGGCGGGTCCTCCTACGTCATTAAACTTCATTCTTAACACCCCGGGCTCAATTTCGTGCCGCCGTCTCTGAAAATGTTATTCATCAAATTTTATGAAAGTCACATCCTAAGGAAGATTAACTGTAAGTACCTTCTATAGAGCTGAAAAATTCTTAGTGAATCCAATAATCTTTATTTTTGTTCTCCTTTGTTCTCCATTGAAGTCGTTTTCTCCTACTGTTTCAATAACACATACCATAAATTGCTGGTAGTGCCATGACCCACTGCACACTTTATATTAATATATTAATTCGCTCTGCTGACCCCCCCCCCCTCAATTGAAATGACAGATTCACGGCCCTGATCAAGTTATTCAGGCCACTTTAAACACAAATACGGAATCTATTGAAACTGTCTTTGGATCTACAATATTTAGCCAATGACAGGCATGAAACACTCTACAAAATCAATTCAAACAAGAAACTGAGCTTTCCGGTATTTTAGCTAATACGTTTGTATCTTGTTGAAATCATAAGCTAAAATTCTCTCAAAATCAACTTACAGTTCAGTCATTCCCCATTACTGAGCCGCCAATGAATTTTTAGAATTAAATAAACTTGTTCTGAATTTTTTCCTGAATTTGTGTGAAAAATGCCTGGACAAATTTTTCAGAGACAAGGAAAACATTTTTGAAAGAAAAAATACGTTTATTAATAAGGTATAACGTCGTGAGAAAATATATTTTTGAATTCTACAATCCTGGACAAAATTGTTGAGACAAAATGCAAATTTTGCAATTTTCTACTCTATGGTGCAATGCAGCTGTAAGTTCGAATCCCCCTGTCTCCCGAATCAATGTTGGGTTAGTAGTTCTATTATTCTTGTTTCAAAAAATTCATTCAACATTGAAGCGAGGGAGTGGAAGAAGCTATTCTTTGAAGAGAAAGAAGAAACATCAACTTATCTTGAAAAGTCTCAACAATTTTTGTTCGGGCTTGTAGGCTTTTGACCACATAACTAAAAAAAGTCTTGCAATATCTTTAAATATGAAAAGTTAGTTTACATGTTAATAACAGGTTGCGACTGCGTTTTGTCCAATAAATATAAATTTGAATCTGTTTGACGGATTGGTTCACAAAGCTATGAACAGTGTTGGTTGATATCTTGAGCATCTATGACGTCATCAGTTAAGAACGAGGCGATTTTTCCAACAAACCAACAAGGAGGCTAGTGAGAAAATGGCGGGTGTGGATAAAAGCTTGCTTGGCCTTCTTAACGGCATCGCAAAGCGAGAATACTATGGAGAAGAGGGAATAGGTGATGATTTTCTCCACGAAGGATTATTTCCAGATCTGGACGAGTCAAGTTTTATCGCGTATCTTAAAAGGTTTGATGGTCTTGTTAAAACAATGGCTAACTCCGACATGGACTTCCGACAGCTCGAAGCCTTCCTTACGTCACAAATGAAACGAAGAGAAGGTGCCCTCAGCGAAGAACAAGTTAGTATTCATTCAAGGAATTTTTATAAAACTTGATCGAGCCTTTACTCATTTAAAGAAAAACTTACATATAAAAACAAGGACTGAAGACTTAGTAAACTTGGTAGCCTAACAACCCGGTCTGGATTTCAAGGCAGTTTTCGGCGAGATCTCGGGAGTGCACAAGCTATTACCCGGGAGTGCAAGAGTGCATTTGTGATAAGTGTACACATTTGAGTGTGTATAAAATTTCTTAGTGATTCTTGAGTGTGTGCATATTTTTTTCGGCACTTTTCCTATTTACATTAGTTTTACATCTCAGGGAATTAGGAAAATCAATGATTGGGAGTTGCAGTTACCCAAATTCTTTAAGGTTTGTCAGGTAAAGAGATTAACTAAAAAAATGTTCAAAAAGGCCAAAACAAGATCATCCTAACACCTAAAGTATGATCTCAAGCAGGGCTACAGGGGGCAAACTTCCTAAGGACCTCAACGTCTAGGGAACCTCGCAAAGAGAGGAATTTCATTTGAAGAATATGGTTAATCTGTTTATTGTCAAATGATAGTAATCAGTTTATAGAATGGAGATAATAGTATACATGCAGGCACTGCGGAGCGTTGAGAAAAGTGGGGGGTCTAAAAAAGGGGGGGAGCTAAAACCTTATAAAAAGAGGCTTTACTGGTAGTTGAGTACTAAATATTTGGCATTTTTTGCTAAAGCCCCCCCTGCTCCGCGGTGCCTGACATGACAATGAATCAATGGAAACAAAATAATATTGAAACAATTGCGAGAAAATGACTGCAAAGAATATTATGAAGCGTATTATAAGCTAATCTAAAGAACAGCATTCAAAAATGTTCTGCTTACTTTGCTTGCAATAGGCTTTTTTCACTTTTGCCCCAGGCCTACTGAAACTTTTTGGCAACCCTGATCTCAAGTGGATCACTCAATTTAGAATGACACACTTTTTTCCAATCTTGGTTGCGTACAAAGTTGGAAAGTCACTTTGCCATGTTTGAAAAAAACTTTTTTATTTGAGCCACATCCAAAAACACACTCAAAGAATGCTCATCTTTCATGTGTGCAAGAGTGTACCGGTTGTTCTACAAAAATTTCTCAGGAGTGCAGCTGCCAAGGAATCTATACCAGGGCCTGACCAAACCAAGTTGGTATAATGGCCCTTAAAACTACCCAGATATTTAGTTGCTTCCAACATTTCTTTGAAAAAATACAGTTCTAGGAAGGTCAGAAACAAGGGTCAAATATCTGACTCGACTCATGTGTGATAAATCACTTGCAGTATTTGCCCTCGACCTGTGATGATTCCTCCATGTGAAAGCACAAATTGAACAAGAAAGACCAGAATAATTGCAATTGAAGTGAAGTTCTTTTTATCAAATTTTAGGCTGCAGCTGTTACAAAGTTTTGGAAGAATCACAAGGGAAAAATTCATGATGTTGTCACCAGTCAAAGCACTTTTGGGAACAAGCTGCAACAAACAAACTGGAGAATTGATTTGAAAGCACATAGTAGATATCTGGAACAAATTAACACACCTGTTGCAATCTATGAGCTAGAATTTGAAAATAAAAGTAGTCAAAATGTAAGTTTTTACTATCTGTAAAAAATTAAAAACTATAAAGTTGTCATATTCAATGTACTAAGATTGTTTGTTTCTTTAGAGGCGTAGTATCTGGGGGGCCATTAAGGCTGTGTCTTCCTAATACTTTCCTAAGATTTGATCTTGCTTGCTACTTTGTCTAGATACTGTACTTTCTGTAACAAGGCAGACTCCAATCAAAGTATGCATGTCAATCCCGTTTTTACATCAACCGCATCAAAGCAACATTTTTTTTGCAGGGGCTGGGAAAAGTAAGATTTGAAATGGATGCTGATCAGCTGAATGAAATTCTATGCAAGGTTGAAAAGATCAAAGAGAAAATTAGAGACTTTAGTAAAGAATAACATTTTTCTAGAAATGGGAAGTCTTTAGAATATGTAATTAATTCAAATTTCCAATACTCTCTGTTTTGTAAATAATATAGAAATTTATACTTTATGAAATCTAATTTTTTGTTAACATTTGAGTCTTTTTAGTTTCTATCAAACGTATACATACTTTTGGGGGAACTAAAGATGTAGTAGTGTTTAAGACATGGCATAAAATCTATCACACTAAACCCTGAGTCTCAAAGTGCCCCTCTAAAGCCTTGGCCAAACCGGCACAACATTTCGTCCAACAATGTTGGGTATAAATGTTGGGCCGGTTTGGCCACCTGTTGGACGATGTTGGGTGTTGGGCAAAGTTTGACTTTGATAAAAAAAGGTTGGAAACTGTTGAACGATGTTGGGATGGTTTGGCCACGCTGTCCAACAAAACTGTGTTCATGCAAGTGCAGTAATGAGAGGCCGCCATAACTTGATTTGTTTTGATTTAGTTAGGAAGATGTGACAAACGATAGAAACTTAACATCAAAGGAAAAATCTGCTTTATGAAATGCGGCAGCTTTCGTCAAACAAAGAAGACAATAAAAGAATGTGCTTTTGTTTGATTATGTTCTCAAATAACCCCCTTTTGTGTCTTTTCTTGATCTATTTTCTACTCTTGCATCCCTTACTCTCTTTGTTGCTATGAACAAAATTTCAAATATATCCTTGTCCCTTTTTTTAATCAAGTCCCATAGCCATGCTCAATAAGTGAATGAGATTAGGCCTTGTGGATGCTGTTGATGATAAATTGACAAATGTTTGATGAAATGTTGCGTTGGTTTGGCCACCCCTGCATTCAACAATGTCCAACAATGCCAAAAAGTTACCAACAATGTTGGGATTTTTGGACAAAATGTTGCACTGGCTTGGCCGGGGCTGAAAACAACACAAGCTTATTTAAATGCATGGCATAATTAACTTTGAGGATACAAATTTTATGATTGACCTTCAAGATAAATTGAAAATCACAGAAAAGTTTATCAAACACATTAGAAGAAGTGAGACATGATAAACTGTAAAAACTCTCAAATTATTAAGAATCTCTGGTTTTTGTAGATATAATTTGGTCAAGACCTTATCAGACAAAACTTAGTAAATGCTCCGTTCTCAAAAAAAGTATGCATGGAAGCTTTTTTATGTAAGAAAAAACACCAGCTGACTTGCAGGGAATAATTCATAAATCTTTGAACTAGAATTTTCAAATCAACTCGAAAACAATGCTACATTTCAAGAAATAAAGTTCAACTAGAATCTTCAAATCTTAGAATTCCATTATATTCAGAAATATCTAAGATATTTATCTCCATGGTATTTCAGCGCCTAAGAAATCTTGTTTGATTCCAATCCTACTAATTTCAACCATTTATGTACCAAAGTAAGATCAAATGACCCACATTTTCAAATACTTTATTCACATTGCCAAAAAGTTTAAAAATCTTATATTTTTTTCTTCATCATATACAGTAGAATCCCGTTATAATGTACTCAGTTATTACGTACTTTCAGATATAACATACTGGTTTGCTTGTTCCCAGCAAAAGATGTGCTTGGTTTTAGTCTGGTTACAACATACTAGTCTGGTTACAACTTTTACTTACCCTGGTTACAACATACTTCGGATATAACCTACTTAATACCCTGGTCCCTAAAGTATGTTATAACTTGATTATACTGTAGGGCCGAAGACATTTTCTTTGCTATTTTTAAGTAATATTAGAGGTCAAGATGGCTTTTTTTATCTATTCTTTATACCGTTACATCACAGTAACCCCTTATAGAAAACTCCCATATAGTTAGATTGCCTTTAGACTTGAGGGCTAATAAAGACTGCTTGCAGAACACCTCAGGTAGGATAAAGCCTCTGTCCCTGGAAAATTTCTGCACCAGAGTCGCCTTATACTAAACTAAATAAACTTTAAGATCATTTCCTTTAAAACTTTCCTATCAAAACTTTCCTGAACTTTCAAATAAGTAATAATTCAATTATGCATCTCTTTCTAAATTCAATTCATCTATAAAAAGTGTTTTCATAACAATATGAAATCATCGAACAATGAACAAAGAAAAGTAACTTTATTTTTTTACAAATTAAAGTGGATAAAAGCCTTTGGAGCCAGATAAACAGCAGCAAAACCAACTGCAGTGTAGGTGATAAAAATGTATGTCAACTCAACAAACAGCCTTTTATTTAGTGATTCATCTGAATTTGGGACCAAAGCACCCAGTATCTTCTTGGTGGTGAATGTGAAAACAAGCTTCACTGGAAAAATAATCATAACACCAACCAAAAATCTTGTAAAGAAACTTCCAAGTAGAGGAAATGCCGAGCTCAGGGAAGTTGAAAAAAGCTTGAATGGTGCACCATCATATGGATCTGGAATGGGTAGATTTTCAAAGTAGAAGGTAATCCAGCCTGCCAACATAGCTCCGGTTCCACCACATAAGATTCTAGTAGTATCTCCTCTTGCTCTTGTCCATTTGTCACAAGAAGGATACATCAGGATCATGGCAAGAGATGCCAAAACAATGTAGATACCCGCATATGGACTCTTTAACATTCCTTCTGCTCCTTCAGTAATGAATGGCAAGCAGAATGATATCACCATCAATGAAACACACAAACCGCCCACAATGTCCTGTTAATGAAAAAATTATATTTGCCATAAATGTGCATCGTAATGTAACCTTACATTAAAATTTAAGGTTATAATATAATTACAAATTACATAACAAATTTTAATATAAACAGCGAGATCAATCAGACAAGCAGACTCTTTGCTTTTATATTTTTAACTTTTACCATTTTATCCTTTAATTCTAACTATAACAAGAGCTTTTAATGTTTGCATTTTTTAGAGCTTGCAATAACTTTCTGCACTCAAAATCTACAACTGTAATACAGCCATAAATTCTCAAGTAAATTCAAGTGCTTTGGAAAGAGACCCGTCAAACATAAATCTCTGGTTTTTGTGAGAGCCTTAAGGTCTGAAGTGGCAAATCTTTTAATATGGAAATGTAAATGCATAAATAAAGGTCCAGTCTTGAAGTAAAAATATTCAAAAGAGCCCCCTTCAAATAAAGGATGTGTGCTGTATTTTGCCATTTATAAGATATAAGATTTTAGCTATATTGGCATTGTTTGAGGGTGCATCTTGTAATTCATTTCCTCATCATCCCCTTGGCTCTAATTCTCCTCACTGGGGGAAGGAATGTACGCCCTAAATCACAGTTAGAAATTTAACCTTGTTAATGTAACAATGAATTGGGAAAAAACAAAGACAACTACCAAACCACCAACATCTCAATGTTATTTGAGAAATTAGTTCATTCAAAGAACAGGAAAATAATTTCACCACAGGTGACACATCCAACAAAATGCATACTTTTGTCCAAAACACCTTTGTTAACCTAGTATGGTCAAATAATATGCGTCCTAGCCTGCTGGTCTCAAATTAAGTCACCTGGAAATGGAAATGGAGAAGCCAGGAGAAAACAGGGAATTATCAAAGCAAACATTCAAATATGGTTAAAAGCAAAGGATTATAAAAAGCAAGTGCCCAAAGGTTGAATGTACATGGGTATAGGGGATGTTAAATGTTTAAGGCTTAGTATGGATATAACCCAAATATTATTGCTTCATTAAGAATGAACCTCCTGAATGGAGCCTGAAATGCGATAGAATTTGCCTGGTAGCCTTTCACCTTTTTGCCTTCCAAAAAGCAACCATTTGTGGTATATACTTAGCATTAGAATGCTGTGACAAACATCAATCAAGGTGAAGATTTGAAGTGACTTGAAACAATTTAAATACAAGTTTTTCTATCCTACAAGACTTTTAGACAACAAGGTTTTGCACTAACCCAAAAAAGTCTCTTCATTTCTTTGCAAAATGATGCAAAAATTAAATCCTGCATCATTTAGTGTATGGAATGTTGAAGGAAAAAGTAAAGCAAATAAAATCTTCCCAGGAGGATTATTGCTTTACTTTCATACCATTAGGTGCTGTTGTCATACCCTTGATGACTGCAGTCATCAAAAGCATCAATTTAACATAATTTGTTGTATTCATGTAGCTGTATTCATCTCCTGACTTCTAGTGAAGACTGTTTCATAAACAAGTCTTTTTATGGTGCAACACTACTTATCTTGATCAAAACAATACATCCAAAATGAATTTCTGTAAAATTTTGATGTAACACTCACCTGAAAAGAATGAACCCCCATGTATATTCTGCTAAGACAAACCAGTCCACACCAGAAGATAACAAAAGCCAGTCCTGCTTGCCAAGGAAACTGAAACCAATAGAAATGCAAATTGACACAATGCAACTTTCTAAATCATTATGTATAAAATAACTCTCACAAATACAGTACAGGGCTATTAAAATAATACTAAAATGTTAAAAACTTGAATTCCTTCGAAACTTCTGATATATGAAGATGAAAGCCTTATCAAGAACGAGTAGCAATCTTATTGACAGTGAATGAATTGACTCTGAATTGTTTTAATTGTTTTGCGATGTGTAAAGACAACTACTAGTGAAAATCGCTAGCAGCAAGCAGACAAGCTAATTAACAAGGGAAAATATATAAAATGGGTATGTTGGAATGGATTTCATACCTCGTATCTCCCATAACTAAAGTAAACCAGAGAAAAAGGAACAATGCAACCAACAATGGCGTGAGTAGACGGCATTCCATATTCACTCTCGTACTTTTTCTCGACAACAATCACAGGTGGGGATGGAGGACGGGGCCATCTCAGAACATCTTTGAGGCCTTGACCAATGTACATGGAGAATACCCACAAGAAAACCAGTCTTCTCATGACATATTCGTCCCAGTTCCAAAACAAAAGCGGGAACACTGTGAGGTAGAAAATTTCATCGCCTAGGCCAGAGCCAAAAAAATACAGCGAATGGATGTAGCGATTATAGAGAACTTCTCCATCCGGCCCACTTTCAAATGATTCCTTAGTTAATGTTGTCTCATAAAAATCGCTGTCCTTTTCTTCAAGTGATCCGACTTTTCCCGCTCTCTTGTAGCATGAGCCTGCTCCATCATCTGGGCGGTTTGTTGTTAGGCCTTCGGCTCCTTGTCCTTGTAGTGAGTCGTGCAGATCCTTTAACTTCCTGCTAGAATTCCCACGTCTGAGTCCACATAGATTTTGAAACTTCAATACATAATGCGGATCTGCAAGGTTCTTGAACATTTTAGACGGTTTTCTGCAGCTTACTGTGTTTTCTAGCGACGGAACTGTTCTGATGACACTCCTCTCACGTTGAGCATTGCACAATTAAGAAGAGTGACGTAAGAATACTGTAGGTTTGTTCCCTTGGCATCAAGTTTACCGCTTTCAATTGTTTCGATGTAGAGGCAGTACCGCAAAATATTCTTAGCAAAATATTCTGAAATTCCAATTTTTACCAGGGCCACTTACGCTGGAGGGGCATTTATTAATAAGCTTTTCGTTTTAATTTTTTAACATGGAATGTATGCTTTGGAGTTGGCAGAAACCACAAACAAAAAATGCCAATATACACAAATCATTGCAATAAAGACTTATGTAGTATGGGCAAACCACTCCTTGTGAAAGTTTTGACATATTTTATTTTGTTTCCCTTTCATCTGTTGTGAGAGGACAAAAAAGATTTACTAGGTGAAGAGCAAGAGAAAATTTACAATCATAACAATAGATTTTTGAAAAAGCTCTATTGTTTAGCAAAAATGCGAGGGGCCATGGCCCTCTTTCGTGGGAGGCCCTGAACAAAGATGAATGGTGATGTCGGCATCTTCCTGTCGTGTTATCTGAGTTACTGTTACAGTTCCTAGAATCATAGATTGAAGTTTGAGTTACTGGAGGGATGATTCAAGAAGTTGACAAGGTTGTGCCTGGAAGGTACTTTGCTACACCAATTTAAGTAGATCCCTGAAAGAGTTATTTGAGGACCAAAATAGTTGAACATTTTTAATCGCTAAACTGTTCTTAGCCGAACCGCCGCTTTTGTGATATATTTAGGCGTTCTGTACTTCCAATTGGTGTTTTATTGGTTCATTTTACCTCTAAGGGACAACCAGGAAAACTATAAAACAGCGTGGTTTTACAACAAGAGAAGGTTTTATGGCAGGCCCAGGGACAAGGAACTCCAGAGCAAGCACAGAATTGAAGAAAACATACTAAAATGTATTAAATGCAAGCCACGAGAGCTTTTGTTTAATCTTACAACCATTCCCAAGTTTTTATTTGCAGTGTACACAAAATCCAGTCAGAAAATTCTCATTTTTTCTTAGTGATCCAAGAGCTTACACAAACAGCTGTCAGTATGGTTTTAAGGCTGTTCTTATCATTTCAATTCCATACTAACGTCGTCCATCAAACAAAAATTTTATGCCACGCCATTTTTACCGCCAGAAAAGCCCTTTTGTCAACAAGGAACGTCAATTTTACCTGAAGGGAACGCCTATGACTAATTCTGATTACATCACAGGATGGTCACTTGAAATTTTCATAAACGGGGTGGGGGCATCTGATAATTTAGAGTAAGAATTTTCTTTGTGATCTGATACTTTTGGATACCTGAGTTAACAATATGCCTTTTAGATACTTACGGGTCCAACTAACAAAAACTAATATCAAAAACAGGAATACACGCACAAATGTGTTCAAATTGATTCTTATAGGAAACAGTCTAAATTATTGTGACTAGTGGTATCTTGTGTGCTCAACAACAAGACTTTTACTTTTGATATTTTTGGGTCTTTTCAAAGATCTTTAGCTGATAATTTTGGGTCTGAAATTTCTTTTTGATACTTTAAGGTGAATTTTGATAACTGCAGATGGACCTCCCCGTATAAAAAACGTTTGAGTGACCCCCTGGGGGTCACGTAAAGGCAGTTTCAAAATAACATGACCACATCACCAAGGACGAAAACAAGTGGCTAATTTTGAAGGGGCGTGGAAGGATGAAAATTCCAACTTCATTTGAGAAATTTTTCATTCCACCTGCGAATCTACTGTACCTACCAAATAGATATTTGGAACTAGCCCTTACCCCGTAATGCTAGTTTCTTTATAATCACCAAAATTTTATTCAAAATAATTAGCGTAAGGCATAAAAACCTAAATCTCTAAATTTAGATTAACATGACACAAGCATTTAAACTTACTGTAAGAAGCCTTTTTCTGATTTGCCCATTTTAAAGCTATTTGATGCAGATCGATTTTGTCTAAAAAATATTTTTCACGATATAGAAGCATCAAGGAATTGAGCCCTTTATCTTTTTCGTTTTGATCGAAGGAAACTATTAGCAATTTTCAGAGGGCCAAATGCCTTTTCGTTCTTTACAACTAAAATGATGATTTGAGAGCAAGTGCATATGCCCGATTCGTAAGATGAAACACCCTTCTTTGATCAAATACTTCTGCTGCAGCTTTTGTAATATCTCCTTGATTCTCAGCGGCTTTATCATAGCAATTTATTATAGCTTTTAATAAGTATGGATGGATTTTAAAATAGCATTTTTAACTATCATTATAGGTTTATAACTCATTATTTGAATTTTGTATTGAAGCGTTGAGAATTTTTAGTATTGAACAACTCTTAATTTTTTACTGGATCAACTACTCGCAGTTCTCTCAAAAAACTCCCACTTTAATGTTTTCTGATCAATATAGGTATTATCATTCCAAACTGTAAAGTTTCAAGTTTCTTATTCGGAAATCCATTTTGCGTGTTCTTAATTTGATTCACCTTAACTCTCGTCAGAAAGAAAGCAAACGGCGCAATTGTGCAATTTGGATCCAGTGGAGACGGGGCTTCACAATAGAAAACGATTAGTGGATGGGTCTGCTCCAGCCTGTGAATTTGAATCAGTTTGAACTTTTTACATTTAAAATCGCACAATTCTTAAAATATAAAATTCAGAAGTTTGGTCTTGAGAAAAAAATCCAAGTCAACCGTTAAGTTTTCCAACTGTAACTGGTTTTTCCAAACTTTGGGGTTACGCCCCCACATCCCCCTATTGTTTACGTGCCTGCACATCACTAAAAGTATGTTGCCAAAATATAATCCCTCCCCCGACATATTATCATCGGATTTATACGAAATAAAATGGATCCTGCCAAGAACTGGGGAAGGGGGAGGGTCCCCTGTGGTGCTGCAATTGACATCACTGACCACATTGCATTTTCCAAGAGAAATTGGCTGTGGGGGCAAACCTTTGTTTATATAGAGAGGAGGACAATAGCCTATTGCTCAAAATATTGGAAACCCACTTGGGCTGCAGGGGCAATTGCCCCTCTAGATGTTAAGAAAGGTCCTGAATGACCAAACAGAATTATTGGCATGACCTGTTAGAAGTAAAAAGCACTAAGAAAAACAACAACAAAACAAACACAAATAATTAACTTATTAAATTGTATTCCATCATTTTTAAAAAGAAAAATCAACTTTCATTTTCAATCAAGTTTCTGCTTAAAATGGGTAAGGAATTCCAACCGGATAGCAGTTATTTGAGTATAAAGCTAAGATTTGGCTGGTTAAATGTGAGAAGGTGGACAAAAGCAAGGGGCCACAAGACCTCCAGACAAGGCACCAAATGCTCTTTCATTAGAACTTCAATATATTTTGTAAGACTTACCACAGAATGTCTCCACTGTATACTTTTCAGCAGCAAGTTAGCAAAAAGAAATTTAAAAAAATGAAGGAGACAATGCATCATTCTATTCTTAAAGACGAAAAATATATGATCTAAAATGTATGGACTTTCTCAACCCTGTTAACAACTTGAATTACTGTAGATATACTGCTTTCAGGTTGGAACAGATAAAACACAAAATATGAATCATAGACCTTGTTACTGGTTTATTATAAAAAAAGGTATGATCCAAGCATATGAAAACCAACTGCATCCATAATCTATTACCACATTGAAGTACTAGAGAAAATAGGGTACCAGAGATCATTAAAAAAATATGGACAAGAATTTGTGCATAGGTTTTACACTGAAAAGTGAGCTTCATAAGTATTTTAGGGGTTTCACACTGGCAATAAATGAACTGCTTTTAACAGGAATTGTTTGCTAGAAAATGTATTTGAAAATAAAGATCTATCAACAATAGAATTTTGAGACTGAAGTCAAAGTTCTACATTGTTCAAATTATTTATAAATGCAATGCTGCTCTTTTCATAAACTGATGTGTCAAATGTCAGTGCCATTGAGGAGGTGCATTCGGAACCTTTGTCTGTGGTTGTTGGGCCGGGGCCCCTTGATACTGGGGTGGTGGTGCTTGGTATCCTCCTTGGTACCCTTCAGGTTGGTACATAGGTGGTGCATCCATATACTTGGGTGGCTGGCCTTGATTCGGAGGATAATATGGTTGACCTTGTGGAATATGGCTACCACCTGCAGCACCATAATATCCTTGATTGTGGTGTCCAGCCATGTGTTGCTGTGTGTTGACTACTATAGTTGTAGTTTGTCTTTGCGGGACAACAGGATTACTGACGACAACAGCAGCTCTCCTTTTACGGTAACAACAGCCACAAATACAGCAGAAAGCGATGACAAAGACAATGAGTACCCTTTAAGTAACACAAAAAGCAAGCAAGCTGGTCAACAACTCAAACTAGGTAATCTGTTTTACTCTGCCCATCAAGGAGGGAGAGCATACCAATATCAATATAATTGTCAAAAAATGGGAAAGTTATGATAAGATAAAATGTAAGTAATTATAATAGCATTAACCATGATGCTGATACACACAACAAATAAGAAGAAGTTTTTCAGGATTTGTGCTCATGTCCTCCAATGAGTGGCCCCCTTGAAAGCACATCCTGAATGAATCAAACAATTTAATGCGTGCCCCCTCAAATGAGTGCTGCTTCCCTTGAATGAGTGCCCCATTCTTCAAATAAGCCCAAAATGGGTTAAGTTAAAAGTTGAAGCCTAAACAGAAATATTGATGTAGTCTATCACAAGTTGGCATAGTCCATCTTGAGATGCAGCACTCTGGCTGTGCATGTATTGTCAACCATAAACTCAGAGTCAGTGTATTCTAATTTTATCTTCTGAAACTCATCATTCAAAATGTTCCAACAATCCACTTTTATATTTTTGGATATGATTTGCAGAAATAATTACAAATTAATGATAGCCTCCTTCAAATAAGCACCCCATTAAAAGGACCACTCCAGCAAAAACAATTGGAAATTTAAAGCACAACCTGGGCACTGATTTGAGGATTACCAGTTGTTCCCCTGAAAAGACTCAGATCACTACCCTATGACACTTTTTTCAAAAATTGATTATTTGGTGCAACATCTTCAAAGAGGTATTGCAAAAATTCTGGCATAATCTTGGATTTGTTGTTGGACCTTCTGATGGGGGGTATCTACCGACTAATTTTCTGGAGCAGGATTGTATCATTTCACTCTTTTACAGCTTATCACTAATGCAATTGTAAAGCCCTGGCAAAACGACTAAACATTTCACTAAACATTTCACCCAACTTTTGTTTAGTGACGTTGAGCGAAGTTTAGTGAGGGTGGCAAAACGTGCCTAAACTTTTCATTAAATTTCACTCAACTTTTTGAACTGCGAGCTGTATATGATGCTGTTGGATTGTTGGGGATCTTGCATAGGAATTTGCTTTTACTTTATTTTGTTCCATGCACAAGCAGTGGATAAAAATAAGAATGGGATGAAGTGACAGGGAAAGAGAAAACTTTTTAGCACATTAAGTTGACTGTTGAAGAAGACACAGTAGGTACAACGAGATATTCAGATGCCTAATAAAGGCTTTTTGGGTCACGTAGAGACAGGAAAACCAACGAAAACAGACAAAAAACCTTTGGATTTCTACAGCTAGAGCACATGTGCGATCACAACAAATGGTCAATTGGTGGCAAAATGACTAAACATTTGCTAAACAACACTAAACAATGCTAAACATTTTTTACCAGAATCAAACTTTGCGCAACAACACTCAACACAACTAAACAACACTAAACAGGATGGCAAAACGACTAAACTTTTCACTAAACTTTTGACTAAACAGACATTGAGTGTAAAGTTTAGTGAAATGTTTAGTCGTTTTGCCAGGGCTTAAAGATCATTTGATCTAAGGGCCTGAAACAGAAGTCTGTTTTTCAAACTAAACTATTGGAGTTGAGGTATGTTTGTTTCCTTTTTGAGACAATGGGTCTAATTCTATCAACACAGAACTTGGGCAAAGTACAATCTCACACACTTTTCATGGACTCATAGTGGTGCAGTCTTGTAACAAAGAGGTCTATTCAAATGGGTAAAACATCTTGAGTACAATTAATAAACAGCAACTGCATTCATTTATCTATGAGAAAACCACCCACTTACCATGCATACCAAATTGAGCCATAGTCATAGCAACATTGTTCTTCACCACAACAGTAAGAATTAGAATCACAGCTGAAAAATAATTTATGGACTTCTTCAGCACACTTGTTGAAAAATCAAAATGAACCTAACAAAAAACCAAAGGTTGAGAAAAGCATGACACAGAAAGGCAACACAAAAGTCGACACATTAGCAGACCATACTTTGTAGAAAAAAACACAATTTTGACCAAGAGAAACACTCACTCATTGACAGAGATAGCAAGCCTACACTCCCCTCCCAAAAGTATTCAAACGGAATCAAATGTTGTGACTGTGCCGGGCAAAGTTGTTGAAAACAAAAAGAAATGTTAATCACTATATTTATAGAATGACAGAAAAACACTTCAAAATTTCAGGCAATCATAAAACAAAGTTTAAATTACCCAAATTTTTAAACTTAAGTCCATAATTCATTTTATCAATGGAATAACAATATCTGGCAGGAGTACTCATAAGAAAAAAGGGCAGCACAGGGCCAGCCAGGAAATGACCTCTGCAAATTTTCAATGAAATGGAGAAGAATATTGGCACACCTGTCAAAGTTTTTGTCAACTTATTGCTTGGTCTTCAGAGGATCTCAATTCATTTAATCTTTTATATAAAAACCAAAGAAGCCATAGCATTTTCAATTACTTTCGGATTGGGAGAGGAGAATAAATCATGGAGGAGAAAAATCCATTCATTGCAGCATACTTCAGACTTAATTGCAATCTCCTATTATTTAGCAAAAATATATTTACCACTGCTTCATTGTCTGCCAAAAATTACAAAAAATATTAAAATTTCCAAATAAGGGCTGCCAAAACATTAACATAGCTTTTGATCTTGCCTACCAACCAAACACAGCATAAATGCAAAGTCCCACCAGACTTCGAAACATGCAAATCTTGGATAAAATTATGATGGTCCACGACAGCACAAGAGCATCAAGAATTAAACTTAGTATCACTTGCTAAAAAAACTTACTATGTGTAAACACAGCTGTATCCAAAAATCTAGGAGAAATGCATAAAATGTTACATTTTTGAAGGACAGTGCTAGCTAAACAGCATTTTCTTGTAAATCTTGCACAGTAAATATAAGCCTTTCTTTCTTTTATGGCGTAAAAATCCTGTATTTGCAATCCTGGTTTGGAAAATATGCAAATGTTTGGTAAATTCTATCTTGATTCAACTTTGAAAGGTACAAAAAGGAGTCTTGTGAATTCAAACAGTGCTGGCAGTTACTGTTGCTTTTAGATCAATGGCAGATTGGCAAGGGGTGGTAGCATGAAATTTTATCATAGGCCCTTCATTTCCTTTTATTTCATTATTCATTTTAAACAGTGGTGTAAAGCTATCAAAATGAAAAGTAAAATCTAATATAGATCTATATTTTATAAAGTACATTGGGTTGCTTAGGACACTTTATAACTTAATTGAGCTATTTTTATTAAGGCTTATCATATTGCAGGGTGACATAAATTGCCAAAACATTATCTGGCAGAGAGGAAATAAATTAACTTTCGTTTTGTAGAAAAAGTAGGCCATGGACTTATTACTTTGTTACGTCTAAATTTGAATTCAATTCAAGTTGTCGCAAAACTTACTGGCGCGAAGAAATGAAGGTAGACTGCCAGCAGCCCAAGAAGCAAACCGTAGAGGGTTGACATGACGGCAACCTTTTTTCTGAATTTCGGCAACCTTGACTTTGGCAGCTTCTAACTGCGACCTTTCATCTTAAATAAGCAACCGCGCATGCTGCGGTACAGCGCGTGACGGAAAAACAAGCCGGAAGAAGAAAGTTTGACTAATATGAATACGAGGTTATATTGTATAATTGCCAAAATTCGAAGAACTCAAACTCCATCATCTTTCTTCGAAGCAAGCGGAACTGAAAAACAGAAAATTTCATAGCATTAGTTTTGAAAGCAGACTATACTTAAAAACATTCCAAAATATTATTCCTAAATAAAAGTTAGAAAAATGTTTGTGTTACATGAAGTACTTTGGTGACACGAAGAGTGGCGTTGCAGCATTTCATTTTAAATCTGAAATAAGAGTTGATGAATCTCTATTTTCTTTTGACGTTTTAAAGAATGATACAAGATTTTTGAAAGAATAAATCATGGAAGAATATTGTCTCGATCATGGCTGTCGTATTCTCTACAGCCATGCATCAGAATCAAGAGCCAACAATCGCATCAGTTTCCGAGCAGAATGTTCACCAGACTATAACAGGAAAAAGGCCCCGCCTATTGAGCATTTAATAGAGAAGAACTGGGCTCTTTTTAAAGAAGATCTGGGAGATAAGCTATACAATGGAAGAAAATTTCGAATTAATGACGTTAAATTGATAGGTGATGAAGTTATAGTAGAAGTTGGATTAACAGACTACAAAGATCACGTGGGAACAAATTTAGGCCAAGACGTGTCTTCATTTTTAGAATTTGGTGAAGCAACCTTTGGTAACAAGCACGCTTGCTTATCCGACGCACTCGGTGTAGGATCAATGCTTGTCACTGCAGATAATTACTTTCTATTCGTAGAAAGGAGCCTAGAAGTTGCTGAAGGAAAAGGCAAGATTGATTTTCCCGGTGGCCACGCGGAGCCAATGGTATATTTTTACTCATTTTAAGGCAGTCTGTCCCCCATGGTTCTCAGAATCTCTTTTCATGGCCACGATACTTATGCATGGTTGGTTTAATGAACAAATAAACAGTCAGAACGAAGAACCACAGGGTACTCTCACTGAGTGAGTTGCTGTGAATTTTGTTTTGACCTCAAGAGGCTTTTAAGTTAGAATTAGCCAATAATCGAGGGGACAGACTGTCTTTAAGAAGAATAATTGGAAATTTTTTCAGAAAATGATCAATGTGAAAAGAATTATAGTAGCTGGACCCAACCTTGATAAAATTTATTCATATTTCTATACTTTCATGATGTCACATGACACTTCAAAGTAAAAACAATATTAATGGTTATTCAAATTTGAATTAACTCAAGATTGAATATCCCCAAGTGAAATTTGGCACTTTGCAGCCATTTTGGCCAAAATTTGGGTCATTCATTTCAACTGCTAATCATATTGCATGCAAAAATAATATTTTCTTTTCATTTCCATTTTTGACTATTGATGCAACTTCAAATTTCAGTTTAAGTCGTCAGCTTTTCCAATAATTTGCAAATCTGATTGCCCCTTCTGATCAAAATAGCTGTATTGTTCCCCAGCATGGGCATTTCCAATGTATTAACATTTGATTGAAAATATCAACTGTCTATCATAACATATTCTAGGAAATGGCAAAGAAGATTGGATGTGAGGAGATAGATTTATCCCTTATAAAAAGTGAAGATGTATTGCATGAGGTATTTTATTCCATGGTACGAGAAGTAAGAGATGAGGTAAGTATTTGGTGCAATGTTATATACTTTAAAAGTTGACAATGACCTAAGCTGAAATGTGAATAAAGAAGCTTGTAGGTTATTGATATGCAGTGAATTGAAATTAGACTCATAATGAACAAAAGCTGATTGTTATGTCATTTTATGTTATGTCTGACTATCAATTTATGTTTTACAATTTTAGATAAATATACCTGAAGACCACTTGTCATGGCCAGTTCTCCTTGGGTTTCTTAGAAATATTACCAATGGAGGCAAGCCTCATGCAGCATTCATTATTGAGTAAGAAAAGTAGTTTTTGATATTTTTTTGTTCATGAGCACATTATATGTTACTGTTTTTATAGTCTTATGTTAAAGGCATTGAGTCATGGTAAATAGGCCTTCTATTTGGTTTTGGTGTGATCACTGCTGTTTCGTATGATATTTGCATCATTTGTTGACAACTTGCTATTGGTGGAAATTGTTTTGGCAATCAGTACAAGGTGAGTTCATGTGACCAGTTCCAGGTCAACCAATAGCTTCGCAGTCATGAAAATCAGGACTCAGCAGATTTTGGCACTTAGGGTATACCCAATCCATTTTAACATGACTCAATGCCTTCAATAGTATTTTCTAATGTGATCATTTGCAATTCTTTATACCATAATGCCTCAAATAAGCACCAGGGCCCTTATTTAATTTTTGAGGCTCCAGGATGGGCGCTTATTCAAGGAAGGCGCTTTATCGAGGGGGGCGCTTATTTAAAAAGTAGATTTGGGTGCAAATTGTGTTTGTTCATTAATCTTTCTTGTTGAATTGCCTTCCAATTATGCTTTTGTTGAAAATTCGAATAAGCACCGTTTCTGAAGGTTGAAGGATGGGCTCTTATTCAAGGGGTGGGCGCTTATTCGAGGGGGGGCACCTATTCAATAACTTCACATCTTGGATGGGCGCTTATTCGAGGGGGGGGGGGCTTTTATTTGAGGGGGGCGCTTGTTCGAGGCATTACGGTATTTGTAAACTTGTACACTATCAGAAATGCATTTATTATATTTTTTCTTAGATGTACCTTGGGAAAAGATGAAATCCAAAGGCTGTTTGACAAGGGTGGGCCTGAGGCATATGAAAGTACAAGAACCCTGTTCATCAAAAAGGAGGTGAAAAAAATCTTGATTGTCCTTTAAAATTCTTTTTTTTTCTTGTCAGTTTTCTGTCTTGAACAACATCTGACCAGGAAAATCATTATGTTTGATGTTTAGTGAACCAGTTTCCAGTATTTGGAGTTATTTTTGCCTCATAATTCAGCTCTAATAAATTCTACATGGATAATTTGAATAAGCACCCAAGCTCATAAAATTTCTAAATGCCCAGGGCTAATTCAAATTATTATGATTGCATATTCTTTTTCTTTTTTATGAAGACATCAGATATATTTAATATATTTTGGCATATATTTTAGTAGCAAAAGTGACAATTTCATTGGCTTAATAATGTACAGAGATATAATTAGATTTCAGGCAGTTGTCACTGTACATATGACCAGTATGCTAATGTTAACTAGCCAAGTTATAAGTTTTACTCTGCACTTTTATTGGTTATTTATGCAAATTGGTAATTTAATTACACAATTGTTTATTCCATTCTTGTTTTTTCCAAATTTTTGAAATAATATACAAAAAAACTTTTTTTAGGATCTCCTAACAATGTCATCAGAAAGGCTCAAGACTGAACTTGGTGAAATGACTCCATGTGCAAAAGCAACTTTATCTTTATACTTGAACTATCAAAGGGAATCTAATGGTAAAGATTAGCTGTAAGCAGTTCCTTGGAGTGGCATTCTTATGAATGTCATGTTTTTGATGTAACATTTTACTACTACTTGTTTTTTTTCAACTTTTGACTTCTAGAAAAGTCAATTATGATACTTAATCTTTAATTTTAGTATTCTTATCAAAAAGTTAGAAGTAAGCATTAACCATTGACATAATTTTTCAGGGCCTTAGGAACTGGAGGGGGGATGGAAGGGCTGGAGCCCCCAATAATTGTCAAACTGTAGTATATATATTTCATTTATAACAGTGTACTGAATGAGAAGGAATACAATGGACAGCCCCCCCCCCCAATATGAATTTTGTTCTGACAGCACTGTTTTTTGTTAATTGCCTTCATTATTTTTTTGTCCAGTTCCTAAAACTAAATCATGTTGTCTTCTGAGATTGTGGGTTTAGCTGTTATTTCATCTATTGTAATATCTAAGTATATTGTTTAATAATATCAAGATGGTAATATTCCCTTGACACTTAGAAAGATTTATTTGTCAGATTCTCTCTCTCTCTCTATGGTCTTGAAATGTCTCTAAAACAACATCTCACCCATCTCCACACTTATGCACTGACCGTTGGCTGTCTTCTTCTGACCCAGATTTATTCCATAGATTTATTGCCTCCAAATTCTGTTAATTTGTTTTTTCCCATTGCTATTTTTGATTACATTCAAGTTGTACATCTGCCATCTTTGCTCAGTATGCTCACTATGAATTTTGAATTCTGTTTCTTTCATCACTTTCCATTGGATGTCTTTATTTCTATTATCCTTTCAATTCTTTTAATTTGGTCTTCTATGTAATGTTCTTCTATGTACTTCATCCACAATTTCTTGGAGGCAATGAATCTCTTCTGTATATTGTTTATCATCAACAAAACTGACTGTCACAGCTCTCAGTTTACAGACAGTGATACATTGTTGACCATAAACAAGAGACTATTTTACCATACTTTCTGTGTAGCTCTTGGACAATAGTGGTGGCAGGAGGGATCCTTGACAAACTCCCGTTTCGAATCTTTTGTGTTCTGATTCACAACTAATATCGTTCTTCTTTCCTTCTGATTCTTCTAGATACATACGTACATACATACATTATTTATCAACTGCCCTTTGAAACTGTTGGGGTGAACCATTCTCATTAGAATTTAGTTTATATGCATTTTCACGTCCTTTTATTGTTCACACATAATAACTGTATACGCACTCCCAACGAATGAAGGAAATAAAACCACGATTTAACTTTATAATAACGAGTACATAAGCAAAAGGATCTTTCATTACAAAGAGGGTATCTAACTGATGTTCTCTTTTGGAAGATGGTTTGAAGAGCGTGATTATATTGAAATTTAACTTGGTCACTCCAAATCAACATTGAATTAAGTAGAGGGAAGAATCGGGGGAATGGCATCTAATGACGAGGTAAATAGAGGCATCAAGAACAAAGGTGGTTTTGTTTTCTAAGTGAACGTCGCAAACTTTTCTTACTTACGCAATGGCCTCATAAATAAATAAGGCTACACTATTTTGCTATGAACTTCTTGGTTAACTCTCTCCTCTTAAGGGCCATATGGATAAACTTTATTAACGTGTATAAGCCACAGGATTCAAAATTAAAACACATTTACGCAAGCAGAGGTTCAGGGGTCAGTCGTACTGTTTTAATTCGCAGAAAAGTTCCGTTTTCATGAAGACTCAAATGCTTATCAAACCATCATACTTTGTTTATTAAAAAAATAATTCCATTGACGTATATCGGTCATTGTCATCAATCTTTCCAAAATTTTTGGGCAACTCTACATCATTTGTTCTTTATGTTTCTATTGGTCGTTTCCCCATAAGTGTGATTGGCACTCCATTTCTTGGTCTGAGTGTGCCACTTACCCCAACCTCAAGTCTAGTTCCAGGAACCAATGTGATTTGGAATGTTTGAAGGAGTTTTGCTAGAATTATTTTGGCTTCAAACTGCAAAGAAAAATAAGCCAGTCAAATTATTTCATGAAGATTCTGAGGCGTAATGCTTGAAAGCAATGTGCTGCTATCTCAGTTTCAACTGTTTCTGAGTGTCACATTTGAGTCATACAAAGAGATCGCTTTGCACATTATGTTACATAACTCAGTTATGCAATGACGGTGACGAGAACGTATTCTTTGTCAAATTGGGTCCTTCTACATTTCAGCCCCAGATCAATTAATAATGAATTAAATTGTACGAACCTCTGCAAATAATCTTCCAATGCAGTTTCTTGGTCCTGAGCTGAATGGCATGAATGCGCTAGTAATGCTACGGTTTAGAAAAAAATATTTTAGCATGTGAACTGCAAAAACCATTTGTCAAAACGACCTTAAGAAACTCTCCCAAGGCTCACTCTCTGGTCGATAGTAAACTTCTAACTTAAGATTGCTTGCAAAATTGTATCTTTCATGAGACAAGTTGTTTTAAAACGAATCTTTAAAGGTTATCATGATTGTCACTAATGATACAGACAAATATATAGACTTACTTCGATTCACCGTTTTATTCACTATTAAAAATCATAATGTATTGGAAAAAATTAAGCGGCATAAGTTATCAACAATGTATAAGTCAGATATTAAAACGATAACTGAAAACTTTTTGATTACATAAGGGACAGGCAACCTGCAGCCGGCGGGCCAAATGAAGCGCGACAGTATTGTCCTTGCACCTCCATGACCTCTTGGAAATTATTCTGTGCCACTAGCTGAATCTGCAGCTCACACAAACTTCCTATACATTGCTTTTAAAGACAATGCTCCTTCACTGGGCATATAGAGGATGCGCCGCATCGCCTTAAGAAGCTATTAACCTAATAAGCCTGTCGGGGGGCGAATACCACAGATGTCTTTTCACCTCTAACAAAATCCAAAATATCTTACTGCACTTTATTGCAAAATAATGAAATTCCGGAAGGCTTTAAGGCTTCCAACGTTCGCCAAGATAACAAATAACAAAAAATTTGGTTGCCAAGTACAAAAAGTTGCCCGTTAAAGCCAGTGAACTAAGATTTTGCTGTTTACAAGAAAATTTCATTCCTTTAAAACGACTGAAAGGTGGTAAATAGCGAATTCACTTTTCAAAGAAAGTATTTAATCGCTGCTGATATTCGGTCTAAATTGAGATGACTTTCTCATGAAAAATATGCATCAAGAGTTATTTTTGCTCAGAATATTGACGACAATCTTTTTAAGTTGACGACAATCTTTTTAAGTAGACTATTTTATTCCTAGTAATAGAATCAACCAGGTATTTTTTTATGATTGTATCGTATCTAACTGCAATTTTAGACTAAAAGAAAAAAATTTGATGGCTTTTAAAAATCCCTTTGGCTTTGCTCACTTCATTCTGTTTGTCTAGAAAAATGTTTTCAAATTCACATATTGTTCTTAAGAGAAAGTCATAGATTAACATTCAAGCTCGATATTTTCAGATTAAAGCTCCTTGACAAATTATCTTATGTATAACAAGCCATTTTGTGGAAATGGTATCACGTACCATCTGAAGCATACAAGGCAAAATACTCTTCACGGTAGACATCTATGTATAAAAATCCTTAACAGGTTTTATTTTTTTGGTTGGGTTAAAGATATTGGGTTGAGCGAAACGCGAAAAAGGCGGAGTCAATCTTGTTGTTACTTTTATTAATGTAACTACCTTAAGGCTTTCTGCTAGCTGTCTTCCGTTAAATTTCATTAATTTCTTTTTGTTTTTTGTCTTCAGCGCGTTGTGGTATTCCTTGCTTTCAACATTATTCAATTACTTGCAAAAGAAAATTTATTACGAAGTGAAATGAAAGAGGAAAAGCTCACCCAGGATTATCAGCAGAATCTCTTTCCCATCTGTCCGGGTCGAAAATCTCAGGCTTGGGCCAATACCTTGGATCACGGTGCATTGAAAAAAGAAATATCTAATGGAAACGAAAATTGTAACCCACATAAACAACTGAAAATAACCCGACGTTCAAATAAGTATTTTGTCGTTCATAACATAATATCGGTTCATTATCATTTTTATTCACTCTTTGGTTGTAAAATGCAATCTTTAAGAAATTGGCATTCAAACTAAAGAAATAAAAAGTAGGAACTAGTAGAACTTACGCTAGTCATAGTTCCTTTGGGTATTTCATAGTCACCGTATTTATCTATGCATGGGGTCACCCTGTTGAAACTAGCTGCTGGTGGATAAAGTCGCAATGTTTCCTTGATGCACTAAATAACAAAGCAAGAAGATTGCATGAATGAATTGGCTTCTTCCATTTTGAATGTTTTGACCACGAAAACAGCGATATAGGAAACATGGATGTTATTGAATGTTGCCTTTGACAAATGAAAATAGGTTTATCTTATGTGAACTGTTTTCTCCTCAAATATAATACAACACATTGGCAACTCGACAAGATTATAGTCAGAATGATTGAACAGCCAGGAAACTAGCGTTGAAAGCATTTCCACGAACGACAAACAGACTTTGCAGATTATATATGTCATCAACAAGAACGGCAAAACGGCAAGAGCTGGTATACCTGACCCATGAATTTCATCTTTCCTAAATCCTCAAAGGTCACATCCTTGTTGTCATGGAGCACAATGTCAATTTCATCCTTTAATCTAAAGTTCAGAAACAAATGAAAATATTAACACTTTTATGAAAGATAAAGCAAAGATATTACTCGATCTGAAAAGCTTCAAGAAATCGAAAACATCATGGCAACACTGGAAACAAACGTAATAGAATTCTTAACTGATGACGTCATTAACATATATTTTTAGACTTTTTAATTTGGATCCCATGACCTAAAAAGCATTAGGAAATACCTCTAAAGAATCAGTTAAATTTGCTAAGAATTGGCTGAGATACGGCCACACGAGCACGGGCTCTTGTTGGCCTCTGATCATAACTTTATGAACGGAGCCAAAATAACAACAATACGTTAGCAAACTTCAAATCTTTCATTGGGCACATCTCAACCGACTTTCGATATATTTAACTGATTTGCATATTTAGAAGTATTTCGTGGTGCTCTTTTATGCTATGTGGCTAAAATTCAAAGTTCACAAATAGTTTTTTGTGACGTCATACTTGGGAGCTCTATGCTAGTCATGAAGTCTGCCGAAGAATAGTACCTGGCAGTGACAACTTTTCCAAGAGCTGCAATTATACAACAATTTATGAAGGATTATAAAAAGTATTTAAACTAGCAGTCATAATGTTGACGCATCAAAAATATATCACGATATCTAGTTGGTTCATACTTTTAGATTATTTGGGGAAGAAAACTTTTAGCAGTTCATACCCTCTGCTTTGATCAATACCACACAACACCTAAATTTCGCGGCTATTTAAAAAAACTAAATGCAAAGAATGAATAAGCACTGATAAGTAACCATAATGGTTGATAATATTTTATTGAGGTGAAGTTAGGACAGCAATTACAAATTGTTTTACCTCTTCATCACTGAAGGGTTTTCCAGCAGTGAAAACAGCAGGAACGAAAGGAGACTCGCTGTGGTATCTTGTCCTGTAAGTTAATGTTACAGGGATATAAAAGATGTATGAAACACTTTTCAGCCTTCACTAGGGAAATCAGCTGACGAGATTCATCGAAAGCCAAAGAAAGTGATTTTACTGGCAAAGAGAGACACGGTTCATGGCCTTTTATAACGGACTAACTATGGGGGCAATTGCCCCTGCAGTCCAGTGACTTTCCATTGTCTTAAACAATAGGTCATTGTCCTCCTCTTTATATAAACAAAGGTTTGCCCCCGCAGCTAAACTCCCTAAGAAAAAGCTGTGACATGGTTCGCTGGAAGTTTTGTAAAAGTTTACATCTTTGCATTTCAAATTCATTGGTAGTAAGTTTCAAAAATTACACACCCAAAACAATAATTGGAAGAAACAGTGCTAGTGTGTGGATTGAATGCTAGATTATGGATTCGCTTGATACAGACATCGGTTTAAATGAATCCAGGAAATAACCTTCAACACCTCTAACAAAAAGGAAGTTAATAAAGAATGAATATATGCGAATAGAGAAGCCGATGAAGGATTCTTGGAAATTCTGGAGCACAAATAAAAGCAAACCATTCAGAACAAAATAGTTTTACCAGCAATAATAAAGGTAACGAATTCGTCAATGAGGTCCTCATCAGTGATGTTTGGATCACTAGCTGCAACATACAAGAACAACAATCGAAAAATTAGTAACATATTGAATTGCGCAACTTTATGTAAAATCTTATTTCGTATACATTAAAAAATGCTCCAAACATAAGTAAAATTTCTGCGAAGACTAGGTGGATAGTGATATCAAAATATTAGTAGCATAACAAAAACCCCACAACTGCTACCGCAAATGGTAGTCTTTAGTTACTGGAAGTGGTTGAAATTAGGGGGATTATGTATTAGGGGGACCATACCCCAAAAATAAGAAACAAGTATGCACCAGTGGCCAAAAGACACGGAAAATTCACTTCACTTGGTCTAACGAATTCACCCGTCTGTTTTACAAAACGGTCACAAATGTTTACCAATCTATTTCACATTGCCAAATTTCATATGAATAAAGTTGGGTTAATTGGAATCTATGTTAATTATAACTATGGTAATATGACTAATGCATTAAAAGACTAAGTTTTAAGTTACAATATATTACACGAAGTGCTTGATTTCTTTCCACTGACAAAGTCAAACAACAGCATTCCAAAGTTCAACTGAATAAGCCTGTCAAATTGTAATTAGCAAATCGATACCTGCTTTTTCGACAACCAATGACATGATGTCATTAGGAAGCTTCTCTCCTTTTGACAACATGTATTTTCTTTCTGCGACACATTTAGAACCATACTGACGAACAACTCTTGTCCCTTCATCAAATTCTTTTTGTCTGCCATATGTCCTAAAATCAATCTAAGAGCATTCCTATTGAGATATCAACGTTAACATGTCCGTGGAGATGCAAAGATAGAAGACAATGAATCAATCTCTAATGCAGATTAAAACGGTATTTAAAGAAGCAGTAAACATTTCATCTTTTCATGGAGTTGCCTTGAAACTGCATTTATAAATTTTACTAGAATTGATTGTAACATTGTATCAGTTTGCTACTTGGTCGCTTGTCACTGGGGAGTGTTTTGACGTATGAAACTTAATAAAGCCGATACTTGCTACCCTACAAAAATCTAAGAAACAGCAAATGCATTTGATCTTTAAGCAGATTAAATCTCACCTTATATAAGGGATTCATAAGCTTAAACTGGAAACCTGCAAATACCATATCAGCAGCTTTGAAGAGGGCAGAGTTGTCATCTAGCAGTGTATTCAGATTTAGATCAAACGCGGCCTAACGATAAACAAATTCAGCATTCAAGAGCCCTAAAGTTTACAAAAATATTATCTAAAACATGCATCCAATACAAACTCTTTGCAACATTGCTTTAAAACAAGCTTTTTTCAACATTACCAAAATTTGGTGACTAAGTATGCCGATCTAAATATTATTGTTATCTGCAGATAATGGCAAGAGACACCTCGATAGAGCGGATAAAGAGGTTTCTGCGACAAATGAAGAAGCAGAGCATCGCAGCATGATAGGGAAGATTATCAAAAGATGAAGCTAACATTTATCGGTATCGGTATAAGCAAATGGGCAAATGTGCAAATCCAAAAAGTGTTGTAAAGTAGTGGAAATCAATCGAAGGTTGTAAAGTAGTGGAAATCTATGATTGTCATAAATGTCCCTATTAAAGAAGGACACCTGAGAATAGAATACATAAATGACAATTAATTGGTTTGTTCCTTATGATGCTAGCTTTTTATATTAACTTCGATCAGATGATTTTTAAGTTTAGATGATTTAAAGGTTCACCTTGATTTTTGGGAACAGTAAGAAAAGACAAAGAGCTCGACGTTTTTAGAAGCAGAATATTAATGAAACCAAACTTAGAGAGTTTTCAGAAAAGCCATATCTTTTAAGTAAATGTAGATGCTCAAGAAACACGCTAAAGTGATACCTTTGCAATGACGTCAAGAGTCACTCGATGGAATTCTTGCGACATATCTACAACGCAATTGCCGTCAGCTAGATTCTGCAATTTCTTTACGAAAACGTCTGCACTGTTGTTGAATTTAGGAATGAGAGACTTCAGGTACCTGATGAAATTTTTTAGCTTAATATAATATTATACCTTTATAAGACAATCAATTCTTATATTTCGATACAGCTCCTCAATAATATATCGTTAAACGTTTTGTATAAGTTCTAAAAATTCTAGATTATGCGTTAAAATATTTGTAAAAATTTCACTATAAACGTGTAAACCACTTTTCAACATTTTAAGATTCAAGTTCTCAAAATTGCTCAAGAGTTTCTTAATTCTTTCCCGAACAATCAAATCCCGAACAAAGATAGTTGCAACTCTTTAAGATAAGTTTATGTTCCCTTTTCTCTTTGAAAAACAACCCCCCCCCTGCCAATTTAATGCTGAATGCATATTTATGGAGCACAAGTGATAGAACTACTAACCCAACATTGACTAGGGGAAAGGGAGGGATTCGAAATTACAGAGGCAACGGAAAGTAATTGTGTTTGTGTCTGTCTGGTGACAGTCCAATGTTCCAGACTCAAACAACGTCTATCAGTGAAGAAGTACAAATTATCTAGAATACTCACAATCGATGGAAAGCTGGGTTTATTATTTGCCTCCTCTCTTTCCACTTTTCTTTGTTAAGTTCAGTTACCAGTCCATTTCCAAGTGATCTAAATCAAATTCAATTAATTTTTACTATAAAACAAGAGGAGCAGCTTGCGAATGGAAGGAGTGGCAGTGGCTTATCCTATTCAGTGAAAAGTATCCAAATCACTTTTATTTATAGAATCTTAAAGGAAAATGATACCTATTCCCTCTTGTATTTCTGCCCTCTCTAATATTTCCGCCTCTCCAAAAATAATCCCACTTTTTTTTCTAAACTTTGAAAAATTAATCCCACCTCTCAGATAGTCCCGCATGCGGATTTGACGAGAGACAAGGAAGATGTTGATGTCAATCTTCACGATGAAGTTATCGTAGAAAAAGTAGAACACGACACGATAATACGTGTAAATGTTCAGTTGATCGGTTTTTGGTTCAGTTTTCATATTCAGTTGATATTTAGGTTTTTTAGATACACTTTGCTATAATGATTTTGAAGTTGAAATCTTTGAAATTTTGAAAAGTAGACTACTTCCTTTGTTTATTTTTGCATTGAAAATTTAAGTCTTCTTTTTGAATGCACGCTAAAAAATTCTGCCTCTCAAATAATCCCGCATTACAATTAGGAGATTAATAAAAAAAATCCACAGGGGGAATACAAGGAGAATACCGTATAATTCTTTCTGAAAAACTTTTGAAAACAAATCTTCTTGGAAAAAATGTTTCTTCACAAATAATAACAAAGAGCTGCAAAACACCACAGAGACTCCACACTCCAAAACTCTTTAGCACACCCCTGCAATTTAACATAACAATGAAAAAGAATAACCTTATTTTGAACATATGCTGAAGCAAAGTGTATGTCCTCTTGCATTTCGGGTAATCTTTGTTTACCAGAAGGTCCTAAAATAAATTGAAACATCATTGAACAATAACCTGAAATGGCTAACTTTTACAGTTGTTCAACAAACTTGTAGCAGACAAAGGGCTGCTGAGATGTTTTGGGGGCCCTGGGACAAAACTGAAAGATGAGGCCCCCCAAAAATGGAGTGAGCAGAAAAATTATTCTACCATTCCCTTCAGATTAGCTTAACATACATTTCAGAACAATTATTGTTGTCATTTCTTGTAATCGTTTACAACTTTTTAATATCTTTAGGCATACTTTTGCTAGGCTTGATGAATTCCATTCTTGAAATGTAAGGTGGCAAAGAGGATGTGATCAAGGAAATCCCACAACTTTTTTATGCAATAATGTGAATTTCATTGAAAAGATTTTTGATATACCGACACAAATTAGAAGCACATGGTAAATAAAGACAGAGCTTCTAGACTGGTAATATGAAATCTGTTGGCATGCTGGTAATCGCACACCTTGAAAAGTTTAGGCGTGTGATGGCATGCAATGGCATGTGAGTGTGTGCAAACCATAAAATAGAGACTTTAACAATTTATATCAAGACCTTTTAAAGGTCATATATGTATTCGAAGGTGTCTATCACTGTTTGAAAAAACGTATGCAGTTTTTACAAAACCAAGTAGTTTCTACGGAATTTTAGAAGAAGTTTCTTAAAAACAAAACAATTTAACAAAAAGGATAGAAGTTTTTTGGGCCATGTTGCCATTACTCCTTATCCGTATGAGGGCATATTGGAAGAATCCATTTTAGATTTTCAGTTCCATTAATACGCTTAAACTGAGTCATTTGATACCAAACCATACAAAAGTCATACAAAAATGCTGTTCAAAGTGGAGTACTTTAGAGAAAATACACAAAAAATTAAAAGAAAAAAAAGAGGAAAGAATAGTATGTAAGTCAATACATGGAACTGTGCATGCCATAGAAAGGACGCCTCAGGAGGTTGTGTCGGGAGGTGTTCGCATGCAATCGCACGCCTAATATTACCAGGACTTAAACCTTCTAAAATTGTATTTAGAATTTCATTTCATTGTCACTAAACCAAGAAGCTTTTTGTGCAAGACTCATGAGAAATTCTCAACAATAAAAAGATTTTGCAATATTCTTACCTTGATTATGACTGGATCATTACAAAGAACCACAGGTTCCATTGCCAACCAAACACATATAACTGGACCAAACTCATTAAACCTAACAATGAAAAAAACTTCTCTAGCAATATGTCATTATAAATAATGTCATTATCAATTTTATAAGAGAAATAATATCAATAAAATTGATTCAAGATTTTGATGATTGTAGATAGTTCATAAATTAAAAGGTTGTAATACATACCAATGACAAACTAAATCTAGAAATGGTCCATCAATCCCTCTTCTATATATTGCCGGAATATTTCCCAAAATAAAGCTAAAATCAAAATGTGATAAAAATACGTTACCAGATGCGTTAAAAATAAATATTGTCCAGTGGGTAAAAAGAGCAAAAACATTGTCTACAAAAAGAGCTTTTTAAGGGAACCTTAGGTCTACTTACAGCAACAATTATCGCAACAAGAAATAACAGGAAAAGCTTTGGTAAGTGCGATGCAGCTGAAAGTCAACCTGTTAATAAGTTGAGGACAATAAATCAATGGAACAGGATATCCCAAAAGCAAACCAGGAAAATTAGAGTAAATATGAACCAAATGTGTGTGACTTCACATGAGTATAGGCCATTATTGGCTGATAAATTTATTGATTGCCTTTTAATTTATATTTGTTGATTTGTTGCTATAGAGTTAAGTACCAACATTAAAGGCTTATTCCATTGGTAGCATTAGAGACCTGGTGGGCAAGGGAAAGTGGATAGTGGGCAGGGGACAGTGGATAGAGGGCAAGTGCCACTTTGGTGTTGTCATATCATCCTACGCCAGAGATCTGTGGATTTCAGTTCAGTTTTCATTAACAAGTACACTATACACCCAGACTGCAGAGTATGGCAACTGCACACCCAATATATATTTTCTGAAATGTCCCTGCACACTTGACAAAGGGTGGGGCACATTGAAATCTGGGCGCTGTGTTGGTGCGTCCTATTGCTTAGGGCAAAGGGAGAATTTAAGTCCCTTCTGGATCGAAATAATCTCACCTTGGTTTGATAACAAAATAATTTTCAATCATGTAATAGTTGTGTGTACTATTGTACACAATTGAAGTGCACACTTAATCAAAGTTCACACTCGCTTACTTTGAATGTTGTTCTCAGTCCTGTCAACTCTCCTGGTTTTGTGAGGAGACTCCAGGTTTTGTTTGCTTTTTCTCGGTCTCCTGGTTTTTTATGATTTTCTCCCTGCTTTTTCTTGTCATGTCAATCATTTTCTTATAACAAAAATGATTGAAATGACTTCTTCATAACAAAGTTTTTTGTTAGTGTTTACAAATTAACGAAAATGTTAAGAACTGTTAGGAAGACGCTACCCATGATAATTGTTGTCATTAACTGTTTTTCCAACATGACCTTTTTGACAGGTATGGTTCTTGCACACCCGAGATCTTGTTGGAAACTGCCGTACTCTGCAGTCCACCTTTACATTACATTAATGGCACCCAATTTCAATAAATAACACATTGTTTAATATAGTTAAATATACTTGTCTAAGGTGGAGCTCTCTAATAGATGAACCAATTGGGAGTATGCATAACACAATTTTGCTAAAGCAAAAGAAAATGCAAAGAAACCAGAATAGCTTTCAAAGAATAATAATAAGAATGTGGAGTATGGGCTTGATTCCTGTCAGAAATTTTCTGATGAATCACAAAATAAATTTGTTTTTTTTTTGAAGATTTTTTTTCAAAAGAGGTCGAAAAATAGAAATTTTCATCTGATGAGCAAACATAATTAGCCTAGTGCTTTCTCAGAAAAACAGGTTGCCTTTTTTACAACCCCACCCAAATAGGACACACCCAAGCAGGATAATCTTTGTTTGAACTCCAATTTGGTCAGATGACACTCCTGTGTAGTGTAGCATGTTCCCCTTTGGCAGGAGCGGATTTAGGAGGAGTGTAGGGGGTCTGGCCCCCGCCCCCAATGCTCCTGTGTCTTTCGGTAAATTTTGCTTCCATTCGGTAAGAGTCATTTGTTGGTAGTCAGTAGCAATCAAACAACGCCAAGATTTCACTTCTTATCTTCTTTATCTTTAAGTTGAATACGGAATTTTGAAAATAGGCGTTTCCATAATTTTCTAGTGACCTGTAGGGTGTGGCACCAAAAACCAATTATAATCTAACCCCCCCCCCCCATCCTCGTCACTCCAATCCGTCCCTGCCCTTTGGTGACGTTCAATCAACAGCAACATTTCCCAGGCACAGGCACTAGCAAAAGCCTACCTGTCCCTTTCGGGTCCTGGAATGTGTGAGTATCTATGGTGCAGGTACACTATCCATAATGCCAATGCAGTAAAACAGGAAACAGCAAATCCTAGTAACACCAAAACTACCACAAGAAGCATTTCTCTTGGACACACAAGGAAAATTACCCAAATTCAAAATCAGTGAAACAAACTTTGACCTCTCGCACCATTATTCAAAACCAATGAGGTTTATGTTCTATTTAAATTTTGTGCCTGTCAAATTATATTCAATTCCGTTCACTTCAAAACAAAACATAGACGAATACGAGGCCAAAATGCGGCAAAATCCAAAAACCTTTACTTTTTGAGTTACCGTAAATCTTCGAATTGCCCCCCCCCCTCCTGAAAAAGCTCCCCCCCCGCCCGAATAAGCCCCCACTCTAGAACAACAACTTTTCAATAAGCGCCTCCTCGAATAAGGCCCCACTGCTACCGTAAATCATCGAATTGGCCCCCTCGATATGTTTTGCCATCTGAGGTTGCCTTTGGCGATATATTGAATTACCACAAAAATTCATACTTTTGGTAATAATTAGTTCAATACAAAAATTCCTACAAAAATAAACAAAGTCTTATATTAATGTCTTCTTAATGTCTACCATAATTTTATAAGCCCCCCTTTTAAAAGCCCCCTCGAATAACCCCCATCAAAAAATATTGAAAACAAATAAGCCTCCAGGGTGCTAATTCGGGGATCTGCGATCGAGCACTCGTATTTTGAGTGCCAGCACTCGATTTTACGCCAGCTTATCGTTAAGTAATTACCGCTTAAGATTGTCTAATATGTTGTTTTTGAGAAACCAGTAAAGGTTTTCTAAATTCTTTTTAGAGCCTTGAGATAGTAAAAAATGTGGAAATTGATGATCAGAAACCCTTGATTTGGTGGTGAATCAAAAACTTGCATTCTACTTATACATCACAGTAGAGTGTCGTATTTCCTATGAAAGACAACAAAAGATACTTTTAAGAACTCAGATGGATTGAATCGATGGGTAAAATTTTCAAAATTGTTTTGTTTAACACGAGAAAGAAATTTCTATCGAATGAGAGCGATATTGACATAGACATTGCGAGACTCTCGGTAAAAAATGGGGGCTCAAACGAAGGTGTTCCCAAGCTCAAGGTTTTCTGAGAGTCAAAAGCAGATAACTGACTGGTCTTTAGTTTTTTCGCACAAGTCTTAAGCAATTTTAGTAACTTTCAAGGTTTTTTCTCCATTTGCGGTGTCCATTTTTAGTATTCCTTTTAAGAACAATATGAAATATTTTAAACGTTCTATATTCAAATGAAAAAGAGCATGCTGGCTAACCAATAAGTTTAATCTGTATATTCTTTTAAAGTATTGAAAATGGAAACTGAAGAGATGTTTGTGTCCTTCATTATAATTCTGAAAAAATTGTTCTAAATAGACTGAAGTTGTGACTGGTGGCTCCTTCAGTGAATCTTTGTAAATTTTACTGTTTAGTTTTTGTTTAGTTGAGACATAACTTGGTAAGATAATTACAAAACAACATTGAAGATACTATACAAGGAACAATACAAGAAAAAATACAGCGAAAAAGTTCTAAAAATATCATATTGATTTATACTACATTTAAATTTCTGTTCTACAAGGAATTACCAGCCTGTCCTTACATTCAAATATTAGTTCCTACATAACAAACACTTATATCATCTTATACCTTGCTGTTGATTCTAATGAATGCTAAATAAAACAAATCCATTGTCCCTGCCCCCTTTGTCTAAGGCCCTGGATTAAGGAGTATGTATCTCAAGAATATCCATTTCAGCTGGTTAATGACCATTTATGTCTAAATAGACTTTGGAATAGTTAACAGAAAAGTTTTTGATACAGAAAACCTGGCTTTGCTCATTTTGTCTTGGCAATAAGTTTCACCAAAGCTTCTAATGAAAACTAAATAAGCTTGTTCCTTGTCTTCCATCTTCCATCTTCCGTCCTTGTCTTCACATAAGATGTGCCCTTGAAACATTTTCATCATCAGCATAAGCAACCAACATATCTATGGAGACATTGACTTCATTCCAGCCTTGCAGATTGCAAAGCCAATCTAGTATTCTGCAGAAATACCTTTTTCTTCATTGCCTAATTAACTTGGGCTTGAAGTGTACATGAAGAGCATTGGACTACATTGTACCCTTCTTTCAGCTGTTCCTCTGTTATGGCATACTCCCCTCCACAACGACAGTCAATGGCATATGTTTCAGAAACTAAAGACGAGATTGTAAAAATTCACTATAAATGTAATACAAGCCACATGTTGATTTTTGGCTGTGAACAACAAACAATTTATGAAAATCAGGGATGTTAAAATGCAGGAATGAATAAGTAAGTGTTAGCATCATCTTTAATGCAAAATAATTAATGATCCTTAACAGCTTTCAATATTTCCAACATTACATTATTCCATGTTGTTAATTAGCTAAGTTGGCTTTACTCTGCTCTTTGCCATTATCTAAAGAAGCTAGTTTTAAATAAGTCTAAGGAAAAAATAATTATGGTATGTCTAAAAACAACATGCAAAGGTCATAAAACAATTAAATAAACAACAAACCTTCAAAAAATGACATATCATCCAGGTTAACTTCTAGATCAAATGGAGCATATTGGCCAATCTCTTTTTCTGCAAGAAAAATTGAAAGCTAAGTATTTCTTCTATTTAAAAAGTAATTAGAGTATATTGACAAGAAATGATTATATAAAATTGAAATAAAATATCAAGTATCAAGTATCAAGAAAACCAAAGTTTCTAATCATTGTCAAAGACAGAATTACATTAAATAAAAGTGAAGCATTCTTAAAGATTGACTTAACCCTTACATCTACAGAGAAATTGATGCTTATTATGAGTCTAACTGCTCATAATGCAAGGGTCTGAGCATGGAACGTTTTTACAAGGATTGTTTAAAATGGCTTTCATAGCATGTCAATCATGTTCTGAGCAAGCTTTTATTCCAGCTAAAAAGCATCCTGTTGGGTTGGGAGCAATTCTCAGTATCAGGAACTTTTGTGTTTGATATTAAATTATCATAAATTTTTCTAATCATGAAACTTACTTCTGCCTTTATAAAACTTTCTCTAAACCAGATTTTTACATCTATACCTGAAAAATGGATGATATACCTTTTTGCAATGCATCATACTCTTGTCTTTTCTTGGGGTCTGACAAAATTTTCCAAGCTTCTTCGACTTCTAAAAACTTTACTGTGTTGATGCTTTTGTCATTTTGAGCTTGTTTATCTGGGTGGATCTGACAAGAAAGTATATTACAAGCCATTCAAAGTTTGAGAGTGTGATATGAAGACATCACATAACCTTAAACAAGAAAACATGTACTCAAATGTAGATAGGAACAAGACTGCTAAATCTAAAAACCATTTTTTAAAGCTTGAAAATAACACACTATAGATCTTTTCAAATTTGACAGATTTCCGCAAAACAAAGGATATGTACCTTTAAAAGCAACTTCCTGTATTGAGTCTTCATCTCATCAAGCGAAGCATTTTCATCAACACCTAGCACATCATAATAATTTATCTCTACATCACACATCTTGTTTCTTCAATAGACCTTGACCATTACTTCAAAAGAAAAAGGAAATGAAAACAGGTTGTACAGGTTGATAAAAAACTTTCTAATCACTAAAGTTCAAGTTTTTCAAAGAGAGAAGGGCATGGATTTCATTTCTGAGCAAAGAAAGCTGAGTTCCTTTGTGAAACTGGCACAATTTCAGTAAAAGAAGTCAGGACTTGTGCTGACTCACAAGAATGCAAATTTTCAGGATGACAATGAACTTATACTCTACGACCTTAGCTAATTAGGAGCATTTCTATGACCATATTTAAAAGATATCTACAATTCTATACTATTTAAGAGATATAAGAGATTAGAAAGAATTTACCCTTTGGTCTGGTATAACTAAAACTCAAACTTTTCATTATGATCGCATCTATGGAATCATACCATGGACACTACAGTTCTTGTTCATGGAGATTGTTTGACTCTTGAGTTGTATTTATAAATGTACAGTGGTGACAGGGAGCTGAGCTGGAGGAATGGAAACGAACCAGGTCTTTCTCATGACTGTCTTTCACCAGCAACAAAGAGACCAATGAACAGTGGCAACATATTTTTGACAACATATTTAAAATTTTGCAAGAGTAAACTCTGTTCTTTGCAACTGCAAGTTATTTGCTTAGAACAGAGAGCTGAGATAAAATCCTGTTTTGAAATAAAATCCTGCTAGATTTCATATCTTAAAAATCTTTGCAACAACTTTGTCTTTGGTTCTTTGAACTTTCACATTTTGTCAGCTTTTGATTATTTCTTCATCCTTACATTTATTTTGAGATTCTATCAACAATATCCTGGTTATATGTGGAGTTGGTTCATGGAGGACAAGCTTCCATATATGCCCAATGTTGCCCAAGGCCATCAAAATAGGCCTCAGTTTTTCTTACACTAAGAACCCCCAAGTCATCAAGAAGACAAAAGTGGTTTTTATCACAAAAATTATCCCCATCAATAAATAGCAACTTTAGCATTGCCTTCGCCTACTTCACCCCAGTGTGGAATCCATGTAGCTTACGCTTTCCCATTGTCTTTCTATTGTTTATTGGCGTATGTCCGGCGTGAGTTTCACATGGATTCCACCCTGGACTTCACCCTATAAAATCTGTTTTTTGTGGACTGCCTGTCCTTTGGCAATAAAGTTGTCAGTCAGCCAATTTGTCCTACATGCAAAGAAAAAATGTCCTGTTCTTCTAAAATATTTTATAGCTAATGGTTTATTTTCAGAAGCTTTCGAACTTTTAGGTAGTAGTTTTTCAACAAAAGCTAGAAATAAAGTTGTTTGCAAATGGCTTTGAAAAAAAAATTGTTCAAAGTTGTTTGCGTTTATCGCCGACGCCACTTGAAGTTTTCCCCACCATAAGATGCTCAAAATTTTGTCAATCGCCGCACATAATTGCAGCCTTAGCGTCATAATTCAGGCCAATAATTCCACCACAAAGTATTTCAAAAATTTGGCAACATTGACCTTATATTGAGTTCTTGATTCGGAAGCAAATTGAACAGTTACCATAAGATAAGTTCTTACAATTTTAAGTTCTACAAAGAGATAAATGCTTTCATAGATCAGCATAGTTAAATTATAGTTAAATCAAAATACGTACCTGATACCAAAGAATGCGATTAATGGGAATAAGGTACATTTTTCCGACAAAGCAAGAGGGCAGCCATAGGCCATGTTGGGTTATGCTGATACTGCAGTTTATTTGTTATTCAATACGAGGCCATGTAGCGAACCAAAATGGTCTTTGGTGCCAGCCTCAAAAGATCTTTAGCTTTGTTGCCTACTAAAATATCAGATACTAACTTGTTTTACTATTTATCCCCGCCTCTAGCATGGGACGATCACGAGTACGACAGTAGTTTCTGCTCTGAAAATGGGCTGGTTTCCTGACCGGTAGAAACATATTGAGAAATACACAGTGCTCTTTTAGAAATTCACTAAATTCTCTTCTACACATTTTAAAGTAAATACCCCATTACTTTTTTGGGGTTTGACACCCCACATTGATTTAATCTTGAACAACGAAAGACAATGTGTCTTTTATCATTTCTGAAAGTAGAGTTGTTCCAGATTTAATGAGATATATGTTTTGAGCACCGTCAAATCATGGTCAAACCATTTGACAAGTTCCCGTGTGGTCTAGTGGTTAGGATTCGGCGCTCTCACCGCCGCGGCCGGGGTTCGATTCCCCGCACGGGAGTTGTTTTCTTATAAACGAGTTGAGTTAAAAAAACTACCACCATTTTTGTAACAATCTTCAAATCAATGTTCATCAAACATTGCGAAGATACACATTTCGAAGCTGGAAAAACTTTATAGTGTTCTTACAAAAAAGAGTACATTTACAACAATCACCATAAATTTCCTGAAGAAAATAGATTTGTTCAAATTCCAGTGCGTTTGAATATTGTCATCGAACCTCAGACAAAAGCGTTCTAGGCTGTCTTGTTGCCAAATGTTGGTGGAAAATGTAGGTACTACACTAGAATGATACATTACTCATCTTCAGGGCCCACGCCACCCCATTTTTGGTAAGCAAAAATATTTCCAAAGAGGCCCTGTTTTGAAGCACTAAATTCAAGTTCGACTTATATATAGAACTTGGCACCTCCACCTTGCAATTCGTGACGTGGTCCCTCTTCCAATCCACAAACTATATCTCTGCAGAACATCGGTATTGCAGCAGGAAAAATAGAAATAATCAACTTTTGTAATACTGTATAAAAAGTCTACTTTAGGATTTTATTACATTTTTCTCTTATTACAATATATTTGAGAAAGGTTAGCATGTTGTTAAATAAATATTGTTGTGATAAGAGATTATTTGTAAACACACTCTTGTCATAAACCTGCTCCTTATTTGTTCGCAAGCAGAAACCCTGAAAGTGCATTATCTGAAGGAATCCTATTTTTGAGCAGATATATGCAGCATATTGTAAATAATCAAGTTATAAAGAGTGGCAATTTCGGTTTCTTTACAATACTTAGAACAATGTAACAAACAGTCCTTTTCTTGATTATTTTACACCAGAATATTTCTTGATTCAGGGAACGAAAACAGACATTTGCACTTTATAACGAGGATAAAGATACTTTTCTAAAGGCAGATATACTTATTTTTACGAAAAATGCTTTTATAAAATGAAAACCACCAAACAATAAAAGGCCATTACACTCATTTTTCTTGTAATAAACAAAGGTCGATGTTGAGTGCTCCAGTTTCTTAATGTTCTGGAAATTTCAATACTCATTCTTTCTTAAGAGTTTCTTAATTATGATGTCATGAATGATGTTATGAAATGTTTGTGACCTTTTTTATCACGTCAAGAGATTCGCTTCCGTTTTAATGCTGTATTTAGATGTGGGAAGTATACTTTTATCCCTTGTATCTTAAGTTCTAGGCCAACAGGGCAATCATCTTCTTGGATTTTACAAAATTTCGTTGTTTTCAGTTTTATCACGATTTAACAGCTTTTTAATTTCTTTGCTTCGAGTACTTAAGTTTCTTAATTCTCTCTGACTGTCCAGTACTCGTTTCTTATAGCATAGCCAGTCTCTTATAAAAGGATGAGTGTAGTTGATTCAGCTCTCCTTCATTCACTCTATACAACAGACACCTCTGAACAAAGGACAGATATTTTTGTCCCAAATGGTCAAAGCACTGTTAAAAGAACCTCTAGGCAACTGTACGACTTAACTATGAGCAGATACAGTGGAGCCTAAATGGACACCGTTTGCGCCAGTTTAATTGTCCGCTGTGGGAATAAGAGTTATATGTTACGATACGAATAAATATCTACACACGAAATAAACCCTTCAGCATCTAGTAATAACTATATACAATTTAATAAAAACAAAGGTAAAATCAAAGGCAAGATTTTAAGTAAATTCTTAATATTACTTCTCTTCCAGGGGGTCGTATTTTGAAGTTAAGGTATTTGATCGGTCAGTATGTTTGCTTCCAGTTATTTTTAAAGGCTATCAAGAGTTGAGCTTTCTCGTATAGCAACAGACGTGTCATTCCATATTTTTAGAGCCGAGTATTTACAGCGAGGTGTGCGTTACATGGAGGCTCCTCTGTATTTATGCAGGCTCCTCTGTATTTCTGAGCCTGCTTATGAATTAATTGAAAATTCCAAGATTAGAAAAGTTTCTATTCTTTTGTCAAGTAGTAAAGATCTTTAAAGCAATAAAAATGTGAAGATTATTCATAACAACTATATTTGATTTGTTTTCAACAGTTTACATGTTCGCCATAGCAAATTTCTAAAGTCATAAACAACTGAAAAGCTACGCAAAGTTTTATTAATCAAGAGGTTCCGTTTCGATGAAAAATCAATAATTAGAATCAACAAAAAATAAATTTGTTGAAAAAACGAAAGAAAAAACACAATGAATGCTTTGCTTTTTTTATTATTGCCATTAAAAGTCGAGACATATTTGTTACATAATGCAAAACACTAAAACTAAGTTTAAAAGCTATCGATCTTCAGTCGCCAACAAGTACAATATTTACAGAAAAAATACAATTTTTGGTCGCAGTTTTATTACATTCTGAATACTTGTTTATAAATGAATTATGTCTAAGAAGCAAATGTGTGACGTCACAAATATGATTTGCTACTGACTAGCATCTTAATTGACAACTCTTGCGATGACTAAATTTTTATTTTCTTGATCAAAGATGCCTCCTACCTGAAATATCGTGATTATAAGCATAAGATGCTACTATACACAATAGAAACGAATAAAATACATACAAAAAACTCGCCTATTCTTGAACCATATAACAATAAATCTTAAATCAGGTGCTGAGGGATGTATAAAGGTGATATTTTGAATCATAAATATGATTTATCACATTGCATCATGTTTAAGTAGCTCGCTTGTAAAAAGTGCAGAAAATAAGAATAGCAAACAGATGTTAAGAATACAGGTTTATATTTTCCTTCCTGTGTTTTCTTGCTTAACATGTTATCCTACAAAGCGGTACAAAATTTCATTGCAGCACCTTTGAGTGTTGATTGTATACTGATACTGATACTGAATGTAGACTAACATACAAGGTTCAAACTAACATGGCCCAAGTATTTGCAATAAACAGAGCTAGGTTTAAGAGTGTCTAATTGCTTTCTTTGCATGGAAGGAATAAGTATTTCAATTTCAAAGACCTATGAATTTATGGAGATTACAATTTAATATTGCAGGTTTCAGTCAACAAATTCATGGGTATTCCTGAATACGAGTCATTCAAGATATAATAATCCTAGGAAGCTAAGTCTTACAGAAATTTAATAAATCAATTTATGACTACGATAAACGTATAAATCTAAAACCATGAGATTAAACATTCTGGTGAGATTAAACTAAATACACCTGCACAGAGACCTTTCGAAAATGTTTCAATCAAGTATAATCCCAACATTGACGATGAAAGCTATGTCTACATACATTCAAAAACTAAGTTGAAATTCCAAACAGCGGACAGTTCTTTAAAGGGAATAACTAATCTGAAAATATCTAATTGAAAATGCTATCATTTATGTCTCAAGACACGAAAATGTCACCATAGCGAACGTCTTACAAAATATTTACTGGTTAAACTGGACATTCAAAACAAATTAAAATAACTAATCTAGCAACCTTTGGTACCTTTGGTTTTCAAAGTACTAAATCGAATACATTAGCACATATGTGCGTGGTATGTACGGTGAAAAAGCTTATCTAAGAGGAAGCGTCCTCTCTCCAAAGCCTGTTTTAATTTTGATTAAACTGAAATTCCTTTCAAGGTTCTTGAAATATGTCTATCATAGATTCCTTAACGGATGATGTCATAAAAACGTTTTTCAGAATTTTTAGATTAGATCACATAACCTGAAAGAGAATCGTGAAATATCTCTTAAAGTTACAAAATCACTTAGATTTGTTGCACTTTCCTCCACAGAGGTTATTGGGGAGGGTGATGGGGAAGTAACACGAATAAAGGGAACTGCGGAAGAACAGGAAAATAGCCTCTGTGGAGGAGAGTAGATATGTTGTGAAATGACAAGATTTTCCCCCATTAAATCACTGTAATGATAGTCGCTGTTGTAAACCTCATGAGCCAAACTAATTTACCAAACTTCAACTATTTTATTGGTTACACCTCACCCAATTTTCAATATATCTAGCTGATTTCGCACTTTCAGAATTACTCATAGTGTCCTTTTTGGCTTTGTGGTCAACATAAAAAAGATTCTAAAAATAGTGTTTTGTGACTTCACTCTTAAGAACTCTTCTTTTTAATGTAAACAAACAAGAAAGAAGTTTGACTATGGTATGAAATGCCTCTGGGCAGGGAATCGGAACTAAGAAGATTAATTTGGAGCAGAATCAAGCTACAGATATTAAGTATGCCGCAAAAGTGACCCATGCTAGACTACCTGCTGAACATGATTGCCAAAGTCCCATATGCGGACAGTTCCATCAGCTGAGCCAGACACAATCCTTCTCTTAGAGGCCTGAAAATAATAATTAGTCGTTTGCTGAGCTTCGTAAAGTATGAAGTGAGCTTCGTAAGGTGGTTTGAGGAACACTAAAACGATATTGTATTTCGAGATTGATAAAAAACAATAAAAGGCTGGAAAGGGTACAGAAGGTTATTACAATAGAGAACCCAGAGAGATGTCATGGAAATTTTCTTTTCCCGAAATCCGGGACTGAGATTGTTGAGAAAAAGAGCTTTGACTTTTTACTAGAAATTTGATGAAATCATTTCTGGACTGTGCTACAAGCAAGTAGGGTTTACAAATAAAAAACTTTGTATAAAAATTTTCCGTCCTGTTCTTTGTAAACCTTATTCTAACGCTTAATACTCTGAGGAGTGTCAAAAAGCTTTAAGTATACTGTAAAATATTTGCTTTTTTAAAAGCCATTTTCAAATATAACAACATAAAATATAATTTACATATAAAGCTTCGCTTGAGTAGTTAAACAGCAAATTGTTATCAATAAAGGAACCCATCCAAAATGATCATTTTTGAGGTAGAAATAATCAAACAAAAGAACTTACGCTTTCTATAATAAATATGTCACATGGACACAATAGCATAGAACAAAAAATTATGACAGTGGCTTGCTATAGAAAGATACAGTCAAACATTTACCTGTACACAAAGAACCACGTTTTTATGGCCAGTTAAAGAGCGAAGACAACAGCAAGTCGACAAATCCCATTCTTTCACCAACTGGTCACTGCGAGTAAAGATAATCAATATTGGAGTAAAATGTTTAGAGGTTTCCCATTTTATGATTAAAAACCGGTAAAATTATTTATGCTATTTTGGATCCCAGTAAAATAATGAAAAGGTTTTTTCTGTAAGATCTACAATAATGTAATTAATCTTTTTTCGGTACAGAATTAAGGAATGGCTTTGAAAAAGCAAACATTTTGAGTCATACTAAAGTAGTTCGCCTGACACTCTTCCGAGTATAAAACGTCAGAAAAAAGATCTAAAACTCTACGCTAGGAAATATATATACCCAGTTGTGGATCGGAATAGGCCAATCAGAAACGCGAGCACATCCACAACTGGGTATATATTTCCTAGCTTAGAGTTTTCGATCTATGTTCTGACGTTTAATACTCTGTAGAGTGTGCTGAGACGAGAAGCTTTAGAAGACTCAAATTTTTGCTTTTTTCACAGCCACTAATATGTAATTATTATTAACTTGAAAACTTGAAGTTACTTAAGTGAAACAAAATAATAAAAGAAAATGAAACAGATTAAAGGTGGACTATGTCACTAAAGCAGTGAAAAGGGGACCGCTAAATGAAGTGTAAAAATTCAGCGAGCATTTGTAAAACGAGAGTTGAATGTGAATAGGTCAACTAGAAAAAGACTGAGAGAGATAGAAAAAGAAAAATTGGGGTAGAAGTTTCACAACATCCTTAAAAGTAATGGGTCACATTTAACAACCTATAATCTAGATTTTCATTGGCTGCAGTGGACAGACCACGTGCCTAATTAAAACTCTAATGAAAATGCTTACACAATTACATTGCTCAGGATTAAGACGACAGTAAAAAGGGGGGTTGTGTGAGAAAACTAGATTACGTACCCTCCAGCAGTCACAAAGCGTGCTCCAGAAAAAGACACTGAATGGAGTGGACCGTTATGGGCTAGTATAATTGCCTCACATTTTCCAGTTTTGATGTCCCAAAATAGCAGATTCCCATCTTGGGCACCGCCAGCAACAAGATCTCCACAACACTGCAAGAACAATAAACATATTTTATGGTATTTCGCTGCCATGTCAGGATTTCTTTTCGTGTTTAATTTTCTTCCAAAAACCTTTAGGAAGACGTATTTTTTACAAGAATACATCAATTCAAAGCTAGAAGACAGGCCTCAATTTTCTAGTAACCAACTCGACTTAGGAAGCGGATTATCCATTAAAGTGACAGTCATTGGCAAAAAACGTAAATACTAATGGACAACTTCTCCATGTCAGAATAACTCCCGTGTGGTCTAGTGGTTAGGATTCGGCGCTCTCACCGCCGCGGCCGGGGTTCGATTCCCCGCACGGGAGAAATTTTTCTTCCCCATTCTAAAGTTTTGTTCAGTTTTCTTTTTGTTATTCTGTACCATATCCAGAAAAGGGGTTCCTTTCCAGAATATAATAACATAATTTACGAAAAGAGAGTAGTAACAATAAACACAAAAACGGTGAAAAGGGCGATAATTATTCCTTATAAAGAACCTTTTTAATTTTTGCAATAATGTTCTCCTATTTTTCTTAAAATTATTCTTAATTTCAACTAAAAATGGTTTCTAAGACAACAAAACAGTTTTGATAAAATCTTCTCTGTCTTGTAAACATATGAGAAATTTTTCAAATTACATATTGTTTTTTCTTTGAAGTTTCCATCTGAGACGGGCATTTTCTTACGTTATTTTTATTTTTGTGCCAAATCCAGGATCGGTAATCTTATAAAGAGGCGTTCTTATAAAAATATAGTTGAAGAAAGGAAGTAGATTGTTTATTAGAAACTTCTTTGCCTTGGAATCACGAACAAAAAATCCAAAAAATGTTTCTACTTAAGACGATTTTGGTGTAATCTTATGAAACCAAGTTTTAAATTTCTGAAATTAAAAAAATTGCATCTAAAGTTTTTATCACTTCTATGTCCCCCCCCCCCACTTTCCTCAACGTTCCACGGTACATGAACATTACTCGAAACCAGCCGGGATTTTTGAAGATGCTTTGGTAGACCGAAATAACAGAGTTAAGATTCCTGACTCTATGATCGAAATACGTATAGAATTTATTGAAGCTGCCTTGTACCTTGACAGTAAGAATGACTTCTTTGCTTCCATGAAATGATCTCAAACACGAACCACTAGCAACATCCCAGTGTCGAACAGTCCTAGACGTAAGAAAGAGTATAAAATCAATTACAAAAACCTACGCACTAGGGTAGGTGTGATGGAAAATTATGAGGGGACTGGCAGCAGACGACCTTTCTAGCCTTCCTTTCCAACTAAAACAATAAGCCGTCTCTTTCTGATCAGTACTTCAGGTCCCCAATAACCAGTCACTTTCATATCTCCCCAGCATCTCCCCTTGCTCATATGCTTACTAACTTCTCTTATCTATAATATACTAACAGATAAAAAAGAAAGACCCTTTTTCAATATAGAGAGAGTCACAAATACTGTATAAAAAGCTGCAAAATTCAATACTAGATAGAAATATAATATTTTTCTAGATAAAAATTGAATATTTTTTTAGATAAATAGGATAATTTTTTAGATAAAAAATATGATATTTTTCTAATGAAATTAATTGAACAATTATCGAGATTTTTGTTGTAAAATAAGGAATCTTAAGAAAGACAACATAATTACGTACCAGTCTGTTGATCCGCTCAATGCTGTGTTGTTTTCTAACAAGCAAACTGACGTCACACAACCTGAAACAAAATTGCAAATTATATCAACAGTCGAAGTCTTATAGTTCAATTCTTGAATTTCTTCAGTTAGATAAATGAACCAAATAACTGCATAGTTATATATTTGGAAAATACGGCTTTAATTCAGGTTTAAGAGCGTCATAAGTTAAAAAGAACGGAGGAAAAGTTATCAAATGTTTTAGCGATAGAACCAAATGCAATGTTGCAGCAACAATATTACAAGATATTAAGAAAACAATATTCAGCAGCTTCTGCGAATGGTGCAATCCTGTGCCCATGAAGATCATGTTAAGGTTAGATTCAAGTTGGTTTTGGAAACATTTGCAATCTTTCAAACATTTGCAACATTTGCAAACCATACCAAAAACGCTTAGGTACTGCTCTATACTCTTACAATTTCTTTATATGCAAAAGCGTAGGTAGAGCGGGGTGTAAGGGGTGGAACCCCCTAATTCTTCATAAATTTGGTCGGTAAACCTTCTTTTGGTCCAAAAATCCTTAGCTGGTTGGTAGAATTGCCTATCTGTAGGTGAAATAACAGCTAAAGTGCTCTTTATCTAATTCTTCGTCGGTTCATTATACTGTTTTCGACACCCCCACCCACCCTCTAGTTTGGAAGGTTAAGCTATGCCACTGCCTCTGAGATCTGAAAAGAATTTCAAAGACAAAAATAAATAAACTTATAAATATATGATTCGGTTTTAAAAAATATTTATTTACCTTGGTGTCCATACAATGTTGAAACGCAAGACCAAGTTATTTTGTCCCACACCTTGATTGTCTTGTCATGGGAACCAGATACTCTGAGGTGGATAATATTTCTATTAGCATTACGTATGGCTTGCATCAACAGCCAATCAATTTATTTGAACAACAAAACGAAAGCTTCTTTGTAATAGCGATGGTTGGTGATACCAGTTAAAATATATACAAATCATTGTTGGCTGCACAAAATTAAAAAATAGCTTATCTTGATTCAAAACTTGGCATATACTTTCCTATCTTTAGAATTTTTGTTTCATGCATTGGATAGTATCAGACGAAAAGCTTCATTATGTATCATGATGTTTGCGTTTCATAAAGCTGTTCTTGAAGTATTTACCAACAAGGCATATATAGTGAAATAACAGAAAAGTAATACTGTGATAACAATCAAGTCTCCAACATATCAAGGCTGTTTGTGCATCAATTTGAGCGCTGGTAAATATTTTTGCGAAAAAAATATAGTAATTTAGCAACATTGGCTTAGTAGCTACTTGGCTTGGTTTCGATGCATGGATTGGTTAATTTATTCACGAAATTCAAGAAGAGTAATTTTCTGCACTTCCAAGCATCTGCTTATTTGTAGCTTCGATATTTGTAGAAACTACATTTGCAACGACAGAGTATCAAGCAGGGCCTCCGACGAAAGGGGGGCCAGGGGGGCCATGGCCCCCTCACTTTTTGCAAAACAATAGAGTTTTTTAAAAAAACTTTTGTTATGATTGTTACACTTTCTCTTGGCCCCTCCATTTTCCAACCTGCGTCGGAGCCCATGTCAAGACGGAATGACAAGGAAAGAGAAGGCTTTGAAATCGCAAAATAATACATAACGATTGTCAAGAAACTGCCGTAGCATAAATCTATCAGGTTTAGTTTGCAATACAAGAAATGAAACTTGACTTAGATTATGATAAATTATGACTCACAATATATCTTCATTAGTATCCAAGCATGAAACGCAGTCTTTATGTCCCACCAGTGTCTTGATTCGTCTAAACTTAACAGCACTCCAAACCTTAAAAGACAGAAGACACAAAACTTACAACATAAAATTGAACAATGGAAAAGGACGTTTTAAAGAAACAAGTTTGAAGAAGGCCGAGAAAGAAATTCGAATGACAGAACAAGTAGATCCACAACTTGAGAAGAGTATAGAATGTTCAAATCACGAAGCGCGAAAATTATAGCTACCAAATAACAGATCATAGTGATTCTGTTAATAGTACCATAAGTATTCTCAAATCCGGTAGAAACTGAACAAATCAAGAAGACATCAAATGAAGTCGGAAATTATCATAGATTTAAGTCATGTTAGTTGTCTACTTACAAAGATTGTCGTGTCCCAAGAGGCACTTATGATGTGGTCTTTATCGAGACAAATTGCACGAACGCCACCCTATAATGATATGCAAGAATTTGACAACTTTTTCGCAGTCATCTATTTTTTGATTGGAAACTCTTCATAAACTGCTCCACATATTGATTCAGTATAGGTACAAAATGGACATGCGATATCTTATGGGTCAATGTGTGCCTTTTAAGAATAGATCATATTCTTGTCAGGGAAGAAACCAATGAAAACATTACAATTATTGGTCATTGTAACCTAGTGCTTACAGTGCAAAGGTTTTCGTGGTTTGAAAAAGTGCAAAATCATAAGGACACCGGACACGATTGGCTTTAACTATACAGAGCTTTCAAAATCATCTATTTTAAAATACCATACCATACCTTGTGACCTTTCAGCTTTCGAACAATACGGCCACTTCTTACATCCCAAACACTAAAAGATTTGAATAATCAATGCCATCAGAAAATTTATTTAAATGTGACATAAAAAGTTCTGAGACTAAAACTGAAACAAATTGTCTTTGTTTCAGGTTCTTGCAAACCTTTTTTTAAATAGCAAGAGGTAACCTTTCAGCATTAAAACATTGATAAATTAACAAACTCTTCGAAGTTTCGCAAGACATACCGAATGGTTCTATCAGCAGAGCCACTTATAACCCTCTTTTTGTCAAAGCAAACGCTTGATACAGCATCGATGTGCCCCTGGAACAGAAATCAGATATTGTAGGTACAAGATGTACATAAACATATGAATACAATAGGCCTCAAAATGCCCTGGGACAACAACAGAAAAACTTTCAGTAAGGAACGGGATGTTTTAATCCTATAGTTGTTACAGGGATATTTGCAGTCCCAATTGCGAATGTTGTTTAGTATTGGCAGTAATGTTAAGTGATGGGTGCAACGGCTTTATGCTCAATGTTTGAATAAAATGACAGACTATTCAATAAGACACTGATATTATCACATCCCTGTATTGAGCTGCATCCAATAGCTGCGAGAGATATTTGTGGTCCTGCTTGAAAAAGCTGGTGTTGTATTGGCAGCAGGGCTACGGAGAGGATTGATTATTGCTCGTGTTTACTGATTGGCCTATTTCGATCCACAACTGGGTATATATATTTCCTAGCGTAGAGTTTTGATCTATGTTCTGACGTTTTAAACTCTGAAGAGTGTCAGACGAAAAGCTTTAGTTTACTAAATTTTTGCTTCTTTCAGAGCAATTTTCAAGTTTTGTACCACCAACCAAAAGATTGTTTGAAAAAATATAAATGCTTTTTTAGATTTTTGTCGGGAAATCTAAGTTTCTCACCCCTGCTGTGAATTTTCCTATCTACGCTATTGTCTGATGGCTATTACTTCTGTTTGCTGTTTGATATAATTTGAGCATAACTGATATCTTCACACCATAATGCACAAAAATGAAATTTGTTAGAAATTTCAAAAAGTCTTTGAATATGGAAAACGTTTAATTTGCTAACTAAATTCGATCATAACCGACACACTGTTACAAATAGATGCGCATGCCATAGGGTATATCTGTATGACATACATATCGTTGTATGTTGCCATGTTACAATCATATTTTTGGTAACATTCAGAAGATTTTCAACTTATTTAGCCCAACCCCACAAAGATGAAAAATTTCGAACAAAATATCTTCATCATTCGGGCATTCAAAGACTCAAATTGCTTCTACCTATTAATGACAGTTTGTGGTAATGGAGAGGCTGGATTATTACTTATAAAAAAATTCCAATTGAGTTATTATTAATGGGCCCCTATAGCAAAGGGCCCCCGGGTCAGTGATCCCCCTGGCCCCCCTCTCCTCAGCACTGATTGGCAGTGACATTGAGTTCTTGACAAGTGAAGCCAATAATTCAAATCATAAACGCTTGAGAGAAAAAGTGTGCTGGATGTCAAACAGAAAAAGATACGACCAAATTAAACATAGCACATGATCTAAAATGTTCCATTTTAATCACTTGTGGTGTGGATTAAAATGACATCGCAGCCAAGTAGAAGTTGGCAGTGCAAGATGTTTTGTCTTTACTAAATAGCATTTTGAAACAGATTTGGGTTATACCTGCAACTTTCTGACTCGCTTAAGAGATCCGATCCCTTCCAAGTTTACAAATTTATATGGCATATCATCTGCAGACATAACGGCATCAAGCTAAAACGTAACAGACAGCATTTAACAGGATCAGCTAATAATTTAGTCAAGGTATTATACATATAGCTTTGTACAGAGTGCTGTAAGACCAGTGGTGGCGCCAGGGGAGGGCTAGGGAGGGCTAGGGAGGGCTACAGCCCCTCCGTCGGAAGCATCTAGCCCCCCTAACGGAGGAAATTTTGGGTTATTGTCGGAGCAAATTTGGCAAAGTAACGTACAAATATTGCATATTTTAGTCATTTTAGCCCCCTTGTCGGAAACTTAAACCCCTCTGTCGGAAGATTTCTGGCGCCACCTCTGTGTAAGACGCTGCAAAATTAGATAACTTCTTCTTTAAAGCAAGTCCATAGAACCATGATAGAAGTTGAAAGGTAGTTGGGTCGCATCTCAATGTAGCTCAATTAAGAAAATAATACACAAATCAATCAATCATATAAAAACATACTATTTTGTTATGTGCCTGCATTGATACATCTGGTCTTATATCTAAGGCTGTGTCCTCTTCATCATCACTGTTCTCTCTTTTGGCTTGCGAAGATAACTGTTGCATTGTGTCCTCAATCAAAGTTAGATTGCCATTCAAATACTCTGACATTCCTGATACAGAACTTGCTTCTTCCGAACTCTCAGCGTCGCTTTTTACCTCGCTTTTTACTTCATTTTGGTCTACAACACTGGCAGTGTCAGCCTCATCATCAGTGCTTTCTACAAAGATTGATTGACTTAAAAAATTGGCGTTTGCTTCGGATTGTACTGCCTGAGAAAGCTTTCTATACATCCGGGAAAAAAACCCTTTAAGTGACTTTAATTCCCAGTTGCTTAAGTCCAGCTAAGAACTGACTAAAGGAGGTCAGCAGCAAAACAAATAAATATTGAAGAAAACAAATCTGTGCATAGATGATCAAAAACTGCCTGCTGCAAAGAAAATATCAGTCAGGTTTTAAAGAAATCGAAAAATCTCGTTTTTTCGTTTCCTTGAAGTGATATGGTAATAGTAATATGTTATGGTAATAGGTAATGTAACATGATATTCGGTATAGTGATCGTACATACAAAAAACTGTGTGGCCCCACCTTCAATGGTATACGATTTGTCGTTGTCTTCAACTGCATCATTGAATTCATCGTCTTCAGATTCAGATTCTTCGGATTCTGCAAGCAAAATAAATTTACAAAATGACAAGCGACAGGAGCCACATGCCAGCCATGTCAACGACTACCCTAAGTGCCAGAGCATTTAAGAATCTCTTTCATTGAGGCCATGGCACCCAGGGTAGTCAATGGCTAACTGCCTTGAGCAAGTTGCCAAGAAACAAATATATTACTTTGCGACAGTGCCGACCTTAAGTAAATGAAACGAACGAGTGAAGCCCGGTATGCCGGGGCGAAATATTAGTATATTCCTTAAATTTAATTTATTTTGAAAATTTTATCTTGTGACATTGGATTCTCGTCGTCGTATTGCTTTGCTCCTGAATATCTTTCGTATTATTCTCTTATTTATCTATAACGGAATATTGATATTCGTGACCTTTTATCAGTTAGTCTGTAAGATCAATTTGAGAATGTTTTGTTCCATTCTCAATGATAGTCAGAGCATTCCTGAGAGTCAACTTCTCAGGAAGGGCCTTCTTGAAAGTTGACTTAGCAAACTATAAACAATGCTTGGTAAAAACTAACTTCTACTTACCATCTGATGTTATTTCTGTTTTTCTTTGTTGCAGTCTTAGTAAGAGATCTCTGTACATAATTTTCCAGTCTATAGAACTACCTTTTGCAACAGACTCCACTTTTTGAGTGAAACCTGGTAAACCATTGTGCTGGCCTTCAGGCAAAAAGAAATGGAGCATAAATTCTCAACAAATCAAAATATTCTAAGTACAGAAAACATTAACTTAATAAAAATAACAACATACCGTATGATACATTTCAGGTATCTTACTTCACTCTGTACCATTTTAGGATTTACTTAAACTCATACAGCTACCCCTAATGACTTGCTACAATGGCCCTATAATTTTGAATTTGACTACAATGCACAAACATCTTGAAAGAAAATAATGGTGTTATCATATCCTGGGATAATGACCCTTCCGTTATTAGAGAGTCTAAATTAGAGAATTTGATGAAAATAAAAAACAAATCAAAAGAGCATACTTTTGGCATAGCCAAACATTTACCTATAGAACAAAAGGCAACACGGAAAATTAGATTATTTTACTTCAGTTCTCTGGTTTTATACTGACCAATTATTTGACACTTGTTCCGCCACAAATCTTGATCATTGGCCAATGAATACCAATGTTTACAAACCTTCAAAGATAAACACAATGCAAAAAAGTTGACAACCCAAGGATTTATATTTATATATGTACAATGCTAGTTAAATTACCGAAGACAAACACATAAGAATTATTCAAAGTTTAATGAGCATACCTAAAGGGGCATTAAAAATATAAAAGATTGGTGTATGTATTCAAAACTTTTTGGAAAATTTTTTTGTGATAGATGGTTAGCTGCTAACCTTAGAATAATATTTTAGCCAAGATTCATATGCATTAAGGAAAGGATTTTCAAACATAAGGATACAATTTTTGCATTAAAATGGAACAAGCAATAAATTGTCAAACTTACAGATCCTACAGCCAAAAGGTCTTCTGCTGCCAAATTTCCAAAAATTTTCAAGAGTAGCTTATCAGACAAGCAATTTATATCATCCCGCTCTTTTAACCTGCACAAATTGGAAAATATTTAGAGAATGTGAACATGTCAATATTAAGTACAACATAGCATGCTTATGATAAAAGTTTTGAAAGTTTTCCATATAGTCACTCCAATTAGTCATACTCCCCAGCTATTACCACAATATTGCCAATTCCCCAATTTAGCTCTGGTCTGCAAACGCTAAGCAAACTCTTCTTACAGTCACTCTGTTTTTATCACACTCTGTTTACAGTTACAATTTTTTTCCTTTCCGGAAAACAGAACACTCTTCAAACAGGCACATCTCGTTACATCCAAGCAATAAATTTCATATATCGACAAGCATTTTTAGCAACAAATTATAATTTTTCTATCGTTGCATTTCTCTGTTTGCGTTTTCCTCAACTTTTGATTATTTCTCTACTGTAGACTGTAAGAATTCTTTCCTTACTGTAGACTGAAGTTTTGTTTCAATGTTATTATGCACAATATTAGAAAAAAGTTTCCTTTCACACAGTTGTCTTAATATCATTTTGCTTCATTCTCTTGGGTTTTCTTCCGTTAAGGGTCTTTGAACAGGAAATAAATCCCTCAGTAATTTTCAAAACTGTACTTCAACAATCTTCAAAACAATACAAAAGCAATCTTGCTATTGGCATTTTGCATGTTTAGCCCTCCCCTCCCCCCTAAACATGTAATATGTGCAATAGTCTTTAGCATTGAAGTTGTTTTTCAAAAAGGAGGTTAAACAACATTGAATATTATTGTTTAAATGCTTGGAACAATTCTTTTTGCTAATATACGACCACAACAACTTGTTTCCTGCCTTTTATTTAGCTTTTTAGGTAACTCTGCTAAATTTCACACGCCGTTTATAGTTTGCTGGAAAACATTTAGTGTGACTATAAGCAAAGTTGATGGTTTATTCAAACTTTCAGTTATGCCATCTTTCAGTTAGCTGTTTTGTTACATATTGACAAAAGCCATTCCATACCTCTGGAGAACACACTGGCTAAAATATTGCAGTTCATCCTCTTCACAGCATGATAAAATCTGTAAAAGACAATCTCCTTGCTCAGCATCACTCCAATTGCCAAACCACTAGGGGAAAAAAATTCAAGTTGAAAATATAGCTCTATATACATACAAAAAAAACACAAGAGTACAGGCTAAATGCTATCACTTTGTGTACCAAGTAAAGGCACCAAATAAAGGGAGGATGAAGATAATCGGGGGAGTGGAAATGTGGCTTTATCAGCCTGTTCCAAAAGCAATTTTTTTTCAACAATGAACCAGCAAAAATACACTTTAATCAATGTTTCTTTGATATCATGAGACAGTCCAAGAGTTTACCTCATATATAACTGTAAGTCTTTTTTTGAAGTTCCAGAGTAATTTTTTCCCACTTGGAGCCAGAAAATCATTTTGAGGTGCTGAAGATGGCCACCATTTTCTATTCTTGAAGGCTTTTGATGTGTAAAAAGTACTATTTATCCTAACAATTGATTTGGGAGTGCAGAGTTTTCCAAGTTCATCTGATTTTGTAAGAAGTATTTTGGGGAAGAATGATTCAGATGGTGCATATTTTAGTGAACAAGAATCCTGGTGTTTGTGGCTCAATTGAGCCAAGTTCAATTGCTGGTTAGCAGATGTAAATTGTGCTTTCGTTTCAATAGCTGGAAAAAAGGAACTATGTGAAAAATCCTCTCGTTCGTTGGTAAAATCGTTGTAATACTGTTCGGAGTTGGAAAACCCTAATGTATGTAAACGTTGCTCGTTCAGGACTTTGTAACTCGTGTTACTTTGCACGGGAGAAACATTATTTGGAGAAATGGTTGAAATAGAGTTTGGTTTGGAGTAATTGCCATTTTTAGAGTATAAAAGACTCTTCTTTTTGACGAAGGACGGATTCAGAGCCAATGCATTCCCGTGGCGTATTGGCTCAACCACAGTCCCCAGCGTTCTTACAAGTGACTTAGAGCACTTTTCTGTAAGTCCACAAATGATAATTTTCCGCTGCCAAGATAGCCATTGCTCAAAATTATCTGAAATTTCCTTGAACAAAATTCGGCATTCGGGTTTGGAAACAAAATATTTTCGGTAGTAGCTTAGGCCTTCCTTGTCACATTCACTGGCAGTAGACTGCTGCTTTTCGTCGTCCTTTTTCTTTTTCTTCCCTGTTTTTTTCCCTTTTTTCTTTGCCTTATTTCCAAATTTTAGATCTGAAGCAATCGAATCCGTACTTTTTGTCCTGTGCAACAAATCCATTCCTCATAGATCACGAAACACATGGTTCGGCCGCCATAACATTTCCTTCCTGATCTTTTTTGCTTGCCCTTTTGAAATTTTGTTGTCACAGTCACACCACATAACAACAAATTGAAGCCTAGCCTCGGTATGGCTATCGTTGCTAACATCGGCACAGAAAAGGGGAAGGGGCAAAAACCTCAAACCCCTTCAGAATATTGGAAAACGTCCTTTTTTGAAAAAGTGTTTGAAAGAATGAATTTCATCTTTACCTGCCAAAGGTTGGTTTGTCATCAAACACGATAATATGTAGCTTTTCGTGCCTGGCTCTCGTTATTTCAAACTGACTATTTACTTAGAAATTCCCCTCGTATTTTACATTAAAAGTAAAAAATAGGATGCTAATATATTCGAACAGTTGGATGGTCCAAACGTTTTGTTGGTGCGAAATTTTTACCGTCTGAAAATATTATTGCCTTGTCTCTATGGAATCCTGTCGCACTTTCTCATGACCCAGTCTCAAACGATACGTGCCAATGCCATCTTAGCCATCATCAGCTGCCTGTTCCTTATAATACAATACAGCATCATAAGCTTTCGTGTGACAAGATACAACGTAGTTCTACAAAGAAGACGTCAAAATCGTTCAATTCTGGTGCATTCGTTTCTGGTTACAATGGCTTTCTTCATTAGCTTTGCGATGTTCGCCATAACAGAAATGGTAAGCCAGACAACGACTTTGACTCTTCATATCATCATTGGAGACTTATTGGTGGCGACCAACCCACTCCTCGATACTCTAGTTTACTTCACAATTAATCTTTCTAGAAATAACAGACGATAAACGACTTCCAAAAAGACGATTATCTTTGCAGAACAATTTGCTTCAATAAAAACAGCATGCCCATGTACTTGGCAGCAAAAGAAGAAGAGAAAAATAGGGTAAAGAAGTAGAGAATTAAAGAGGCTAATTCACGAGATCGTCTTCTACAAGTATGAGAGTCACTTTGACTTTGAGTTTGCAGAAAAGTTTGCAGTTATTTATGCTTTAAGTTACAAGGAATTATAATAGAGGCTGAAACAAAGTATTTGATGCCTAATTACAAGCATTTGTTTATTTCCTTCCAATCCCAAGCTAACTGATCAAAATGAAGGGTTTTCTTCACTGTTCATTCTTTTAATGTCTGTTCAACATAGAAGCATTACCTTAATTTTTCCAAATTTGTGACGTCAGAAAAAGGTTTAGAAAACGATTCAGGAGGTCTATCTGCAATCGAATAGATTGCCAAAATTACCGACCTATGAAGAAAATAAATCTATTCTCTACCATTCTAATGCGGTTCTTGAAAAGAAGAGAAGCAGTAAACTTCATTTTAAGGGACGCACTTGATTTGATTTTTATATATTTATACAGGGTAATACATTCAGTAATGAAAAGATAATAATTGATTTACAATGTGCCCTGTCTAAAAACTTAACAAAGATAAACGAAAATTGATAAGCAAGATATTCTGGTTAGAAAAGAAAAAAAAGAAAAGTTTGATGCTGTACAAGAACTTACACACCCTTTGATTTTTCAAAGATTGTTTCAGCAAATTGTTGAAAGTATCCATTGAAGGGGCATTTTTTATTTCAGTGCTTAGTTATACCTCAATATGAGGAACTACGTTGCCCGTTAGAGGTTGCAAAGCGAGGTACTCTAAGGCTACACTCGGATACTAAACTGAAGTACTAAACTGAAGTACTATTTTTAACAGAACAATTAAAAAAAGTTAAACAGTTAAACTCCAGCATTGGGATAAATTTGGTCATACAACTTAAATATCATCACTGGTTGGGAGACATCACAACTCGATAGATTTTGAATCTCGTATTAAAACAATCCGAGAGAGTTGCGATGTGGTTTAGCTCTCTAGCAGGAAAAGAACTCTTTGATAAACTGCGCAAACAGCTCCTCCCCTTTCTATGCATTAAGAACAGTTACTTTCGTGAAATAAATATCCATTTATTGCCAATTTTGTTGTAGCGACTGTGCTTTCAAGGCGAGTAGCGACCATTCCTGTCAATTCATAATTGTACGTGCCAATCAAATAAAATCTAATTAACTCTTGTGTAAAAGTACAATTTCAATTCCAGAAGTAGAAACTATAATAACTGAAGGGACCTGGATTTTCTTAATGTCACCAAGGAGCAAAACTGCTTTGCATATGATCCACCCCAGTTTTCCCAGAAGTCGATTTTCTAATTTCTCGAAATCCGTTGAAAAACATTTTTGGGGGGGGGGGGGGGCGTCTTGGGCTGATCAGATCGATTTCGATTTTCGCACTGGCAAAAAAGCCGCCGTTACGAATTGTGCTGCTTGAGAAAGTTGCTTGTCCAAATATTTCAAAATAGATAAAAATACTAAAATACGGATTTTCCAAGAGTCTGGAGGGCGTGGTCGAGAAAATTTGTTTTTGTCCACCCCAATGTTTTCGAGCTGGCGACGCCACTGGGAGCATGTAACATCAAGCAAAAAATTTGAGTGCATGTCATAAAAATGTTGTATGCGTACAGGATGCCAGTTTGCTTCAGTAGTTGTGAAGCCTAATGAAAATAACTGGAAGCATCTGATCAACTTGGAAAATTCATAAAGGATTACTTAGTGGTTGGCTGTGTGAGAAGAACGAGCCTTGGGGTATAGTAAATGTTACGCCAATCGCTTCAAGGAGCATAAAAAGGATAGAAGTTAAGATAACTATAAAATAAAACTAGTATATTTTTGCTATCAAAAGGAACTGAGAAAAAATTAGGGCTTTGTTGTGAACTTCCCATCTGTTCGCAATTTAAGAGGTTGGAAGACTCCAATTGCTGACAACAATTAACTCAAACCTTCGAACACTTACACCCAAAATTGTGCTTAATCTGTACATGTACCATGTAACAAAAATGACTTTTTCGGTTCTTAAGAAATAAGATATCATGAAAAGGAAAGTTATAGATCAATAAGCTTACTGGCAGTCATATCCAAGTATTATGATGTACCAATATTTTGTAACAGCAGTTACTTCTTTATATTGTTGCCATGTTATCCCCGTTGCTACGGAGGATTCAGGAAAGCATACAATACTCTGCATGTTTTATTGAATTCTCCTCAAAATTGCACGAACAGCATTGATAATGAAAAAGGTAGCAGGGAGCATTATCATGCACTTTTGAAAAGCTTTTGACTGTTACAATGATGATCTGTTGGAGAGTCCTCAATCAAAATGACAACAACGGGTAAGAATATTAGAAAGATTTAGGAGCTTAAAAAAATTTAAAAAATAGGGGTTCCACAAGGCTCTGTCTTAGAGCCTCCTTCAGTGAAGACCTTGAAAAACATCTTTCTCTTTGCTAATTCTTCAAAACTGAGTACAATAATGCAGATGATACGTAATAATGCCACTGAAGAATTGTAAGCAATGAGAAGGCAATGAACCTGACTATCAATAACTTTCACAAAAATCTCAATCAAATAATGTAATTTGCAGCTGCTGATGACAGAATTTTCAAAACAACACATCACCTCAAACCAAGCTTCTGAAAAATTATTTTACACAGAAGTGCAGTAATAACACTTTGAGAAATAAAAAAGGGCTGCAATTGCCAACAAATATGAACATCATTAAGGCACACAGTAAGTGTTCATTACAGGGACCAATGTAAGCTTTTGATGCAATTTCAAGCCGTAAACTTTAAAACAACAAGAGAAACCTGGTTAATAATTGCTGCATGATGCTGAATTTGGAAACCTCTTGTTAAATGAGTCAAATTTTATATTTCTTAATGAAAGATCAGACAATGGTCAACATATGATTCATTTTTTATCCTATAAATTTTATTGAATATTATATTCCATATTAAATATCATTTAAATAATTTAATATTATTTATCCTATAAATTGCTATTAACCATAGTTACTAGTTTGCTACTTGACAAGAAGTGTATTTGAAAAACGGGTGTGAAGTTTATTTTCACAAATAAATTTAAAGTTTTGTTTGCAAATTTAATGTATTTGATTAATTCATTGAATATTAGTTGATGCCATAGTTTGCTTTTTAAGAAATTCATGCCTCATTGATGAATCTTCAAAAGGTTTCCTTGCCTTTCAACCATTCACTGCCATAAAATTCAAACACCATTAGTTGTAGGCTTTAGATCAGCCATTCTTAAACTCCGGCCCGCAACCAGATTTTATCTGGCCCACCAAATACTTTTACCTCAGAAAACTCTTCGGCTTATACTTTTAAAATGTTGAATTCAATAAAGTTTTATTATTTTTCTGCTCATATATCCTCTTTTTCTCTTCAGTTACTGATAATGTGTTCTGTTGACCAGTTATTGGTCTGAAAGGGCAGTATCGAATAGGCAAATGCTTCATTTGAATTTTTATACAATATGATTTCCAAAACTACCATCATAATTTCATTCAAGAAGTTATTGACTTCCTCACCATGATCTCTTACCCCACTATTTACGATCTCGGGCCCGAGGTCAGTTCATGCTTTTAGTGTATGTGGCAGCATTTTTGGACTGAGACACAAGCTAATGATACAAACTGTGTTTTATTTATTTCGCTTCTCCATCTCATTTTGCTTGAATTCAAGTGCTAAAGTCTGCTTTGCTAAGATAATTCTAAAAGTGTGCAAGACCCTTCCTTTCAAAGTCAACATTGAAATAGATAAATGCCTTGGATTTTCTCCCAATCCTGGCCATCGCTAGATTAACAAAATCTAACATTTTTCTTGCCACCAACCATAGTGGTGGCCTTTATTCAACACAAGTACAATCATTACATTCTGGCCCCTCTTGAAAATTTGTATGACCATCCTTTGATCTGATTTCCAAGGCATCAAGTCGACCTGACAACTACTGAAGTCCTAACCTGAAGTTATACGTAATTTTGTTCAAACCAGTTTTCGGTAGATATGCTATGCTACAGTTAGCCCCCTTTCCCCCAGAAAGTTTCCCTGGTTTCAGGCCTGTAAATCCCTCCAAGAGCTACCCAGCATTATATCCACCTTTCCAAAGCATATTTCATGAAAATAAGTACACAAAATATATTTTACAAATATGGAAACTAACATGATGTAATTTTCCTGCCTATCTACAGTTTAGCCTGGTAAGCATGAAATCTGAACTTCATTTTGAGCCAGCTTTTTTGACACAAGATACGTAGATGACAGCCCAGTAGCCCTCGAAAAAAATTCACATATTTTTCTGGCCTGGCACTCAAATTGCTTAAGAACCCCTGTTTTAGATCCTAGTGCTGAGAGACTGGCCCCAGAAAAGTGAGCCTCTAATGCAAAAAACCAAGATTATTTTATTAACTTTTTCCCTTTAAAAATCTAGTTTGGATATTTTTTTGTTCCAGTATTTAATGTCTAATCTTTATCACTAGAGTATTTGTTATCACAACAGGGTCTTTTACTGACATGCTCTTGCTAATAGGATGAAAATTATGTTATACTACTTCCAGCAAAGCTTATAAGCTTGAAAATTCTAACAGCTAACTTTTCATCAAAAGAAACAAGCTTGAATGATTCAGGGTTTAGATACAATTAAAAAACTGCTACATTTTCAGTTTTTTTCAGAATATTGATAACAAATGTGTACATTCTTAATGAAAACGTGATATCATATAGAAAATTCATAGTACAAAAATTTTAGAAAAATTTCACAAGAGATCAAAATTAATAGCTGAATACCCAAGAAGCAGAAAATCTCTTGACAAAAGGTTTTACAGATTCATACAAAATTACTGTAACTATTTTACAAAAAATGTGAAAAAATTGGAGACAACTTGTTAAGTGAACCTTCAGTAAAAAGTTCATACAAAAACTACAAAGTTGTCATCTTTCAATATAAGGTCATACTAACAATAATTCAAAGGATGCTTTTAAATTAGTGGCTTGTTCGCATAGAAAATTTTATAGAGGGAAATATGATACAGAAATAAAGAAGAAATATATTAACAAGTTAAATCTTTTATCATTCTAAATTGGAACGAATTACCAATTTTTGCTCCAGGAAATGTGTGTAAAATATATCTGGCTATATAGGCACTACTCAGTCAGACTGGTAAGGTTTTTAGATTGGTAAGATTGCCTATGTTCACATTTTTTTATAAGGTTCTGGCTAAAACAGCTGACCATTTTTTCAATTCAGTTGGGGAAATTAAAATATCAAGTGAAGAGGCAAATACTAAAAAACTACTTACATGCTATGAACTATGAAACAAAACTAGCTTATTTATAATCTTATGCAAAGCTGACAAGGTAAAGGTCTATTTATCCATTAGCTACAAATGTATATGCAACAAATGTGAAACAGATAAGTTAATTTGAAGCTGAACAGGCTCAATAACAGACTTTTTGTGCAGCAGCATCAGGCCAAACTTGAGCTTAATTTGTTACTGTCTGTAAATCAATAACTTGTCTCATTCTTGTGAAGAACAAAAATCAAGTATGATGATTAAATTTCACTATGAATTGATTGGATTTCCGACAACAAAGACTAAAATTGACGTAAAATTTGTCTAATTTTATTAAAAGTTAATAGGTAAATAAAAATTGTTACCACGATGCATGTTATCTTTGTTCACAAAACTTAAGGGATGGCTTTGCCCAGGACAGACTCTAAAACCTTTACAACGACCTTTGCAACGGTTGTGCAATAGGTTTTCAACATATGGTATTTGTCGGCTGTCATTAGCGGTCTGTTATGGCCTACAATATCTGTAATAGGTTTTCAATAAACTACAAAGAAATGGTTATCGTTTAGTTAGTTTAACAGATGCAAAAGGGCACCAATCATTCCCAAATTCCCCTCTTTTACACAACGTGCATGACTCGACATGTTTTGCAGGACAAGATGTGGGTGGGAATCTGCACCAAACTTATGAAGCTTATGAAAAAAGGAATACGATAGCCTAATGCCTTTTTATTCACTTGTTACTCCAAACGATATTATTTATTTGGTTGCCAATTTTCATTATCAAGCTAGAGCTCCAAATTTACGAAGGTAACGAAAACAGTCAGCCATTATCCTTAGGCCAAATTACCGACGAAAGGATTATCTGAGTTTGTGAAGAAACGGGTTATTTCTTACCGAATACAGAAGACTTCTTAGATAACTATCACAGCAAAGATATCAACATCGCAAGAATAAGATTTCAAATAGTATTCTCCATTATTCCACTCGTCTCAAACTTCGATCCTAAAAACGGTAAGTTCTCGCGGCGATCGTCAACTAGCAGTGGAAATCCAACTAAAACCGAAGATTCTCGTATGTTCCGAGATCATTCGTTAAACGAAAATTTGAGTATATGTACCGACTAGAACCGAGTTCGAAAATAGAAACACCAAGTGCTCATGACAACAGCCAAACTTCAAACAACAAGACATGTGATTGGTTGATTCCCAACTGCGTCACAATCAATTGTCGGGATTAACAAACGAAAACCATGAGAACGACCGAAATATTATGAAATTACCTCGATCCTATCACAAATTGACGTCAGCAGACGTCAATCGAATCCTGCTCTACGATTGGTTAATCGCCGAGTAGCGAGAGTTAAAAAACAAGTGCGAGAACTTGGATGGTCAGAAGCGAACAAGCCTCGGAAGTGACGAACGGACGACGAGAGGTGAATCACTTTGGAAGAGCGGCGAAAGAAAATAATATAACGGATATTACCAAGAATACTAACTTAATGTTTGCGGCAGTAGATGATCACGTGTGTGATCCAGCATCAATGTTTCAGGACACTTTTAGTTTGTCTGAATTTATCTTGGGGCAACAAGAGGAAAACCATCAAATGCAGTCAACATTCCCCCAAATGTTGGAAAAAAATTTAATCAAAGAAGAGCTTGATTCTGAGGAAGAATATCATGTAAGTGTCATTTTTTTATCTGTAAATTATTAGAGAAAGCTTAATTTTTTTCGATTTCAAGGTATTTTTAGGACTTTACCTTCGAACAGCCAGATGTGAAATTGCATAGGTACACAACACAAGTATTAGGCTTCAAGCTGATAGCTCGCTTCTTCATTGAAAGACTGTTCCCAAGCAAGATTTGCATTCATCTTACTTTCTTCCAATTATCAAACATTGCCAGTTGGGATTTTCCTTGCAATATTTCCTATAATCAACTCGACAACATCTTACATGAAAACAAACGTCCGGCGAGCTTGAGCAACCAGCTTTTTCCTTGCCACTATTTTTGTTGTTGTTGATGTTTCGCTGCCCGATAGGCCTTATGGTAGTTGTGACGTCAATTAGTCTTCCCGACTCATCTAATCGATCGGATGTAGAGGACGTGAGTCACATGCGAGTGGATAGATCTTGAAAAAGAGCTTAATGCAAATTATTTTGATGAATGGACCGAGACCCACTAACGGATACCAAGCAGTCCAACGCTAAACCAAACTACGTAAATGAAAGACTTGTAAAACAAATTGAACAAAAACAATGGAAGAAAAATTTATCCGAACAACCAAGGTTATTTGAAACTGCATTGACTATCGTAGAAAGAGCTTGAATTTTTTTACATCAATTCGTTTTGATGCCAGTGGGATGAGTTTTTAACAGAATGTTTATTTTTTCAGGCAACATTATCAGAAACCTGTCAAGAGTCAGCGATGTCATTGACATACAGCCCTTGTAGTTATGTGCGCCCAAACACTTTACCAGCAAGTCCGGCGTCTTGCTCAAGTGGTTGCTCTGGATCTTCACCAACTGGATACCAGCCTCCTATGGCCTACGCCACTGACAGTTGTGGGCAAAATCGATATTTATGTGCACCTTTGAACGAGAGCACTCTGCCCTATGCTGTTTACATGGGGTATCGTAGCAGGGAAAGAAAGCGGGACGACGATGTAAGTTTACTCATATTTTATCATTATCATGCATTTATGCATTTAAACGTTAGTAGAATCATTGCTATTGGAAGGGCAAAATTGATTATATCCATGTGCTGTTTTATTTTAATGAAGTAAAGGGGTGTGTCGTGTTTTTAATTAGGCCTATATTTGATTTTATCCCGGAAACAAAAAGGACTGCATAATTGGTTGCGAAAAGCTGAATTTCATGTGATGTCGCTATCTATTCTGATCGCCATCTAATGAAAAAGTGCGAAAAATTTATCTAATTTGTTCATTTACGTGAAATAAGCACTCGTAATTTCTAAATTTTGAACATACAAGGTAGCCCACACATTGAGATTAAATTGTATTCTTATTGAAAAACTTAGGCTTCTTTATGTTAGCAATAACTAATTATAAAGGCTCTGGCTTCTGTTATTTATTATATGCTACGTTACTTATTGTATAACGGATACTGTAGTACTTCTGGCATTCATGTCTCGCGGAATGCATGCAAATCGTGATGGGTGGGGATTACATGACACATATTTGACAGTATACCGAGATGACGCACCGTGCGTGTTCCCGCTGATTATTTAGCCTCGTATTAAAGTTCTTTGTTGGTTTATCAATCTCTTCAAAAATAAGATTTGTTCAGGAATGTAAAGGGAAGCTGTGTTATGCGAACACCCTGGTAGAAGGAAGCTGTGTTATGCGAACACCCTGGGTACTCCGTGTCCCTCAAAGACAAATTTTGTCTCTTAAGTTTTATCTTTCATCATTTGGATTTTCCTCGATAATAAATCTGTTTAGTCTCTGAGTAGTACATTTACCAAAACTTGTTTCTTCTTTTTAGCTTTGTTTTGAAGATAGAGAAAAAAGAAGGGTACGAAGAGAAAGAAATAAAATGGCAGCGTTGAGATGTCGAACAAGAAGAAGAGAGCGAATCGAGACCCTGGAGCAAGAGACTACGGAGCTCGAGAGACAAAATAATGACGTCGAAAACGAAATTTCATCCTTACGCCTGCAACTCAAACAACTCGAACAACTGCTAAAAGATCACAACTGTCCTCATGGCATAATTGATTAATCCTTTTGTAGGCGAAACGATAATTTTCGCTGTGGTTTTGGTTAAGATGTGACCAGAGAAAAGCTAAGCCAGGAATTATCTTATAAGCAAGGTCAATCTTGCGTTCGAAAAGATTGCATTGCGTATAGATTGAAAGTTTGCCTGTCTCGATATTTTCATGGCTGATAGATTCAAAAACTTAAACGACCACCTTTGAAAAATCAGGGTAATCCTGATAAATTGAAATACTTATTTTCATTTTTTCAAAGGCAGTGGCTGCTGGCGGGCTTTCTGCCTCCCAAAGAAATGTAGATTTATCCTTTGGTTCACCCTTCAACAGGCACTCATTCAAAATAAGGCTGCAGGTGGATTCTAGTTCCTCGTTAATCAATCTCTTGCTTAGCTCTCTTGCTGAAATCCTAGCCAAAATTTTTTAACGAAATAATCATATTGTAAAATACAATAATAACTGTTTAACCATTTTTTTGGTAGACGATGCATATTATATTTAGATACAAACCGCTTTAGCTTAGTCTAGTTTCAAAATTTGTAGATTATATAATAAAGAATAGTAAAATGAAAATATTTTGACGCATCTTATTTAAGAAAAGCATGATTTAGATGGCTTGAGAGATTATTTATACTGCTATGCTTTTTCGATGGTATTAGAAAGTTAATTCAGCAATGAAATTGCATAAATATTATACGTTTTCATTTTTGTCTTATTTCACTTCACAAGACTATATTCAAACAAATCTAATAAAAAACAGCATTTGATCAGGAATCTTTCAGAAAAAAGGTGCAGTGTAGGGCTGTAGAAGTGGAGGTCAAAGTGGGCCTCCTGCCCTCTCATCAGAAAAACGTTTTTCCAGTACTATTATTTATACAAACAATCTTTTGGTGGAACAAAACTTGAAAATGGCTTTGAAAAAAGCAAGCATTTGAGTAAACCAAAGCTTTTCATCTGACACACTTCAGAGTATAAAATGTCAGAACATTAATCGAAAACTCTACGCTAAGAAATATATATACCCAGTTGTGAATCGAAATAGGTCAATCAGAAACGCGAGCACATGACTATTCTTTACCCAGTATCTCCATTCCTTTACATTCGAATATCTATTTTGATCCATACCTGGTTATAATACCATGATACAAACAGGTATGAATATGTATACCGCAGGAACTTCGATAACTAGGGTTGGGGGGTATGGTGCCTCCCGTTCCCAAAAAAGACCTTTTCACAAAACCTTTGTTGAGACTCTAAAAATTGACCTTAGCCTCCCAACTTTTCAACTCGAATCGGAGCCCATGCCTAGACAGCAGTAGCTAAAAGAGGAATTCAAGGGCTGGTTTCAAAAAGGTTTTGAATCTAAAAACAGATTTTTAGGGAGATAAAACACCCTTTGTTATGGGCACCAAACTCTCACTTACTTGTTCATAGTTCAGGCCCGTCGGAGCCGGGGGGCTGGGGGCTGGAGTTCCTGCATCAAAAATACTTAATGTTCGCCAATGTGTACATTTCAATAGAAAAGTTACTCTTTTCAATTTTTGAGGATGCCATGCCAGTTGCAATTTTTTATTTTACAACTGCAATTATTTGCAATTATAAAACAACCTTGGCGTTAACGATTAAAAGACATTTCCTAAACCTCAATAACCTTTATTTTGAACGCTTACGTCAATATCTTAACTATGATTTTATTTTTGCTAAGCTAGTAGTTATTTGAATAATGACAGTTAATATTCACTTTATATGAAAACAGAGTTCCCATAACCCACACTCATTGATGTTCTGCGACATCTTCAGCATAAATTGGATTACAAGAGAAGAGGAATAAACAATTCATAATAGAGGAGAAGTCATAATTTTGTTAATATTTACATGTTCGCTTATTTATTTTTTAGATTTCATTTTTTCAATAGAGGACTCTTGGAAATTTGTGCATGTCAAAAAGGCGGAATCCATCACTAGACCGTTTCAGGGGGTTTTCTCGCCCCCTCTGATCCCCTTTTATCTAAGCCACTGGAAACCACAATATTGATCACTATAAACCTTAAGAAAAGGCAGCCAAAAATAAGCAACTTAGTGCTAATCTCTAGCATAGCTTCTTATGAAATCAAAAGTATACAGTTTTGAACAAATTTTTAAACGATCAGAGAAATGAAAAACTGTTCCACTAAACAACCAATTTCAGTTGCCACTGAATGTATAGACCACAAACTGTTTCTATGGATGCAGTCAGATTTTGAATAGTTTCAAAGATAGAAACATAGCGTCAAAGATAGAAACACAAAAAGCTAGGATACCGTAAATTTTCGAATTAGCCCCCTGGCGGCTTATTTATTTTTGATAATTTTGGATGGGGGCTTATTCGAAGGGGGAAGGCTTATAACATTACTGTAGACACTAAGCAGACATTATTAAAATACCTCGTTTATTTTAGTAGGAATTTCTTTATGAGCATTTACTTTATTACTACCAAAAGTATGAATTTGTTGTGGTAATTCAATAAAACGCCATAAGCAACCTCAGATGGCAAAAATCATCAAATTGGAGGGTCCAATTCGAGAATTTACGGTATCAGTGGGGGTTTATTCGATGGAGGGGGGCTTTTAAGGTTGTAGCTCTAGGGTGGGGGCTTTTTCGAAGGGAGGGCCAATTCGAGGATTTACTGTATCAGTGGGGGCTTATTCGAGGGGAGCCTATTGACAGTTTGTAGTTCTAGGGTGGGGGCCTATTCAGGGAGGCTTTTTCGAGGGAGGGCCAATTCGAAAATATACGGCACCTTAATTAAGTATATTGCATATACTTCTAGTTTATGAACAATGTTCTTTTTGACTGAAAAACGCGCTTTAATATAAAAGTCAGTATGAGAATCCAATTTGAAGATTATGAGATTTGACTAAGCCATGACTGATATGAGGAATCTTAAATCGTGCACCATATTCTTATCTATTTAATAAGAACCGTTCAAGGCGAGCACCTTACAACAAAATTTAAATTTTGTAATCTGTTATGCCTAACGTTGAATAAAAAGTGGAATTTATTATTCTTTTCAAGTTTCTCGTTTTCCAGTTTTGATTGATGCAATAAAAGAAAACAAGTTAGATCGTAAACTAGTAGTAGACTGATACTAGTAAACAATGCAGTAAATCTTTCGTGAAGATGAAAACATTTTTCGACAGTATCACCTTCCAAAACTTTGTTTTTTTCAGACAGACTGTTACATGAAGTTATAATCACAAATGACTATAATTCAACTGAAAGTTTGATAAAGACATTAATTTGAGAAGAATACGCGGCAATCACACGGTCACAAAGAAGTCAATCAGAAGAAAAACTAATTTGCCGCACCCATGCATTGGGGGTACCTTCGAAATCTTTTTTAATGCCGTTTTTGCACAAGATATTATTTTGCTTCAGAACACGGACTCCTGAATCGGTTTTAAGACACTTCTAACAAAAGACATTGCTCCTCTCATTTCTCGGCCCTGTCCATCTTTTATCGGTCAAGCGATAAAAACAACTGACCTTAGATTGTACATAAGAATCGCGGATGAAGTCGAAAACAAACAAGGTTACTGGATAACCACCTTGTTTTTTCTGTGCCCTAACGGCAAAACAAAACTTGGGTTGTACGTAGACAGGTCATACGCTACTTCCGTATACTGGTATGACGAAACAGTCAATACCCACAACAATATCATGACTGAATTGTAAAAGCAACACCCTATAGACCAGGTTGGCCCGTTATCTTCTTAGCCTGCGCCGCAGAGGCTATTATCTTCTCCGCGGTTTAATAGGCTTTAGGAACCGGTCATCGCCCTAGACAAACGGCCAAATGTTTTCTTGGAGATTTTTCAGTTATAGGCCTATTTACAAAACCTTTAGCAGAAGCTAAGCCCTAGAACTGCTGAGTGGTTAAAAAAGTTCAGCGCAGGCATAATTTTAGATTTGGTTGTAAACCTACTTTTTGTAAGAAATGGCAATGGCAAGATATGGCAATGCCTCTTCAGTTCGAGCCGATCAAATCCCGAAGAAAGTTTTTTCTGCAGCCGTCCCAAAAAACTTAAAGCTCTTTGAATTCAAAGAGTAAAAGTGAAACTGGCAGGACAGACAATTTTTTTCATATAAAGCGTGTTGCATAACACATGCCAGATGGGCGTGCATTCTAAAATGTAATTCAGAAATTCCTAGTGGCATTTTTTGGATTTGAAGAATTTTTGGATTTAAGAGAATGTAAGTGAACCAAAGTCTAAGTAGCAGCTTTTTTAAATTTGCAATTTCAAAATTCAACCTTTATTGCGTTTTTCAAATATTGAACCAAATTTTTTAACTTTGATTCTATCATGATAATTATGACCAAAATTAAAATTCTATATTACATGTTTCACATCAGGTTTACATGACTTTCTCAGCCTGTCAAGACACAAACCCCTAGATTTTTAACCAGTCCTATCTCTTTTGAATTTACGCAGACATATATTAATTCTTTTTGAACACTAAAAATTCAAAAATCTCTACAACATCGTTCTGTAAGGCAAAAAGCAACCTTTACAAAGGGTAATTAAACATGTACTGCAGTGACTCTAGACTTGCCCTGCAAACCCTACACTGGTGACAAGCTATGCTTTAGTAAGGACTTTAAAAGAAGAACAAAGTCTTGTTGTGCTGTTTGCATGCACCAGAAATTCTGCTGCATTGACAAAGACAGCTTTAGCACTGGGGATTTCATAAAAGTGTGCTATTCAATGATTGTTAAAAGTTGCAGTAATATCAACCTCAGCCTTTGTTAGGACAATATAATTTAAAATTTGAGACAAGCTTGAGACAAGGCATAAAGAAACAATCACATCGTTTACATTTTATTTATATAACAACTAGCAGATTGGATTTATTTGCCCTGTCCTGGTTTGCTGAAAGCATAGGTAAGGTGGCATTTTCCGCAATATTGTCTGTCGAAGTGGTTTGCCATAAAAATGCCTGCACCACATGACTCCTTTGGGCATTCCCTGCGAAGGCGGGTGATTTTTCCATTCTCATCTACCTTGTAGTATTTCAAAGCAGCAAGCTTGATCTAATTCATGAATAAAATATATGAAATCATAGAATGAAAGAACAAATTAATCTTAATCTGGCTTTCTTAAAGTAGTTTCAATATTTTAGAGAGTAGCTCCTAAGTAGTATAAAGTAGTTCTAAGGTAAATCCATCACTTTCCATAACATCACCTTCCTCTTGTATCTAAAGACATCAAGTTATATATATATATCTAAAAAAATAGTTATCAACAGTTCTTCTTTATTCTTTTTGCCAATGGATATGTACTACAAATGACCATAAAACCACCTATTCAAATATTTAGCCATGACATAAGAGTGCCTATTCACAATTTCTACCCTGACCCTGATCCCCTATTCCATACAGGCAGTTTATCTGTCATTTACTGTATATATAACTATCTGGCCTTCTAGGTGTGTATCATTTCACCTTCAGGGTACATATTGTTCCATTCAGGGTGCATATTGTTCTATTCTCAGAATAGGTCAACTGTATCTTCATAACTACTTGAGGAAACATTACATCACAACATCATCTCAAACCTTTCTCAATTTTCATACAACTCTCAATCTTTGCATGCCCTAACTTATCAAGCATTACTGTATAAGGCAGGAATGTCAGATAAAGGCTTAAAAATTGTTAGTTACGATCACTTTGAACTGAATAAAACTGTGATTTCTGATTCTAATTGACTCCATTCTCATTGTGAATGCGAACAATAAAAAAAGGGAATCAACACACCTTCTTTCGCTTATGCTTTATTTTCTTTGGGGTAGTGTAGTTCTTCTTCTTTCTCTTCTTGCCACCACCTCTCAGTCGAAGGACAAGATGAAGAGTTGACTCTTTTTGAATGTTATAATCACTCAAAGTACGACCATCTTCCAACTGCTTGCCAGCAAAAATTAGTCGTTGCTGATCTGGTGGAATACCTGTAAATAGAGAATTTATTCATCATAGCGGCCAATATTTTCACTGTAATATAAAAACATGGACCTCACTTTCTGTAAACAATTCAAAGGAAAACTGGAATATTAATTATTGAATCAAGTATTGGATTTCAAAGTGTGTACCATGGATGGTCTACAAAATGACCACTCTTGTGCCATAGTTGAACAGTTAAACGGCCGCTCTTTTATACATCTCTCTCTAAAAGATGTCCTCCCGAAGTGAATTTGCTAGATAAATGCCCACTCTACCATAAAGAGGCAAGGCAATTTTAGAAATAATGACAAAAAGAGCAATTTCACTTTTTAATATTGATTTACAACTAATTGGGCAAGACACTGGGCTTCTTGATGTTGCCCTAGCTTGTATTTTCATATGGGAAGTCATCTTAAGATTTCTCTTTTTCTCTCCAACAGTTAGGCTATTTGTCTTTGTTTTGATATATTGCAAGATCTACAAGTTTTTAATCTTGCTTTTGCAAAAAACCTGAATTCTCTGTAGGTGATAAAGTTCCTCATTCAGCTTCATTAGCACTCTCTTGATTTTTAATATTCAGAATTATTGAGATTATTGACATAGAAAAAATTTTATCTTGCAAAAAATCTTTAAAAACTATAAGCTCAAATTAAAACCCATGACAAGGGCATTTTTGGTTTTCAAAGTTCATTGTACTCAACCAGCAATTTCATTGGAATGAAAAATTCCAATTACCTTCCTTATCTTGGATCTTGGCCTTTACATTATCAATTGTATCACTTGGCTCAACCTTTAAACCAAACAGAATAGCATTAAGTTAAAAAAACACTTTCTATATATATATACTATCATATCTGAGATGTTTTTTATGAAACTGTCTTCTGTTTCAAATTGTATCTTATCAATTATCAATAAAAGAAATACTCTTTGTCCAGAATGCAATCATTTGGTTTACATGGCAAGTAAGGCATCTGCTTCTTTACACAAAACTTACTAACTTAAAACCAAACACACAGAATTGTTAAGATCAGTTGTCATTAAAAAGCAATAGACATCAGAGGGCATAGCAATACATAACATCTAGCATCACCTGAAGGGAAACATCACTGGACAAGCCATGGGCTTTTACCTGTCTCGACTTTTTCTAAAAATAAGTCATCTTCCAGGTTTCTAGACTTTGTACAAACCCCATATAAGGCAGAAAAGAAAAGTTACACTCACCTCGAGGGTGATGGTTTTGCCAGTCAATGTCTTGACAAAGATCTGCATTTTGAGTTCGTCTCACTGAAACAAAACATTAACATCAATCAAAAAATGCCAACAAATACCAGCAAGGTGATTTCATTGAACTGGAAAATACAACTGAAAAAGCATCATTTCCCTCTGTTCATGTTATATTTCAGAAATACAAAGTGCACAAAATTTTAGTAGATTATGAAACTAAACAAAAGGAGCTGGCTAGTTTTGACTATTTGCCATGCTCATGGTCTGGGTTTGCTCAGAAATTACTAACTAACAAACACTGATTATAGAATTCATCCTTCATCCCAAGAACTTTAGAACACTTTTTCCTCTTCCAACTTACTGCTTATATCATGTCTTTATTAAAAAACAAAATCAATAAACTTGGTTCTATCTCCCTCTCTTTCTAATCCCTTTCTTTTCCCTTGTTAGGGCTTTGCTATGTTATGGCTCCCAGGCCTTTCTCTAACATAGAATAAAAAAACTGGAAAGATGTAATATGCTTCTGCTGCTGAAAACCTCAACATGAAACCCAATGAGTTGCAAATCAAACTGCCTTGGTATACATACCAAAGCATGTACAGGCTGCTAAACAACATTTTTTGTGACAACCTCACATATATAAACATCATAGAAGTTTGATTAAAGTTTATCTGTCAATCTTACCTAATACAGAAAGCTATTGCATTAGACTCTGTTTAAAACTGCACCATTTACACTATAAACTTTTAAAATAAAAGTAAGTATTGTTTGATGTTTCTCATTTTCATTACAGCCAGAAAATTAATTGTCAATCATAATAGGTCTAGCTAGAATAAAAGTTGAGTTTGCCTGATCGCCACTTCAGGTGATTGACAGTCTACTTAGCAAAACAAATTATCAAATTTATCAATTTGCTCAGTTCTATGAAGGGTAAGTTATGAAGCTCTTCCCTGAAGAGCTTTATTCTTTAAAATGACAATAATTTTCTTTCACATCTTATTAAACAAAATTGCTTGATGGAATTTATATTGTAACATTTTTTATTACTGAGCCATTATATTGTATTAAATAATTTAAATACATAGGACAATGTGCCCAATAGCCATACGTTGGTTCTTCTTAGCCTTCTAAGCAACCTATTGATTATATTTACCCTATATTTTGTATGAAACCTTAGAATTGTAATTTTACATTAGTCACTAGAACTTCAAAATTCTAAAAATGTTGCTCAATGTCAATAATAATTTTGAAATGAATTGTCCACTTTTGCTTATTCTATCATACACATTTTTGCTCATTTATTTATATTAAACACTTTGCCTACATTTGCTCCTTTATACGAGAACAACTTTAAAAAATCAATTGTAACGATCAAACTCAAAATAATAAAAATCAGAATTAACGCACACAACTGCATACGAGGATCCAGTCCAGCGACGTAAAATAGCACACTGCTTTCATTTGCGAAAACCTTTCCGCAAGAATATCCTCAAAAATCAAGTTATTTCTAGCTTTTCAAGTTAAGTTAGGGTCTTTCAGCCTTAGTCAAGATGGTTTGTTCAAACTACGAATGGCCACAATGAAGAAAATGTGGACTTTAGGCCTACTGTCTAAAACGTTCCCACGGCTGCTACTTCAACTCGAAACTTCATCAAATATAACTGTTGACTTTTGCTAAGACAGTGAGCAGAAGTCAGCAAAAATACTAAAGATGAACTCTGTCTGTTTGTCTGTCTAAAAGATGACCTAAAACCCCAACTTTTAAGCATTCAATAATAGTTGTCTAGTTCTTACCGACAGAATGCCGACCCCAGCATGGAAAAGGAACACGAGTGAAAATGCACAGGGATTTGAGGAAAAGAAAAATCAAAGTACCCATAATCCTTTTCTCAGCAGGTTCTCCTTCGCAACGAGTTGAACCCAGTGGTTGCAGTGTCGTTTATTTTTAGGCATAAGGATGCCTATGTTACTCTTGTTGACGAAGTTATTTTTTGGGTTGGTCAAATGTACAATACTGATAAACTATTGCAACTTGTAAAAATTAACAACTAAAAATGTCGTTATTGGTTTAAATCAAATCCCTCCAAATTTCAAGCTATCGTGATCAGCAGCAAGGATAAATGCATAAGTGAATCTGAGATTGACAATTTAAAGATTCTCTAAAATGCTCATACTTATAAGATCTATAAAAGGCAGCTAAACAGCTAAATTGTGAATTCATTTATGCCATGTCACTTCAATTATTGTTCATTGATATGGATGTCATGTGAAAAAGGAAGTCAAGATAAGCTAGAGAAAATTAACGCTCTAACTTAGAGAGTGAGATATTGTGACTGACAGTATCAAAGACAATTTGAACGTCAATAAATACGCCACATCCAAATTTCTTATCATCCAACGTATTGATTTTCTTGGTCAACCGAATGACTGTCTTGAGAGCCAAATTGTAAAGGATGTATAATCTTGTTTGATGTAACGAAGGGGTTTAGTCTTTTAAATATGATTTTTCAAACAATTTACTAGAGATCGGCAGCAAGGAGATAGGTCTAAGTTGGATGTACTTTCTGGGTTCCCTTGCTTTAAAAGTGGAACTACTTTAGCGATTTTGAGGAAATTTTCATTTAAGAAATCTTCATTGACACGTTTTGCAAGTGGGTAAGAGATGTAGATTTGTAAAACTTTCAATAAATTAATTATCATACTAAATAGACAAATAGATTTTGATGAATTGAGTTTTGTGATTATGTCCTCAATTTCCTTATGGGTGACTGGAGACACGAACACTGAGGTAGAGTTTTGGTTTTTCAGGTAATCTAGAGAAGATTTGGACATTTTTGGTATCTTTTTGCAACATTAACAAAAAATAATTAAAATATTTGACACATTAGTATCTTCAAATGAGATGTCACCGTTTTTATCCATGATTTACATACGATTGATAATTGTCGTTGCAAAACCGAATAGTACATCCAAATGTAACTATAATGAGCAAGAATATATTTTTTTCTGAGCATACTTTTCTCAAGTTTTGACTATATGTAGCGAAGTAATTTTGAGAATATTTGTGTTTGGTTTTCTTCAATTAATTTGTAACACGATTTTTAAATTTTCTGTGCAAGGCTACCGTTGATATCAATTCGCTATCATTTTCCGTAGATTTTTTTTCATGGATTTTCATCATCTTTTGAATTCTACAATTTATTCAAGGTTTTACTTAAAATTTTGCTTCTTTGTTGGAACTATAAATTTGCTTCTGTACTCGAAGCAAAGAAGTAACAAACATGGCCTTGATATCTTTCAAATATGACATTCTACATATATAAGTATGATATGTCAAGGCTCGATTCGATAAACCGATCTTTCTGGAAAGTTTCTAAATATTGTCCTTATATTGAAACTGTCTTTTACAGCTACAATTACGCCCAAAATGGATTAAAACACCTTCTAAGTTTCGAAACCGTTTTATGAAGTCAACTGATCAGATCGATTTCGATTTTCGCATGGGGTAATCCATAAAGTTTGTACGCACTCAGGGGGAGGAGGGGGAGTCGATCAAAAATCGTACGCTTGCATACAAGGGGGAGGGGGTGTAATGGGTATTTAGTACGTATGCTTAAGAAATTCCTAAACGTGAAATTTGAGCTTTGCAAGCTTGCTCATTAATTGTTCATATGGCAGAGATTTTAATGGGAAGTTTCTTGCATATTTTCATCCTACCTAAAATCTGCTCTGTAGGATGAACTTCTGATAAAAACTACGTAAAAGGCTTTGCCCTTTAGAAAGCTAAATACAATGAGTTCACTGTTAAAGAATCTGCTTCGATGTGCTTCACGTGATTACATAAATTAGACAACTGCATTAACATATATTATAACAAGGAATGGTCAATAGGGGCAATTCCCTGAATTCCCCTGGAAACTCTCAATTATTTGTATTATACCTTGAAACGGGAGGGGGAGGGGGCAAAAAAAGATATAAGCATACGCAGTGTACGCAAAAGTGGGGTATATGCAAAAAGCGTACATGTGTGTACAAGGGGAAGGGAGGGTCAAAAAATGGCCTTCAAACTTCGTACGTACTATATGGATGACCCCCTTGGCAAAAAGCCACCGTTACAAAAGATGCTGCTTGAGGAAGTTGCTTGTCCAAAAATTTCAAAATGGATAAAAAATGCAAAAAAGGATTTTCCAAGAATCTGAAGGGTGTGGTCGAGCAAGTTTGTTTTTGTCCACCCCAGTTTTTTCGAGTTGGCGACGCCACTGAGTGACACAATTTTCGTTGAGTGTCAGGTATGCAAATAAATTCGAAAAGTGTTAACTGCACAAATTTTGGAGGCCTTACGTGAAGCTTACGTGAAGGAGCAACTACGAACGAGTAACAGAAACCTTTCCGTTGCAAAAACGAATAAAACAAGCCGCCATAACTCTTTTATCGAATGCTCAGATATTTTTCGAACAAAACTGTACATATTGTCAACTGCATCTTAATCACTGAATAACCTTTGTATTACATTTTAACAGCATGGTTGGTTTGCTGATAAAATCTGCTCTGTCTGTCAACACAAGATAAAATTTTCAAAAGCACTGAGGCTAGAAATGATCCTATGCTGTTGCAATATTTCGGCAAATCGACCCTTGGTGTTCTTATAAAGTGTACACCTTTAAAAATCATTGTACCGGATAAGATTTTCCCATCCTGTCAACTAGAGATGTCTCAACAGTTGGTGAGAGGGGACTGTTTCCAATAAGAAAAGGGGACTGTTTCAAAGATTTAGAGGAAGACAATGCTTGTTCTTTCGGAACCAATCGTAAAGACTGTTATTTTCTTTGACACACCCCGAATGTTATTGCTTCATTAAGGTACTAGGGGGGATGGGGGTTGGGCGGCGTTCCTCCCAGCTCCTGAGCACCTCCATACTCCTATGACGGAGATGCTCAACAGAGAGAAGGGGGTCATTTCAAATGTCTGCAATTTATTGCGACAAATAACACGCGGCTATCTCAGGAATAATCTGCACCCTTTTCTTTTGCTTTTGAAATCTCAAAGCTTGCTGCGAATCTGTGAAGTGAGGCTTTTACCCAAATGAGGTTCAGAATTGACTGTTGTTATGGTAACGTGTTATAAGCTAGGAGCTCAGTGACCAAGGACATTTTGAAAATGGCAAGCAAAGAGGAGGAAATTCAGAGGGTTTTCATTAATAATGTCGATTCTTATGCTGGCAAGGTCATCAGTAAGGTACTTAACAATTATTACTATGCTCTTCAAGTATAAAGTGGTTTCAAGAAACAAGTTTGATTTGATGATCTCCGATCATGTATGAAAAAGTGTAGGGGCCAATGCTCAACAAATAGAGTGCGCAATTGCAACAAGAGGAATCAGAAGTCCTCCTTGTTCCTCGAAAACCTTGTAAAGATAGCCTTGCATTATTCCAAAAAGACCGTTTCTATTCAGAAATTTTCACAATTTTCGCAACAGTCGGAGTTTTTGCTATCTGTTCTTCTAAAAGAGGTGCGTTGTCTGTAACTCCATGCACATGCACTCAGGCCCAGAGAAAAATGAGACCAGGATCGATTTTTGGTCGTAAAGTTGTTGTCCTGTGTGAAAAGTTTCTGCTCCATCGGCAGATTCTTACATGTCATGTAGGATACACACACATTCAGGTTGGGATTGCAGTGGTTAGTAAAAATGCAATGGAGTCTATATTACAAGGGGGCCAATCTGGCAAGTCTGTTATGGGTACACTTAACTGTAATCATTGCAGAAGCCCCTTTCACGAGCATATTTTATGTTATGGGGTAATATTAGTCTTACTAACTGGCCCTGAACTGAAACTACTTTGTTTGCTTAGTTTATTTTTCTTCTTAATTAGACACAACTTCATAATGCTGCTGAGCTAATTCTATTCCAAATGAATTTCGATAAATTGTGTAGCTCACTCTGTGCCCACACCCAAAGAAATTCTATGCAAATTTTCCCCACTGCACTTTTGTTAAAGAGCTTTTGGCACATCCAAGATCTTTCGGGAATGTGCCACACAGGTCAGGAAGACTCCACTTTGATCTGTTCTCAGTTATTTAGCAAGGGGTTCTGGTGTTATGTATAGATTTTACTCCAGAGTGGAAACAAGAGCTACTTCTATGCCAGAGGCTTGTGAGTAGATAAGAGCAGATATTTTCCTAAGAAAAAGCTTGTACAAATGAGCCTGGACTCTTGTGATTTTTTTTACCTGAGCAACCACTAAAGGTGTAGATAACCTTACACAGTCATGCACATTGCAGACTTAGGTCTTGATGTTAATATTCAATCCAAACAGTGCTAAAAGTATCTACAATGTTTATACAAACCATTTAAAAAAATTGAGTTACTTTCATATCAGGTAGACCGGGCATCCTGCTGTCCCTAGGCCATATCTGGCCCTCCTGTCTGGCTACTGTTATGTGAAGTCAATTGAAACATAAACATAATATAGGAGTATTTTGCCCACTTATGCAAATATTTATGTAATGTGGCCCTTTTTTAACAATTAATTGCCCACCCCTGATATAAGATTAGGTGGATAACAATTAATTTCCCACCCGTTAAATTTTATTCGTTTAAAATACTTATGTACTCGCAAAGGTCATTAAGAGCAACTTTGCCCAATGATCACAAAATTTAGTACCAAACCCATTTTAAAAATTCCAAGCTGCCAAGACATTGGTCTGAGGAGGCGATATGTAGTTTAAATACTAAGTGCCCCTTTAGTATTTCTAAATATTCCCTGTGGATTTGATATTAAATTCTATTTTTCCTTTGAGATAACTTATGTTTCCTGTGTTCAATATACAGGCTATGTATAATCTATGTCACTTGCTTAGGTCACAAAAGATGAGTGGATTAGGTATGTTTGTTGATGAAAAATACATTCCACACAATTTACCTGCTTTGAAAAAATGATCACTCACATCAAAATAAAGGGACTGATAAAAGGCTTCAAACAAAGATTAAGCATCTTCATGGGATCTCTGGCATAACATTTTGGACTCCAAATCCAGGGATAAATAGCCATAAAAACATTTTTGAACAACATATTTCTCATTGCTCCCTTTTTAGTTTGACTTCTTTTTCAGAGCTAATTATTTTGAAATGGCACACATATCTGTAACTGAAGTTAAACTATAATGAAAATAACAATAGCAATAGCTTGTTAGTATAAAAGATAAAACAATGGTTAGATCATTATTGTATCTTAATAAGCAGCTACATTGGAATCAGCCCCCTCCCCTTGAATAAGCCCACACCCTTAAGTATTTTTTGCAAAATAAGCCCCAACCCTAGAATACACTCTAATGAGCTGTGGTATTGTCTAGACATCAGTAGGTTTTTCCAAATATATCTGCATTTTTAGGCATACTGACCAAGTCTCAAATGGAAGGAGACAATTTGCTCTGGTAATATAAAGCCCTCCTCTCCATAAAGCCCTTACCCTCAAACCTTTTTTGTTAAAGAAGCCCCTGGGGGCTTATTTAATCAAGAACCTATGGTAACAGAAATTTTAATTTGATAATGAATATTTTCATAAATGTATTTACTTACTGTGAAACATTCCATCTTATGTCAATTATTCTCCTTTTTTGCTTTAAAATTGGCGCAATAATTTAATGCAATCATTTTCATTCATGTACTTTTAGATATTCTCAACATCTTCAATTGGTGCAACTAATGAAGAATTTGTAGAAGATGAAGAGGAGGAAGACCAAAGTGACAATGAGGAGGCACCACCCAAGGAAAATTGCTACGAAGTTGTTGGTACTCTCTATGATAAATCTCAGAAAAATCCAGAATGGGTGAAAGAGACTTATGATGTAAGTAGCTTATGGCTGAAAATAAGAAACACTACCATGCATGAAAATAACAAATAATATTTTGCCAGGCATATGGAGTTTCATCAGAGCTCCATCTCTTTTGATTCTGATCATTTGATTCTACTCCTTAGAATATGGATGGTGTAAGAAGATAAAAAAATTTCTTGGTAAACAATACCTTGTTTTAAAGTCTACAAAGTTTTATCAGTTGGTTTAGATTATTTCAGTGAAATTTACCTTTATGTGCCCAATATGTGATTAGTCCAATAGGTGCATAGGCAAACTTTGGTCTTATGTTTTTTCATAATTTTTAAAACAATTTTTCAACATATAAGCTTCTTTGAATCATCATATTTATTATGTGCTGTTATATTGTTTTATAAAATAGCTGTAGAGTACTGAATTAGACTTGGATCTATCATCATCATTGTTGTAATAAATATAGCTGTTTTTAATCTATTGTGTGCAAAGTTTGAATTAATCTAACTTCAATTTTCAGGATTCAGACAAGGATGAATTATTGCATAACATCAAACAGTGTGACATTATAGTTTATGACATCATATCACATCCAAGTCAAGTGGATGAGGCTTCTTGGGTTGTTTCTGGTAGGTTGAAATAGTCAAATATTGCTTCATCATACTGTAACAGAACCTTAGAAATGAAAGGGTATATTGAAAATAATTTCCTTTTTGTCAGGGTAAACAAGTGTGTTGCATGCAATCATGTACTTCACAATTTCACATTCCTTAACAATTGTGTTAATAACGTATTTTGGTTATCAGCTTTTATTCAACAAAAATATTTTTTTGTAACTTTTCTTATGTGAAATCTTATATGAATTGGTAGAGATGGTTTTTTAATTTTGTGCGATAGAAATGATAATTATAATTTTGAAATAGATAAAATTATATTATTAAACTTTTGATCTTGAGTTTTTTGAAATGCTAACTTTGTCTTGTAGCCCTTCATGCTGAATTAGAAACATTTGCAAGCCCAAAAGTGTTCATTTGTATCAGTACAGCTATGACTTGGGCTAAGAGCAAGCCAGTTGATGAGGTTTGCAAACACCATTTTTACTTTTCACAAGAACATTGTCAATTGCATTTCTATCTAAACGGAAAATAGTTTTCTCTTGGAAGCTTTTTAACTTTGCAAATTTTTAGCTCCTAAAGTTGTTTAGAGACTGAAAGTGGCAGTTTTTGATCAAGGACAGTCCAATGACTTGGACTGCCTTCTGTCTGCCCTGTAGCAAATTGGAACCTTGTGAAGCTAAAGACTGAAAGAAATGCTACCTTGGTGGTGTCCTCTCAGACATCCTTTTGTCCAGGTTATTTATGTGCCAAGCTATTTAATTTTAAGAAAATCTTTGAATGTTTCTGATTTTGAAAATTACTGTTGAAGGGTTGAAGGGAAGAATCCTTTAAACAAATATTTTGATGTGCCTGTCTGCAAGTTTGAAGACTCTTTAAACAGGACACCAGGACAAAGTTGTTTTTGAAGATTCCAACAATTTTTCTGTAACCCTTTTGAAATCCATGAAAATGGCTAATTTAAGATAACATTTACCTATTATAAGATTTGTTTTTCTACAGTTAGACGTTAGAAAGGATATTTAGTTAATTCATACCCTAGGAGAAAGGTAGACACAGTGGAGAGGGGAATGGGGTGCTTGCTGCTTGGCAGACCTGCCAACTGGAGGGCAGCTGGGGAAATCACCCCAGGGCCCATCCTGTCATCCCCACACCTCCAGCTAAAAAATTGGTCATTCATCTATAGACCGCCAGATAGTTATAGATACCAGAAGTTGATCGAGCAGCAAGATATCAGCACCTTGGCAAACCATAAAAAGGACGATGTTTTACGATATGGATTGAAAAATGAAATGGTGCATCTTGTCTTTGCAAATTGCCAGTTATAGTTGCTTCAGCAAAAAGATTGGTAGAGCTAAGTAAACCTCATCTAAGGTTTTCCCCGGAGCACCATGACACAACAGAGGTTAAATGAGTAATCCATTTTATGCATTGAGAGCAAACCCACAAGAAAAATCAATTGTAGCGATGTATTGAAAACCTTTCCAATTTTAAAGGATCGTTAAACAACTTGCTATAGATGCCTCTAAACAGCACCTATCAATCTTGTGATAATGGCCAAAATTTTGCTATTATTGATAAAGTAAAAATAAGGGAGTGATTAAAAAAAGCACTTAAGTGACATTAGTAACATATCATCGATTGTAAGTTCTTGATTGCAAATTTGAGAAACACATCTATTGAAAAAGAAGTTTAAAGCACTTATAATTGAAAGTGTGCACTACCTAAAAGGAGTGCAGCCTCCAAAAACTTTTGGCCCCTCCGGCGCGGCGATGTTATTGTCTCAGGCGCATGTTTTTTATAATTTTCAATTTCTTTGTAATTATCTCTAATATTTTACGTTGACCTGCAACGTCAAAACTGACCAAACAAGCTTTGGCCACGTTTAGTCAGCTTAATCTAATGATTTAATTTCAGAAAAACCTTAAAATCCGTTGTTTATTTCAATGCAAATTACCTTACACTCCCATGCATTCATTTATTGGAGTAAATTATTAATTCTATTACTTAATACTTTATTGTGATAACATTTGGACCCCAGTGTTTGGCTTTTTATCCAAGAAGTAAGTTTGTTATCTGTAAACTGATTATTATTTTATTAGATTCAATGAAGAATAGAGTTATCAAGAAGTTACCAAGTTTACTGTATTGTCAGTTTGGGTCTCATTCAAACCTTCCATGCCAGTTGCTTTCTAAAAAAGGATGCAACATTTCGAAAAAATTATTTCTAAATAGAATTAATCCACCCCTCCCTGGTACAAATTAATGATTATGATTATTCATCATGTACATTAAATCTTATTATTTAAATTTCTTTGTCACAGGATGATCCCGAAGTTCCATTTACAGAAGAGGACTACAGACGTCGAAAGCCACATCCTAATTTCAAGACGCACATCAGTGCAGAAAAGCTGGTTATAAAACTGGGTAAAACAAACAAGTCTAAGCTCCTAACGTACGTTGTTGCATCAGGTCTAACTTACGGAGCTGGGGAAGACCTGTTTCACTATTTGTTCAAGAGTGCGTGGCTAGGAAAAGACCCGGCAGTGCAGTGCTTTGGCAACGGGTCAAACGTTGTCCCTACAATTCATATCAAGGATCTAGCCAGTGTGCTTGTTAATATTGCTGATCAAAAGCCCAGAGTAAGGTATTTGCTTGCTGTTGACGATGCGAATTCAACCTTGGAGGAAATTGTTCAGGTAAATGTAAATGTAAATTTAGGAAAATGTAAATCACTTGCAGTATCTGATTCAAAATTGTAAATCAGAATTCATAGTCGTTCACAACTAGTTACCCTAAAAATACAAGGTCCATTCTCTTAAAAGTAAATATAAACACACCTACATGTTAAAAAGGTGTTGAATCAGGATACCAAAGCGTTTACAAGAAATTAGTGCTTGTAAGTTCTATAATTTTTCAGAATATTGAGAGCTGGGACTTTTTATAAAATTTATACCGTATTTATTCGATCATAACACCCTGATTGAGACCTTTACATATTGCTGGAGGTTATATGAAGGCACCCAGTCATTTTAAGCGGGTTCGGTTAGTGGTTCATGCCAGGCCTTTCTGCTACCTTGAGGCTGAGGGTGATTGTGCAGAAGAAAAACTTCTAGATGATGTTGATGATCCCATGTAGGACGATATTTTTTTCCTGTTGAACTTCTCATTTCTGTTTTAACGCTAAAGTAATTTTTGAACATGTGGTAGATGTTGCGTTTAAATTAGGCAAACCATTAGGAGCGTCATTTCAAATCAAGTACCTCTGAATTGTTTTGTGGATGTAGTTTGTATTCAAAGTTGGCTTACATTTTTTTCAGCCCCGGCTTTAAATCTAATGAATACAGTATTTGTGCAAATATAGTTTTCGTTCTGTTGCTACGGTTCCAGTAAAATTTCAAGATGAATATACTTTGTTTTATCAACCTTAGTTATTTACTCATATATCTCATTTCAGACAGTAAGCAAATGTCTGGGAAACGGCAAAGTTAAGCATATACACGCGGAAGATGCACTGCTGGAGAAATCTATAGAGGTATTGTGTTCTTACAGTATTAAAGTAATCATTGTCATCTGTAAATTTATGAATTTCTTAGAAATGAAGGCATCCTGTCCGCACCAAATGCTAAGTGCTACATAACAGTTGCATACTTCGATCTTAAAATGTTTATTTCATTTATTTCAAATCACTTCCTCGGTTTTTTTAAGTCAGTCAACTTAAGTCATGCAATAATTCTCTAATCTGGCAAAATGCGGTTATTAAACTGGTTTTTTTCGTTCATTCTTAGCTTTGTTCCTCGATATCTCTTATTTTCCTCCTCACATCTGATCGTTCTCATGTACCCGGAAAAATGCCTCTGAAAAGTCCTTTAATTTGTTTACATCATCATCTTGTTTCTCAGACTTTCTTCTTACACTGACAAAAGGATGGTGCTGTTTTTATTTTTTGTTTCTTCTTTTAAGCCTACACACTTTTCACAAATCCATCCTTTGATTTTGTTTTGAATCGTATTTGGTGACAATATATCCAATACATTAACAAAAATCAAAGTGTTGATTTGGTAGCCTTGTAAAGATAAATTTGACATTACGCTGCTAAAGAAATCATTATCAATGAACATCGGCTTGTGTTTTTGAGCTTGAATTTATTCGCAATCAGATATTTGTAAAGGTTTTAAATTTCATTCATTATCAATTAAACCAAACTGAAAACAATAAGGAACAATGAAAATCAATAGTTTCACCCACAGTGTTAGCTAGGAGCCTACTCGTTGGATACAGGTCGGCAAACTTATTTATCACTTCCACTGACCACTGGCTAGACAAATGCATAGTCAGTCGAATACTGCACTTTTCTAAGTTGATGTTTCTGCCTCGTATGTAGCTGGTGTCAATACCATATCAAGGCTCTATAATTGACTTCAAACAGACGTATTCTAGTATCAACACAACTTGATGTCCAATAAAGTAATTCGATGGAGTGCTAGAAATAAATAAACATGGAAAATTAATCCGGTTAACATTTAATGCACGAGTGATCTCAAGGAGTTAGAATTCTTTACAGCAGCACCCACCGTTAGTTTTGAAAAATGTGAGAGATATATGGCCATATAATTATATAATGAACGTCAGGATATTCAGAATGCGTGGCTATAGTTCTTTCAGGGTCTATTGCTGTATCAATGTTTATAAAATCAGTTCCTATGATAGCAGTTCCTTATTTAAATTAATATTTAAGAAAAAAGTCTTCATATTAAATATAAATCAATACCACAGTCGATAACCTCACAAACTTATTCACATTTTAGCCCGTACGTAAGCTTAGATTTAAGACACAGCGGGGAAAGAGTATCATGCTCTCAACGGAAGGTCCTGATTCCAAAAATGCCAGTCAATTTGTAATGGTAATTTCCCAAGTGACGGAAGGATAATTCATGGAAAATTCCAAAGCCATTACTGAACAGAATAGGCGTTTCCTAGGTGTGACACGATCTTTTAGAGTAATTCCTGTATTTTTTCTGCAATGTATTTATGGTTCGAAACTAAGGTTTACTGGGATGACCCAAGGATTTTGGAAGCCATGTGACCTAGCTCGGGTTAATTTTATTAATGTTTTCAGTGAAGTTTTTCTTTTCAAAGGTTAAGTATCAAGGTGTTGACATGGTTTTGAGTTATGGACATGTAGTACAGCTTTAATTAATCTTAGAACTACGTGCTAAGCAACACTTGTTTCGTAGATCAGTTCTAAATTTGGATAACGTAAACCGGCGATTCATATGTGATATATTTGTGACCAAGGGGTGTATCACTCTCTTCAAACAGCGTACAATATTTTTTAGAGTATAATGATCTTTGGGGGATTTTTGTTGAAACAAAATGATTTTTGCCAAGGGTGTATGAGATTTTCGTTGAGTGCTTTGACCCTCGTTTGTAATGTGGTTGAATTGGAAAATCTGCGTAAAGTACGGGGTATAATATGCCAATTAGGACAAATATTCATCCTTTTTTCAAAACTGCCTTCTGCGGTCTTCTTTTTGTAGACAAGATATTCCTTTAAATGTTTTTTGATAGGCAAGGAATTCTACTTGATTGTATATATTCAAACCACATTTTGTTAAAATTTAGAAATTTTCAAACGCTGTTTATTCTTGAAGCTTTGATGCAGCGTAGCCGAACATCCATGTCCAGAACAGTTCAACGCCTCGAGAATCAAGCCTGTCACTTTTGAAAAATAATTGCTATTCAAACGCATCGCGATTATTGATATTGAATTGTTTTCCATTTTTACAGCAAGCAGATTTCGACATGCTACTGGTTAACCTAAGAATGGATGCAACATTTATCAAAGAGGGGATGAATATCAAATGGGCAGCTGCCGTATGTCACCTCGAATTTTCTAACCCATTTATTATGTGTCGTACAATAAAATTGCAATGCATTGAATTATCAGTGCTCAGTCAAATACAGTTGTCATGCCATGATTCAAGCTTTGAAGTTAAGCTCTGTGTTTAATTACATTATTAAAGAAGGAATTGAGAATGAAAGTGTTACAGATACCTTTAATTCAGGTAGCTCTGATTTACAGGTAGCATGGAGTATTTTAAGCGCATTGCTGAAAACAAACTCCATGTTATTTGCGACACTCCTCACTACCGAATCACCCATGGTTGAATAGAAAAAAGTTCTAAGTAGAAGTTAAGCAAGTTTTAGTTAACTGTCAGCAGTCTCATTGACTTTTTTGTTAGCCAAAAAAGGTAGCAGTCAGTTCATTAAAATATTTAGTTTTGTGAAATGGGTTTTGAGGCGTTATAAATTTCTTACAATTGAAACTTCTGTGAGATGTTTTTGCAAAATTGCATAACTTAATAGAAACTATTCTGCAGTTTATTTGCAAGAGTGTTATACTTGTAAAATTTATTCTTTGAATAAAATCTAAAAATTTTAAAAGTAGAAGTTTGAAGGCTCGAGGATGCATTTTTGTGTTTTACAGGGTGGACTTCCGGCGACAATCGACAAGATAATAAAGGAGTACAAACAGACTCGAGGCTTATTGGTATGTGAAATTTTTTCGCACATAGAAAAAGCATTGCACATCTTGTCTATTTAACCAAAAGCATTGATCCTTATTTTCAAACGAAAAATTTGATTTATAAGGTTAATAACCAAAGTGTAGAATTGATTACTACAAGCTCATTTCAGCCCTCCTACACCGATAGAATGGCACAAGATGGATGCTTTCATTGATTTTTGCAAATTGCTTGTAAATTGAAAAAGAAATTGCATAACCTTTAAAAACGAAGACCAGAATATGACCCCTGAAATCTTTAAATTCTATCTCTGCTTCATTGTATGCTGTAAGTTACCGGAGGAAAAATTCCATACCCTAAATTATTTAGAGGTTTTGCCACGTTATTGCATTGGTACTCCTTTTTGTTTCAGCCAATGCGTGCTTGTGTCTTGGGCCCACCTGCAAGTGGAAAGACAACTGTCGTCAAGCAACTTTGTGAGCATTACAAATTGCATCACATTAAGATCCAGGATGTTATCAATGAGGCAATCGATGAGTTGGTGAGACCAATGCATGTTTACTGTCTTATCCTGTTCTTGCAGCTGATTTTTGCTTAAATGATAAATGGATAAGGAATATGAAGATGGTTTTTAACCTTTGTCTTCGAAAATTGCAATGTATACATAGAATAAACTAATTCTGGGAGATGTCGACAAATTGTAAATTCGCCTTTGGTGTTGTATTAATCTCTCCTTGGAGCCATATATTAATCAAATGAAATCTTATAATTAACTGCAGTTTAAATATCATCCTTTCCCTACGAAAATCCATTGAACATTGTAATTTCTGAAACCTTTTATGCTCATTTTTATGCACATGAAAGCTTAACTTTATAGTACAGATTGATTTATAGCAGTGCAATCTTGAATAATATGTTAATAATTAGTTTTGTATCAACTTGTAATCTTAGTTCCTATCAGTTTACTTAAAAATTAATTCTTGATAAAGTTTTTTGTTGTGTTGTGACATCAATTGGTCATTTTGGCCGTGGAAGTCTGCATAAAAATAGTGTCAGTTGCTTTTCCGTTACAAGCAAAGTTGATCAATTTTTCCTAAGATTCGCAAGCAATTATTTGACATCCTTCTATCTCAAACCTGCTAGATTGGGTTTTTATTTTTTAGGAAAAAAGTGCTGCTAGAGCCGACCAGGAAGATAACGAAGAGGACGATTTGAAAGCACAAGAAGCACAAGAACTTCTTGATGACCTAATTCAAAGCAAAGAACGAAACAATGGTACAAAGATGACATTTTTTTTAATTGACAAGTACCTGTTTGCTAATTCTATATTCAAAATGAACCCCTAATTTGTTTTAACATATATTGCTATTTTATAAAACTGAGTTACACAGCTGCATAAAAGTACCCTGCACCATCTTTACTTTGACAACTATATACATTGCTTATATATTCGTGGCTTTTAGGTCGTTATGAAGACCAGTACATACTGAAGTTTTTCAAGGATAAGCTTCACTCGATGCCTTGCCAAAACCAGGTATGTTGTTTGAATCATCAAACTGAAACTGCATGGCCCTATTTCGGGTGATGAGGCCAGCCTTTGCTCGTGTGATTGGACCAGCCAAACATTATGATGTAGTCTAAGTTCATTTTTATGTGTTTGCTTGGATTACTTTGTTTGATTCCTTCGAAATATCTTCGAAATATGTTTTCTATATTATTTCTCTGTAACTAAGACATGTCATCGTTTGCATATTTGGACTTGTTGCTATACATGTCTTTTTATACTTTAGTGAGTACTTTATGTTCTCTTGTTCTTTAAAAAAACAGGCATGTCTTGGAGAAACTAGATACAGCCTTTGTTTTTACTTATAATATCAACACTATATATGGCTTTTACTGCCCAACTTTAAAGTCAACTTCTCTGTATCCATAGGTCTCCCTTAATTCTTAGTTGATATCAAAACTTTTGCCACCAGTTCATATTTTTTAAATTGCTTCATTGAGTTTTTTGTATTGAATATGCTTTTCTTTAAACAGGGCTTCATTCTTGATGGCTTTCCCAAGACTTATGAACAAGCCAAAGAACTTTTTGCAGGTAACGCCCGCAAATATCAATTGATTTTTTAATCGCCAGTTATAGAGTAGAGTATTGACAAGACTCTTTTAATATAACGTATTTGTGTTTTACTGCAATATTTTTATGAAGGAGAAGCTCAGGGATAGTAGTACGTTTTGCTGTTACACACATCTCCTTGCATGTAGAACGGTATGCTCTTCACTGTTAATAGCTCTGTTTCACTGTGGTCGATGTTTTATGGAAAGACCCATGCATACTGTGGTCTGTAGAGCAGGGTTATTCTAATTGCCTTGCGTATGATGTGGATACAATGCGATGAAACAATATATCTATAATTGATACATGGCGGCTTGGAGTAAATTGTTGTTGGTATTACTTTTTGAAATGTGTGGAAGATGCACGAAGAAGGAAAATTGATAGTTTCTTCATGATATGAATGAATTTGTAACCTTCTTATCTGGGGGTATTGGGGTTGCTGCAAGCCCCACATTTGGACCCAGCTATACATTGGGGAAATATGTATTCTTGATGAATCCAAACTTTGTGGTGCAGACGTTTACTCACGTATAACACATAAAACACAGCAAGTTTGAAATAAAAAGACATCATTGTTTTCATGATTAATGTTTGTATTGTTATCTCAATAGAAATAAATTGTCTTGTGCTGTATTTCGCATTTTGAAAAATATGTTTCACACGAGTCTTTGTTTCGTCAGCGGAAAAAGACGACGATGAAGATGACAATGAAAATCAACCCAAATTCGACGAAGCCACAATGCCAGGTCAGCATCTCAGAATCTAGATATGTGTCTATTCATATAGAAAATTGCATTTAAACCTGAGATGCATGGTAATTTTGCTCTTTTGCATAACGTTCATTCGGCAAACCTCTTGCTTTAAACCCCTTTAGTTGATCCCAAGAGTTCAAGAAGAAATATATCATCTTAAAAGAAGAAAGTTGATAAAATTTTAAATGAAGGGATGATGGTTCTCGGCGGATGTTCGAATTATAGGATGGTTCTTGTTTTCCTAGAGATGCATGACATTTTGGCTCTAACAAAACATTGAGTATAATTTTCTGATTGAAAAAGCTCATAAACAGGTGTAATTTTAATTTTAATTTTATTGCGTTTGACACCATAAAAATTCCTTCCTATGTCAAAGAAGCAAGTATCTTCTCTTTCTTAGAACTTTAATCTTCTTTTTGAAGTATGTAGAAAGCGATTTGATTTCTACCGCCTTTTTCAGAGGTTGTTATTAGTCTCGATGCCCCAGATGACTTTCTCAAGTCGAGGGTGATGAATCTCCCGGAAAGTGTGGTTGCTGGGACTCACAACACGGAAGAGGGTCTCTTAAGAAGACTGGCTGAATTCAGAGCTGTCAATACTGAAGATGAAACTGTTCTGAATTACTATGATGAGCTGGAGATCCATCCGGAACATATTGGTGAGCGCTTTTAGAATGCTAACAAGAACCTGAAAAAGTGTAAACTAGTATTTTAAATTAATAACATCGGAAATGGCCAGCTTAGGCATATCATTGAATTGACCTAATAAAGCCAGAGGAACACTGAAAACTGTAATAAAAGAGCACCTCTTGATGCGCTGCTCCAAACGAGCTAATTCACGTTGATAACGTATATCATTTGTATAGCATGCAAAGGCTGCCGTTTTTCATTGACACCGTATTGGAAAAGGTGAATTGCCCGAAGCTGTTTTCAAGAAGAAAGACATACAAGTCACTTGTTGTGATGTTTATCACATCTTTTGTAGAAACCGTGCAACCATGCATGGCTTTACTCGTCGGTGAGAAAAATCAATTTATGCCCGACAGAGTGAAACAAACTCTGCTTTAAGAATATTTTTGCATTTGTTTCTACCTAGCATCCGAAGGTAGTTTTTAGGACACTGAGAAGCTTATGCTTATCGAGCAGTGTCCTGGTCCTTTCTCTCGATGTGACCACATCTCGTGATTCATATGCCTGTAATTACAGAGAGCTGGCGACTCTCCTGACTCTGGGTGAAAGTTGGGTCATGCCAGAGACTCGAACCACGGACCCTTGGGTCTGTAGTCAGCGCCTCTAACAACTGAGCCACCCTCGCACCTGATTTGGAACATTAAGAATATTTGGAACATATCTTCGGCTCTATTCTTTCGAAAATTTGGCTTGTTTGCATCAGCTATGACATGCAATTAACTGGAATGTTTTTATCTAATCGACTTACGTCCCAATGACTCAGTAAAAATTAATTTGAAACCTTTTCCTCATCTACCTTGATTTTACTTTCTATAGCTCGCCGTCTCCTTATTGTGTTACTTGCCCACATTCTCTCTCATTACATCTCATCATCCTAAACCTTCCTCTTAACATTGCAATCGTCACTTTTGTTTCGCTTCTATCTTCTTGAAAAAGGTTTCTTGTGAAAGGAATCTTCTACTCTAAAACTACATTGTCTGCAATAGTATTTTGAAATAGAAATAATTCTTTCAAGCCTTATTTTGTATTTATTTAAGACATAACTGTTGACACCGATGAAAACATGAAAGAAACTGTCGAAAAGATCATCAAAATCATGGGAAGCCCTCGGAATTATGGTATGTTAACATTTCTAATTTTATATGCGAAGTTGCTATACGGATATATTAACGTAATTCCTTAGATAAAGCCATCATATTCAGTAACCAGTGCGCTGCCGCAGTCCTTACCCGAAATTCATGGAACACCCAGTGACTCTGTCTTGCCTTCTAACGTCTCAATATTTTCCTTTGATACAACCACTTCTGCGCTCAATTTCCGTTATAAGACTTGTTTTGTAACGTAGCTTAAAGTTATGAAACCACAAAAAGGGAATTTAAAATACCTACTATACATCTGGGTGCGTCTCCTTGGTCTTATTAGCAAATATAGGTGTTTTATTGCAACGCTACAATAGAATATTCTTGTTCTAAAACAACTTGTATGATTCAATACTCTATACCAATGTACACTATTAGAGTGAAGAAGATCGTAAAGACATAAGATAATGTTTGACATGACATGAAGATTGGCCAGTATTATTTGTTTGTTTTATTGATTTCCAGATGATTTTAGCCCTTATTACACTACATATTAAGCGCTTGCTATCTTAAAAATTTTTTTAACCTTTGATATGTTTCCCCGGTGCAGCCTAACGCTTCCGTGATAGCCAAGTCTCCGTAGCAACGGAAGTAGGATTGAATCATAGGTTGAGCCTTTTTGCCACTATTTCATGCATGGCATCCACTTTTGCCAAGTTCTTATGGGGAATGTATCAATCTTTTAGGCCCTACACCAGAGGAGCTCGCTGAAATGGAAAGGATGGAAACAGAAAAACGAGTATGCAGTTTATGATTAATTCTTTAGCTATAATTAAATTGTATTTCTTTTCCATTTCAAATTGTTTTTGTAAGTTTAGAACTTTTTAAACTTGTATGAAAGATGTAGATATCGAAAATTGCCCTTAAGGAGGAGGCTTGCAATCATCCATCATCAGCACAAACTAACGCATATTAAAAACAATTTCTGCTTTCTTTCAATCCATTTTTTGCTTTATCTTATTCTTATCATCATACACATCATATTTTTACATTATCTTTTTCAACTAGCAAGTTATTGATAATATTTTCTTACCTGAATTTGCACGTCGCTTTTTAATTAGCTTGAAAAGGAGAAAAAAGACCGCAAAGAAAAGGAGGAGCAAGAACTTCTAGAGGCTCAGGAAAGAGCAAAGAGATTGGAAGAATGGGTAAAAATTCTGTTGCATTTTTGATTAACGGAGATTCTTACAAGCAATTTATGGCAAAGAACTAGAAATTAATGGCTAGAAATTAATAGAAAATTTCAAATGCATAAAGAATTGACCTTTATAATATCATTGCTCAGAATATGATAGGGGTTCATTCTAGAATAATTTTTTCTTGTTTTCTTCAATATTCTTCACTACCGTGGGAGTTCCGATTTCTCTCTGTATTTCTGTAGACCATGCGAAATACTTTGGCCGCCTCTGCTTTTTTCATAGTTTGCATTCACACTCTGTATCCCTACTAAGCTTTTTTAAAAGTGAGGCCAAGGTCATTTGTTTGACCTGCCGTTTTTTCTAATTTTAAGTCACTATTATTTTTAATCAAGATAAATCATTCTAATTGAATTCAATTGTACGGAAGGTAAATAGAATTCTGTCCCGCCCAAAGCCCCCATAAATTACCGCTGCTAATTCTTTATATGTATTGCTTTATTATTTTGCATTCTCTTATATTTGTCTTATTTGTAATCTATAACAGTATTCTTGTTATGTATGAATGAGCACACTTCACAGCCATATCAGCTTCGTAACATAATACCATTTCGTATCAATCAATATTTAGTCTATCCTATGTTACAGTTTTGTATTCACCTGAACGCGCAGTGTCCTAAAGTGATTAACGGCTGGATAATGATCAGAAGCAGAAAGAAACAAGCAAAATGTACATTGGGCTGATTTCTAATTTCTAATGTAAAATGAATATTTCTTGTAGTTTGAATGCAGATATTAAAATGAATGCCATAAATTCTTCAGTCATTTTTATTTTTGTTGTATCTTAGAGGGCCAAGCTTAGCGAAGTGAAGAAACAGGAGGAAGAACTACTCGAAATTCAGTCGATTCCTCTAAGGAATTACCTCATGAAGCATGTGATGCCGACTCTAACAATGGGCCTAATAGAGTGCAGCAAACAGAGGCCTGATGATCCCGTTGACTTCTTGGTAAGTCACGTAAACAGTTATCCATATCTTATCAAACATTAACTTGGCATTTCCAAAGACTGCTCACCAATATTTGCTGCAATCAAAAGGCGCTTGCGAGTTTAAGTTCAAAGCACGATTTCAAATGTCTTGTAAAAGCAAGAAATTAATTGTTTGTTTTATTCGTCTTGGTTTTTTTCCATTTTCTTGGTCTCTCAGTTTTTTACCTATTCTAAGTTCTTTGCCACACAGTAATATTTTTCTTACTTAGACTCTGGATTGCAATGTTGTCAAAATTTGGTTCAGAACAGATAGAATAGATAGATCAAGTAATCAAATGAAACAAATTATACGTTTTTCATCTGTTTCTCTGTTTGTTTAGAAAATGGCTGAACTTAGTTATTTTAGATCTAGCTAGATTCACTGCTTTGGTATTTTGTATGTATTTGAAGTCTTAAAGGATATTTTTGGACTAGTTTCCCCTTCCTGGTGAAGTTGTGGTTTTAATTTGCTTCAATTTTCTTTCTAGGCCGAATTCCTCTTCGAGAATAACCCTCAAATTGATTGATTGAGAATTATCCTGACATTTCGAGCATTATTTAGTTTATGTACATGACCCTATTCCTTGTTTTGACTTTGTATATAACGAATTTCCGAGAAAAATCGTATATTTATTAGCCTCTCGCTGTTCCGGGTTCACTGCATGCTTCGGCGTGGTTTTACAACCATTGTTACAGGAAAATTGATCTTCAAAATTTTCATATATGTGGCTTTGGATAACACAATCTTTGTTGCGAAGCAAACAGCGAAGATATGTTCCTATTGACATTTAGCTTCAACGCCCAGCAAATTTTCTTGGAATACCAAGCAGTTGGCGTGCTAGTTTTGTGTTTTTCATTTCTTTCCCAAAGTACAGTAATGATCTATAAGCAGGCTAAGGTCGCAGCTGATAGTATGCTGTTGCTCGCAGCTCATACCTGCCAAGCTACTGTGCTGCCTTGCCATAAGATTTTGCGTCCAAATACTTAAGTTTATGTAGAAAACGGCAATTGAATTATAAGAGAACCATATTTTTGTTATTCGTCGTTTATTCGTTAAAAAACAAACGCAGGACGAAAACACAATGTTATTAGCACAATGTAAACACACGATTTAGTATGAAAACCACATCATGAATAACAGTACTGTTTACAAAATGCCACTGAAGGAACCACCAATCAAAACGTTTATCTATTTAGAACACATTTCAGAAAATCACAACACTTTTCACAGTTTCAAATTTCAATATTTTGTCGCAATATGCAGGAATATACAGAATTAATGACAGAGTTGGCCAGCACGCTCTCTTGGATTTTTACTTGGCGCGTACAAAGTAGTTCAAATTATTGAAAACAAACATTTCAAAAGAAAACCCCTTTGCGAGCAAAGAAGAAAATGTAAGATCTTTAGCTTACCCCGTTAGGCTTTAAAATTAGTTAAATTGCACAAGACCTACCCAAAAAACGCAAGGCTCCACCTAAACGGGCACTCGCACAAACTTAGGGGACAGAGTGCACCTCATGTTCACCGGTGCCCGCGTCACTTTCCTGTAAAGAGTAAGTTTTTTCAATTTTTATTGTATTACCATCAAAGTTCTTAGTTTTATTATTATATTAGGGTTTTTAACTAAAAACAGGGCCTCTGACAAACGATGGGGAGGGGGCGGGGGAGCCATGCCCCCCAAATTTTTGCAAAACAAATGGAGCTATGCTGCTGTTGCTGCTAATGTTGCTGTTGCTGTTCCGTCTGCTCTATTTCTTGTTTTGGCGGGTAGGAAGCGATGGCTGATGAAATGGATGTTCCCTCATCTGAAGACGAGAGCACTGATTGGAAAAGTATTCCTTATGGCCAATCTGACGACCAACCAGAAAAATTGATATGCAATGTAAATCAGGTGAATGCAGGACATGCTCACAACGCTATATCTGAAAGTGAAATCCCAGTTCAGAGAATGGCCTTGAATGATCATAAAGCAGGAATGAAGGGGCTTGATAAAGAAAAGATTAATCAAATAATATTCGAAGCAAGCAAGGGATCTAAATTTTATGAAAACGAGAAGAAAAAGGAACAGAGGGTAGCAGAGAGAATAAAAGCAATGAAGGAGCAAATGCAGACATTTACGGACATAGATTTCAAAAAAGCTAAAAGAGAGGCAAGATTATTTGCTAAAAATGCTGAGCTTGAGAGAGATCTTAGTCACATAATCGTACATGTAGACATGGATGCTTTCTATGCCGCTGTTGAGACAAGAGACAACCCTAAGCTAAAAGATATACCGATGGCTGTTGGCTCAAACTCTATGTTAAGTACATCAAATTATGTTGCTCGAAAATTTGGAGTAAGAGCTGCAATGCCAGGATATATTGCTAAGAAGTTATGCCCTAATTTGACTATTGTTCGTGAAAATTTTCAGAAATATCGTGAAGTCAGTAACCAGGTGCGTGATATAATTTCTGAGTATGACCCAAATTTTTGTGGAATGGGTCTTGATGAGGCATATCTGGATATTACAGATCATGTTAACATTATAGAGGAACAGGGAAATGGGAACACTACCAGCTCTACCTGTACTGGAGATAAAGGTGCCGAAGAGAGACAAAAACTGGTTGAAGGCATTGTTCAAGAGTTAAGAGAAAAGATTTTCCAAAAGACCAAACTGACTGCTAGTGCAGGAATTGCCTGTAATGTAATGCTTGCAAAAGTTTGTTCTGATATGAATAAACCAAATGGCCAATTTTATCTGCCTCGTAATAGAGAGGCGATATTAGATTTTGTTAAGGACCTTCCCATTCGAAAGATTTCTGGGATAGGAAGAGTTAGTGAACAGATTTTGAATGAGTTTGGGATTACTACGTGTAACGATTTATATGAAAAAAGGGCTCTTCTCTTTTTATTGTTTTCAACAATATCCTTCGAACACTTTATGAGGATATCTCTTGGTGTATCTAGCTCCATACTGGACAATGAGACAAAAAGGAAAAGCATGAGCTCAGAAACTACATTTAAGGAAATCAGTGATCCAGCGAAGCTTTACCAGGTGTGTCATGAACTTTGTGAAGGTTTGGCTAATGATTTACAAAAGGAGAACCTGGCTGGCAAATGTGTCACAGTAAAGTTTAAGTTTACAAACTTTGAAGTAAAGACAACTGCAAAAACTCTACCAGAATATGTGGATACATCAGAAGAGATATACAATGCTGCTAAAGATATAATTAAATCTCAGATAAAAGCCTATCATCCAAAGAAGTTTCAGCTGAGGTTGTTGGGTGTGAGGTTGTCAGAATTTGGGATGAAGAAGAAAGGTATTCAAGGCACTCTTCATTCTTTTCTTTCAAGAGGAAATTTGTGCAGTAATGAAAAAACTAGCATTAAGCAGAACAACACAGAAGAAAAAGTGCAAGAAGACAGTTATGAAAAAACAAAGGCATCAAAAAATGACAATTCATCAAACTTTGTTATTTGCCCTGTGTGCCAAAATAGCCAACCAGCTGATGATATCAATATTCACATTGACTTGTGTTTGAACAAACAGACCATACGAAAAATGTTGTCTGTAGAAAGAAATGTTGGAACAGAAGGAGAAAAATCAGTAAAAGGAAAGAGCCAGAAAAGAAAGATAGACAGTGTAGAGGAAAAGAAGAGACCTTTAAAGAAAAAGACACTGCATTCATTTTGGAATACTGATTCAGAAAACTAAGGATAAAATTGAATCATAGAATTCATAAATTGGAGGAAAATAACAACCAGGTATTTTTCTTTTGAAATGGACAAGCTATCCATACCTTTTAAGGTAAGAAACTTCTCACAAGGATAGTAGTCTTTTTCAGAGCACATGTGACAATTATATATTTATCCCAGCCCTTGAGGCTTTATTTAAGAAACATAGGAAGCTCTATGGCTGCTTAAGTATATAGCACTTCTTATATTATTTGCTTCATGTTGATAAATAGAAAATATCACAAAGCCATTCTGTTTCTATCATTCCAGACACCATTTTTCATTCAAAAATTCACGCACATACATTAAAATTGTATTAAAAATTAAGCTAGAATACATATCTTATTTTTTAACAAATAAAAGTAATTATCTTGTAAAATGCAACTGTGGACCAATTTATAAATCTATGGTTATTCTTAGAAGAGGTTTTCTGATTTTTACTGAAATATTTATTGTAGCTAATTTCGCTACAATTTAAATTTAAAGATAATTCCTATATCTTTATCAGTTGCTCCCTTTTCTTCAATATCAAACAATAACAGTCTCAAGCAAATTAGTTTAAGGTCAAAAGCCCCTCATTAAGTTAACTATTTCTGCCCCGTTAAATTTTTGCCTCATTAATTGCAAATTTGAAAGGATTTGACTACTCAGTGCTTATCTTCAATTCGTCTGAAAAGACTAACAATGGAACAACCCAACAACTAAGGTATAATATGGTCTTATTTGAATTTTTTTAGGCAGATAAGTTAGAAAATAGCAGCCCTCATGTCAACAAAACGCTCAAATCGATAGTCTATAATTAGACTCGGATTCGATATTAAACTAGTTATACAATATGAGATTCTTATTTTTTCATTTTCAACATACAAATTGTCAAGATTCAGGAGGAGCTGGAGCTCCCCCAATAATTGTCAAACTGTAGTTACTCTCTTTATAGCAGTGTACTGTATGGGAAGCAATACAATCAATGAGCAGCCTCCAACGCCCCCCCCCCCAAATATGACTTTCATTCCAACGAAAGTTAAATCTGAAATTTCAAAAGCAATTACCGCAAGGGAAAATGGCACTGTCCTCCTCCGTAAAGTTGCATATTTCCATTTTGAACGATGCTATAGTTGAAGTCATTTAGTAAACGTAATGTAAATTTGTTTGTACCTATGTTTTGTTTACTATGATCATCCAATTTAAGACCAGACCAGTTTGTTTGAAAAATGCTTTAAGTGTGTTGTAAAATGTTTGCTTTTTTCAAAGCCATTTTCAAGAGATAAGTAGCGACATAGGCAGCAGGTCAGAAACTTGAGGGAATAAAAATAGGCTTTTGAAGACACCCTTTCTTACCTGCCAAACTCATACAAGAAGTAAGAATGCATTTTTTTATAAGAACACGAGCCTCAGAATTGGTGAAAAGTTAAGAACAAGCTGAGGCTGAGCTTCTACAGCGTTTTTTCTTAAAGTCGAGGATTTTTAGTCATGTGTGGGTGCTTTTTTGGTGAACATTCAAACCTGTCGGCAAATGAAGCTTGTCTCACTCACTTTGTTGGCAAATGAGGTTTGACTACCTCCCTAGAGTGAAAAAGCTAGCAATCGCACTGCTTACACCTTATTAAATTAAGAACAAATTAAAAACAAATAGATTTTCCAAAAAATTAAGAACAATCAGCCTGAACTTGAATTTACTGGTTCTTATAAAAAGAGCGTATTATTATTCTGTAACCAGAATATTTACTGCCTGAACTTGAACTTGAATTTACAGTCAGCCTGAACTTGAATTTAATGGTTCTTATAAAGTATCAGTATTCTGTAACCAGAATATATGGGTCATATTTTCATAAGGCGATCACAACTATGGGGCGTAGGTAGAAATTGCAAAACTGGCGGCCGCAAATTGCGCGAAAACGTATATTTTGGCATAACTGTCGTGAGCAACTCAGCTTATTTCTTCTCTCCTATTGGGTCTTGAACCTTTCTTCTTCGAGAAAGACCAGAAAAATTGCACTTCTTAAAATGAGCATGTAAAATTGGATCTATATTTTCTTAGCAACCTTTCGCGTTTCGTTTGGTTTATACACGCTTTTTTATAAGGAACCTACCTCAAGGCCTAGTTACAAAAGTTCCTAGTTCGTAAACCTCGAATCATCAAATTGTAGTACAAAAAGTTCCTTAATAGTTCCTCAATTTTCACTGCACATCGAGTGCCATAAAAATAGTACAGAAACAGGAAACACAAGAAATTTTGAATTTTGCCTTTACTTGTGGCTAGAACTCGGGAAAAAACACAAAGAAGGCTATTTATAGTGAAAATCTCACTTTAGGTGTTTTGACTACAAGCCTTAACACTTACTAGAGAGAGGGGCGAGACAGCATATGCGGAAACTACTCAAGTAAGCACTTGACACACGAACAGCAAACAATCTATGTAAGTATTGGCTGCAAATGAATAGAACCGGCTTTTTAGTTCGTGATGTTTGCAGTTATCAAATTTTTCAAATCGAAAAGGGATTTCGTTTTTAGTAGTATAAGTTCTTTAAAAATTTCGACCTTCTACATGCAGGTTCCTTATAAAGTGGTTCCTTACAAAACAGCGTGTATATGTACAGTACAAACACCACATTCGAGTATTCAACAATCCTACACCTATTTAGATTTAAATTATTTAATTACTTATACATTGTTGGAATAAACATATTGAGTTGTCATGGAACCGTTCGTTTATCTGAAACTAAGCGTGGCAGAAACCATAATCGTCTTTCGTAAGTCATCCAGAAACGCGAGTCATGTGGAGATTCAAAGATTATAATTGAGTCGGAACCAGTACTGAAGTTCATTTATAATTCAAATCAAAATAATCGTTGTCAAAAACACAAATAGCCAACTTGTGAGAAACCATGAATGGTAATCCACAAGTGACTTTAGTGTTTACAAATTGCCATGGTTACGTGAAAACAGAGATTGAACAAAGTGCTATTCGCGACAATAACTTTATTTCACTACGTTCAAAACAAAGTACGAGACAGTTCGTCGAAAATACGGAGTAAGCAAGTAATGATGCCTGGTAAATTCAGTTTAAAGGGAAGACTTTCTGCAAGATGGCATAATTCCTTCTTGAAAGCTGTCGATTTTGATCGCTGGGACCACATCCCGGAGGCAATAATACAGTATCAAAGGTTTGTCTTAAATAAGGCCTCAAACTTTGATTTTATTATCTGTAAAACCATGACGGTTTTCGATCTTGTTTAAAAATCAGTATTAATCCAGTTTATTGAATTGCAGTCATCAGTTAAGAGCATAACAATGTCTCCAGAAAAATTGCATTTTTCTTGTTTAGAAAAATATCGCAGCAAAAACGCAAATCGGCAATGAGTTTTTAACTTAAATATTGAAATGAAAATATTTTGATTATAAATTCGAATGACTCTTGAGTCCCATATACCGGGTAAGGTATTATGCATTTATTTGAATAATTTTATTCTAAAAGTAACAATTACCACTACACGTGCTTTAGATGAAACAAAATAATAAAACATAAAGTCACGGAATAACGAAGGCATCAAATAAGAAAACCAAGCAAGGGCACCGAGTATATTAATTTTCTCAATATTTTTCTTGACTTTGTTAGTAAAAGTTTCCTAATGGTATAAAAAACAGAAAGAGGAAATAATTTTCGAACGGTGCAATGCTGCATGAATACGCTGGCTATAAGGAAATAACAAATACAAAGGGGGTTGCTTTCTTTATTGCATAACCTTATTGTTCCTTATCCTTCCGTCTTCATTTCTTGTAGCTGTGTGCAGACTTTACAAATAAGAGAACTGTAATTGGACATTGTAACATTGTACTAGTAAAGTTTCTAAGTTGTAATAAGTGTCTTATGTAATAAGTGTTTACATGGCAATAGCTCATTTCAAGCTCACAATTTCTTCAAACTTGATCTCAGTACTGTTCAGTGCACGGCCTATTTGTAGCAAATGATTTTCAATGTAACTCGTCCTTATAAATTTTGTTGGAATTGGTTACTTAGATCTTTCTTAAGTTGCAAAGTAGAATGAAACATTTTTTGAAACAAACGACGCTCTTCGTACATGTGTTTCTGACCTTAACAACAAACCACTCTGTTGCTACTTCGAAACAACACCTCCACAAACACCGATGAAATAATTAACTGCTTTGTTCTATTTAGAGTTGCTCAGATGTCTAAAATAAAAATCCCGAGAGACGAATCATTCTTGTGAAATTGTGTGCTCGTAAATTGATAGGTCGTTATTTCGGAGTCATTAATATAATTAAAACATACGATTTTCGTTAGTCGTCACATTGTCTATTGAACAGCAGAGTCGCCAAGGTTGCAAGATTGGGGGAAAGGCTGGGCGGGAATAGCAAAGATGCAGGGAGAGGAAGACATTTTGTGACACACTTCTGGCCATAGTCACATTAAATATAGGCTCCAAAATACAAAACTGCTCAATTTTGATCCGTTGACATTTGGTGTGACTTTAACTGTAGTCTATTGTACCAAATCCAATCGATTTTGTTTTTGCCCGAGTTCCAGCCTCTCAGGCTTCAAAAGTATCTACCTGAAGACCACACATTGAAGCTTCCAAGATCTGCACCCGGCTGGAAATGTGATATAATGCCATCTTTTCTGGCAAGAATTGTCACCAGTTCATAAATGAATTTTAGATACTGGAAAATCAAGACAATTTCCATCTTCTCTTTCAGTACTGCTGCAACGATTGAAAATGATTTACTACAAGTCAAAGAAGCCTTTGCAACCGATCAGTTGGTGAGGATCCTTCATTAGTTGCCCCTCATACAGGAACTCCGACGAAAGGGGGCGGCATACCCCTCACTTTTTTGGAAAAATAGAGTTTTTTCAAAAACCTTTGTTATGATTGTTAAATCTTCCCCTGCCCCCCCCCCCCACTTTCCAACCTGTGTCGGAGCCCATGTCATAAACTTTAGACCCTATTATGAAAGCTAAAGACCCCAAAAGCTGGGGTTCCTCACATAAAATTATTGGAAACACTGTTTCAAGGGTTGTGTGAAATTGATGCAAGATTCGTGTTTGATCTTTATACATATTGTGTTTAAACTTAAAAATAACTGATGAACCAAGAGTTGGTTTTTATCATCAGAAACTGTATCATCCTAAATCTTCGGTATAGAAGATTTGTGACACTTACTTTCTCAAACCTATTTTAAATCGTTAGCGGAAATAAATTTATTTCAAAATATTCCAGATTGAAAGCACATTAAAAAATTTTTCAGTGACAATTCTTTGAACTGTTTCACAATGCACAGCTCTTGTTTATATACACAGTCCAATCCAAAATGTAAATCAAAGCTCACCTCCTTCTCCATGCAACTTAGGAGCACCGGGTGCATGTACCCTCACTTTCCCGAAACGGAAGTAATGTATCTTTTTGAAGATGCCCAACATGAGCCATTATCCATACATAAAAATTGACTGTGATTTGTTTTCTTCTATAGTACAACATCAAAAAAGCATGTGCATGTTTCAGAGTGCGTGCAAAAACATTGCAGGTAGGTTTTAGCAACTGCAAAGCTTTTCCTCTCTCGCCATTAAATTTTGAACAGATTAACCCTCTTTTGATCTGGTTTTTGTATTTCTACTAAATAAAAAATGCATAAAAACGTGTAAGATGTTTTGTGGTTAACGTCCTAAAAACGCAATCGGTAGAAGAAAGAATGTATTTGCAAAAATAGTTATTTTGTTCTGGAATAGACTATATTGAGCATTTGATGCAAATATTCACGACTTTATGACCAAATCAGTTTCTCTAGAGCCCTATTTATTTTATTAGCTTTAATTATGAATTGGTTCGCCTTATATACAGTGTTGTTGTTTTTTCATTCTACTTAGGATATGAACCGGGGTGAGCCGTTAACTCTTGCAGAAATTCAAAAACTCATTCCAAGTAAGTTGCTTGTTAGATACCTTTGTTTTGAACTGATTGTTATATCAAGACAGGTGCTGGTTTAAATGGAAGGTTCCTTACCCTCTAGCAGGTCTGTATCTAGCTATTGTTCTCAAATTGGGTTTCCAGGTCCCGTTCGCTGACAGAGTAGAGGAGCCATCCCTTATTTGACGAAAATTTTTAATTTGCTGATTATGCATCCTTAAATGGCAAATACTAATGGTTTTCGAAACTGAAGGTTTCTTCAAGTGGTTGTTGCCCCCTTTATGCCCCCAACAGTGACCGCGCTGCATGTTAGTATCGTAACTAGAAACTGTTGATCTAGGGAACATTTTTCGCGTTACTGTCGGGTAGCATCAATGCGTTCGCTTCCCATAATTTTTGCACAAATTTACTATAGGTCATTGTTAATGTTCCATCTTTCGCAATTAAAGATAAAATTCTGCCATAATATGCCCATTTAATACTCTTTTGGTCTAAGGTGCATTTAACGATATATTTATTGTAAGTTGTTGATATCGGATAAATTAATGAAGCTTAATACTTCTGATATCAAAATAACTCTAATATTTGATAAATTGTAGCAAAAAAGTACAGCAAACATTGAGGGACATTGCTGGTCTATCGCTTTTTGAACATTCTCTTCTTTCTTACAACAAATCTGACCAATTTTAAAGCAGCCCCTGATCACTACACTAATCTTAAGCTTGAATCTTAAGCAACACCGTAAAACAATCCAGTTCTTAGAAAAATATCAAAGTTTAAATCAAATTCTGAGAGAAAGTCTTTTTTACAGTGATGAAACACTTCTGTTGTTGGAAAGCACCCTTCCCTCTCGTTGTACATCAAAGTGACTACAGTGATGATAGGTAAGTAAATTTTTACAAATGTTTGATACCACCCAACTGACTTCTCCGCATAATCACTTTGTAAAGGTCACTCTTAAGCCAAGGAGGTTTTAGCAAACTTTTAACATTTCGAAATTTCTTATTTGTCCTTACCCTAGAAATCTAGCTTGATTCTTTCATTTTCCGTCTTGAACCTCACATTTGTGTAATTGGCAAAAATGGTCTGCAGTCCAAAATTTGGCTTTTTGGTTGCAGGTTCTTGCCTCCTCTACCTTTCTTTAAAATTGAGTTCTCAAATACAAGTATCTGGGATGCGCAACAGAATGTGGAGTTCTGCAGAAATTTAAAAAACCTGCAGCGATATACATGTAGATTGTGTACCCGGAACAGAGAGGACTGGGAATAACGGGGTTTTGTCGTGGATTAGTCTACCTTACGCTTTCTTCCAGCGTACCCACATGGAGAGTCAATTTTCATGCCTTAAAATGGAAACAAAGGGATGGGCTATTTAATTCATTGTGTTTCCTCCTCTTCATTTCTGTGTACCATTTAATCCTGCACGGTCAGGTTTGGTGCAAATACTGTGCACCCTAGCCTAGAGGTTTGTCAAGTGAAAACAGTGGTATAATACGTTCTGTGCAAATGGTCGTTTGAAGGCAGTCTGTTCCTCAGCGAATGGCTATAATGAAGAATGTGGTTTGAGCCAGCCAATGTCTGCTCTTACTAGCTATTATCGCTAATTATCATAATTTTTTAACAAGGAAGGATTCTACTCCACCAGTGAACATGAAATTAAACACATTAGAGGGCAGACTGCCATTGAAGAAATGATCTTCTCTTACATTGGGACTTAATCCTTCGTAAATGTTAATACCTGTCGTTTTGCTTGTTATTCTAATCCGTGGTTTTTTCATTATTTATCGTCTTATCACATTTTGATTTTGTAAATTAAATTGATGGACATCAATTATTTATAAGCATTTTGTCTTTAGCTCTAGTTCTAGCAGCTACCGAAGTCTGAACGAAATCAATCAAATTGATGACGAAGAATTAATAGCTACTACAAACATTTCAGGTAATCTATTGATGTGGTATGCCATTCTCTTGATTATAATTTACCACTACAAAATAGTTAGTCTTCATATCGGCTACTATGAAGTAGCCGTCTGCCACGAATTTTACTAGAGAGGTAGTTCTCAAAAGTGATATAACCATTGCTGATTTTAAATCTGTGCAATAATCCGACAATCTACTGAGTTTCATGAGAGGACATAAAGGTGGGAAAAGCATTCAAAAATGTTTGGCAAAAAAGATTCATGACCATAACACCTAGCTCTCATCTTCCGAATCCCTAACTTATTTACCAGTAGAAAAAAGAGAAAAGAATTCTTTAAACCCATTATTAAAGTACTAAGCCTAAACTGCAATTTTGCAGATTATACCCTCTGATGAGCTTCTGCGTACAAGGTTGCAAGTTTTATGTTGTCAGAAATCAATTGTTGCACAGTCACGTTTTACAAACTTTGATTATCGATAAAGCTCTTCCAGGGCCTCCGATGAAGGAGGACGGGGGACCATGGCCCCCTCGCTTTTTTGCAAAACAATAGAGCTTTTTTAAAAAAACTTTTTTATGATTGTTACACTTTCTCTTGGCCCCACCACTTTCCAACCTGCGTCGGAGCCCATGTCTTCAAATTTGTATTTTTGGTCTTAATGGGTTCCAGATTTTAAAAAAAATGTTCCTGGTGCAATTTACTTACATTGATCGTTATTTTTTCCTGTTGGCATCGTCTGTTTAAGAGAGGTCTCATTAAAGTGGATCCCTGTTAGTGCAAGTAAAATGGAACTTTGCAAATGGTAAAATGTGTTTCATTTTAATATTTAGGACAACCCCTGCTACCAATGCTAAGGCCACAGCCTGGCAAGCACCGCGTTTCAGTTAGAATCAAGAGCGTTGGTTTGAAGCATCCTGCACGTCTTATCCAACCATTTTTCTCCATCTCTCTCAAAGGTAAAAAGTCTATCCTTTATTATTTTCCAATTATATCTCAGATGAGATTGATGCCCTCTTTATCATACTTTTCCTTGGGTCGCGTATAATACGATATTAATGTAGTATTCTTCTGTAGTAGCTATACGAATAAAGTTGAACTGAATTGTATTATCTTATGTAGCATTTTTTTTCCATGAAATCTTTTATAACATTTTTGTGCTAATATTAAGCATATGAAAGACATTAGTTACAAATAGCAGCATCATAAAGTGGTATTTATTCTAGGATCTGTTACCGGCGAGTTGATAAAAATCGTTTATAATCTTTGCTTTTTACTGTGTAATATAGTTGGTGTGTATCCTTTCTCTGTAGATGACGTTGGCTTAAGTATAACTCCAACGCAAGAGCTTCGGGATTCTGGAAGGATAGAGGGCAAATTAGTTTCATACGATCAAGAAGTCCATATACAACGATACCTCGAGGACATATATAAAGGTAAAACTCGTTCATGAAGATTGGAAAATACATTTAGGAAAACTGACAGATGCTAAACAATCAATCAATAAAAGTAGACTAAGCCATCTGTCAATAAAAAATTGGCCAATCAGTGAGTGAGATACAAAGCAAACGCATTTTGATTGGCTAATATTGATAACAGAAGGCTTATGCCATTTTGGTAACTGGCAACTTTCTTTAACGTACAGCAAAATAGTTTATTCCAATGTTGTTCTTCATATTTCATCATCAAAGCTTTTCTATTTTAGTTGATTGTTGTCATTTCTGCGTTAAGAATTTGATTCGAACTATTGCTAACAATGAACCAAGAAAAAAAGAAAATGTTAAAGTCTTAGGAACCATACTTAGATTGCAAATATTCACATATTTCCAGTCTCATATATATTATACATTAGCGATCTCAAATAAACCTTTTCAGTTTAAGGCAATCATTTTAAATTAACGTTTTTTTGCTTTTCAAGGTTGTGCTATTTGCTTTGAGTTAAAACACTATAAACAAAAACAAAGATTTGAGGATACCAAATGCTACACATTTCTAGACGCTAACGTCATAAAAACAGGGGAATACGTCTTGAATTTGTAAGTATATTTCCAATTAGCGATATTTTTTATATTTGAATTATTAGGCAAAACGTTCAAAAACCTTCTTCAAAAATCGATTACGTATTGCTACGATGCTCAAACATAGTCAAGACTCATAATCAAGATAAATGTTGTTATGCTTTGGAATTTGGTCGCCAAACATGCTTCAAACATGGCGTTATTCCTTTATGTTTTAAAACAAGGTTATGAACTAAATTTTAGTTTATAAACTTTAAAGGTACTATGTCGCACCGTTCATTGGTTTACCCGAATAAAAGGAAAAATTTAGATTCAAGTGAATTTTCTGAAGGCTGCACGGAAAATGAAAGAGGTAGTTGCTTACCTTAGAGACGCTAGCCTGCTTCTTGACTTCTATCTTCTATTTCCGCGCTCAAAATTATTTGGCTCTGGTACCCGGAGTACACCTTTAGTGCTTGTTACCTGCTATTGGTGAGCTATGCTTATGAATCCTGCGTCGATAATTTGGAGGACTCTCGAAATTCAACAAGCCACACCTACGAACAGTGCGACCCACTGGCTTTAATGGAATAGGGGCAGCAGCTAGCTATTGTATGTTGCATATCAAGTATTCAAGTATAGGAAGATTTAAAGATATTGAGTTGAACCAGTAAATGTTTTTGATTTAATTGATAATTTATTGTAACTGGTTTTGATGATTGATTTTCTTTCTCTTTGGAAATGTTTCTCTTCTTTTCATTCTAGATTCAAGAAACCCGTTCAGTATAACAGGAAGAAATTGATCCCACTGTCGACAAAGCCGTTATATCTATATCTGTATGTTACGGTTTATGACAATTGAATCTTATTTTAAGACATTTTAGATTTATGAAAAGTTTTCTTAAAATTTTGTCATATCTAAACCGGTGATCTTTGTTTAATCTTAATCGAGTTTGATCAAAAGAGAAATAAATCATAATACATAATTCTAATTTCGACCAAAATTAAATAGCCCGAGTTTGCTGTAGTTGCCTTTCCTGTAGAAGCTCATTTCCATCACTAGATGTAAGAACTATCACAAAACCTTGGGTAGCAAAACTGTATGTATTCTAGGCCTGGCAGGTTTTCTAGAAAAATACAATTTCAAATAGCCGTAATTCATTTAAACAAAAATATATGTTTTAAGAAAACCGATCTTTAGTAGTAAGGTTTCAGAACATCGGAATAGCCAGAGGTTTTTTTGCTTTTTCAAATCATTTCTGGGATATTTCTAGGCCCCTAAGATTTGGGACCGTTAGAAGTTGCTCTACTTCTTTAGGCCACTACACTGAATGCTGCTTACTGAGTTGAGTTGAGATAAGAAATTGTTTTAGATTCGAATAGTAGATAACTTTCTGTGCGTCTAATCCAAAATAGATTTAAGTCAACTGCTGTAACAGCCTTTAATATATAAAATCATCGAATACCGGTTGAATAAAAGCATTTGAAGTAAAATTTAATTCTAATATTTATTTTGGTCTAGCATTTCATATGTCCTGAGTTAGCTGTGATCCACCCTGAATGCTTCTAACAGCTCACGTGAGTAAGACTACGTGAGTAAGACTACGTCAGCAAGACAACGTCATTAAGACTACGTCAGTAAGATTAAGTCAGTAAGACTCAGTAAGGACATTGTTTAATAATTTTAGCTTATTCATATTGATCTAATCATTCATTTTTAAACAAGTTAAAACTTCAGTTTGTGATTTCGTTTTGTGTATATAGAACTATGCCATATTGTAAATAAGAAAACACAGTTACCTCTTGAGAAATTTTTTGATAGCAAAAAGTATTATACCAAGCCTGTTGTGTATATACTTGTCAGTCTTACATGAAATGAAATCCGCCAGGGCTGTGCAGAGGCAAAATTAAGCGCATAAGATAGTATTTCACCCCTGAGTCTAATTATCTAACTTTCCGCAAGATCATATTTTACTATCATTTTCGGTACAAACATATTGGTACAAATGCATTCTACAGAACATACAATAGCTTCAGTTGAGCAAAACTATGCGATAATCTCTAATGTATTATGTATTTGATTAGCCAATCACATAGAATAAATTGCTTACTCCTTATCAAATCATTATTGCTCATAACAATCCACAATAAGACTAACCACATAACAATCCAAAATAGGAAGTCTAAATCTTTTATTGGTCGTATTTCGCTGAATTTTCTACTAATTTAACTGAATTTGCATTTTTATGGTGTTCTTTTAGGTTACGTGCAGGCACCTTGCAGCCATTGGGCTAGAAGGGGCTATAGACCCCCACTTTACTCTAACGCAACTTTGGATAGTTTACTCCTATGCAGTAGCAGTTCTCGTTGAATGGGAACCATTTTTGTTCATTTTCCAGGTGTTCATCTTGTTTAATAATATGATGTATTTTTCTAACTTGGTTAGCTTGGTATTTCATTACCCTCAAGATAATTTTATCTATTTTTAAAGTTATTGATATCTTCCCTGAACCATGCTGTTTATAAGGATTAAGAAGAAATAAACAAGTATTTTTTAAAAGAGGCCTTTTCCTGGCGTTCTAGAGGGCATGGTCTGAAAATTTTTTCGGTCACACCCATTTCAGCCCCTCCACTTTTAGACTGGTGCGCGGTCCCTGGTTGCGTGGTCAAAATTGAAAACTTCTAAAATAGATTTTTGAAAACGTTACACTCGTGAACTCATTTCGAAGCTTATTTGCAGCTTGCAGCTTCTATCCATGGCCTCTTTTATCTGGATAGTTCCCCTCGCATTCTTACTCTCGAGAATGAATCTGACGTTTCTGCAGCCTCGTCGTTGATATTTGCTCGCTTGATTTTCGTCCCTCCAAATTTTACTATCTTCTATTTTGAAATTTGCAAGTTTAACATTTTTTTTCCAAGATCTATCTTTCAAGCTATTTTGCAGATTGGTAACCTCTAGCAATATATCAAGGGGCGTCACTTCATACTTTTTGTTGGGGGGGGGGGAGGTGGCTGCATATTTGCCCTGCAGAAAAAATTTTGCCCTGGCAAAAGTTGGAAATATTGGGAACTGGCCCTCACTTCCCGTAACACTAAAATACTTCGTAAAGTAAGTTGTTCCCGCTTAGGTCCTTGCTCAGTGTGTCCACAAATTTCACCGATGTGTTTGCCTATCCTTAGGGAGACGAGCAAGAGAAAGTTTTTAAAGAGTGAGGGAACCCTCCATCCTGGATTCAAAGAGCATGCGCTCATTTTTTACAACACACTTTCGATATACACACTAGCATCTCACAAGATAAGAGTATCAAAGCTTCCCTCTATGCTGTCAAAAATCATTATGGGGAAACTACCCTGCTGCAAATAAAATACAACAGATGGTGATTTTTATTCTCAAACATAATTATATTGCCTTTACTCTCTTTTTTTATAAGAACAATTTTATAAGAAACACGAGCTTCAAACTTTGTCAAAAGTTGAGAACAAATTAAGAACAAGCTGAGGCTGAACTACTGTAAAATGTATTTTCGAACAATGTTTCATCTCAAAAACGAGGAGTTTTTTGCCATCTTGGGATGCTTTTTCGATAAACAGAGGCGGATCCAGAGTGAGTTCCTTGGTGCACAGAACTCAGTCAGTTTTCCGACATATAGCTAAAAATAGTGTTGCCTGAAACAAGTAATATTTAAACTAAAAAAGTGAAACCTAAATTTCTAAGTTTCATCACAGTGTCTTCAAAATCATAAAATTGCCAGTTTGATGTAATTTGTTCGCCCTTTTCGTTCCTTCTTCTCTGTCATGTTTTGAAACAATTTTCCAGATGCTATGGAGGACAACAGCAGTCAATCCTAAAACTCGGAAATGAACGTCTTGTGCTTTGGAAGGGATTTAATTGAAAAAATGGAATTATTGTTTGAAACACGGATGGAACTCGGTCAAAACAGCATCTGGAACTCGGAAATGATACCATATTTGCAAGAGATTTGTACAATAGCCAGTAGTTAATCGGCTACCTATTGTTTCTGTTCTATTATGGAACTGCTAAACATTGAATTCAAAATGGCGACTGCAGATGTCTTATATGGCCTTATACTCACGACTCTAGCAGCATTCTAGCAAGATTTATTGAGTGGTGAGTACCTCCCCCCTGTACTTACTATTCTCTTCCCCCCTCGTGGTTCCAAAATGCATAAATATGAGTGGTAATGTTGTTTTAGGCACAATTATTAATAATCTGAAAGACCTTTGCCTTGGCCTGGAACTCAATCAGGTTTTTTGCTGGATCCGCCCCTGAATGAATGTTCAAACATGGCGGCAAATGAAGGTTTTCTCAAGATCTTTGTTGGCTAATGAGACCTGGACACCTCCCTAGAGCGAAAAGCTAACAATCGCACTGTTTATACCCTATAAATTTAAGAACAAGTTAAGAACAATTCAGCCTCAGATTTTCGAAAAAAAGTAAGTACAACCAGACCTGAACTTCAAGTTACTGGCTCTTATTAAGGAGATTGTAATGGTAAATTTTATTAACCTCCCTTAAGACACCGCAATGGGGAAACACTTTGCCCCAAATCATGCCAACATATTCATGACAACAATAGAAAAACATGTCTTGAGAAATGCCCCGATGGGGTGTAGTCGAATATTTTGGAAAAGATTTATCGATGAAATAATCTTCACCTGGCTAGCACAAGCTTGAAAACCTAAAGAAATTTTTCAATGCACCCTATATCATCCACAAAAAAATAGATATAAAAACCATATATAGCCGACGCCCTTCTTAAAGTCGTGCTTCTGGTTACAGTCAAAGCAAATTTAGACCCAAATGTGCAAAACTATTCCATCAAATTTTGACCCAAATAGCCCCGTTTACAGTGTTTTAATTTTCTGGCAAGCGGTGCTTGTCTTTTTAGTATGGTTTTAAATAGGACACAAATATAAACCAAGGGTGTAACCGTAGAAATGGGTGTAACACTCAGGTGAAAGGAAATCAGAATCAATTTAGAAATCTATTCCATCCAGCCCAAGATCACGCTGGCAATTTCTAATTCGTGTCACTTGTAGTCTGTATCATTTTACTTTTGGAGTAGACAAATTTCAAGCATAACCTACTTTCTTGTCACAGTTACATAAGAAAAACAACAAAACAGATCCGTTGGTAGAAAACATTTGCCCTGTAAAAATCAGTTTTGCCCTGGGAAAAAGTCCTACTGTCGTGGTTGGGAGGTGAGCCACCCCCCCCCCCATTCCCACCTCAAGTGACGCCCCTGAATATATCACATCGATATCAATTTTGGTTTTGTTACCCCGTATTCCCTCGCATAAATCTGTTATATATCGAGTCTGTACAATGTACCAAGCTTAATGTATAGTTCTCTTCATCAGCGTAAAGGATGCTAAACGTTTAGGACGGCTTATTATGGATCTTGTCCGAATATTCAGGATAACGTTCTTTTGAAACAACAGAGTTCTGTGACACGGGGTGGCGGTTGTTTCAATTGTCTCGGACTGGAAACTTTGTCGCGCGCCCGCGATATATTGCCCGCGCACTCAAATTTTCCATCCGCGCACTTCTGCATTTTGGCCGCGCAAAGTCCCAATTTGAATACATTTCACATTAATAACAATACAAATTTCTTAAAAGTGCGTGATTTCAGGCGCGCAGTCGTGCAGTTAGGTGCGTGACTTTGCCCGCGCAAGTAACAGAGTTTCCAGTCTGGCGATTGTCCCAATACACCTTTAATAAATATTGAATGGCCCCCAAACAAATTGTCGCTCTCATAGATATCTAGGATGGCCAGGTCCATAGACTCGCCAGACAGTGTAAGGGATGTTTATTGACAATTCGTCCAAATGAAAAGTTTGACAAAGGGGTAGGGGTGCCTGACATAATGTGGCAAAGTAAAATTGGCAAAAATGTTTCCTGAGTTTTGGTTCAAAAATCCAGATAGCTATGTAGATTGTATCTGTGCTCAGCATATTTTCTTAAAAAATATGAAATATTCAAAGAAAAAATAAGCAATGAAAATAACAACCAACTTTGAAAGTTTTTCATTTTCTACAATGATACAATGACATAGAGTGCTAATATATGAAAAATAATTACATATAGAGCTCCAAATTCTAAAATTGATGAAATTAAATTCGAGAAAATCATAAAAAACAACATAAGCTAGAAAGCAAAGCAAAGAGTCTGAAGACGATATCACAAAAAGAATGAAGACACAAAAGAGAACAAAAAAATGTCAGGGGATCCACGTTTTCGATCTTTCTGTGAAAGCAGAAGATTTCTCACAGACTAAGAAAGTAAGTCAGTGTGGGTGTGATGGAAATGCAATTGCTCATTATTCAGATTCATTGACAGTTTTATACCTGAAATAATCTATAAGCTCTTGAGAACTCCTCCTCTGCCCGGGAATTCCCTCCTCGCGCTTGTTGTTTGGGCATTATGATTGTTATTATGACAGTCACCTATAATACGTCATTGGTTTATTTCGTCAAAAAGTGAGAAAGCTTCCATGAAAATCGCAGAAAAGTTTGGTCATTCTAACTAAGATGGCAACGCTAAAGAGCGGATGGCTTGATAAATACAGTAAGTTTCTTCAAACTTAATTTTTTTCTCGTTTTCCTGAAGCCAAATGCTACCATAGCAAGCGAATATGTTCGCATCGCTAATCAACCAGTAAACAACAACATCTAGGCCCTTGCGTGAGAGAATCTCCCAACAGATTTGGTCTTATGTTTTTAACTCAAAACATTATTTTATTGATCCACATCGGTCTCATTCAGATGTGAAAGATTCTTATTATATTGTATTGATGTCTCATGCACTATAGAGTTACAATTTCTTCCATTCTAAACGTCACCTAGTTGGACTGATACATTTTCTACTCAGAGTCTGCGCTTCTTCTACACGGGAGACTTGTGAGTAGGTAAGGGCTTGGAAAATATTCCTTTTATGCCAAGGAAATCAACGGCTTTGGTTGCACACAAGCAATGCACCAGCCTGGACGACGACATATTAAAGCCAGATATTACAGGGTTTGCATGAACCTGGCCTTTTGCTTGCATCAACCATCCTCCTTAACAAAATACAATATTGATTTGCTGAATGCTTTTGGAAAGAAAATTATCCCCTTGTTTCCTTCATGAAAGTCTCCAGTGAGCATTAAGAAGGAGATGTGCTTTTGACACCATATAATTTCTATTTTGTAAAGCAATCAAGCAAAAAGAGATGTGTATGCAAATTTTTAAATGTTGACATATTTTTATTTTCAGGTGGAACAATATTCAAATCTTGGAAAAAACGGTATTGTGTATTATATAGAGATGGAGAACTTGCAGTTTATGACAACCCCCAAGAGGCCTCTGCACATACGCGAATAATTTTGACAACTGATTGCAAGCAGATCAACACAGGTTTTGCTTGTGGTTCGATAAATCTTCCCAAAGGAAACAGCAGTGTTGACTCATTGTTTTGCATAATAACACGAAGTGGAAAAGAGCATTTCTTTGCTGCTGGCTCAGACAGGGAATGCTCGTATGTACCTTTTAGGTCATATCAAATTTTAAATGATTTTGAGTGGGTAAATGGCAGAAAACAACTATATAGCCTCAATGCACTTTGTGCAGTCCTGTCTATGGAGACGGCTTTGATGTCCCTGAAAAAAGGTTGCAAAAAGGCCCAGTTATCAACTATTCCATTTAAGTCATTCAGCGTAACATGATACGGTTAGCTGTATCACTTTTGATCCTTTTAGCAAAATGAAAGGCAAATCCATATTGTTTTGATATGGATTAAAAAAGTGATCTGTATCAGTGTAGACATGACCTATACCTATCACTGAAATCCATATCAAAAGTTATCCAAAGCAGTGTTGATAGTGTATCAGTTAAAATACGAGACCTCCTTGCTTTAGATGACAATAGAATGATGTTGCAATTGAAGCTATGTTGGATGTCTCCTTCGAGTTAGTTTATTGTAACTTTTGAATCTCTGCAACCAAATGCCTATCTGATAAGAAGTTGATTAATGCAGCCACTGCTTGGCAAAGGATTGGTATTATAGGGACAATGTTTTCTTGGTAGATTTACTTTTCAAGCCTCCTGCAATAAGAAAGAATCACCTGTTTGAAACCAGTCATTGTCAAGTTTTCCTAAAGATCTGTCTGACATTGATTGTGGTAGTGTAGCATCTTGAGTACACAGTGCTGATGTCTTGAACAACTTTGTTTTATTTGAACTGTTCAGTAGCTATAACAAGATTCATTTTTCTAATGGATTCACTTTCCTAAAGAAATAATGCTGCTCTTCCCTCTTTACAGATAATTGTTTCCTATGCCCTTGACTATACTCACAATGTCACTAGACCAGATATGTTTAATTCAACTATAAAGCTTGATTTATTTTGTAATCTCAATATTCAAACTAAATGCACATACTTTCTTCTTAGAGAATGGGTTGCATTCTTAGAACAAGCAAGAAGATCAGTGGTAAGATTTTTGTACTAACTATTATTTATCCTATCATGAGAAATTTTTCATTGACTTGACCAAACACAGATTTAAGCTTGTGCCACAGACCACATACTGAAGGAGACACATTTTAGGATCTTTAGACATTTTGTACAGAGTAATTTGTCTTTCCACCTCTAAAATAGAGACCATTTTGTGTACAAAGAAATGCGTACACTATGTAGTAGGTCATGGAAAAAGCATACAAAGGCATACAAAGGCCCTGTTTGCACAAGCCTGGGTTTGCTGCTACCCACCTTAGAGGGTCAACCAGTCTACAGTCAAATCATCAAGGCCTTGGGTGCCCCTACCTTGAAGTTGTTATTAAAAAATTAACTTTGCACCCACTCTATTAAACTGAAAGTCAAATGCTTCCAGGAAATACTGAAAGTCCAATGCTTCCAGAATCCTAAACGCTTCCAGGAAATATTGTAAATATCAACAAAATTAAACTACATTATCCATCATTTGTGGTTTTGACTTCAAAATGCAAAAGCCCAGGAAATGACCTTCATAGCCAAGTTATCTTATAGCTTAATAGCCTCAGCCTTACTCCAGTTACTTTTAATCAGGGGTCTGGAATTCAGGCCAATAGCTTAACCCACTTTAGGTAGAAAACTAGTTTTTTGAAAGAAGATTGTCTGTAGCACATCAACCATCTAGGTGTTAGGAAGGGGCGACGCAGAGTGATATCAAATTGCTATTACATCAAATATATGTACTCTGTGAGTTCTTTACCAGTGAATATTTAAATGATTGTTTTAGGACATCTCCTCAAAGTCTGTGTATGGATATGTACGGGTGGACTGGACCCAATAATCCGTGCCTTGGTAATATTGGGTCTATGTGTAGGCGGATAGCCTTTGTGACAGGTGGCTACCTTTGGGGCCGATTAGACACCAGCAGCTCTTTGCCTTCTGGTGAAGCCCCTTGCTATCAAAGGATTGCCATTGGAGCGTGTGTTCCTTCCCTTAAGTGAGAAATTTGTTTTCCCATGAGAAAATGTCTGAAAGTTTGTAAAGGCAGCGTAATTATTAGTGTGTAGACGATTATATATTAAAAAGAGAAATAAAAATGCAACAAACAAGTCACAGAAAAGAAAAAGTTGTAATTAAGTAATGTTATAAAATCACAGACTCATCTTTAATAACCAAAATTGTATGCAATAGTATGTACTTTATATCTGAATCACCTTAAATTCAATTTTGTCTGAATCGGCTTTTTACTAACTTCAACATCGGGTCAGGACGTCCATCATTTTGAGGCGAAGGCCCTGCTCATGAGTTAATTTGCCTAAATTTGCAAATATAAAAGGAAGAAAGCCATTGAAACATCCTGTCTTATACATCTATACAAGCAGACGCGAAACGATTTGTTTTTTTTTCGCGTCAAGCTACTTCGTCCTCCACGAGATGAGCAAATATCTGATCTCTTGCTATAAAATCTGAGCTTGTAATAGCAAAGCAGCGGGATTTGCGTTCCTAACAATAGCATGTTGGGCCGTAAACAAAAGGAGATATGATGCAATGTACTATTTTTTCCTTCATTTGCTATTAAAAAGGCCTAAATACTAGCATGGCCATTCTGTGGCTGAAAAATGAGGCTCCTCTCATGCCGTGGTATATTGGCTTTTGATGAAAGGTCTGCTGCAACTTTGTTTCAATGAACGAGGCAATTACAACTAGAACCGCGGTTGAAAATGTTTGTGTTCCGTTTTATCTTTCTTACATTAAACAAGAAGTGGCCTTAAAAAATTTACTATTAAAATAATGGCAATAATTGCACTGTCCGTCACCCCTGTTGTGTTAGCGATGCCAGAAGGCGGGTACATTCTTTTTTTAGAAATGTGCCCAATGTTTTACTAGTTCCCTCTTAAGAACTTGATCCATCCCTACCTCAGCCCTGCCTAACTTTGCAAGACTTTGCAAGACAACAGATGTTTAGCTTGATATGAGGCCTCATTTCTATTGACTCTAGGCAGACCTGACAATGAAAAAGTCAATAGCAACTTGTATATCTGTAGCAACAAATAAATGAATTTTGAGGCTCAGTTCCCTTGCACAGAGGCTGCCTTAGATACTTTATGTCAGCAAATAGTTAAAATCTGACAATCTACATAAGTATTCTTTGTGCACAGAGGCAGGCTACCTACCTTTCAATTTGCTATTCGTGGGAATTGAATGCTTGTTGCTTGATATATCAATCAATTTCATTTTGAAATATTAGTTCATTATTTAGACCTGTTCATAAGCATGTAACCTGAGAATAAAAATAAGAAGTTTTTTTAAGTCTAAAGATAGAAACTCGCCATTAAAGTTGTTGATTAGTGAATGCCACAGTTGCCTGACAATCGCATTGATAGGCTGTCTTATCGTAAAGACTAAAAGCATAAATTGAAGAGATAATTTTGTCATTCATCTTTTGTAGATTACCCAGTCAAATGTAGTACCACATGCCCCACCACAACAACCATTTGTATATCAACAAAATGTCCAAGGAGGTAACACTTTATATTATACAATATCACATTTTGTTCTTGTTACCATTTCAACATACATCCTCTCCTTTACTTAAATTCTTCTTGCTCATCTAACCTTGCTTCATAACCATTGTGGTATCAGTTCTATTTGACATGATCAATTCGATTTTTCCTTAAATTTTTTTTAAGATTAAAGCATTTCTTTTTACATTTTTAAGGCTGAAAATTAATGTTTGAATATAACTATTTGAATTTCTCACTTTTTACTAAATTGTTTGTACTGAATTATTATTTTGGGTTGCTTGACTTTTTTCTGATTTAGTCTCTTACCTTTCCTTTCTTCCTTGCATAATATAATCAGACATAATTCAAACATAAAAACTATGTTAATGTATTGGCTTGTTTACATTATAAAACAAAAAATGAGAAAATTTCATTTTCATCGTCTTGAAGGTAAACTTTCAAGAAAGAAAGCATTTTCTAAACCTTTTTAAAGCTAATTGTTATCTTTTCAGGTCCACCGCCAGCATATAGTGCTGCACCACCCCAGCCTGGTGGTTACCCCCCTTACTATCCTGCACAGCAGTATAGCTACCAACAGGCACCCATCTATGGCCAGCCTGGCTATGGACCACAACCAGCATATGCACCCCAACCAGGTTATGGGCAGCCTGTTTATGTCCAAGGTGCTCCTCAGCAACAACAAAGTTCAAACAATAACTCGACAAGAAACATGATGCTTGGGGCAGCTGCAGGTGGACTTGGTGGCTATATGCTAGGTAGCATGGTAGGCAGCTCAATGAGCCACGGATGGGGACATCATGATAGTTTTGATCATGGATGCTTTGATGATGGTGGTGGTTTTGACTGTGGAGGGGGTTTTGATTTCTAGCATAACATTTTGGATATATTTGTATTTATAATAATAATAATAAGCGTGAGACTAATCTGTATAGGAAGCAAAGCATACATAGTGTACAACAATGTAAAACAATGTCAGCTAGAACTCCAAGACGTGGTATTGTCTCTATCTGATCATGTTTGCTAATGAAGTTGGCCCTCTGCATCCATGACCAACCTGAAAGCACTCCCCTATCCAGGAACACCAGTGTTGGGCCACACTTGATTCTGTTTCAACAGTCTGTTTAACCAGTCTTTTATGTTGTTTTTGGCACTGTGCACCTATTTATTTTTTTGGATAGATTGTAAGCATGGTAAACATGGAGGGAGAGAATTGTGGAAGTATTTGGGGAAGGCGAACTTGTGTTTTAGGTCTTTTGTCTGTAATTGTTGTCTTTTGCAGGCAATTTGGTTGTTTTTCTAGGTTTTGCCCCCCCCCTCCCTACTTGAAAAACGAACTTCTGCCCATCGTTTCCAAAGACTGAAAACTCTAAGATGAGGCTGAACTACACAAGAACATCCTAAGAACAAGCCATAGAACCACCCATTGAAAGGCTGAACACCCTGAAGTCTTATGTTTTTGGCAACTGATGTTTCGTGCGCTAGAAGCGTGAATGGGGGTGTTATTGAGGGGTGTTCAGCCTATTCTTGAAGTGTTCAGTCTTTAAGAAGCGAGGAACTTCAGCCATTGGCATTTATGGCTTAAATAGATTGGCCTTTTCTTCACAGATCCAAAAAGATAAGGATTTTGTTGATTTATATTTCTATCAAGCTAATATGCAATATTCTGAAGCACATTTACATCTCTGTGCACATGTTCGTTCAAGAAGGTTCCCAACAGTGCTCACTAGATGCGTCGGAAACCCTCATCTAACAAAATTTTGACCAGTTATCTTTGTAAACCATCAAATGCTTCTCTACACTCAAGCCTTGCTTACATATAAAAACTTTAATCTTTTTCGACAAAAATGATAATCAATTGGTCAATTTTGACTAAATTAAATAAAATTTGATTAGATTGGAATAATTATATTTAGAATTGAAGGAATGTTTCAAAAGAAGAGAAACACAACAAGATAGTTTGAAAGCTAAATCTGTTTATTATTTCGCAATTCTATGTTTTCTGTAAATAAAACGAAAATATATTGCCTTGTATCTCGCTTGATTTTCTTTTTTCTTCTTTCTTATGTCATACATTAATAGTGAGGAATGACTCACAGCGAACCACAACGACCCACAAGGGACCAAACAACCAACAATAACTCACAACGAATCAGACAGGGGCGTCACTTAAGGGGGGTTCACCCCAAACCACGAAAGTAGACCTTTTCGCAGGGCAAAAGTGATTTTTGCAGGGCAAATGTTTTCTACCAACGGATCTGTTTTGTTGTTTTTCTTATGTAACTGTAACAAGAAAGTAGGTTATGCTTGTAATTTTTCTACTCCAAAAGTAAAATGATACAGACTACAAGTGACACGAATTAGAAACTGCATGCGTGATCTTGGGCTGGATGGAATAGATTTCTAAATTGATTCTGATTTCCTTTCACCTTAGTATGTATATCGAAAGTGTGTTGTAAAAAATGAGCGCATGCTCTTTGAATCCAGAATGGGGGGTTGCCTCACTCAGTAAAAAACTTTCTCTTGCTCGTCTCCCCATGGTTAGGCATACACATCGGTGAACTTGTGGACACACTGAGCAAGAACCTAAGCGGGAACAACTTACCTTAAGAAGTATTTCAGTGTTACGGGAACTGAGGGCCATTTCCCAACATTTCCAACTTTTGCCAGGGCAAAATTTTTTCTTCAGAGCAAATATGCAGCCACCCCCCCCCCCCCTCCTAACAGAAAGTACGTAGTGACGCCCCTGGATTCAGATCACACTTTGTCTTTGAAAAATACCTTTTAACTCTTGTAATGCTGATGAAAATGTGTAGCCAGTCTAGATTACTATTTAATTTTCAAAAAATCTGGTGCTTTTTATCTTTTATTTCATTTATCCCTGTCAAAATGTTTGGTTCCCTTGAAAACAAACAGCCTATGTAAGTTGCATTGTATATAAATTAAACTGAACTATAATCAATCATTGTTGAACATCCGTTTTGAAAACTTGTCACTTTGAAAACATTTTACTAAGGAGTCATGAATGAAGAGCTTAATTTTGTTAGAAGACGTCAAAGAAAATTTTAAAATTATGCAGTATGAAATTATTTGCTGTGCCGTTTTTTGTAGAAAGTGTCTTTTTGCAATGGCTTTCGATCTTACTTACTAGCATTTTTACCCGATTACCAGAGTCCTATTTCAGAACTACGGTCTGACATACCTCCCTAACAGTTTGTGATCCAAAGTCAAAAGAGCGTTCACACTACCCTTCCTTCTTCCCCTCTTATAAAATGAATGTGCAGACACCAACTTGTAAAAAGAAACTGAAAAAGTTTCTTCAAATCCCTCTCGTCAGTGGACAGATGTCAGAACTTTCCTAGGCAGCGAAGCTCTAAGTCTTTTGAAACCATTCCTAACATTAGAAGAAACATCAGGTATAAAGAATGTTCATAGACTGGTTTGCTCAGATATGGAACTGAATCTGTTGCCATTAAAGTTGGCGATCTTGTTGGTTTTTCTAGCAGCAAATATCTGAGAACACTACTTTTGTCAAATTGCAATGGCAATGTTATAATTGCAATAGTAGGTGTCCTTCTAGCAAAGCACCGTTCTTGTAATGTTGAGAGATCAGTAAGAGCAAATCAATCTTAGAACCCCTGAAACTCAACTTACGAAAAGCTTTTAGAGTAACTGACCTTATTCCGTATACTGCACATAGTGACCCCATTTTTGAACGCTTAAGACTATTGAACTTTGACAAACTATACAAACTTGAGACAGCAAAATTTATGTTCCAAATTAATAAGGAGACCAGTTACACTACTCATGGACATGAATGTCTAAAAACAAGAAAACATTGTTACAATACAAGACAGTCTTCAGGCCTTGGTTTTTCCCTACAAGCAATATCAACCAGAGATTAAAGAAATTTTCTCACATTTGACGGTATTAAACTTTGGAACTCTCTGCCACTAGATTTGAAGAAAACCAACAACAAAATATCTTTCAAAAATAAAATGAATCATTACTTTTCAGAAAATCTGACCTAATCGAACATGATTAAAATACTAGCACATGTCATAAACCTAATTTTCCCATTTTTTATCTTCAATGTAATTTTTTCTTTATTCATTTCCTTTGTTTTTTTGTTCTAGTTTCATTTCAATTTCTTTTATCTCATTCTTACTGTTATTCAAACCAAAATAAATTGTAAACTTACATCGTCAAATCATGTCAACCGGGCACATGGCTTTGATAGCTCTATTTTGAGCTTCTTCATGTGTCCGTTAGCTGAATTAATTGTATATAAGATTGTTTTTTTTCATCAATGCTCTTCTTGTAATTTGGGATTTAATAATTGAATTGTGAACAACTAACGTAAATAACATAACATGTAATTAATTAATTTGCTGAAAAAATTGTTTTTTGACTTTGAGTTTGTAATTTAATGAAAATTGTTTGATGAAAAGAAGAAAACTATGCATTTGTACATCCACTACAATATACCTAAATTAGGTCAGTTTGATCCAAGGGCAGTTGTATTGGGTGAAGAGAAAAAAAAAGCGAGTCAAAGAAACACCGAAAGCATGAGATTAGAATTCACGGTTTGACGAGATGTTCACGGTAACAAACTAAGCAGAAGAGGTAAAGATGAAAGTAACGAAAAAGATTCTGACAAATCACAAATTACAACATAAACAAATAAACATGAAAGGAACACGTTTAACAAAACAAGTAGCCAAGAACAAAAAGCACCTTAACCTAAGAAATTGCTGGCATGATGAAATAATCAATGGCTTGATTGAACTAAATATAAAATCAAAAAGAGGATAGAGCAGCAAGTTAAGAATAGCGATAAAACAAAGATGAGGTTCATTAAAAAAAGATATTTTGGGATAAAAGAATATATAAAACATAAAAAGGGACCAACGTTACTAAAATTGAAACTAAACATGACCGATTTAAATGCTAATTACAAAGGAAAATATGATGTGATAATATAAGTTGCAGAGGGTGTGAGTTACATGAAAAAAAACATAGAACATTTACGGCAATGCGAAAAATTCAAAAGACACTTTCCAGGAATGGAACAAATTCTAAAAAGCAACGCAAAGGGCCTGATAGAAATCGACAGATTGGTTGAACTTTTTCAAACCTGAGTGAAAATTAGCCTGTGGTATTTTACTGCACATTACGTCTTTCCTGACAATTCTGTGTTTATGATATAGTAACTGCTCCGAAATATAGATTTGGCGAGATTTAGCAAATAGATCGAGAAACCTAGTCCAGAATAACTTGGTGCCAGCACAAATTGACGGAGTTTCATTTGTTCCATTGCCTAAACCTGCGCACAAGGTCTATTTGTTAACGAAAACTTTCTCAGAAGCATTACAAAAAGAGAGAAGAAGAAAAAGAAACAGCTGGAAAGAACTTTTTTGAGGACATATGCAATATATTTACTGGTTCCGCGGTACGGATTCCAACTTTCAAGGAGATAACTTCATTTTAAATAACATAACATTTCATCAATCAAAATCACTACTACACTTCAACAACTCACAACCAATCTGAATAAAATAGTTTAAACACTCCCTTATGTTACAATTAGTGAACGTATCTATGGTTATCAAAATAAACAAACAAACTGTTGTAAGTATTGGGAATACAATCAAAAAGAAATAATTGAGTAAATATAATACACGCTAAATTTCCCACGGCATAATATAAAAGAACTGTGAACGCATTATGGTAAATTATCCTCTAGTTAGTTATAAAACAGATATGCGCAGTTACATAAACATACGCAGTAACAGCAAACTTACACAACAGGCTATAAGAAATAAATTATGGGCAGATTTGTTCTTAAAAAGTTTCATCATGAAAACTTTGGAGTTTGGATAATCCATTCCTTCTAAGAAAGATAAAACATTTAAACTCATTTTGACAAGACCAGTTTGAAGGTTTTTCAAATTTTTGTTAAAGCACTTATTTTCCGAAAAACTTAAGATCAGATGTTACAAAGTTATATCTTCACTGTACAAAATTGCTTAACTTTTTATTTTTAGTTGATAGTTTTTCTGTTGATATTTCGTTACGTTTTGTTTTTGTTTATGTTAATGTTTTTTATTAATCCGTGTTTTATTTATTTGTCTCCCCAATCTTATTTCGGGTACTTTTAAAATCTAAAAAAAGGTTTAACTACGAGCTAGATAGTGGTTATTCTAAAACTTTGCAAAACTTTTCTATTTCAAGTCAACATCACAGTAGACGCGACTATGCGACACTATCAGTCAAAATTCATTTTGGATACAGTTTCTGGCCATCCTTAAGACACAATAATTCTAAAATTTTCTCGCCGCCAACGGGTGGCGGTATTTCCTAAGCCCTTCCAAGGCTTTGATATTTTGGCCCCTCCACTTTCAAATACGTTTCATCGGCCCTGCTTGAGCACAATATTTAGCAACTGCACTGCTAACACCCTTATGATTTGAGAACCAATTTAGAACTACCCAACCTCATAGCTCTAATAGTTTTAATGAAAGTAAAAAAGCCAGCCTGAACTTCTATTTATTGGTTCTTATAAAAGAAGTAAATCCCCCATTCGACAGTTTCAAAGTGCTGACAGCTCTTTTTCTTTTCTTACATTGGGCTGCCGACGGGGTGATCATTGGGAACTTTGGGGGGGGGGGCAGTGCCCCCCATGACACTCCGTAGCGTCACCCCTGTTAGAAAGTTTCACTGTCCTAGGATTGAGGAAAACGACACCCCTTTCTAAGAGGATTTCTGGAAGAGCTTCGTTACGGTTACGCCGGGCCCAGTAGCGGCGCTACAGAGGCACCTGGGGGGGACACGTCCTCCCCAATTCTCGGCAGGATCAGTTTTGTATTTCGTCTAAATCTGATGAGAAAACGTTGGTGGAGGGGTAATATTTTGGCAACCTACTTTTTTTGATGTCATCCACTGATTTTCAAACTGCCTTTACATAGCCAGCAGTTAGTTATGGGCGTTCCTTTCAGGTAAAATTGGCTTTCCTTGTTTGTTTGTAAAAGGGCTTTTTCTAGTGCTAAAAGGGCGTGGCCTAAAATTTTTGTTTTGTCCCCCAGAGCGCAGTGGCTGGCGCCGCCAGTGCCCGGGCCACCACCATCATCCTTCCTGTACTCTTCCCGCGCCCCCAAAGAACCCGGAAGACTTGGTACTGAAACAACAGCAGCAACAAAATGGTTGCCTAGATGAAGTGGAAGAATGTGTTCGAGCGAGATGAACACGTTTTTGCCTTCAGTATCTCGCCTTTATATTGTATGTATCCTGGATAACAAAGAATTGTCTAGCTTTTATATTTAATTTAGGTCAATGCTCTTTAAAGCCGGGGATGTTTTGAACATCAATTTTACAGATCAGCGCATGAGGTAAACATGACAAGGCTATACAAACAGAAGTCTTTTAACTTTTCTTATTTCTTGTCCTATTTGGTTATAAATCTGCTTTGCTTATACCAAGGAGAAAGTGTCAAAAGCGTTGATGATTTGAAGCTTTCCAATGTAAAGGCAAATGGCTGGACAGACAAAATCTTGGACTCACTTGAAAAGGCTGTAGAATTTTACTCATCAAACATCGAAAAAGTTAATCTTGACTCTGTCTTTGGACTCCGTGTTGGTCAAGGTTTGTATTTGCTTCACTTATTGCTTTGTTTAGTTTGATCTTCACATTTTACACGGAAACTTCTAAAAAGCTTTAATGATTTTCTATTATTAACCGTTACTTTATCCTATAGGCAATCAGAAACCTTTGAATTCTTTCTTGGTATTCTTCATGTCTTAAAAAACAAATACCAAATCCCGATGTCATGCCTTCAATAGACCAATTGAAAATATATATTTTGTTTCATTAATTTCAGAACTTTGTGTAAGTAATTCTTTGTTATTGCTTTCTGAATCAAAAAGAAATTTTTGTTTCTGAAATGGTTTTGTTTTTTAGGCCCTAAAAATTTATTTTGCTGACCTACGGAATGGTACACATTGATATTGTACCAAAACATTTTAAAGTTAGTAAAAAATGTTGCAGACATAGCACAAGCTTAGGAAAGCATTTAGTATGCCATCATTGTTGACTTCTGATTAAAAGCATCAGCAACACAAAATAGCAGTATTTGTGCATAGCTATAACTAAAGCTGCTTATGTTGTTTTTAACTTCAGCATGTGGCTTTTTCTTTTTAGATTTTTGCATTATGATTATCTTTATATTCCTATATGTTATGCATTTTTCTTTCAGGCGGTCTTAATAAAGCAATAACTGAGTCAAAACTGGACAAAAGAAATGTATTATTCAACCGTCTTGTTGATATTCACTCAAGTATTGTTAGAATAGCTGAGAGAGGATTCCTCAAGCTTGAATCAATGGACTCATCCTATTTTCACAAATTTAAGCATTTGATAGATGGAAAATGGTTTTCTATAATGCCCTACCACTCAGTTGATTTATCTCTGGTTCATAAAGTAACTTTACATGATGACGACAGTTTTGATGAATCAGCAAGTGATAAATGTATGACTGGGTTGATTGGTAGTCAGTCAGACGGAGTCAAAGAGCCTTGTCAGGTCTCTGATGAATGCTGGGATCTGATGACCAAGAAAGGTGCTGACAGTTACTATCTGACTCACCAGGGACTGTTTCTTTTACTTGCAGAAAACAGAGGTAATTGAAGTTTTCTTACTTTCAAAAGTGTACAGTATGATTTGCAACCTCAGCTCAGGAAAAACATCTAATTTCATGTTTTTCATTTCACAATATAGAGCTAAAATGTTTTTATGTTGGCGCATGCTGACATGATTTGCCTTCCTGTTGTAATAAACCAAATATTGAGACGTAAAATGACTTCAAAATATATTTATCTTCATCATAATCGTACATACAAAAAACTGACTTACAACACGTGCTAACTGGAATAGAGGCTAGATATGATTTATGCACATATTTTAATACTTTTGTCCACAGGGGATAACACTATCCCCCTCCCCATCTCTCTTCCTATGTTAGTGAATGGGAACGAGTTCTGTTTGGTAGTATGTTTGCAATGTCTACTCTGCACCAATTTCTGTTGATCATGTTATTATCTTCTGGGTGTTCTCCGTGGTTCAAGTCCCCTGTATTCCCTCCTCCTCTTGCACCCTCGACGTGTACTCTATCATCAATGAGATTTGTTGTCTTGGTCTTGGTTAGGTCAGCAAAAATATCACAGACTTTTTTCTTAGGAGGTTCCTTTGCAGGTAGGGGGTCAGTTGCTTTTTTGAGTAAGTGGATTGATCTTGGAGGTATATACTTTAGTTGATTGACATGAATAGTAGGACTGGCTTTGCCACTGGCGTCAACAAGCTTACAATTCAGATCTCCTATCAAGTGAGTGATTGTCCAAGGCCCCGACCACTTTGGTTGAAAACAACGTGAAATACCCCTTTTCTGAGGTGGGTTCCATAACATGACAGTATCATTGATCTTATAATGATGTTGGGTAGTTTTCTTATCGTACTGTTGTTTCATTCTTTCTCTGCTCTGGTTGAGGATACTGCGAACATTTGTAAAGGAGTTTTTAAGGCACGTACCGATGTCATTGGCAAAAGCTTGAGCCTGTTTCACATGGTGTGGAGCAGACTGTTGAATCTGTTGCTGTGGTGATTTATTAAACAGCAACGCAGTTGGTAAAGAAAGTTTAGCACCAAGAATAAGTTCAGCAGGTGTAACTTTAGTGCTATTATTAACACTTGAACGAATGGCGTAGACAGCTGATTGCAAGAACGTGTCCCAGTTACGGCCATGTTGATCGATTTGTTTCTGCACACAGGACTTAACTAGTTTTACCATTGCCTCAGAAAGACCATCGCCTTGTGGGTGGAGACGCGAAGACTTGGATTTACCTATACCCAAGATTTTGGCGACTTCCCGCATAACATTGCCATGAACATTTGAGGCACCATCACTGTGCAAACGTTGCATAATCCCATACCGACAGATCCATTGGTCGTGAATCGCTCTTGCAATAGTAGGTGCCGATATCTCTTTGAGGGGAACAACTTCAGGCCATTTTGTAAAGTGGTCGACCAGGATAAGAGCATACTTGAAACCATCTTGAGATGCAGGCAGAAAAGGTCCGGCTAGATCGTAGCAAACAAGTTCGAATCGTTCAGTAGACTGTATTGGCTGTAACTGATCTTTGTGGTATCCTTGAGGGGGTGGATTAAAAGAAGCACAAATCTTGCAACTTTTCACCCAGTTGATCACATCCTGTTTGGCACTGGGCCAGAAATAGTGTTCACAAAGGCGAGACCAAGTTCTGTCAACAGCAAAATGACCAGAGGATGGGTGGTCATGGCAAAGTTTCAGGACGGTTCCACGTAAATCGCCAGGTACTACAGTGCAGTTGTGCCACTGCAAAATGCCATCCTCAGATACAGAAAGTTTATTGCGATATGGTTTTAAGGAACCTAGACGGCAGACATCAAAGTTTCGTTTATCAGAAGACATGTACTCGATTGCTGCTTGGATCTGTTGATCTTTTGTTTGGAAATCTCTGATTGCAGCCACTGTAATATTAGGTTGTAATTCTTCCAGTGAGTTGACACTGTGCATGCGACTGAGACAGTCGCTTATGGCGTTGTTCTTGGATGGAATGTGTTCTATTTTATAATTGAACTCTGAAAGTTGCAAAGCCCAATTCAGCAATTTTCTACTCTTAGGGTTGCGTTTGGATTGCAGGAATGAAGTTACGCGATTATCAGTACGCAAGAGAAAGGGTTTACCAAGAAGGTAGTGACGAAATTTTTCGGTAGCAAAAATTATAGCATGCGCCTCTTTCTCTACAATGTTCCACCTTGATTCAGTTTCATTGAACTTTCTGCTGGCGTAGGCGATGATGTATGTTTTGCCATCACTTGTGTTATGGGCTTTAAGACATGCACCTTCACCTCTGTCTGATGCATCGACCTCTAGGATGAAAGAGTCTGTACTTGTAGGAGCTCGTAAAACTGGTGCGGAAGAGAGAAGCTGCTTTAGTGCTTCAAAGGCTGCTTGAGCTTCAGGTGTCCAGACAAACGTTGAAGTCGGTTTTGCAAGTTCGTGTAGAGGAGCAGCAACAACAGAGAAGTGGGGAACAAATCGATCACAAAATTGTGCCATGCCTAAAAATTCCTTCAAGGATTTGGCATTGGATGGCACTGGAAAATCAGTGATGGACTGAATGCGAGCTGGGTCAAGGCGAATGTGTCCCTTGTCAATGAAATGGCCTAAATACGGTAAACTTGTCTGGAAAAATTTGCATTTCAAGGCGTTCAAAGTGAGACCAGACTGTCGAATTCTTGCTAAAACTCTGCGAACATTGGAGAGATGATCTGTGAAATCTAATCCTTTAATAACCACATCATCGTAGAAGGGTGGTAGAATACAGTCGCTTAAATCAGAAAATGTTTGTTCCATGGTTCGTTGGAACAAAGAAGAGGCCGGTTTGATACCTTGAGGCATAACGTTCCAGGTCCATTGACCAAAACCGTAACCAGGAGAAAAGGCAATGATCGGTTTGATTCTATCAGCACACGGAATTTGGTGGTAGCCACTGTTGAAGTCGATTGAGCTGACATATTGAGAGCCGCGAACAGAGTCAAGACTTTGTTGAAGGGATGGAGAAGGCCAACCTGAATCTTTGATGGCAGGGTTGAGAAAACGATAGTCAACTACAAGTCGAAAACGATCGGTAAC